CTATAATAATAAAGGGGTAATGTTCTTAAGCTATTACTTAAAGGTTGTAAAGCTTATACTGCTTACTAAGGAGAGAGGAGAAAGTTAATTAACTGCCGGGTAGCGCTAGCTATAATATTAACCTTTACTAAAGTAGAGGTATGTAAAGCTAAACGTGCCGCAGGGGCGATAATAGTAGCTCCTGTAGAGCCGGAGCCTATTCTTATAGCGTTAAAAACAAGGCGGGGGGAGGGTATAGTAGTCTCTTTATAGAGAGTAGAGGTAAGAGTAGAAGTAGCGGCTGATATTAATAGTTAGATAATATCTGAAATCTATAAGATTACTATTATAACTTACAGATAGCGGTATAGATCTTATCCTTATTCTTATCCTTGTTCTCCTTAGCTTCTAAGGCCTTCTGAATAGCGGGCCGGCGGACTATAAGAGCTTATATATATTATAGAGTTAGCCTCGCTTAGTACTTTAATATTAATACCTTAATACTTCGTTATTCTAATACTATAATATAAGGAAACACTTACGCGTGTGCCCTCTAGGAGGGCCCGGGCTACTAAGTAGCTAGTGAAGAGTTCAGCGGCACGGGTAAGGGTAGCGATATAACCTAATTTATTATTTTTATAATAATAAAAATAGCGTGAAGCTATCTCTTCGTTACGATAGGGGTCGCCCGGCGTACCCTATAAACTACTGCGAATATAGTAGCTGTAAGGTATAGTACGGATAGCCCCTGCTATAGTAGGGCGGCGGGCAGGAGTTAGTGCTAGTACTAGTAGTAGTAATAGTAATAGTAGTAGTAGTAGAGTAGCAGCGGCAGGGGAGCTACAGTAGCTACGGGCCTATTTTATAAGTATTAGCGTAGTTCTAATAATTTCTTATAACGCTAACTATATCGGAATCTTTAAATTAATAACTTATAGTCTTCTTCTTTACTATATAAGTAGCGGCGAGGTTAGAGGCGCGTAAGGCGCGGGCGGCGTAGGAGCTTTTAGCTATATTTACTAATATTATATCGAAGTTGTTATTTAAGGAAAGAGCGTTCCGGGGGACTTACCTAGTTTATATATTTAAAGCTACTAGGCGCTTAAGACTTGACGCTATCAGTTAGTATTAACTCCTATTATAGTTCAGGTAGTATTATCTGCACTATTTACGTCGCTTCGCTTACTATTATAAAGCTAAGCGAGGGGGTGTGTCGTGCACCTGACGCACCTGAGGCACTCCCTAAGGCGCTCTAGCCAACTAGAGGCTACTTATATAACTAGAACTTCTAGAGCTTCCTCTTATAGGGGAGCTCTAGAATACCTTAATAAATCAAGACTTTCACACTACATGAAGCTCCTCCCTACAGTACACGATACTCCCTTTAACAGATTTATATAATAATAGATCATAAGGCTTTTAAATACTTTATAACCTTAAAACAGCTAAATACTTAATAAGCTTACTAAGCTAAGTTACTTACTAACTATAACTTTATAATCACTTACTATCTAAGTATATAAAACCCTCTTATAAACGCCTTCTCTTAGTAAAGTAAGGAACTAAATATATAAAATACTACTAAGAGAGGCTAGCGCTTATAATAGCTCCTTTAATATAACTAAGTCGACCTTAACCTCTTAATAGCGAACTTATATCTTATATAGCCTATTAACGCTATAATCTCTTCTTTAAATATCGCAAGCTTTTCCTCGCTTATCTTTATAATCTACTAAGTCCTTAAAGTAAATAAAGCTATTACTTTCCTTTAAGCCTTATAAAAGTAAGCTCTCTCTGACGCTTTAAGTAAGCTTACTATAAAAAAAGACCTCCTCTTTTATAATAACTGCCTTATTATACTTAATATAGACTACTTTTAGACTCTTTTTATTTAAGAGATATACGATAGAATTAAAATAGTATACCCTAGCGCTTAAAAGACGCTATAACTACTATTAGCTTAATATTAGTAGTATAGTATATTAACTATAGTATAGCGCTATTATATAAATTACTATACTTACTATTAAATATAAGTCTCTAAAGATAAGAAGCCTAGCTTTCTCTACCCTTTACTAGTGCCTACACGCCCTTAAAAACACGTGACTATAGACTTTTACTTGTTTTTTCCAGATAAATATAACTATAATAATATACTTATTATTATTAATAGGTTTAGTAAATAAGCTATTTCTATCTCTTACTAGAAAAGTATTAACTCTTAAAAGCTTATTATATTATATATTTACTATATCTATAAGTATTTCAGAGCCTTACTTAGTATAACTTTAAATAAAGAGCCTTAGTTTATTTCCACTTTTTAGAAGTAATTTAACTTAATCTTAAGCTCTTAATATAAGCTATTAATAGCTAACTACTTATAGATAGATAGCTAAACTAAAATATATAACTAGTACTTATAAAGATACTTTTAGCTTTTTATTAGCTACTACTAAGATAACTAGTTCGAATTTTTATTAATTATAAACTACACTTAACTTATATTACCTCATGACTCTTTTAGTAAGTTATCTCTTTATAAAGTAGTTTATAGTTATACTCTTTAAATCATATAAAATTAAAAAATCGACCTCTTAGACTTAGCTTTACTAATAAATAAGCTAAACGCTTATTAAGCTATAAAATATACCTTATGTTATTAAAAAGCGTAAGATATAGTAAAATCTCACTTACTCTAAGCTTAAGACTATATATCTAGAGCTTATAATAAATCCTGTTACGCTATAGACTTTAATATAAGCGACTTTATATAGCTTAATAGGCGGTATTATAATATACTCTAGCCTTCTTATAAGTTAGATAACTTTACTAATAGCCTCTTTAAAGTCTTAAAAAAGGTATATAACTTATATAAGCTAAAAATCCTATTAAGTATAAAAATCTATAATATCTTTCTCCTTAATAAGCTACACTAGCACCTTAATAACTTACTCTTAAGACAAGTCTAATAGCCCTTGCCGCCTATTAATATAATAGGCGATAATAAATAAAAAGTCAAAGCTATACTAGCTTATTAAAAGTAATATAATAACTTATTATATAAAGTCTTATAGTTAAATAAGGATATTAACCTTATATAGTACCTAGTGTCTAACCTTAAATATACACTTTATAAGCTCTGCGAATTCCACTTATAATATCTTAAGTAAGCTAGCCTTCTAGTCGCGCTCTTAAAGTAGATAAAAGCTTAAGAAGATAGTATTAATAACTATAATAAGTTAGATAATAATAAAGAGTTAAATAGACACTTAAGAATAAGCTTTTTTTAGATAAGGAGGTAGTATAACACTATATAGTATATAAAGTGTAAAGATACCCCTTTTACCTCTAGCTAGCTCGGCTATAGCTATAGCTATCCCCTTTAGGAAGTACCTTAGCTAGCCTCTTTTCTCGAGTATATAGTTTTAAGAGCCTTTAAGTCTCTCTCTTTTCTATAACTTTAGATTCTTAAGAGATGACTTTTATTTTTATATTCTATTAATTAGTATATAAGGTAGTACTCTATATAACGTCCTGTCTTTATAGCACTAGTAGTCATAATATTATAATAATAGTCTTATATATTAATAATATTAAGTGATTTAAAATATAATTAAGATTCTCTTAAAATCTATAACTAATATAAAAAGAAAGTAAAGAAGATAAAAAGGTAATATATAAGAGGTTAAAGAAGGTAATCTCGCTTAGCTTAGTTTATACCTCTTTAATTAGAAATAGTAAACTAAGCTATCCGAACTATAAAAATACCCTTAAATTATTATATATATATTTTTAAAGTATAATATTAAATCTATTTATATAATTACTTAATATATAAATTTTACTATTTTTTATATTTTTTAGTATATTTTAGTATATTTTAGTATATTTTAGTATATTTTAGTATATTTTAGTATTTTTAATAGTATTTTTTAGTTTTTACTTAATTATAAGGTTATATTATTAGTATATTTAATTATAAGGTTATATTATAAGTATTTTTAATAGTTAAAAAATTAGGTAAATTTATCTTAGTTTATTAGTCTGTTCTTAGTAACTACCTCGTTCCGTGCGTTTATAGCTTTATAAAACGCACTATAGTGCGTTTTATAAGGCTAAAACGCTAGTCGGTTAGAGAGCCTTAAAACGACGTCGTTCCACGGCCGTTTCACTATTAACTACACTGAGCTCAATTAGAGAGGTGATAAGAATTTTGAGCTAGCGGAACCACTGCTGTATTGAACTATCTTTACAGTAGCAAGATATATAGCAAGATAAAAACTGACTATGAAAAAGAGAGTACATGCGGAACATCTTGTATTCGATGCGGATTTTCCTCCTAGGGTATTACTCGGTGATGGTAATAGTAAAAAGGCTCTTGATCACATACCCCTATGACGCAGCCCCACCCGGAACAAAGGAAGTTACACGAGCAACTTGATTATAACATGCACGGTGGAAACCAGGTGTTTGAACAGGCTGGCAAAGACCATTGCGAAAAAGTGAAACTCCATCCGCACTCGATCTCAAGGGCAGTGGCGGGTATATAGCTGCTATAAATTCTTAAAATTTTACACGAGGCGATTATAAGGGACAATTCTGAAGTTAATGTAAGGAGACCACTATATAAAATTAAAACGCCAAATAAGCAATTCGAATAAAGTGGATGTAGACTAATGTATTTATATACACCCTTAAACACAGTAAAGCCTTGCCTTGTGACTTATTCTTTTGAAAGATAAAAACTCTCGCACGTTCAGAAACTCTTATACGATCAGATTTTGTTGGTCAGTTGCCCTAGATTGGTTGTAGACTTGTTCTTAGCATATGTTTTGCGATAGTCATTGCATTGAAGCCAAATCTGTCTATTCTGACATCAGCTCTGGCTTGTAGGCATGTGGTGGTCTCGCTGTTCTTGTCGGTCAAAACTGATGCCGCACGAATTGAGGTAGTTTTTTGGTATGTGAAATCCATTGCTCCGCTATAAACAGCTGCAAACCCGATTTATGGTCATCATGATTTCAAGACTGGCCTAGTACCCACAGTTCCCCGTCAGAAGATATATCACTAGTCATGTAAAGTCTACCTGCAACATCGAAAGCAAGTCCAGCGGGTCTGAAGCATCCAGAACTGAAGCTGGGTCCATTGCCTTGGCATCTGGTGACGTCTGGATTCCAAAAGATATCCTTGTACCCTGTGGTGGTTGCAAGTGTAGAAACGGGCTTGTACACACCATCAGCACCTCTCGTGAAAGGCACTTGCACCACCTTGAATCCAGTAGTTGGAACCCGATTCCAGGACCCATGGAAGGTAACGTAGAGATTACTGAATGTATCATCGAACTTGCTGTCGATGGGGGCCGAGTGAGGCTGGAAGACGAGCGATGGTGGCGTTGACAAACTCTTGCAAGTATCATCTTTGAAAGTTGCATTTGGGGCAATTACGAATTGGTCGCCAATCTGAAACTTTTGGTCTGTAAAATCGCTTGGTTTCCAGACCGCATAGCAGGTCGGGTATCCGAACCACTTGTCGTTGTTCTTTGTGACATCTCCAATGTAATTGAGCTTCTCAGCCGGGTTCTCTTGGTGAACATCTTTTCCACCCCGAGAGAAATTATCACCACTATTTTCGACACCCCAGAGCCTTGAGCATTGTCAGCCATACCTAGTTAGAACATAGATCCAAGGATGACACGTACATGCTGTTGCCATCAAACGCAATTCCAACCTCATTTCGCATGCCATAGCCTGCAAGCCACCCATCAGACACGTAGTTGTAGCCCCCACTCGGGATTACTTTCACGTCGAATACTTTAACGCAAGCGCGGGCCGTTTTTGGGTTCCCAGACGCATAGTCGAAGTTGTCATTCGAGCCATGAGACACTGCCAGTAGGTTTGGGTTTTTTGGCGACAACAATAGCGTGCGAGTAGAATGACCACCTGTAGTTGATTGTGTTATCAGTACGGGTTCCAAAACATGTCATAGAGGTGGTTGAGTCATGGCTTACCGTTGAACATCCCGGTTATTATGGTCGCCCTAGTACCCACCGTCCCCGAAGAAGCCGTATATGGCCACGAATAAACCTGGGTCATGCTGCTGGCATATAACGTCTTGCCATCAGCACTAAGTGCAATGCCATGATTAAGACTATTCAGAGCGACGAGTGTTTTTGTGGCAGAAATACAGCCGTCTGTAGTCATTGTATGGAGTGTGATACCCTTTCCAGATTGGACCACGAGCATGTTGCCTACCGGGTCAAAAATGATACTCCGTGGACTTGTCAGACCGCCTAAGACCTTCGTTGCTTTCCATCCGCTTGCCTACAAAAAAAAGGTGTCAGTAAAACTCCTCATAAGCTCAGGGTTCGGAACATGAAGCAGAGCATGAATAAAGCACACGATTCGCCAGATAGTCCCTTGGCATAGCAGACATGGACTGGTATGAAATTGAACCCACGAGAACAGAAGAAAATTTTGGTGCTCCAGCTCCCGAACATGAAGTGGGTATCTTCCCTTTCGCAACCGTAGGACCTGCTTTAGCAGAAGAAGTCGTGCTCGTCACTATCGTGGCTGCGGGCTTGGAGGTCGTTACTTGCACACTTGATCCTTGGGGCGCTGTGGTTAATGAAGCTGGACTTAGAATGTTACTTGCAACCCAAGCATTGAAATTGGGGCTACGAGCAGCATTCAGATCGTGAGTCCATTTACCATAGGACGTGTGCATATTGAAGGCCGAGTTATTGTTTGCTGGTTCTTGGACAGGGGTGGTCCCTTGAGCCCAGGCGAACTGTGCCGTTCCCATACCATCCAGTACTGCTTGGGATCCGTCGTTCGCTTGGTAGGATGTACAACCCGAGCATTTAGCTGTCATTTTCCAGTGTGTACTGTTGACTGTGGTCCCCTTTAACAGAGTATATTCCGCGCCATCGTAGGACGGCGGGAGGCCTAGTCCGCTGTAGTGTTCGTGTCAGCCTGCTCCAAAACTTCATAGTAGGGGCTTACAATGCAAATCGCGAGGATACCACAGCCGTATTACCATTTGCCCATCCCACTGTGAGTGGATTAAAAACCATTGTCCCACCCCATGCGAATCCAGCCCACGTAGTTGCTAGTGGTGCACTGATTGAGATAATTGCATCGTAAGGATCCGACACATTCATAGGGAGTGCAATTCCGATACTGATTCCTGACTCACGAGCGAGATACGTCGAGTAACAGATGTTTGTCACCGCGTCACAAGCGGTCTTGGAATCTACTTGAGCAAGAACTACCTAAGTTAGAGATGGATACCACATTGTTTGAGCGACACCCACCATGACTTGCAAGCACAAAAGTGCTACCGGGAAGTATAGAGCGCATGATGAAGGTACGTAAACCAGACAAAGAAGTACCAAATTCAACCACTTCGAACGTCAGTGATGGATAGAGACTCGTCTATGTGTGGGAACGCAGTCCTTAAGGCCCGACGAGCACTACAGGTGCCATTTCTGAGCTATGCCGACTTTTGAGTCCCAATCTCCAAATACCACGTCGTTTAGATGAAAGTATATTGAAAGCTTGAATATGTTGATCGCGAGTGGTTAATCTTGGCAGCTGATATCGCAATGCCACCTGGTCGAGGCGATGACAGTTTTGCCTGACTACAGGCAAAAGATGTCCACTCGCATCGGATACCTGATCAGAGGTTGCCTTCCCCAGATTGGCCGAGACTTTGGCTGAAGACCAACGACCAATGTGGATATTTATATTACCCCACAACCCCACATGTTCCAGGGTACCTGATGCATGCAATGGTGTTGCAAGTGAGTTGCGCCGGAAGAAGTTCAAGCGATCGACCGGGAGTTCTGATTACCTTGGGACGGCTGTCTACTTAGCCTTTCGGCGGCAGGAGCATCTAGTCGCAGGAACATCAGGCAATTATCCCCAAGTCAGCCAACGTCGGATAAACAATCTAAGCGAACGAAGCGCATGAAGATGTTTCAAATAGGAGTGCAGAGCCTGGTGGATGACATGACATCCAATTCGCACCCACTCGGATGGAACACTGTGACACAGAGGCAATATCCACCGAGGAAGCATCCCAATATATTGAAGCCATGATCACCAACATATCAGTGGCTTCATAGTTCTCGATGACCAGGTGTACGCCACGCCACAGCGCATAGCACTCTGATACGGTACACAACCAAGTCGTCTTCTGGCAAAGCTTCCTGATAACGGCAGATCAAAGCGAGATGCTCGCTCTCCGAGCGCAGCTTGGCGATTTCAGAGCATGACGAATTCTGTTCTACTTATCCTTAGCTCGAGAGAATCATCAACAACAAAGGAAGAAGAATGCTGCGCTTTGCCACGAATTATTATTGACTCGCCTAACTTAGGTGCCGTCCCTCAATTCTCCACGCTCGGCTAGCTTCGGCTTCGGCTTAGCACTGGCGGGGAAGCTGTTGAGATGGCTTGGGCAGCTCGAAGTAGACTTGGAAGGTAATTGATATTTGGTCTCTCGTGCTTCCACTCCCATTTCTTCGAATGATCCTTCTCTGTTCTCTGTTCGGGCAGTAGTCTGATGGCAAAACAAGGTTATTATTGAAAGGACAGGACATTGCTCCCGCTGCAAACGCAACCGCAATCCCGATATCTCCATCACCGCCCAAACATGTTTCCATCCAAGCTCCGAGCTCTCCCTCTTCCTCGGGTTTCCCACTACCGGTTCCTCTCCTCTGCGACATCGAGCCAAAGCACACCAATCACCTCCGTACTCATTGCAAATCGTGGTGAGATTGCTTTACGGGTCGGACGGACAGCTTCTGCCTTGGGAGTACAGTGCACAACCATCTACACTGACCCAGACGCCAATTCTCAGCATGCGCTTTCCAGCCCGTTCGCAGTAAATCTTGGTTCTGCAAATGCCTATCTTGATGGCGAACGAATCATAAAAGTAGCAAAGGAGCAGTCTTGCGAGGCATTACATCCCGGCTATGGCTTTCTCAGCGAGAACTCCGCCTTTGCAAAAAGATGCCTGGAGGAGGGCTTGGTGTTCATTGGCCCACCCTGGAAGGCAATTGAGGCCATGGGAAACAAATCAAGGAGCAAAGATATCATGATCAAGGCGGGGGTACCGTGCATACCTGGCTACCATGGTGGAAATCAGGACCCAAATCATCTCTTGGCAGAAGCTCGGGGGATAGGATTCCCTGTCATGGTCAAGGCTGTCAAGGGAGGGGGTGGAAAGGGTATGAGAATTGCATTTAATGAAGAAGAATTTCTGGACAAATTGGAAAGCGCCAAAAGCGAGGGGCGAAATTCTTTTGGCGACGATGAGATGCTCGTGGAGAAATATATTGCAACTCCGAGACACATCGAGGTGCAGATTTTCGCTGACAAGCATGGGAATGCCGTCGCTCTAGGAGAGCGGGATTGTAGCCTTCAAAGACGCCACCAGAAGATCTTGGAGGAGGCGCCTGCTCCAAATCTTGCGGAAGACATTCGTCAGGACTTATGGGAGAAAGCTAGAGCTGCTGCTTTGGCCGTAGGCTATGAAGGAGCAGGCACCGTGGAATGTGGGTGCTGATGTGCAATTCCTGAACTTGACTGACTGTGCTTTCAGTTATCTTCGACAACGACACGAACGAGTTCTTCTTCATGGAAATGAACACCCGGCTACAGGTAGAGCACCCAGTCACAGAAGAGATCACAGGAGAAGATCTTGTCTCATGGCAGTTCAAAGTTGCTGCTGGTGAGAAACTACCTCTGGACCAAGAGACTATTGCTCAAAGGATAGCGGAGCGTGGATGGGCCATTGAAGCTCGAATCTACGCAGAAAATCCTAGTCAGAACTTCATGCCTGATTCGGGCGAGCTCATCCATCTCAAAACGCCTGAATTGTCAGAAGGCGTCCGTATCGATGCCGGTTTTATCGAAGGCGATACCGTGTCCTCGGCCTACGATGGGATGATTGCAAAGCTGATAGTCAGTGGGGAGACTCGAGAAGTAGCAATTCGCAAGCTCTACGCAGCGCTGCAGAAATACGAAGTTGTGGGACTGAGTACCAACATCGAATTCCTGAAGAAGATCTGCAAGAGCCCTGCCTTCATCAGGGGCGAAGTTGAAACTGGTTATATCCAGAAACACAACGACGAATTGTTTGATCCTGAAGTCATCGAACCAGAAAGATTTGCCCAGGCGGCACTTGGCCTTTTGTCCAAGGAGCTTTCTGCACCGGCCTCGACAGTTACCCAAGGTCCACACGGAGCCGTTGTTGGCTTTGCGGCGAGTGCTCGACGACAGTTTACATTCATCACCAACGATACCGAAGAAAAAGCCCGTGTCACTGTTTCGGTCGAGCAACTGGGCCGAGATCTGTTTGATTTGGAAGTGAAGGGTGGCGGTCTTGACCAGACCTACAGCAATGTGATATGCAAGCCCAAGTCTCCATCGATCTCGACGTTCTTCCCACATACACGGATTGAGAGCACAATCGTCACAGATGGTGACAAGATCACACTCTTCCAGCATGGCAAGCAGACTCACCTAACGCTAGCATCGCCCAGCTGGTTCGAGAAGGCTTTGGGACTAAAAGATGTGGCAAATAGTGTTCTTGCACCAATGCCGTGCAAGGTTTTGAGGAACGAGGTTAAGGAGGGTGATCAAGTGGAGAAAGGACAGGCATTGGTAGTGTAAGAATCCTGCACTTGTGATGGCATTTGACGCAAGCTGACCGCATCAGGATCGAGAGTATGAAGATGGAGACTGTTATTAGATCGCCGCAGAATGGCACAGTTGCTAAATTGGTTCACAAGGAAGGCGTAAGTTGCCTCCAGGCGAACCAGGACTCCTGCTAATGGATCTAGGATATATGCAAAGCAGGCACAGTGTTGGTACTGTTTGAGGATGCTCAGGTGGACTGAAGAGTGGCGGCAAATAATGACATCAGAGTATCGCCCCGATGTGAGCAGAGTCTAGCTAGAGGGACAAGCTACGAGTGTAAGAATACGAGAAGTTGATGTGGTCTTTATGTGTATGACTTCGACACCGCTTGGAGGAGGGGCCAGCTCTACACAGAACAGACTCGAGAAGAACTCTACAAGAAGCACTTTCATCGTTTAGACCATAATAATAGTCGAAGCCTTACAATTTCTGACCATCGCTTCCCACCTCCACAACCTGATCAATACCCTCATACTCGGGCAGTTCCAAATTATATTTCTTCTGAATATCTGGACTCACAAATCTGATCAATAGTCAAAAAACCAAGCACAGTCAACAGTCAATTTAGTATCACTCACCTCCCGCCAACAAAGTGCCTGCCCTTAAAATACTTCACCAGTGGCTTGGGCGCTGTCAAGCTGACCAACACCGTTGGGTTGAAACTTGACCCGGGTCCTGAAGCTGGCGGCCCATCCTCAATATCCCACGACGAAGGAGCGTCGACCGATGTGACGGGAAGTGACGTGCGCTGCAAAGCTTCAATGACGGCGGGGAAGGGCTCGCGGACTTGGCCTGCGAAGGAAAAGCCTGGCTGGAGTTAGCTAGTGGAGTTGATGTCTGTAAAGAAGATGATAGTTTAGGAGGCAGACAAACCGAATATAGCGTCTACTACATGGTCTGAGTCTCCTAGTGCCGTAGAGAAATCTTCCGTGAAAGGGATGTTGAGGTTCTTGAGTTGGGTAGAGAGGCGCTCGAAGAGAATGTTAGTTCATGTGGAAAAGAGCACGCAGCAGGTGCACATGAAGTGTATGTGAAGACTTCGAGTCTATACCTGGTAGAGTTCATTCTTGCTCTGCTTGGGATAGTAAACTGTAGGTTTATATCCATAATGCCAGAGGTGTCTTGCTGCGACCAAACCATCACCTCCTGTTTCCTGTTAGTAACGACGAGTCGGCTGTGGATCGAATCGTTGGGCTGCCCTACCATTGTTCCCGGGACCACAAGCAATCAATACCCTCCGTCCTCTGCTGGGAGGATGAACTCGATAGACTGCAAAATGATGAGTACCAGAACCAAAAGCTAGAACTACATACTGGCTTGAGAAACCGATAGCCCAGCCAGTTCCATGAGTTGGTCGATAGAGAAGGCTCCAATGCTCATGAGATCCTTGTCCAACGCAGCAGCATTCTTTGCTGAGAGGGTCTTCTAGAGGCGTTAGGGAGGTTTCGAGGATTTCTTGTAACACGAATTTGAAACTATCACCTACCTTCATGTTGATCAATCTGAATTGCTGTTGGCTGGACTGAGTGTTCCAAGGGGTCGTAAGATGTGAACAGTAAACTTACGGTTTACCAGGATACCGAAAAGTACAAAGTCAAGCAAAAAAAGGGACTGTTTCCTAACTTGCTTTAATTCATCGTTGAATAATCATCGGTTCAGAGTCGAAGATCATCTGGTCGTGGTTGTCACGTTTGACATCACCATGAGCGGGGTGGAGCGGGAATGGGGATCGCAGCGGAGCGGGACCCACCAGCACCGACTCCAAAAAGTCAAGATAGGTACCTACTACTCGTACTCCAGCGATAATCATCCTCCAGTCCTCCCACCAGAACACACGCCCCAATGGTAGTCAAAATCAGATTAGCCCGCTTCGGGCGGCGCAAAGCCCCTTTCTACAACATTGTCGTTGCGCAAGCTAGGTGCGATGCAGAAGCTCCGATCTTGCACAGGCACCTGTCCCTTCTCTGCTAACACGGGTACAGGACAGCGAGGAATAGCAAGCCGATCGAGGTTCTAGGTTCGTGGGAATATCGATGGACAGAGCAAGGAACGCAGGAGCTGATCGGAGACAGGCACCTACGACCCGATACCAAAGGCACCCGTGGACGGCGAGGGCAAGCCCTTCAAGGACATCAAACTCGATTCTGCGAGGGCAAAATACTGGCTCGGAGTTGGCGCGCAGCCCAGTGATCCTGCTTGGAGATTACTGTCGATGGTGAGCTGCTCTGGCTTGTAATTTCTAGTGAGGAGGTGCTGACATGGTTGGTACATAGGCTGGATTGCTGGAACCGAAATTCCGCCCAAAATCGACGAGTTGAAGGAGCATGGCTGGATGTGTACGAATTGGGGATCTGTAGCATATGGGGGCGTTTGATTAGAAGTATAGCATTGTATTACAACAAGAGATGGCGTTAGGAAGCTTGCAAGAGACCGACGAGTTTTCCATGCTACGGAAACGAGCCTGCGATGCAAGGTGATTGAGAGAGCATTGGGTGTGCCATTTGGTTCCGATATTCTCAAAACATCAACAAGAAGCCCAAGGATTAAAGGGAGGATACTAATGTGAGTTGGAAGATACAAAGACCTTAGTTGTATGCAAATATATATGCGGTTTTCATCCATTTCTATGCGCCCTCGTATCTACATTAACTTGAACACGCGCGAATTTCCAGCGCTCAAGATGCTGAAGACTGTGCTTCTTGTACCAGCACCGGCTTGTATCCGACCCAAACTCCTGTCTATGCTACTAGGGAATTGCACAATTCAGTATCGACGTCTCAGTGCGCAGCTCCGGTGAAAAACAGATTCGTTCCCAAGCACAGGGTCATCACGAAGAGACCATAGATGGCCAAAGCCAATGAGAGCTTCCGAAGAATGGTCTTTCGCCAATGGGTCGAACTCAAGCCTCTGTGGCCATTGAGGCCCTCCGTGTCAGAGCCACTTTCGTCTTCATCTTCGTCCTTGGCCAGACGTTGGTGGTGTATCGAATCAGGTGCCGAGATCTTGTAATAGAACAATCCTGGTAGGATGAAGCTAATACTGGTACTGCCGGTGCTTCCAACATAGGCTAGAACCTTGTCGAGTGACGAGACGGTCATGGCGACGATGTAGCTCATCACGATGATGACGGTAGTAATAAGAGCAAATCGTAGCTCTCCGATGGCATCGTTTCGTGCAACTGGTTGAGCTGATGAGCCTGTGAGTAAAGGCACTGATCGTGCTGGTGAGCCATGAGGAGAATTACGTGCACCCCTCAAGCCATTTGGCCGCCACTTCAAAACTGCGTCGACGGATGCCCTACACGGATGAACCTGCAGAGGATACGAAAACGTGACAAGCACTACAATTGCTGCTTTGCCAATGGTCGAGGCGACCGATGGAATATCTAAAATGTCAACTCGGGACGGCAAAAGGACTCGAGAAATTCTTACACATTCCAATAATGTTTCCAGCAACGCTATTGCCAAATGACAGATAGCCTGTGATAGCAACCAGGATGTAGACGGATGCAGCGGATCCAATGCTTGCTGCAACGACACTCGTAGTACTATATCGAGTTTGTGAGTGAGTCACTACATGACTTGAGCAAAAGTACCCACTTTCTTGCGGAGTTGTTCTTGATCTCGTTCAAAATAGAGAACATCTGTACCCGTTAGCTTTGTGACCTGTATCCAGGAGGCCATTCTCACATTCTGATGGCACGTATATGCAAAAACTATGACGGGGAAGCTTTGGAGGGTGGGAACCAGGCCGCCCCAATGGATGATTCGGATTGCTCCTCTGTCCGCCATAGTATCCCCTTTGGAAAAGTGGTAAACAACCAAAATGACCAGGTAACCAATGGAAATCAATGCAACAACACTTGTATACTTGAGAGAGTCAAGACGGCGAAGAAAGGCAAGTGGGATTACGACGAGCCTGCGGAAGTTAGCGAGAGAAAGGAGATGAAGGACTTCGCCTCGTACATGAATACTGTAACCCAGAAGTGTCTATCGACAAGAAATGGCACAGCATCAGCGTTCTCATTGAATCCCCTCACGACCCCGGGCATCAAATCTCCAATGATGATCAAATAGCTCACTCCAACACCGAAACACTTAATGGCGATTGCGGCATCAAATATGACCGCCGCGTTCGGATAGGTAATCTGCGACAGCGCGAAGAAGGAGGCAGATCCACGTTCTAGGTACCGGGCACATCGGGTCTGGAAATAAAGCCCAAATGCTGCTGTCATACCCGACCAGAGTATCACAAAGATGCCTAGGACGATTCCCATATGCGCCATAGCTGAGGGCATCGCCAAAGTCCCGGCTCCGATAACTGGGATGGTCAGAACAGCCTTTAATTGAGGATACCAGTGCCGCAGATTGAATATGGGACACTTCGGCAGGGGCCATACTTGTATTGACCAGATTGATATTGCTACTCATCCAAGAGGCTTCGCCTCCCAGATTCTGATCCTTCATAGCTCTACTCGACCTTCTTCTGGTAAATTTGTCAGCCTTTGCCAGAGCTCGCCCTTTGCATGCCTCACCTCCGACCTCTTCCTGTATCTGACGAGGCGTCACTTGGACTTCCTATGGCTGAGTATGATACCATCACGTAAAGAGTCGTCCAAGCTGCTTGGACAGTATTGGTAGATGACCCTTTGGTCGGAAATCCTGCCAGTCCCTCGAAAGTGGGCTATGGCGCGAGGTTTGGAAAAGGGCAGTTGGAATGGCACATTGAGGCCTGTTCGTCCGGAAGCAAGCCCGTCTGCGGGAAATTGGTCAATTGTAGTGCACACGCGAGTATCGTATTATCGTCGGTCTCTCAAGCTGTCACCTGCGGGCAGAGACGTTTCCTTGAGCAAGGTTCGTTTGTGAAGGTTGCGAGCACGTAACATGGACAGCTTGTCGCTTGAGAACATCCCGATGGGCGCCGCCACACCTAGCCGCCTTTCAAGCCACACCGTTCCACAGGGCTGCCAGCCCAGCCGGCCCAAAATCTCGGCTATTCCCCAGCTAGATGTGAATCTGGGGAAACAGACTCCCCGGACCTCAGCATGAGACCATACTGATTCGACTCAAGCTATAGAACTTGATGTTTATTATTACTAGCTGGTAGAGAGGACGGTAGCGGTGGTAGACTTGAGTACTGGCATCACTCAGGCAGGAGGGCAGTAGCCAATCAGACACAGTTCCAGATATCCAAAGCTCGACATCGGGGAATGCTATACCCATTACCCCGATGCTGAAGTCGAGAAATTGTTCGTAGGCCCTGGTATTATATGTATGTAGCATTGCGAGCTCGTAGAGTATTGGGGATGGTCAGTGAAGATGTTTGCAGTTCTCACTAATGGCTTTTGTTGCCGAGCCTGCTGGAATCGTCCTATTTTAATTACTATAATTAGCATCACCCTTCGTAACCATCACAATCTACCTCCAATATATGGTCATACTGTTACCACAAGCAGCATCTCCAAGTTATCGTCCTCCCGCCTCAGGTCGTACAGATAGACGCTCCACCAAAGACAGTCTGGGTCAAGCTGCATAACATATCTTGGTGCCCCAATATTGACGACCACTACTGTAGCTCAATGATCTGTGAGCATCCCGAATCCATGGAATACTTGATTGGACTTGGAATGCGAGGTTGAATCTTGCACGCACAACTGATAACCAAAAGTTATGACGTGCGCTTTGTGAGATCGTATCATTGCTACAGCAGTCCCGATGGGGAAGCCATCCAGCACAAAAGGAAACATGTGGGGAGAAACAACTGCGAGACATGCATAACGACGCAACATTCCTTGCGATGAGGCTTGAGGCTACCCTCCATAGGGCTGAGGTGGCTATGGATCTCAGGAGCTGAGAGCAACACACATGGCATCGGCGCCTGGATATCGCGCATGAACGGAGTCACAATATCCGTGTCTCATAACTACGATCTCTATGGGGACAAAATGGCCTTTCCGGATAGTGGTCCAAGTCCAAGTGATATGAAAGGTATCAATGCAATGTCACTGTGGAAGGGTTTTGGTGATGTGGCGGCTGGGCAACGAACGCAAGTGGGCATTGAAATTTGTCGCTTGTACTGTTGTCGTTCGTATGGGACCCGGTGGAACGAGATGTTTTAGCTGTACCAAGCCTTAAATCTATTTCTGCCCGATCGGTGACTTCAATGCATACAAGGTTAAGAAACGAACCATTCTGTTCTGATCTGAGACTCCAGCATCGGGACAGGAGACTTAGAAAATAGTATGGGGAAAGGACGCAGAAACAGGCGGAAGATAATGTGCATCGGGTCTCGAACAGCTCGTTTTCACGTTCCTGAATCTCCCAAGTCCAGGGAGACGTAAACTTGGGAAATAAGAATACTCCGGACGCAGCATTCTGTGATGGAATATCTGTATCTCTTCAAGTTTTGATTGGCCCGAAGCCATGTTCTTAGCGGGAAGGTAAGTGGTTCTGACACGCGAGTGCCCAATCCCAGAGTCACTACCACCTTGTTTTCTGGACACAATAATCGGAAAGTCACAAGAATGTTTAAATACTTTTCTAGAAATAGTATTTACATTTACTCTATCAATTTCAAAGCGATGGAATTATATATTCAGAATTAGGTACTACGTCAAAATTGGCCACTGAACCGGAGAGAGCATGGCATTATGGGCAGCCAAGCCAAATCCAGGGCCTGATTTTGCACTGCACCGTCCCTTCCTTACCTCACACAACTTGACACAACGTGAAAAATGGAGTCGGTGCATCTTTCCATTTGCCACTCCACGCTTCTATAAAGCTTATTCTGTGCGAAGAGCAACCGAGGAAGTCTGCATGTTCATTTCCATTCATTCTCACAGTCCAAAGCAGGCTCTCCAGGAATCCGGCGATCTCATGCCTTGTTTGGAAGCACAGCCACAGCCATGTCTCGATATAATTGGACAATCTGCTCGCCACAGACGGCTTGGATACATGTGGTGAACATCTTCCGTGGCTTGACCTATGAGAAACAGCAGCCTTCCATGATTTCCACGATAGCGAGATGTGTATGACCAGGAATCTGCAGGAGGAAGTCGTAATTGAGCGGCCTAGACGACTTGACAGATGTCGATCTCTTGAAGCCCTTAAGTTCCTGGGAATTGATAAAAACCCATCTCCCCGGTATTCATGAGTGCGTTTTCACTTGCCTTGACACTTGACACCCCTCGAAACACCGAACACATCTGTTTAGTCTTCCAAGTGCCTTACCTACGCCACGCCAACTTCATCTAGGCGTCCACGAGGCTTATGCTTATCTGGCTGCATGTTTGACAGCAGAGACATAGTGGTTTTATAGGATATTGGTGCTGTGCTGAAGATATTTAGCCGCCGCCAGCATATCATATGTTTTGCTTGTCAGGAGTGGTGTAGAGTCGCACAAGCACAGCATCAGGAACATCCCAGGCCCAATTGTTTGCTCGTTTTCCAGACTCCAAGACTCCTTCACCGCTGAAACTCGACGACAACCACATCAGCGGCCTGTCTACAGACGAACTGGTCTGGTCTGGCAGTCGTCATAGTCGTCAGACAAACGCACGCCAACAAATCGTCAACCTGTCCTGTCTCATCGTCCTCCTGATTTCCAGGTCCGCCCTTCGCTTCCCCTCAAATCGGCAATCAGCAAGGTCCGTGTCAGGCAGATTGACTGAGAGCCAACCGCCACCAGCAACCTTTTGAAACGACTCGTGTCAAGCCTGAGCTTTGCGAGCTGCGAGCAAGCAAAGAAATTTATTGGTATCTCCAGGGGCCGAACACGCCGGACCATCCACGGGAGCGTCCTGTTTTATTGGCCCACAACACCATCGAGGAACGGCTTCACGTTCACGTTCACCTCCAGGCACAGGCACAGGCACAGCGCAGCACGCAGCACATATCACGGAAGCAAGCAGCACATCCGACGCAGCGCTACACCAGACAGACGCGACTTGATCCATTGGAGTCGGCTTTGAAGCTGTTGAGCCAGAGGAGAGCAATTTGGAAGACAGTCTTTTGCTGTTGGACTGGCCTGGTCTGGCTTGCCTGCCCTATCATTGCCGGCAGCCGCGTAATTAATCAAGCAGATCATCGGATCAACCTCAGTCGCCGCCAACCGCGAACTGCATTATTGTTCCTCTGGACTGTCGCTCCAGAACAATCTCGCTGTACTCCGTACTTGTACAATCTTGGACTACTGGACTGGATTGGACTGCGCTGGACTTGACTGCACCGCCCCAGTTCAACCCGCCGCCCAAAAACCTTAGCCCTAGCTCTGCACCCCGAGAAGCTGGCATCACATCAACTCCTTTTTTTGCCCAACACGAAACGAACATCGAAAACATCAACATTCCCGCTCCGGATCACCAGAAGAACACACACACACATCCCCCAAGCTCGTCGTCGCAACAGCCAACCTCCAGCTCCAGGCATCCCAATCCGGACAGAGTCGTCTCGTCTTCTGCGGGAACTCATTGGTCTTGCATATTTCTCCCTGCCCTGCCCTGCCCTGCCCCGACCACCACCACCGCCTTGACCACTTCCCTTCAACCCCCTACCGGCCCATACCTTACCTACCTCGCCTTGCCTCGCCTTGCCTGGCCTTACCTGACTACTGTACCACCAGGACAACACCCACACCCACACCCACTTGCACCCACTTGCACCCACTTGCACCCACAGTAACCTCGACTCCACCCAATCCGCAATCCGCCTCCCTGGAATTGATTGGGACCTGGATCCTTCTCCCTTCACTTCTCCTTCTACTGCCACTCCCTCCACTTCTCTCCCTCCCTCCCTTCCTCCACGACCGATCGCATTATTCTCTCGTCTCGACGTCTCACATTCTCTTGCATCGACAGACAGACCGACCGACCGACCGACCAGTCTCCCACGCTCCTTCAACGGTCGCCATTCCCATTCCCATCCTCTTCCCTCCCCTTGCTGGACAGGCTGTCAGCAACGCGGAAATTGTTCATCACCTTTGCTCTGTACTTCAGTTCATTTCTGTCCACGTCCACTCATCTACGACCTCACGATCATCCCTGGATCTCGTTGCGGAGTGAGCACTTTTGCATCAGCCACGGCCACTTCAGCTGAAACCATTATCCACCGCACCATACTTTCCCGCTATCTCTTTTGCCTTTCTCATCATACTCGGCCTCCGATTGAATCGGATTCAATCTTGACGCCGATAACTTCTACATAATACCCCGTGCCAGGAACCGCCGGTCTCGACGCCGCTGTTCCTTATGCCATCGTACGGATCGTTGCATTCGCCATCTCTCCGCAAAATGAACGGCGGAATGGATATGAAGGGCCGGAGGACAGGCGGGATGAGGACTATGAGTATGGATAACATCCTGGGCGATCCATTCGCACTGGCGACGGTATCTATTGCCATGGTATGTTGAGAACACCCATTCCTCTCTCCTCAGGGGAGAAGGATGAACAACATGGACTGACGATTGCACAGCTTGCTTGGGTTATAGCTTTCGTCGGATCAATAATTGCGACAGCACAGAAGCTTGACAATGCTTTTCCGAATTACTCCTGGTTTGCCATAGCGTATATGCTGTGCTGCATCGCTGGGGTATTTGTGGTTATCGCATCAGACACGACACAGACATACCACGTTGCTATCGTTGGGTATCTTGCATGTGGTTTGGTGTTGACGAGTTCATCGGTCAATTCTTTAATTTATTCTTCGAACGGTGCTAAGGAAGCAACCGCTGCTGGACATATCTTGCTTTCCATGGTGAATGTATGGAATCCCCTGCCCTTTCCCAGCTCGCTCTAACAATACAACAGATTGTGTGGATCTTTTATTTTGGATCAACCCCCTCCGCCGTACCCCGTGCCTACCTCGACTCCTTCGCTCTCCACAAAGATCACCGAACCTCCCAAGGTGGAAGGGGAATGAGCTACGGAAATGGAATTGCAAATGGGCGACCAGACACCTCGATCTCCTCGAACGTCCCACCGCAGATGTACACATCAGCTCAACTTGGAGGGTTCGAGACTTCATCGCCCGTTGCAGGGTTCCCAGGTGGACCAGTAGGAGGGGATCGCAACTCATCTCAGCCACGATTTGGCAACGGGCCTACTCCAACCAGCAACCTAGGGACCAGCGGACCCATGAGCAACGAGCAACAGCAAACGCCCGGGGAAGTTGTAGCGCCAACAGAGTACCCATACCGGGCGAAAGCCATCTACTCATATGAGGCCAACCCGGATGACGCCAACGAGATCTCTTTCTCGAAGCACGAAATACTAGAAGTCTCCGACGTCAGCGGGAGATGGTGGCAAGCCAAGAAAGAAAACGGAGATACTGGCATAGCACCATCAAATTACTTGATCCTGTTATAGGACAATACCTCTTTTATTTCTCTCCTTTCTTCTTGAGACGGCGAAAATACGGTCGACTGGGCTTGCTCCAAACTTGATCGGGCTGGACTGGTGTTACGATTAGGTTACGCAGGCAAGCATGCCAGGTTCGGCTTTTGCAGTCGTAAGTGAGCTAGCTAGCTGCGACGCCACTAGGGATATATTTGGGAAAGGGAAGGACAAACATATCGGAGTTGTGAGGAGTATTTATGTAATAAGTCAATGTGATACGACTGGTTCTTATTTCCTTTTCACTTCCTATGCAATAAGTATTTGGCGAGCAGGGCAGATGCCAACGAGCACAAAGGCGATTTTTCTTCTGTAGAAGATCAATATCAGAGCAGGAGTCCTCGACGACGGCAGACATTGACAATTGCCCGACTAGACGTCTCTCAGCAAGTTGCCTCGCTGCTCCCTACCTGCCTTAATCCATCAGCGAAGCCATATTCCTCGCTCAATCCCCACATATCAACACAACAAGTGGAAACCTGTAGCGTATCTGGCCGATCGATTCCATAAAACGAGCACCTACTCTTCGCTTGTTCCGAACTTTCTCGAGAAGAGTGTTGCATTTCCTAAGTATTGTTTTGATGTGTCACCTTTAAAGTGTTTCGATTTTTTTACTGTCCTATTTGCTTGGAAGATCGCATGGGTTTTTGTTTTCTCCCCTTTTCCTGGACAACCTTCTGCTTTGCGTCCAGAGGGAGAAAGGTGTTGAGAGGAATCCAGTTGACAGCTGACGTTATATGTCACGTTCAAATGAATAAGGAGATGCAGTGTCATATATTGAGTATGTGAACATTTATCAGAATTCTCATGTAGTTCCGGCCAACTTTGCTAGGGCTGCTTGAGTTTGTTCTTGGTGTATCGTACAGCTCTAGATATACAGTGGAATTCTTGACTTAATTCAAGGGACGTTCTCCATGCGTGTCTATACATTGGTATGCCTTTGATTTCAGTCAGTGAGATCACAGATACAATATGAGGTTTTTGCCGTGGAGGTCGAGACCTATCACATCTGTGCAAGGAGGAGTAAAGCGTCTTCATACATCTGTGCCAGCTTCTGGAGAGCCAATGTCGTATCTCTATCTATTCCTCACAATCGTTGTTGTTCTTGACGTAGAGAATATAGACATCCTCATTGTCATTCGCATTCAACACGAGCAAAGCCGAGCTTAGTAGGAGACAGCAATCGGCTGTCAGCACTCGTACTTCCTCCATTCTTATTCAGTAACCAATTCATCTGCAGAGCATATGAAAGCTGCGTTGGATGGTTTATAATCTTGATTCAGCAACGAAAGGAGTGGCAAAATCAGAACTTGCATGTACTCGCCCGACTACCACCTTGATAAACGACTGACATCTGCCACGTTGTACGGTGGAGGAATCAAAACTAGTCCTGCTCTCTACCCAGAACTTACCATCCCGCCAGGCCAAGGGTTACTGTCAAAGTGGTCGTGCAAGATACCCTCGGCAAGCGGTCGGAGAACAGAATCTCCTCAAATGTCAGGATAAGTGCTTGATTAGGCCACTAGTACAACTTCACGAAAGCGTCACAAATGGAGGAGGAAGTCATAATGGTAGCACCGCAGGATCAGATAGGAAGGAAAGTCAGCCAAAAGTTCGTTCTGATTGCCAATCCAGGTCTGCACTTGGCTTCCTTCGCCTTCGCTTATTTACATGGATAGTTCCAACTCTTTCTTTCTGTACACATCCATCATCTCGTCCATGACGCCGATACAAAGAACGAAATAAAGAGAGCGCAGTATAGATGTGCAGTGAGACATCCGCCACTGCAACCATTCGTTGGTTCTTCACTCCCTTCGTACCGTCTGGTCTGGTATCCGGTGACCTAGGAATAAACGACCATGAATGCATGGGATGATAGAAAGACAAACTCCATCCCCATCTTGGCCCCGGAATCATTAGTCAGTCCATCAGTCAAGCATTTTCCCTCTCAAACGCCTTTGTCGCACCCGATCCGTCCGAGCAACTCTTTCCTATCGCTGTGCCCTGGAAGACTGACTCCGCTGGCGCTGCTAGCAGTCTTCTTATACTTGTTGGTGTTAAAATTCCTGCCTTTCAAGTTGATGGACTCAACGCCCACTTCCTCCTCATATGGTGCCAGCTCCATTTCATCGATCTGCTCAATTGTGGATATGATCTTCTCGTCCAAAAGCTCCTCTTCCTCGTCACCTTCATCATCACTGCGGACATCATCGGCATCTCCGCCTTTGAGGACCCGAATTGCCACTTTAACGATCATTAAGAACCAGATGATCGTCAGGAATTGGAGGAAGAGGAGGGCGCTGAGAAACCCCCACTTGATTTTGTGATTGAAGCAAACAACGCCTTCAGGGTTGCGGAATGGGTCAAAAAGATGCCCAAATCGATCTGGAGCTGGGAAGGGCCCCTTGATAGAGCCAGTCTTGCCACTATAGCAGCCATAATCGATTGTCCTGGGGATATCGGCCCAGACAGAGTAGCAAATCATGCAGAAAATCACATGCCGAGTGGCGAACCAGATAGTCATGAAAAGACCAAAGAGTACGTCGCAGACAGTCGTGAATTCCATGTACTTGAGACACTTCGCTAGCTGTGACATCGATTAGCGCATAACCTCGAAGGCACAGGTGCAACTTACTGGGAAGACAAGATCTACAGAGTCCATGGTGCAGAGAATGAGGTTGGCCACTTTAGTTTGGTGGTATCCGTAACTCGTGAATATCAGTGCTGTCGTAACAATGTGGTGCGCCAACATTTGCCAGTGGTCCTTTCTCCTTGCCTCGAGGTGGATGACAAGAACCTGCTGCAGCCAAAAGGCATACTGGACGAGAGTGTACCACTTTCGGAGTCCGTCCATCTCGCGATTTGGCCAATTGGTCCACAGCTCCTTGAAATCCCACATGTAGTCGGAATTAGAAAGGATGTACTGAGTCTGTTAGCACACAATTTTCTTTAGTATCGCTACAACTTACTAAACCCAAACTCCATGCACTTGTAGCATAGATCCAGAGCCAAGCCTGCTCAGCAAATCTGGTCTGATCTCTCTCAGTCTTCACACCTCCCCTCTTGCCCAGAGGGATCAAAATGTACTCCATTACTGCGGCGCGAAGACCAGTAAAGACAACAATCCAAAAGAACACCATCCAAGCATCATTCCAGCCCGCACGATATGCTCCCGAGTCAGGGTTGTAGTAGGAGAGTTCAAAGAACTTGCGAGCATGTCTGCGAGCTCGAGGAAAGCACATATGGGTCAACGAGAGGAGCATCAGTAAGTTGACTGAAAGACCTGCAGCATATGGTTAGCAGCCGCGCGCAATTGGGGCAATTGGCCAGAGAGCGTACCAATCTGATGCTGGAAAATCCATCCGCATATTATCTCTAGAGGCCCATCCTCTTTCCTTCTGGTTTTCCTCCTGATAGTCATTGTGTGCGTCGGGTACCCATCTTCGGCACCTTCCACTGCGGGCGTGTACTCAATGCCGCCCACATTGTTTCCATTCTGATGTAACCACTCTTGCGCCGCCTCGAGTTTCTCGTTCTGTATCTCAATAGTCGGTGGGGGGCCGCTCATTGTGTATTGCCCTTCGTAGCACGCAAAGGGAAAAGGAGCTGCGAGAAGGAAAGAGAGCGAGTGGAATGACCGAATGAGGAGGGCTGAAAACTCCCACTGGCCTGTTGGTGGTTTTTAGACGTCGAGTGTCATATATATTCTAGGGTATAATGCGTCGAAAGGAAATGGAACGAGCGTGGTGTTGAGGACCTGGGTACTTCGCTGCTCGGCTTGTTTGAGCAAAGCGGTGTGGAGGATATTTTTTGGTGAGGGCGAAGTGCCGCTCAAGACCGCTGGTCTGGTCTAAAGTGATCGACGACCAATAGGAGAGGCGATCTCGGTGATCAGGAGCGCAATATATTGATAGAGAAAAGGTGAGGAGGGGGTCAGAGCAGCTCGGTAAGGTATAGGAGGAGTTTGCAACGAGAGAAGGAAGTGGATGAAATAGTTTGCGCAAGGGAACTGAACATTTTGTGTTTTCTCATCGTTCTGTACATTGCTGGCTGGTCCCTCCTGCTTTCCCCACAGGTGGTCTGTTCCACCCGCCTGCGTACATTTTGCGAGCCCCTGAAGCTCCTGCACTCCAACCGAAAGCTTAAAAAATAGAAGCCAGTCCATGCCATTTTCGACAGTTGGCTGACATCAAACAATAAGCTTCATCTGAAAGTGCTCAATCCATCCAGCATGTCCTATTTTCGTCGAGAAAGAAAAAAAGCTTCAGATAGAACATGAAAAATGCCTCCGTACTCTGTTCCGAAACGGGATTCAAGGGTCCAGAATGTCTGGGTTCATTCTGCCACTCCGCATGCCCCACCCTGAGTCGCTGGATGCTTTGAAACCTCCGAGCGAATGTAGACATTTGCAGAAACTATTTCATTGATAGAACTTAAAAAGACCCGTGGCTCCGCAACTAGCTCTCCGTCAAACGCCAGCCAAGTTGAATGCAGTCACCAACAAACACCCTTGGGAATCAGACCAAAACTCTGTGCCTGTTTCATCCACCTCCGCCAGTCCGTATCCAAACGACCACTTCTTAGTTGTTTTGCTGGCTGTTGAGAATGCGGAGAATATTGAGGAACAGGTTGATGATATCAAGGTAGAGGCTGATTGCGGCCGCAATCTCTTCCTCGACATGATAATGTCTCATGATAAGTTGGGTATCGACCAATATATATGCCGAGAATATCAGAGCTCCAATACCGGAATATACCAACTCAACTGTACTGCTGTGAGGGAAGAAGGCAGCCATGAAGCCGAAGAGAATTAGGCACCAGAGTCCTCCGAAGAGATATGGCATCCAGGAAGTAAAATCATACTTTGTCTGGCAGGCAAATAGTGTAAGAGCAACGAAGATTCCGGCTGTCAGAAGCACTGCTTGGAGGACGATTCTGGACTGGTAGAACGATACGATGACCGACACTGAATATGCCTCGAAAGCTGTGAAGCCACTGTTTGACAGGTTAGTAGAGATCGAATGTTGGCTCCAAGACTTGAGACTGCATACCTGAGGAACAGAAGGTTCGTGGGATATGACTTGCGTTTCCAGTATGTGAGGATCATAAAACCGATAGCACCGAAAAGCTTGGGAATTAGCAGAAGACACGCCACGCAAGCGGATACAACTAACCGAAAGCCACATCATCCACTGATTACTTTGGATCCAGTCTCTGTATGAGTTGCTGAAGAAAGAGACGGAACTCAGGACCGCAGTCGCAATAAGTTGAACAGAAAGAATAGCATAGACCTTTCGGACAAAGGCCATGCGGATATCTATCGATGCTTCAGACACTGAGCCGCCGAACTATAAGCTGTTAGGGCTAGCCGAGACGATATCCTCGACCGTACGAACCTTGAAGTCATCTGGTATATTATCTTCGCTGCTCCTTGGAGCGCCTCCAAGAAGAGCTTCTTGATCTGTAGACGAGCTGGAAGGCTGATCCGCATAGGAGGGAGGAGCCTGACTGTAGTTCGCTGTCTCATCAAACGAGTCGCGCTGCGGCGCTGCTGTGTATTTGGTAGTTCCAGACATCGTGCTGGGTGATTCTGCTATCGAGAACGGCGATTTATGGATGCTGTGGTTGTTGTTGGAAGAGGAGAGCTGGGTGGCGCGGTCGGGTGCTTGAAGCTGATGACGGCGGGGAGCGTCAGCCGGGGCGGGTCAACATGCTGCCGTCCCAGAAACCCACCCCTCCTCCTCTAGACAGCAGTCATGACAGTCACAATAAGTAATTCATGTCATGGTTGGACATATGACAATTCCATTTATTCGAGAGGTGAGAAGCGAAGAAAAAGCCCACATACAGGAATTTTGATATGAGAAAGATTTGCTCAGCGACTAGATATTAGGAGTCTGTCTGGAGGCACCACATCACATTCTCTCAGTCCGCAAACGGAAGCCCTGTATACCTCGACTCACTTGCACTTGCTGGCTGTTACACGCTATGCTGTACACTTTAAATCTCTCGAACTCTACATCGCATTGTATTCTGGCAAAGTTATAAGGTGACAACGCCGTGGAAGGGGAGAAAGCCGACTATTTGAGACGTGGACATACTTGCTAGGTATCACTTACCACCAAGACTTAGCGTTTAATGAGCCATGTTTTAAGTGTTATCAGCCTTCTAACTTTCTTGGCTTTTCTGGGACATAGTTGAACATTTTCATTGCTATAACCACAAGATAAATAGAACCATAAACCGTTCACAGCCGTCCGCTTGTGCCTCGATCACAAGGACGTTGAAGAAGGGAAGTAATTCAGCCGCCGCATTAGAAGTTGATAAGAAAACACGTTATTAGCTTCTCAAAGCCAGAATAGTTCTTGCAAATGCCGACAAAGACCTGCAAAAGAAATCCCATAGCTCCATTTTCCCCCATTGACAACTTGGATATCATCCGACAGACCAATTAGTTGCCAAGCTAGGCCAAGTCCTCCCAAAGTCCACCCGCTCGCAAAGTAACTCTTGCTCCGATTTCATGCCTCGGAGTCCGTGTGTGCTCCATTCGTAGCCTCCAGATGTGCGCTTTGCTCTCGGTGCATTCTGGCCTCGATCTCCTTGAGTTGACTCTCACGAGCCAAGAGCTCTTGTCTCTTTTCGTTAATCTCCCTCTGGACCTTAACCTCGATTTCTCGGAGCTTCTCCTCCTCGCGGCGGAGTTGCTCTTCCTTCAGGCGAACGGACTGGGATGCGAGATCTTCTGGATTCATCGACGAGTCGCTGCAGGTCTGGTTAGTCTGTGTCAACAAGAGGTGTAGGTGATGAACTTACGCTCCAGCACCACCCTCAACACTCTTACTGAGCTTCTCAGTACGGTAATTCTCGTAGAGGAAATCGTGAGTGATCTCCTTCAAGTCTGCCAAATGGCTGTGGAGAAGCGCGCTTCGAATGGCGAGGAAATCGGAATGCCTTGGGTTGTCCACCTCTACGACACCCCACGGATACTGTCTAGCTCTAACCTTACGGCCTCCAATCTCAACAACCTCTTCCGAACCGACAATGGCGAATGGCATAAGTCCACGGAGCTCGGCGTTCTCCTCAACAGTGTCCTCGTCATCCTCCTCGATATCGTAAGGGAAGTTGTAGACCGGGATTCTGTAGTGTTCGATATCCTCCATAACAAGCTTCTTTGACTCGGCAAGCTCAGCTGGTGTGAGGGAATCGGCCTTGCCAATGACTGGAATGACGTTAACACGGGGAGAGAGGCGCTTCATGAGTTCGATATCCAGCTCGCGGAGACTGCAGTAAGTTAGAGGGCTGTCACCCGTCTTTGGCAGCAGGGCGACTCACCCATGTCCGGTAGGTGTGATGAAGTAGAGAAGTGCATGGACACGGTTGTCGCGGAAGCGGGGGTTACGCTTAATACGGGACTCCTCGGCGAGAATATCATCGTACTGTCGTTCAAGATAGCCAACAATTTCGCCAAAGCTATAACTTTTGTCAGTGCCACTGTGAGTGTGCTCCCCTGGCTGTCTACATACCTCGCCTCATTGTCGATCTGGTCTCCAAAGCCTGGCGTGTCTACGATAGTCAGAGAGATACGAGTTCCCTCCTCATCTAGCTCCAGCTCTGCAATATTGTCAGCTTTGGTGCTCGACTGGCACGAGGGACGGGCTCGAATGCGCACCAACAGTGATGGGCTTAATCCGGACACCTTCCTCGAGGTGAGCGTTTGTCGCATCGTCGGCATCCTTTCCTGCCAGCACTTTCTTTCCGCACAGAGTGTTTACGAAGGTTGTTCGACCTGGCGCGATGAGTCAATTGTCTCATGAAGTGTCGTGGGTGTCGTCCGACGTACCTGTACCCGAGGCACCGCAGACCATCAAACAGAACTGGATACCCTTCTTGACATTCTTCTTTCTGCGGATCTTGATCTAAGAGTATGGCAACATTAGTACTGGCTCAGCAGTTTTGTCGATGTGCGGAAAACAAACCCCAGCATGGTACTACCAGGCAACGCTGTGGTCAGAATAGGCAAAAGGGGTTGGCCAGGAGGGGATATCAACATACTGCGCTCAATGGAGATGACATGGTGATGGATGTGCGGTCTGGACGAGCACTGGTGGCGCAACCAATTCGTGTGATTGTTATGGGTGTCAAAAAAAGGTGAGGCAGGCCGTTTGCTTGGGAGATAGTTGGGAGAGTATCACGAAGTCGAAGTCGCGGTCGGAGTAAATTTGAGTCTCAGGGTTAGCGAGATGGAGATGGGATGGGATAGGGGGAAAACAGGGGAAGCCGCTAACCATGGACGCTAGCAGGGGTCGCTCCTGCATTGGCGGACGCCTGATAAGGTATCGTGGGCCAGGCTGCCAGCCTCGCGACATGTGGCAGCACCGCCCAAACTTTAAGACTCGACGTTCGTTCGTCCATGTCATGAGAATCACAAACAACATGAGCACGAACAACTAGCATACATATTTCACTGCTTCAGTAGCTCATTTTTGCCTCTCCGTACAAAACACGAAACCTCCCCGCACCCGAAGCCATGAATACCAGGCCGGCCATCGAGAGTGAAAGCTCGAGTGTGGCCCTCTCGGCCAGCTTCAACCATGATGCCAGCTGCTTCTCTGTTGGACTCAATACTGGCTTTTGTAGTGAGTTCTCTGCGATTATTCAAAATCATGATGGAAAGCCGAGCTAACTTCTGCCGCCAGTTTTCAACTCTGAGCCTTGCCAACTCCGGGTCTCTCGAGGTACAGCCTTCGCACCAGCGACTGAGGAACACATGCTGAGAGTATAGATTTCAACGCTGGTATAGGTGCTGCTCAAATGCTTGGGAAGGCCAACTTCATCGCACTTATCGGAGGTGGACGGCAGCCAAAATTTCCGCAGAACAAAGTCGGTTACGCACAGTACAAAGGAGGGAGAAGAGGGTGCTGATATTGAGCAGGTCATCATATGGGATGATGCAAAACAGCAGGTTGCTATCCAGATACCGGTTCTCACGACTGTTCGTGGCGTACGATTATCGCGAACACATGTCATCGTTGCACTACAGAATAGCGTCCGCGTCTACAAATTCAAAAGCCCACCGGAGCTGTGGTCCGTCTTCGAAACTGCCGACAACCCCTTGGGTCTGTGCTGTCTAACGCCAACATCTCTTGCTTTCCCTGGGAGAACACCGGGACAGGTCCAGCTCGTTGAGCTCTCTACGGGCAATGTCAGTATCATACCAGCTCATGGCTCCGCACTGCGGGCCCTTGACATCAGCCGGGACGGTGAGATTTTGGCGACTGCAAGCGAGACGGCAAGTAAACATCACCACACGCCAGATCTCGCTAATATCTCCAGGGGACCTTGATACGAGTATTTGCAACCAGCAACTGTGCCCGTATTGCCGAGTTGAGGCGTGGTGTGGACCATGCAACTATCTTCTCACTGTCGATTGCTCCATCTGGGCAGCTGCTGGCAGTCACTTCTGATAAATCAACGCTTCACGTCTTCGACATCCCTCACCCTTCCAAACCACCGAGAACTGAAGCCCCGACACTAAATCGGAGATTGACCACCATGGGTGGTGGAGGAGGGAGCCCAGGGCCAAGTGATGTGGACACCAGCCAGAAATGGGGGATCCTGGGTCGCATACCTCTTTTGCCAAGAGTCTTCTCAGATGTGTACTCGTTTGCTTCAGCACATTTCGAGATCGGTGACGAACTGCTTTATGGAAGTTCGACTCCACTGAACAGCGATGCAGCATTTCGCCCCCCAAAAGGTATTTTGGGATGGACTAGTGACCATAGTATCATAGTGATTGGAGCTGGACGAGACGGAAGATGGGAGAAGTTTGTTATTGCTGAAGGGGAGGATGGTCGGCGGTATTGTGTGAGGGATGGATGGAAACGGTACCTTGGGGCGAATTAGGCTCATATTTAGATTGGTGTTACTTAGCGTGGCGTATCTGGGCATATTGTTGGCATCGGCTCCGCGGAAGGATGGTTTTGGTCATCGGAGTCATTTGGGTTGGAGGCAGATATATGCTCTGACTATGTGTTTGTCATAGTGAGATGACGAAAAGCTCCGTCGAAATAGAGGCGCCTTGTTGATGCTGCCCCCAAGAAGGCTTTCATCTCCTTGAAATTTGAAGCTAAAGCATACACTGTGGAGAGGAGCCTCTCGGTAAACACCTGGAATCAAGACATTGGAAGACGGGCCTCATGATTCTTTTTCGCCTAAGAGTACCGCCTGGAAGGATGACGTCTATCTTCAACAGAAGTCTCTCTCCTTCTCGGTCGTTCCTTAGGCCTCTCCCGGCCTCCTCGATCCCTTCCTTCTCTCCTAGGACTCTCTCTGCGATATCTCGAATCGTCTCGCTCATCCCTATGTCCAGATGTCCTGCTCCGCTCAACTCGAGATTCATCTGCACGCTCCGGGGTCCGTTCTCTGGAACGCGAGTGTCTCCTCTCTCGATGCTCACTTCGGTGACGAGAACGGCGACTGCCGCTGTCTTTCCCAGCCCCATCCTCTTGTCGTCGTGACCTGTGGTGATGATGCCTAGACTTGGACTTTTCAGACTTCTTCCCATCCTTCAGTCTTGCCAAAGCCATTGTAACCTCTTCCTTCTTCTCCTCAACCAGATAGGCTTTCATAGGGTCTTCATCGTCGTGGTCCTGGATAAGCTTTGCCAACTCGCGCTCTTCCTTCAACATAGGTCTCTCCTCCTCGCTCTCGCTTTCGTCTGTCCGCCGTCTCTTCCTCCTGCCTTCGCCATCCTCGTCATCCTCTGGTGGCCGTTGCGTGAGATCGTGCCCCTCTTCAGCTTCGTCGTCCTTTTTCTTATACCGAGTATGATCTACTTTCAAAGTTCGCCCCATAATCACAGTCCCTCCTAAATTGTCGACTGCCAGATCTGTACTGCGTTGATCCTCGTACTTCAGAAATGCAAAGCCTCTGGACTTTCCTGTTTCCTTATCGCGAATCAGATTGATATATGTCGGTTCGCCATATTGAGAGAATATCGTAACTACATCACCCTCGGAGAGCTCAAATGGCAGGCCGCCGATGTATATGTAGGCTGTGTCGCGATAGTCTGTATGCCATGATGCGTTTGGGGACCTGAAAATCTGTCATTAAGAAGAAGATCAAGGGCTGTGAGCTTTACCTACACACCAGCCTCGAGCTCGCGCTTGTTCAGTTCCTGGATTTGTCGGATGCTCTGCATTTGAATGTTTTAGTGGTTTGAGTTGTCAGGCGAGGCTGCGAATCTCAAAAACCTTGGATCCGTTTGCCGACTCATCTAGCCTGGCGCCTCGCGTTCACCAGGGACGCGATTCACAACTTTTATGAACGACTTTCCGTGGCTGGAGGCTTGCACCATGAAATCGAATCCAACAACGCGTAAAACCCATACGTAATCGCAGATTTGTCGCAGAGGAACCTACGGGGATGCATAATCGAGCTATCACAGCACAGGACAGCAGCAAGGAGCCCAGAAAACACCCGGTTGCTGGACCTCCTGAAACCCATATACCATGATGGCTTCCAACAACAGAACTTCCACCTATACGCAGGTCTCGGCATCTAGTGACCATGATAGACCGAAGAGCGCAGGGGAGAAGAACCTATGGGCGTCCCTGTTAGATAGTGTGGCCAGTGGAAAGCGGTTGCCAGAGAAGAATATCCTCGTTTTAGGTAGGCTCGTGGAAGGAGGGTTAAGCAACTTGGCTGACAATGCTTTAGGGGGCACGACAGAGTCGCAAAAGGAGTTTCTAGAAGCTCTTTCTACGGATAATACCAGAAGGACACAGGATCGGCAGAGCAGTAAACAGCCCCCGATAGCGAATAACTTTGCCCTTGGATACACATACCACGACGTTCTAGATGCGGATCACGAAGGTGGGCAGCTTCGGAGAGCTTAGCTATCAATACAGCTAACTTCCCCCAGATATCCTTGCTCGTCTCTCCGTATATCTTCTCTCGGACCCCTCGCCATCCTTCACACCTCTGCTGCAACCCCTATTAACACCGCAAACGATCCCCAATACTCTTATTGTGGTGCTGCTGGACTGGGCGCAACCATGGTTCTGGCTCAGGCAATTACGGGATTGGATACGGCTGCTACGGACACTGCTGGTTTCGCTGGATGGAGAATGCAAGGAGAAAATGGAAGAAGTCATGATCAGTTGGCGAGATAGGGGTAGAGGTGGAAATAGTCTCGATGGGGGGGTGGTCACTAGTTCCACAGATGGGGAGATTAGTCTACCTCTGGGACCTGGAGAGTGGGAAGAAGCTCTGGGGCTCCCACTTTGCGTCGTGTGTCAAAATGTGAGTTGTTCGAGGCATATTAAGGGTCTAATACTTATTTTGTCAGTCTGACCAGATTGAAACCCTGGAAAAGGAACGGTCCTGGAGAGAGGAAGAATTTGACTTTGTCTTGCAATTTCTGAGGACGGTCTTGCTGAAGCGTGAGACTTTCCCTGAATATCCAAAGTCTCAACACTAACAGAATTCTAGATGGCGCATCTCTCATATACACAGCACCATCTGTCACAAGCCCTTTGCAGAGCCTCGTACATTCATCTCTTGGGATTCATTCTCTTTTGAAACGACAGCCTCTCAAGCACAACGTGATTGACCGTGACAAGGTGCTTGTACCGCCAAACTGGGATTCTTGGGGTAAAATCAGGGTCTTGCGTGACGGTTTCGACGTTGAAGCTGTCAACAAGGGTTGGTCTCTGGATATCGAGGAATCATATAATCTGGTGGTCCAGAACGGCACCAATGGTGTGAATAGTCACTCGAGTCCGGATGAAGAGACCCCACCACTCCCTGGGGCTGCGGTAGAGGCATACCAAGAAACGATTCGCGACCCAAGCCTGGACGCGCTTCAAGCAACAGCTTCCGAAGGCAATGGGCTCAAGTTAGAGGTCTCGAGCCAAGATGCCCAGACGTTCTTAGCCACCCAAGTGGAAGTCCTGGATAAGATCAGACAAGGAGCCGAACCTAGCTCCATGGACAGCAGCCGCGTGGTTCGTGGCCGGCAATCTTCTCAGTCTAAGGCCGAAGAAGGCGAGGAAGAGCACTATGATGAGGGCCGTGTCAATGAGCATATCGGTCCCGTACAGTTCAACATGGGTGGTATCCAGGTAGATGCGGATGACATGCTACAACGGCTAAGAGTGAGTTTCCAAGTGTTCCCCTTCTCTGGTTTTCAAGTGCTAAGTTACTCCCCAGGACCGTCAAACCTACCAAACACCAGAGCCCGCGTCACCAGGCAATGTGGCTACCCCGGATGGAAAGAACCAGAATGAAGCCCTTGCATCATTCTTTGCAGGGCTTATGAAGAGGGGCGGTGGCAGCGCGGCCAACAGTCCAAAACCTGGAGCTTCATAGGCTCTGAAAAGTACTTTATGTCCAAGTGACTGTCGAGATTGGAGGGTGTATTTGAATTCACTGGCTCGGAGTTCTGGTGGATCAGTTAACGAGATTTGCTTGTTTCCTCGAAAAGGGTCGCAGCTGTCGCATGATACCCAATGGCTATGTGTACGAATAGCTTTTCGGGGGAACTTTGATACCACTATCAATTTACTGTGGACTTGACTTCTGCAGCCTGAAAGATCCAGAAGTACTGCAACTAAGGACAGTTGCCTGATATATTCAGATTTACTATGACTCCCTTGCAGCCTTGAATTTCACAGATTTCAGCAGTGTCAAGCATGTCAGGCGGAACTCCAGGAAGAGACAAGTTCACGGTGTCAACTAGGACCTGCAGATTACCATCACCACTGCAGCTAGTATCATCCTAGTGCAATTGCTGCCAATTAAGAACTGGACTTCGCTCGAAAGCTCTCTCAACGAGAGCCGCAATCGCCGCAGCCACGGCCTCGTATTAAGCGCTCCATTCGAACCCCATACTGTGGGGCGGAGGTAGACGCTCGCTTGAGTATGACCGCATCGAATGGCTCAGTAGCCTATAAATATCTCCAACATTTCCAACACTGGGGCTTTGAAACTCCCTGTTGGTATTACTTGATTTAAGGCCTCTTTGAATTTGGCCAAGCAGTCTGATTCACAATGTTGACTGTTGCCTTTGGTGTCTGCTCTGGCAATTTTCATGAACGAAAACCGGCGACTCTTGTTTTTATTCAATCCTCAATCTCATTGCTCCCCTCAATCTCATTGCTTCCCTCAAATTCAAAGCGTAAATTCTCCCGTTTCTATCCCATAGCAGTCGTTTGAAGTTTCAGAGTTGCCGCCTCATGCACAATACCAACAAACCAACACGCGAGTGCGCCTTGCACAAGGCAGTCTTTCCCCCCAATTTGTTGGTAATGATAAATATGAGTCTCACTACAATCCTTCGGCGCGTCCAAAGTCCTTCCTTTTCTCGGTAACCTCTTGTATTAAAGAACGAGAGCTCCTCCCCGCCTTTGGAAAATTTCTGGTTCTTCGTTTATACTTCTTCAATACAGCTGCGGTCCAAAAAAAATCGCAAGTCTCACCAAACTGATCGCCAGGACCCTAACGAGCAAGACGAAACACCTTCAAATAGAACACAGAAAGGCCCTCAACTTCCCTTCACAATGTTTTTCTTCCTCTCTCTCCGCGAATCCGCCCAAGGGGGCCGCATCGAACCCGACATCCTGCCCTCCTCATCCTCAACAAACGGCCTCGTAAATCCAAGCTCCTCCACCAAATCTCCTCGCCAATTCTCGACCTCCGCCTTCCGCTCGTACATCACACAATGGGATCTTAGCGATAAGCCATCATTCGCCCGACGCTGCGTATGTTTGCTCGCGTTCGTGCTACACTTACCGATTAATATTCTGTCGATCATGAGCTATGGTGTTAGTTTATGGCTGTTTCTGGAGGTCGTGTTTAGTCTTTTGAACTTGTTCTGTGTTGGATACGCGTTGTGGAAGTTGGACGTGATGAGAGGGCAGAGAGTCTTCTTCAATGGGATGTGGGTTGACGACTCTCTTCTTGATTTCTTGTCCTGGGAGAGAGATGTACTAACGTATGTCTGGTAGCTACAAGCGCCATAATTTTGACTACGTGATTCTCGGTCTTGTACTTGTTTATGGGGGGTTCTTCGTCGCGCTGCTCACTTTGAGAATGACCGCATTGAATTGTAAGTCTTTCAGTCGTCATCAGCCCATCAACTCCTACTTTCTCAGATTTGATGCTGTATCTGAAGAAACAATGGCCTGTATGGATTTGGCTAACCTGAAGCAGGGCATTACTTCATTCGAATCGTCTGGCCATGTGCGATTGCAGCAGATATTGTGTGCTTTATCGCTGGTTGGGTGTCTACTTGGAGGGACATTACGCTCGGGTAGAGCGGTTTGATGGAAGAGAATTAAGGTTGACAAAGGGTCATGAAGCGGGGAAGGAGATAACTAGGACTCTGGAATGGGGTCTTCTGCCCTTAATTCTCTCAGATATGAGAATTGATGAAAATGCGCAATTACTCACCCATGAATGATCGATAATGGGAAATACGCGGAAGTGGGGCGTTGCGAGGTGGGTAAGGAATTGTTTACTTTGAAACTCAGCGTCGGACTCACCCAGCGGAGTTTCATCTACATAGAGATATGAACGATTGTACATGTCCTAGATAGAACTTGGAATCTGAAAGCTATTTCTATATCAGTGACACCAATTGCACATGTCCCGGCTGCTATAATGCATCCACCAACACGCTTCGCTTCAGACGTCGCAAAATAAACACCAGCTCCACTCACTCGCTTAATGTCAAAACAAAACCTCCTCTGACTTCATCTCTGACCAACGCGACGCTAATTTTATTCCACCTGGTCCACCAAGGTTTGTCAGCAGTAAGGATCAGCATTTTGATTCGGATGTTGAAAAAGGAAAAGTTACTGCTCGTAACAACTCTCACTTATCGTATGATTACCGTAGGGTTGCCGATCGAGCGGTTACGTTGTGCCGAACCCACCCAGCACCCCTATGTCCCGAGAGCCAGGAAGAAGCAAAGACAAAACTGAACACACTCATCCGTTCTTCTATCACATATGTGTTTCCCGGTATCTGGTCTCATGAAACAGATTACAATATATCCGAAACCATTGACACCCAATTCATCCCTATCCGTCCAATTTTGATAGACCCAGTACCATGGCTCGGGGCTCAGAGTGGAGTGGCAGGGAGTTTTACTTCTTTCGCTGATGGTGAGAGGAAGTGGATGCGCGAAAAATGATAGATTACATTGTAGAGCAAGTTCCAAGCAAGTTCTAAGCGGTGCTGCAGGTGGTGCGTCCAGTGCAATGTGCTCGCCCTCGCCGGGATGGAGGAGTGCCATACCCGCCGCCGTGCCGTCCCTTGCATTGTGCATCGAAAACGTGGGGTGGAACTTTTGGCTTGAGTGGGGGTTGGTGAGTACTGTATCACACCGTGAGGTCGGAGGATGAGGCAAGGGAACGCTAAAACAACGTTGTGGAAGCCCTACAAATCATTGGTTGTCGGCTGGTGGGATGGCTATCAGATGACGGCTCTTGGGCCCTTGGGAATATGCGATGCGGCTGATCAGATGCATGGGATGCGAGGAGAGATAGGAGATAGCATGTGTAATGGGAATGCGAATTTTGGCGTATTCTTCTCAAAGATACGGAGATGGAGGAAAATAACCAGTCGAAGGTGGCAGGCGATGTGATATGGCGTGCTTGCTTGCAGTGCTCATCATCTTCAAGAGGCATGCACTACGACTTACCATCTCGAAGCATGTGCAAAGCGGGAGGAGATTGAGGATGACCTTGAGGCAGAAGGTAAAACCCAGAGCTCACTCAGCACATTACTTGTGCAGCAAGGACATGTAGTATGCAAATTCCAACGGATCGGGAGAGTGGTCGTACCGTTGAGCTGGACGGGGAGATATCATGAGCTGTCTCAGTGGTATCGGCTATATATTTCAATCTCTTGAACGTCACACGATGTGAACTACGACTTACGAAAGGCATGCAGGCATGTACTCGCCTGGAGAGAAGGTCAGCAGTACAGTTTATTACGTCGACTGACTTACATACCTAGCCTTTGGCCCGGAAGCGAGCCGGCCGTAGGCACTCGAAGAGTATTTGGAAACTCCAGAAGGACTGCTCAACTTGTTCATCTTTTGACCCACCTTGTAGTACACGCTCAGCAACTTCAGCCAGGGTGGTGGCTTTTTGCTAGTCGGGCTTGTGATCAGATCAAGACGAATAATGGCCATTCTCAGCTCGAACTGAACCCTACCTTCACGGAGGGATTGGTGGGATGAGAAGGATAATGGGAAATGGGAAGGCAATCAAACAGCGCCGTCGGGAAGCTGAACTTGGCGAGTGGCGGTGAGTGACGGCCGGGTGGTAAGGGTCAGGGAGAGATTTGATATCTGAGCAGTGACCCAGTGCTGAAGCGATCTGGATGCAAGAGAATGGGGGACGAACTTAAATACACTCATATATCGATAGTCGAGAAGAACAAGAACACGAATGAGAGTCATGATGTGGCTTGTGGAAGTAGTATGCCAGCTCTGTCGTATGTTGGTTTGTCTCCCAGATTGATATGTTATGTTGTGTCTTACCATGCCAATGGGAATGAATGGGTGAGGCTGTACAGTTCCGGATAGTACCCAAGGTCCCCAGAGACAGAGCTATGGTCGTGGGTGCGGGGAGAGCTAGGTAGGGCCCGGCTTTTGATGGAGACTTGAGGCAACCGAGCCGAGGGACAGCCCTGACTTGACTTGACTTGACTTGACTTGAGAGCTCGAAGCTTGACCCGACTGGTGTTTGTGCCGAGCAGCCCGAGGAGAGGAGAGGAGAGGAGAGGAGAAAGACGGCAATCCAAGCCAGGCAGTAATAGCGCGCACATCATTATTACCTGCCCAGGTTCCTCCAGTAGGTAGGTGAGATATCAGCGTCCCAGTGTTCTGTTCCCAACGGATGACCTTGTGCAGAAACAACAAGTAGGAAAATTGCCTAGATAGGTACCGAGTCTACCTAAATTAGGTACCTTACCTACCTACCTTACCTAGGTCGCCATCCCCTGAGTCTGCTGACTGGGCTGCCGCATTCTTTGCTCGTCCAGGCTGGTGCTGGTTTGGGACTTGACGCCCTGCACTGCCGCCGCCAGTGCTCGCCGTAATGCACTACTTGTACACACAAAGTCGCTCCCGGGCAGTCTCCAGGGGCGCAGAAGGCATGCAAGCCCATCCATGTCCGCACTGCCGCCGTCTCCAGCCCAGACCACAGTTGCTCTTTTCTGGAAGCCCTGGAAGCCCTGGAAGCCTGCAAGCCCTGCAACCTGGAGCCCTGCCGTACCCTGCGCGGCGCTGCACTGGATCGGTCATATCATATCAATTATAGTACACTTCTCGCCTCGTGGTACTGATCCGCGATGCAAGGGCCCTGGCCATCATAATATATAACAAAGCTATGCTGACCTCTTGCCTCTGTGTCCACTTGTCATTTATACACACGTCTGTACATCTGTCTGTACTACGCCGCACCTATCTGTCTGTACCTAGGAAGTTGACTGCACGCCTGCCACGTTTGGGTGTTGACGCCTGATGCTCCAATCCTTCTCGAAGAACAGGAACAGACGGAAGGGTGGAATCCCTCACTAGCATTTCCTTGCCCAACCAAGGACCTAAGGAGGTAATTTAGGTAGGTAAATTACCTACCTTCCTGCATAGGCACAGCACAGCTCATCACATCGCTCCTCAGCCAGTACCTACCTAGTAAATTTATCTTGACAAGTAATTTACCTATTATTTCACCAGAGGGGACGACGAGGCAGGGAGTCAGGGCATGGCAACACAGCTCACGGAACAGTAATAATAGCCCTCTCTGTACCCTCCGAAATCCGAGGTCCGTTCATCACCACATTTTGAGTTTGGGTCAGGACACAGGGCAAAGCGAAGAAGACCGACCGCCCAACTGAACTTGGACTGGAACGGAACTACTGGACTGGACTGGCCGGAACTGAGCGAGTGGACCGGACCTGACCACTGACCAGACCAGACCAGAGCCTGAGCTGAGCTGAGCTGAGCTGAGCTCTGTCTTAGCTCATTTTTCTTCTCTTGCGGTAAGCAAAGGAAACATTTCACTTCACTTCCTCGTTCACTCCATATCATGTCATTTCTCTCCTGCTGTCCGTCCTCATCCATCCCTTCATCTTCATCTTCATCTTCTTCTTCATCCTTCCATTCTTTCTTTCCCACCTACCCTACCCTACATACGCCACACACTAGGTCGCAGCCAAGTGCTCACTGCTCACTCTCACTCTCACTCGCTGCAGCTCACACCTGCCTCTTCGAAGCTCAAATCTCACCTGCGCTCAACTCGTGGGCAAAGTAGAAGGCAGGTAAGGTGCTACTGTTCTGTACTGCTGTACCGACATCTTCTGCAGGTCACCACCCCTCCTTCCCACGTTCCAATCCACTCCACTCCACTCCACTCCACTCACACCTCCCTCCCACTCTCCCTCCCACGCCTGCACCACACCACCTGCACCTGCACCTGCACCTGCACCTGCACCCACGCCGACGCCACACCCTTCGTTCTCGTTCCCCACTATTGGAAAGTCCAGAACAAAACGGATCCGTCCCTGGATTAGGTGCCCTGCCCTGCCCTGCCCTGCCCTGACCCTGCCTGGCCTAGCTGTTTGATTGCTCTTCAATACTACTTCACTGCTTTGCGCTGCACACTGTCTGTCTTTACCTTGGGCTACCTCAAAAAGTCAGCTTGGTTCCTCTATACCTCACTTGCTACCCCCTTCTCTTTAAGCTTTATTATAAGCATGTTGCTCTGTTGTCTCACCGCTGCTTGTTACAGCGCAGCCACCCATTAGCTAATTAATTTTTCTATCTTGCAGAAGCTGCCATTTCTCGACCCCACCTTCAGTCCAGCTCAGCTCTTCCTCGGTCCCTATCTGGTTTCACACAGCCCTGTATAACGAAGTCGACTTTTCAAATTTTCTTCAGCTACATGATTCGAGTTCTGTGTCACCTTGCCGAGTTTCTTCCGAGTCATCCATAAGCGAACGATACTTTAGGTCTGGTCTTGCAGCAAGAGAAGTGGCTATTGGTGCAGAGTAAAGAGAAGAGAGGGGAGGACGATAGAAGAGCTTGCAAGCGTTCAAAATTCTCTCAGGCAAGAAAAGAAATTTTGGAGTGGAGTAGTGGTTCATGGACTGCACTTGCCTCATTTCGCATCCCGGATATCTTGCGCCCCGACCGAGGAAGTCCGAATCGCCATACCGTACCTTCTCGTTCTGATCTGATATCAATATCCGGATGCGGAGTCCTTGACATTTAGGCGCAGCATCTTTCTCGGGAGGTGTTCACCACCTGCCTTGAAAGTGCTGCTGTCAATACGACCTGCGTCACCTTGGCCTTGCTATGATGGCGTTGATTTTACCCAAAGGGATCGTGGTCAACAGTGATGAAATCAATGAGAGTATTGAGAAGATTGCCTCCGAGCCATTGGACGCAGCAGAAATTGCCAAATTCTGGAAAGGTAAACTTTACCAGGCCTTGATTGGGACCCGACTAATTCGAACTCTTCAACAGTGTATACCACTACGAAGCGCAGGCTCCTGGATCCTACGGCGGAGCGTCTAGAGAACTATTGGTGGCGTATATGGTACAGCGACAAGAAACACCTAGAAGCTGCGACTGTTGCCCGACTCTTTGATCACATCTCGAACGGACCAACCTTCGTACCACTACGCGGACCTCCGAATCGTGTCGAAGGACCATCACCACCGGTATGAACTGCCCACCCGCACACGCTGTACCGTACTGAATTTGGATTTGTAGAACAAAAGTATTCAACATCTACCTGGAGCTTCGAGCACCACAGCTCTCCACCACCCTCGCCCAAGTGGGCCATCAACAAGTAGTGGGACGACCACTACCGCTTCCTCCGCATCCAAGGGGCCTGCACCCATGCCACACCCAATCTTGAAGAAAACAAGAGGGCCATCTACAAGCGGTCCACGCCCAACGGCTCGGTTCATCTCACCCCATGAGTCAGAACAGGAGGGCGAAGAAAACTCGCCCATCAGTCCTAATTCCCACGTTGTAGTTCAGCCACCTTCGCCAGATACACAGGAGGGAAAGGCCGATAAGAAGGCCGGGACTCCGAATAGGAAGAAGCCTGGCTTCGCTGCCTCGACGAAAAAGAAGCGCCCCGTGATCGTTCGCCGACAAAGCTCGCAAACATCTCAATCTTCAGCGGATGTGGCTACTAGAGAAGCCGAAGCTGCGCAGGCGACCTCGGGAACCCGTTCTCCGCTGGATGGACCACCTGCAAGGACGCAGTCAAAATTTCAAGAGAACTTCACTCCATCTCCTGACCGATCCGCTAGTAGTCAGCTAGCGAAGAAGAAGCTTACTGACACGAAACGTTCTTCCCCACGGAAATCAGCTGGTGTAAAAGTGCGTGCTTCCTCCAGCGAGCGTGGCCTATCTGGACAACCTGGACCATCTTCTAAACTTCAACGTGTCGAAAATCTCCAGGAGGAAGAGGAGAAGGAGGAACTGGCTCCGGAGGAGTCCGAGGCATTGGAACTTCAGAGGATTATGCTAGCCGAAGCGAATGCTCGTCTACAACGAAAAGTTAAAGGAACGATAGACCGTACCAGTGACCCGGAACCGGAGCGTCCACAGACGACATTACTGAAGTCACCGAGGTCAAAATCGGCTGGAACCCCCGAGTCGTCTGGATCAGACGCCATGCGACTTGTGCAACACGATTCCAAGGGTGTTCCTAGCCTGGCCCCAACGCTGGCCGATGCAACTGGACAAGTACAGCTAGGTGAATTTGGTCCCAACCCGCCTCGGTCTCCCTCGAGAACGTCACCATCTTCAACAAGAGAATCGAAAGGCAAATCACGGGCCACAGAACAAGCGGAGCAAGGCGATATGTTTGCAAAACGACCAGTCCAGCCTGTGAAAGCAGCACCAGTAGCAGATACTTTGACCAGAAGCAAAAGTCAACTCACTTTGTTGCTGAAGCAGGACAAGGAGAAGAACAACCGAAATGAAAGAGAATACAAGAAGAAGAAGTAAAGGCACGGAGCTCTAATTATCAGCTATGTACAACATTAGCGGGTGGCTGTTGCGTGGGTACTTTGGAGAGAAAAGTTTTGAAGCGATTGTGGTTCATTCTCGCAGCTGCGTCTTATATTTGATAGACGCTTTGGTTCCGTGTGGAAGATGGAGTGAACAAATGCCTTGATTGCACGGCGTATACATTGCTCTGGCGTTGGAAGGCATTAAGTAAGAGGCGATTAAATGAAGCGATGCGATCGATGGTACAGGTTTTTACCTGGGCCTGGAGGGTTGAGTAAATACAGAAATAGGTGACTAGTAAATGTATAATACCCAAGTACATATCCCGAGTCTGGGCAGCGTAAGAGCAACGTATTGCACCCGGGGTCCCATGAAGTGAAGTGATTGATCTTTAGTAATCATCCAGTATATTCGCTTAATGGCTCAAGTATGAATTTCGGTATGAGTGTGAGCGACGCGAAGCGAAGCCAATAAGCAGGCGATATCACAATGTAAACAAAAAGAGCGACAGGCTGCCCCTCTTCTGAATTAGCAGCGACTTCGACTGTAGCATTGCCTGGACTAAGATTTGCAAGGCGCTCAATGCACTTGATTCTATTTTTACCAATATCTATATGTTCTCCCCTGTATGCAATATCAACATCAATGTCCACCCCGACCCGCGTAAGGCTTATGTGACGGTGTATCCGCCATCGACGCGTAGATCGGCGCCTGTTTGATTTTTCCTTGTTAGAAGATACTCGAGAAGTGTATGGAGTGGCGGAGCCTACCTGTGACGTATGCAGATGCGTCGGAGGACAAGAAAGTGACGGCGCCCATCAGATCTTCTGGCTGACCCATCTTACCCTGAGGAATAAGAGACGTCCATTGCTTCTTCAGATCTGGGTTATCGTCCAGGATCTTCTTTGTGCTGTTTTATGGTTAGAAATGTTGTCTTGAGTAAGTATAGACCTGGCCAACTTACAGAGCTGTGAGCATATATCCGGGAGAAATGCAGTTGACTCTAATATTGGCATGGGCCCACTCAACCGCCAAACTCGAAGCCAAATGTCTAACTGCCGCTTTGGCAGCATTGTATGGCGCTTGCGGTTGTGGGACGTTGACAATAGCTCCTGACATGCTACCGATGAAGACCATGCTTCCTGGTGCCTTTCTCTCCATCAAGTGTTTCGCGACGGCAATCGCGAATAGGTATGTTCCGTCGACGTTGACGCCCCAGAGCTTTCGGACGCGGTCGATGGGGTAGTTGATTGCCTCGAAGTTCTCTGTGAATCCGGCGGATGTGACGAGGTTGTCGATCTTTCCGTGCTCAGCGATGATCTCGGCGATGGCGGCTTCGACGGAATCTTGGGACGATACGTCGGCGTAGTGGGCTGTGACTTTGGGGACTCTGGTTCACTGTCAGTCTTGGTGTGGTTCCATTTTTAGGGAAGTGACGGCGTACTTGTCTGATCCTGGATTCTCTTTTACAAATGCTGCTACCAGTTGCTCTGCTTGCTTCTCTGCCTCCTCCTCTGTCAAGTATTAGCCAAGTATTCCACATGAGGACTCGGAACGTACTGTTCAAGTCGACAATAGCCACATCCGCACCACTGATAACCATAGCTTGACTCATTACCAACCCCAATCCACGAGCACCTCCAGTCACAACTCCGACCCTGCCTTCCAGCGAGAAGGACGGAAGCGTACGTCTGAAATGCATGCCACCTCTTCCCTGCACGGGAGTACTAGAAGGGAGGTCTCTCTCTGCTGGATACTCTACCTCGACGGTTGGATCAGTCCGGGCGAACGAACCCTCATGGTCCTCCCCGGGCTTCTTCTCATCCTGTCGAAGGAAAGGGGTGTTGTGGATGTTCCTCTGACTAGATATTGCCGGTAGTGTTCTTGTGGCAATTGGTTGTGGGAACGCTGTTGAAGCTCGTACAGCGCGAGCTGTTTGGCGGAGCAGCTGTGAACGGAACATGTTGAAGCTTGTTGAGCTCGAGAACGAGCGGGGAAAAGACGCTGTAAAGGAGAAAATAGAAGACTCGCAGACTCAATTGACGAGATGCAAAGACACAAAATGATTTTTCTTAATGGAATGGCCGTTTGATTCTTGTTGAAGATGAATTGAAACTGTGAAAAGAATCTTCGTGTTGTGACAGCTGGGACGGACGCTATGGAGTTGACTAAGTTATGACGTCCGCGGCGATCAGCCCCATATCTGAAGGGTCCTACCTGCTGAAAAGGTGGGGTCCTTCTTATCGATTGGACTGGAGATTTGTGCCTGCAGTGCACAACAATGGAACCATTCAAGGACGTATAGAGTAGCGGAGTGGAACAGCATAAGATGGAAGAAAGGCCGACAAAACCACGTTTCCGAGACCAAGTCAATGATGATACTTCCGTGTTGAACAGCAGCTTTTAAATTGTACCTCGTCTCGAGTCCATATAGGTAGGTACCTTTCCTGATAGCGGGGTGCCCGGAATACTGACGCCGGGATCTTCCAATTTTGGTGCCGGGGCGCTGCTCAGGTTGCGCTTCAGGTTGTCTCCACTTGCCGTACTTTGCTTCGTCTGTGATTGGATGCGGGACATGCCAAGCTAACCCAGAATGTCCTCGAGTGGCGTTTGTTTCAGAGCCGTTGTATCTTGACTCCGCCATCTTACGACTCCTCTTTGACAACCAAGCCAGATAGAATCTGGTCTCTCACGAAAACAAACACTGCAACATCCTTCTCATCGAAATCACTACAAACATCCAAACATCACAAAAGCCAGCATCGAGCAGCCGGATCATGTTTATCGCTCAGCTAGGAGCCGTGGCGGCTCTGGCCAGCCTGTCTCGAGGCTTCCTTATCCCTCCCGAGATCTCCTCAGCAGACACCGATGTCATCAAGACGCTGCCCTTTGAAGATGCAGTCGGAATGGAAGGACGGGTGATGGAGATTAATTGCCCAGGCTGCCCAGTTCTGACGGCTTTCAACGACAAGACAAGCTCAGTGCAAGCCGAGTCTATTCTTCAACTCAACTTCAGCCTCTCCCACCAGGACGGACCCGATAAACTTCTCTTGAACGGGGTGCAAATCTATCCTGTCGATCCAACCTCCCAGAGTTTCATGGAACCTCTCACTGCATCGCAGATGATCAAGGGTGCAGATGATACGTGGCAATACGCATCGAATCCCAAGCTGGGATACTCTCTCGCCATCGGCCGTCAAGCAACATCACCCCAGGATCAACTTGACCTACTAGCGGTTCACTTGGAGATCGTCGAGGTAGCCGACAAGTTCATCAAAGGCCTCCCAACCGTCGACCTCCAAATCCTCGAGACGCCTTCTGGAAAGCTTATGCTCGGAAACAGCGGAATCACCGCCCCAGCGAACCTCTCCAATCCCACAGACGACGACCGCGAGTGCACAACTCTTCTCTGCAAGTGGCGTGTGATTGTTGCAGATCGTCTGGCAGCTTTGAAGAAGGGATGCGGATCTAAGCGTCCATCTCCAGAAGTCAGACCTGTCTTTGTGCCAAAGCCTCACCACAGCAAACATCCACACAACAAGCATCCCGGCCACGGCCGTCCTCGCCCCCATGGATCTCACCGCCCATGGCGCCATCACCATAGACACGGCAGCCTCTCCAGATTCATCCGTGGCATCGTCTTCCACGTTCTGGTACCAGTTCTCATCGGTGTCATGGTTGGAATCACTGCGAGCCTTATCGGTATGGTGGTTGGACATATCGTTGTATTCACATGGCGCATGCTCTTCCGTCGTGGCCAGAATAAGACCAGGTACGCGGAAGTCATGCAGGAGGAGGCTGATGAGGAGTCCGAGGATGAATCGAAAGGGTTCCTCGAGGCTCAGGGCCCACCTCCCCAATACGAGGATGCAGTGGTGGAGAAGAAGGATGCTGAGTAAGTGATGTATTGTGATAGAATTTCAACAATGGAACGAGAGAGGAGTTAGGGTTGGAAAGTGGATAGGATGGGAGGAGTTATCATACGGGATGGAGTGGGTTGGATTGGATATCTGATTGCAAGCAACGCAGACTCTCTTTTATTGTGTACTGTACCACTACATAGGTTCCTTTTTAGACACCTTTTCAGGAAAAGGGAATACAACGGGCGTGTATTGTTTGATAGCTTCTATCTTCCATCTACCCGCAATTGTTCTGCCCTCGTGATGACCTACATGTCAATTCTACTCTCACGTGTGTAACTCTCAAATTTCGGACGCCTTGAATTTGACTTCGAGGAAAGCTCCTTTTGAAACTTCGAGTGCGATATTTTCAAACCTACCGTCGCATGACAAAGTCTATTCGGAATGCCATCTTGCTTTCCGCGGAAGATCACTGCGAACCAGGTATACAAGCACCATCAATGTCTTAATCTCGGGAAGTTACTGGGAACGCAGCTGGAAATCAGAGTTTGGATTGAAGCATGTGAACGAGGTTGGGACAGCATAATGGCAGGGAGCTTGCATGATGTCAGATGACATGGTTCATATGGTCTCCGCTGGCTCGTGGAACCATATATGATACCTGTGCAGGTAGATATCTTAATCGTGAGTTGTGGAATGGTTGAGGGAGAGTTTGGGCCCATATGGCACGGACACCGATAGCTGTTGGAATGGATGTTATGCGAATTGATATTGAAATCCCAGGTGCGATGGCGATCGTGATTACGTGAAAGCGTCTACTTGTCGGAAGGGATACTACACAATTGAGGAGCTTGCTAGGTAGCGATGGGTCACGGCCTGGCTCCACGAGCATTTATTTACTTCGCTTCGGGGGAGGAGCTACTGTTTCACACATCGTGACTCGGTAGCAGCAACGACACCTCCAACGGAAGCTTGGGCAAGGATAGGATTGTAAATAGATTCATTTCTTTGGGTGCCCTAATGTACTGTTACAACTACATTCTAAAGACCCCGAATTTGGTAGGATCCGGTTCATTCTTTCCACCTAGTGCAGCCATCAGGCCCAGACCCAATACACGGCGCGTGTGGCTTGGGGGTATCACACCGTCATCCTGTATTTGTCAGTACGTTTCTTACATTAAGACTTATGTTTTAAGGATAGCAAGAAGAGGGAATGGCAACACTTACCCATAATCTCGCTGATGAAAACACTGCTTCACTTTCCCTCTCAATCCTCGCCTTCAGTTCTGGATCCACCGCCTTTCCAACCGTCTCCATTACAGCAGTCAACTGCTCCGACCCCATGACACCAATCTTTGCATTAGGCCACATCCACAGGAACCGAGGACTATATGCGCGTCCACACATCCCATAATTACCAGCGCCGTTACTCGCTCCCACGACAACAGTGAACTTCGGAACATTGGCACACGCAACGGCAGTGACCAGCTTCGCACCGTTCTTCGCAATTCCCTCGCGCTCCGCGTCTGTACCGACCATGAAACCACTGATGTTCTGCAGAAAGATGAGCGGGATTTGGCGCTGACAGCAGAGCTCGATGAAGTGTGCTCCTTTGAGTGAGGATGTGCTGAACAAGATACCATTGTTGGCTATGATGCCGACTTTATGGCCGTAGATGCTAGCGAATCCTGTTACGAGACTGCTACCGTAGTCACGCTTGAACTCCGAGAAAACGCTACCGTCCACGATTCTAGCGATGATCTCGTGGATGGGTAGGGGTTTGCGAAGGTTGGTGCTTGCGATGCCGACGAGTTCCTCGGGATCATATAAGGGCTCTTCGTAGGTCGTTGGAGCAGGGAAGGGCTTCTTGGGCCAGTTCAGATTGCTGATGGAGCGTCTGGCGAGGACGAGTGCGTGAGCGTCGTCTACTGCAAGGTAATCTGTGACACCAGACACAGTGGTGTGCATTTTCCCACCTCCTAAGTCTTCTGCACTTACTACCTCGCCAGTAGCAGCTTTGACCAGTGGCGGTCCAGCAAGGAAGATGTGTCCCTGGCCGTCAACAATAATGCTCTCGTCTGACATGGCTGGCATGTAAGCTCCTCCTGCTGTACAAGGACCCATGACCACTGCTATCTGTGGTATCCCCATAGAGCTCATTCTAGCTTGGTTGAAGAAGATGCGACCAAAGTGTTCTCGATCAGGAAATACATCTGCTTGGTGGGGTAGATTGGCACCACCGGAATCGACAAGATACACACAACTGCGTACTGTTAGACATCTTCTGAAGGACGATATTCGAGACTTACGGAAGATTGTTTTCTTGGGCAATAGCCTGCGCTCTCAAGTGCTTCTTGATCGTGATAGGATAGTACGTTCCTCCTTTGACAGTACTATCATTCGCAACGATCATGCAAGTAACCCCCTCAATCACACCAACGCCAGTAATGATTCCACCAGCCGGTATCTCCGCTTCAGGGTATACCTCATGACCAGCCAATGCGGACAGCTCAAGAAACGAAGTCCCAGGATCAATCAAAGCCGCGACTCGGTCCCTGGGGAGCATCTTCTTCCTAGCCAGATGCTTCTCCCTCGCCTTTGGTGGGCCGCCCTGATGAATCTTCTTTGTCAACTCCTCCAGCTTCCCCATGACTTCTCCCATCTGCTTCGCATTTTCCTTGTATTCCTCTGACGACGGATCGACAACAGTAGGTAAGACTGATATGGCATTGGCCTGTTTGGGCGTGCAGTGCGTTGCAATGCTTCGAGAGCAGAGCGGTACAGGGAGGGGAAATGATCGTGGTGAGGACCTCGGTATGCGCCTCGAGAGCTTCAATGCCTCTCTTGAGGCCCTAAAAGTCAACATTGCGTTCGTTAGAGTGTGCCGCAGCTGCAGCAGCAGTATAGAATTCCTACATCAATTCGAAGAAGTTTGTCCTGTTCAAATGTCCCGAGGTGATTGCAGTACTTACGCCGGTTATTCGCGGATCACCGAAACCTGGGGTCATTGACAGGGATTTCACATTGGCATCGGCTTAAAGTTGCGGTCATTGATGGATGCGGCTCGGCTTAAGAAACAACAATAATGTAGAGCAGGTCTCCAGAGACCATTGTTCTCCATTCTCCTTCGCATTTACTGTATCCAGCAAAATGGCGACAGCGAGGTGTATTCGATCATTGGCAAGTCGCCCAACTTTACAGCTTCGAGTCAAGCCTCAGATCCCAATATCAGCAATCCAGCACCGGAATGCTTCCTCGAAACATCCCAAGAGCTTCGAAGCACCATCCTCTGCAGACTTAGATGAAATTCGAGAACGTGTCCAGGAGTTCACAAGACGAGAAATTCCAGAAGACGTCGCTGCCAAAACAGATAAAAGCAATGCCTTCCCAAACGAGATGTGGCAGAAGCTCGGAGATGCGGGGTTCCTGGGAATAACTGCGGATGAGGATGTTGGTGGACTATCCATGGGATACCAAGCACATTGCGTTGTTATGGAAGAAATATCAAGAGCTTCAGGGTCAATTGGCTTGAGTTATGCAGCACATTCCCAACTCTGTGTAAATCAGCTCCAATTGAATGGAAATCCGGAGCAGAAGAAGAAGTTCCTACCCGGCTTGATCGCTGGAACTAGTGTAGGTGCTTTGGCAATGTCTGAGAGTGGAGCAGGAAGCGATGTCGTGAGCATGCGGACAACAGCGAAGGCTGTTGATGGCGGATACGTTCTTAACGGAACTAAGATGTGGATCACCAACGGACCTGACGCAGACGTTATTGTGGTATACGCGAAAACGGAGCCAGACAAGGCCTCCAAGGGCATCACGGCTTTCATTGTCCAGAAAGACTTCGAGGGCTTCAGCTGTGCTCGGAAGTTAGACAAAATGGGTATGCGTGGAAGCAATACCGGAGAACTTGTGTTTGAAAACGTCTTCGTACCAAAGGAGAATGTACTCGGCGAGGTCAATCGTGGAGTCAAAGTCCTGATGGAGGGTTTGGATTTAGAACGCCTGGTTCTTAGTGCTGGGCCACTGGGCATCATGCAGGCAGCTATGGACGTTACTCTTCCTTTCACGCATCAGAGGAAACAGTTCGGTACTCCAATTGCCCATAATCAACTTGTACAAGGAAAGCTTTCGGACATGTATACCAAGCTCCAAGCTTCTCGAGCTTATACCTACGATACTGCCAGGAAGGTTGATGAGGTTGGTCAGATCAGAACTCAGGATTGTGCAGGTGCTATTATGTACGCTGCAGAGAGAGCGACTGAGTGCACACTTGACTGTATTCAGTTGCTAGGCGGCATGGGATATGTTGAAGAGATGCCCGCTTCGAGATTATTGAGAGAGTGAGTCTGATTCCCATATCGCGGATGAGTGGTACTGACTGTGAAAGTGCCAAATTGTATGAGATAGGTGCAGGAACGACTGAGATTAGAAAGATGGTGATTGGAAGGGTGAGTACAAGTCCACGGTACTTTGTAGGCTTTGCTAACATTTCCAGGCGTTCAACAAAGAGTACAGTAGTTTTGCACAGTAGGCTGCACCAGCAATAGATCAGTCAGGATATCACAAAGGGAACGATTCGAGATGTTTAGGTGAATTGTGGCAGCACTAAGTTTGCAGACCAGATTTTCGTGCAAGGTATCTTTTCCAGTAGCCAAAAATAACAATAAAATAAGTCAAACCTGCATTCTTCGATCTCAAACCTTCCAAATACATGTTAACATCCACTATGGCTACCTTCTACCACCATCAACACCGACAATCTTCCGTCATCCTTCTTCCAAACTTCCCACTCACATGAGATCATTACTCACTTAACAGCAAACTTACTCCTTTTCCTCAAAGCCGCCCCAAAATAAAACAAACAGTAGAACAATACCGTACACCCGACGGTCAACCCACCCAGCAAGCTACAGCCCCTCGTGACGCCTAGTTTATGGAACATTAGACCCGAGAATTCCGTCGCTCCAGCCGCGAATGCCGATCGAGCAGAGTCGTTTGCAGCAAACAACGATGCAGCGTATTGGGGATAAGTGAAGGGCAAGTAGAGGAAGATGGCTTGCATGATCGTGTAGCAACCTATCATTACGAGGAACACTCCGATAGTCGGGGCAATCCAGTGGATTGAATGATTGGATGTCCATGCTAGAGTAGAGAAAGATGTCAGACCACGGTAAAACGAATGCCGGGAGTCGATCTGAGCACTTACCGAACAGAAACAGACCAGCGGGTACGAAAAAGGTAGCTATGAGACCAGGGATCAATCGCTCTTCAGGTGGACCAAAGCCCCTGTTCTTGACTTGAGGCTCGACGATGTAGTAATAGTAATAGTAATACGGTGGTACGCAGAACAACAGTGAGATAACAACTGCCAAGAATGGCAATTGAGATTCTCCGAGATTGAAGCCATACATGACCGGGAAGACCAAAGGAAAAGATTCGAAAAAAGAGTAGAAGATACCGTACACGAGTGCAGTGTAAACAGTTGTGAAGGCCTGAAGTGGGAATTAGCAAATAAATATGGGCGTCGGTAGGATAAGCTAAGCGAGCGAAAAGGGGGAGAGAGTACCCACCACAGCAGGATCCAGGAAGTTGATCTGCCACGGTTTAATCAGCGCGTCATATGCCACATCGCTGGGTATCATGTCTGCCTGATCTATCTCAGACTGTGATCTTAGGTTGGATTTGTTGGTGAGTTTTCGAAGCCGGCGAGCCCGTCGAAGGAGGATGTTCGACGCTGAGGTTTCCGGGAGCGACATGAACATCATGAGACATATCGGGCCGGATAGCCAGAGCTCTTCCCAGGCTGTGACATAAGAATGTGGTTTACATTATTCATAGGGTCTAGGGACGCACTAAACCAGTGCCAATCTTTGGCTGATATACTGAAGCCGGCGATGATGGGAGCTAGGGCTGGACCTAGTGTTACTGGACAATATCAGTACCTGAATTCAAGCTTTTCCCAAATGAATTACCTGCACCGGCCCAGAAAGCCAATAGATGTGGCATTTTCACCATAGCGTACTAATCATGTTCAGCGACTGCTCAGCTCTGGCGTCTGTGGAACTCACCATGTCCTGGAAAGTAGCTGCTCCAGTAGCTAAACATGGGGAGCCTATGGACCAGTGAGCCAGTTATTCGGTCCATATTTAATCCATAGGTCATACCGAAGAAGCCTGCCAGAAATCGAAGGACCAGCAATCCAGCAAAATTATCCGACAGCGCAGTTGGGATCTGCAAGATGACGAAGAGAACGAAAGTCCAGACGTATATGGGAGTTCTACCAATAGCAGGTATCCTAGGGTAAATTAGCAGGTATTCCATAATAAAAGCATATGGTACTCACTCGCTCAAGGGAGAAAAGAGCATTGGGCCCACACCATCTGTCGTCTCATTAGACCACGTATGGAGAAAGGAAGAGCGAACCCTTACATGCAAGAACATACAACGCCAAGCCTAGAAGACCAGTCACAGCACTGACATTGAACTCATCCATCACACCTCCGAGGGCAGGTGAGTAGATAGATGATCCAACATAGACTGTAAAGGAATAGATGCTACAGAGATTAGTTCAAATATAAGATATCTATAGATTTTGACACACCGGATCTGAAAAGCAACGTAAAGCTTCTTGCCGGTGCTCCAGTTTTGGGGATACTCGGGATCATCTGAAGTCTGTAAGTGATGATGGTAGGGTATATAAGCCGCAGAATCCTACCCGTCACGTACCAATCCACCAGGATTGTACCATCCGCTGACTTAGATGGCAGGATTGGTCGACTCTTTGTGCGCGCAAGGCTCCCTGTATTCGCTCTCTCAAGATCAATGTTCCTGGAACTCTCTGTGTTCTCATCTGGAGATTGCTCTTCGCTTTTCCGTTCGGATACGCTGTTTGTTTCGTCACTGTCGACATAGGAGGTGTGGGGATTGTTGGCGGTCGAGAAGAACGATCGACTTCTCTCCCTGACAATCGCTTCTGGCAGATCTGTATTGTCGCCATAGCCTTTGGGACATTTGAAATTGGGCTCTTCTTCGGGATACAGGAAAACTTTGCTGTGGGTCAGGAGGCGGACAATCTGACCAAATGTCGAGTCTCTGATGAAGTCCTTCATCTGAAAGGTCCCAACGTAACAGCGATTAACAACGAGGCAGGAGATGTAGGAGAGGGTTGGAAAGATGTAAAGAGACTCTTGGGTTTACTTATAAGGTTATAATGCGAGTTCAGAGCTGCTGGAAGAAACCTCCAGGTGGCCTTGGAAGCCTTCGAACTTCCGTTTTTGCCTTTGCCAAGACTACCATCCCAATCTGAAATATCGCAATCGAGATGACAAAGGCTTTCCAGGAAGCAATAGAAGCATGCAATTGCTAAGCACGCCGCATTGTAATCCATTAAGATACTGCCATGTTAAATTGCCAGGGCTTGAGGCGTTCGGAGGCATCAATAAACAACCCGCCAACCCCTGTCATGCTTAGCGAGCCACCAAACAAAGGCATGCATTCACAGCCATTTTCAAGATTTCCCGAAAGAGTAAACAGAAGCTTGCAAATTGGGCACTAGAACAACTCGAGCAGCCGGGAGTATCAAAATTCATTGGCCACGTATTACCAACACTATTGTGAATAAGCATAGGTGCCGATACCTCTTCGGTCTGATCCTAACAGGGCTTGAACATATTTGTCACAGCTGAAGAGACTCACTGGATATATAACTAGAAGAAGTCTTAGCCATTCTAATTTCCAAAAGCTCAAGCATTATCAACTTTCAGAACTTCCTCAAAGCATACTTTTCCAACCAGTCACATCAGACCAAGAGAGCCGAATTCAAAATGGAATTTCCATCACCTGTGAAAAACTACCATCGGGATACCTACCCTGCAATAGATCCAACTTCCTCCCGTCTTTCCACTGCCGGTAAGAACATCGTCATTACTGGTGGTGGTGCGGGCATTGGTGTAGGACTTGCCCGCTCCTTCGCACAATCTGGAGCTTCAAGCATCTCCATCCTTGGTCGAACCGAGAAAACTCTCCTCAACACCAAGTCGCAGCTTGAAAAAGAGTACCCAAAAACCAAGATCTTCATTTACGTGGCAGATATCGTCAACAAGAATGCTCTCATCACCGCTTTCGAATCCATCAACTCCGCAGTCGGACCAGTCCACGTGCTTGTTGCAAATGCAGGCTTCTTGCCTAATCTCAACCCCGTTGCAAAAGCAGACCTGGAGGATTGGTACAATGGCTTCGAAGTTAATGTGAAGGGGAACTTCAACGTTGTGACTGCCTTTGTGCCTGTGGCTGCTTCAGATGCTGCTATCATCAGCATTAGCACTGGAATTACGCATCTGAAGTACCTGCCAGGATATTCTGGCTACCACACATCCAAGTTGGCAGCTGCCAAGTTCTTCGAATATGTTCACCATGAGTTTCCTCAGTTCTTCGTTCTGAATGTCCATCCTGGGGTTATCATGACTGCCAGTAAGTACCTCCTTCAAGACGTACACGACGCTGATCCTTCAATTTGAATTGATCTACTATCGAAGCATGCTGACATGTTGATTAACCAGTGAACGACAAAACGTCTGATTCTGGTATTGAGCTTCCATTCGACTCCAGTAAGTCCTTTGATCATCCAGGCCTACATAGCTTGACGCTAATATTCGACTTAGTGGAGTTGCCGACGAACTTCGTTGTTTGGGCCGTCAGCCCAGAAGCAAAATTCCTCAATGGCAAGTTTGTGTGGGCTCATTGGGATGTTGATGACCTCAAGGAGATGTCCAAGGATATTGAAGGCTCTGACAAGTTCACCTTCGGGCTACTTGGCTGGCCATGAACCAGAATAGCAAGACACCTTGCAAGATCATTCCTGCAGGTATTGATGATGCTGGGATTTCGTTGCGATAGGTAGGTAATCGAATAACGAGTAATAGATACTCAGCGCTTTGAAGTGTCATGTCCATAATTTGAAGGAAGTCATCTGATGTTGAAGTTATAACCTGAGCCATCTCGACCCCTAAGGTCAATGTGCCGTACATGAGAGCCCGAACGCATCTCTTCCTTGTTCGTTAGACAGGATATCAGTTCTTCCCACTGTTGACGAATGGCGTATATTTGATTGCTCCATCTTCAGCTCCGGTTCTGGCCACAAGCACTATCAAACTCGTCATGAATCAGTTCTCTATTATTCAAGTGAAGAGAATTACAATTCAAGAAGTCATCAATTGGGCTTCATCAAACGCGCATGTAGCACTGATATCACGATAACCTTCCCACATGTACTCATGACTCATGTGCCAAGCTCAGCCATTCGCAGTGCCAGTTCCCAAGGAATCGTATTTTCCCGTCTTGGTATTTCCCATTCCAATGAACTCGCCTAAAGTTTGACGAATCATAATTAAACGGAAAATTTATAACATCATCTGAACTCTTGATACCTATCTCACCTCCACGAACTCTCTTTTCCGCTCCACTTGCTACTTTTCCAGCATGAGTCCCCATGTTTTCCCCCGCAACCCCGCATGTTATCCGAACTTTTCTGCTGAACCATCTCGTTCTATCCCCCACTCTTGATCTTTCGTGCTTCATAGTTTTTCCGGCCGCTATTAATGGTCAGAGTTGCACTGAAAAGCCTCTGAGGCTCAAGGTCGAGGATGATACCCAAGAAATCGGGGACACTGTCGCTCCTAATGTCCCGAACAAAGGATGGCACATTGGGACAGTCCCTGCCGAGTTTTGTGCCGGGAGCCGGACATCTGATCGGAACGAGAAGTATATAAAGATGTAAGTTGTTTTGAAGCTCTTTAGTACGGCGTATCTCCAACTCCACAATGGTCTCATCAAGTATTCTCTTGCTCTCATTAGCAGCGCCGCTGTGTACCTTCGCCTCCAGCATCTCTCAAATCCCAGTCTTTAGAAATCTCAGATCACCTCGTCCCATCACTGCTCAGAGCTCTCCCCCAAGAAACAAAACATGTCTTGTGAACAGTCACAACGATTTAGTTTCTGATGACTCCAAATACATCCTCGAGGCTATTGAGGATTGTAATAATGGCGGCCACGTCATCTTTTTGGAGAAGTCATCATATGTCATTGGAACTCCTCTGAACCTCACATATCTCTCGTCTGTCGACTTGGATATTCAAGGCAGCATCTCGTTCACAAACGACACGGATTACTGGCAGAAGAACTCTTTCCGGCTTGTTTTCCAGAACGCTACCAGTTATTTTCTTCTCGGTGGCAAAGATGTCAATGTCTACGGCGGTGGAACTATCCACGGCAATGGTCAGACCTGGTGGAATGCCTTCGCTGCGAAGAAGAGCACGAATCGCCCTATCTTATTTGCAACGGTCGGACTTGAGGGTGGTTCCATTTCTGACCTAAGTCTCACTGCATCTCCGTTCTGGCACAACATTATTGCGAACTCAAGTGATGTTGTGTATACAGACATGCGTCTGTACTCGGTTTCCAATAACCAGAATTTCGAGAAGAATACTGATGGGTGGGATACGTATCGCTCAACCGGTATCATTATCCAGAATTCTACGATTACCAATGCTGACGGTAAGTTTATGGTCTGCAGACTTTATGAGACAAGACTAATCAATCACTGGTAGACTGCGTCAGCTTCAAGCCCAACAGCACTAATATCATTGTCCGCAACCTGAGCTGCAATGGTACCCACGGTATCTCAGTTGGAAGCTTAGGGCAATATCCAGAAAGAGTCGAGTAAGTTAACAATACCCCAGGTTCTATTCTGTCCACAGAAGTAAAGCTAACTCGTCTGGCAGCTACGTTGAAAACATTCTTGTGACCAATGTAAACATGTACAATTCTTCGGAGGGTGCTCGCATCAAAGTCTGGCCTAACTCTTACGCTGAGAAATCAGCCGCACTCACCGGTGGCGGGGGACGTGGTCTTGTCCGCAACGTGACATACGATGGAATGTGGCTTGATAATGTCGACTACGGTCTCACTATCACCCAGTGCTATGGACAGGACAATGAGACGCTTTGTTTTGAGCATCCTGTAAGATTCTTTCCTGCTATTATTTGTCCTTCAGTTGAACTAACTACGACAGTCGAAACTGAACATCCAGGATGTCACCTTCAGAAATATCAGAGGTCGTACAAACAGAGTATTTGCCCCTATTGTGGCTCATCTTGTCTGTTCAAGCAATGAGACATGCTCGAATATCCGGGCCGAGAATGTTGACATTAGAACCATCAGGTAAGTTCCTCAAAGCACTTCTATGTTCCACACCAATCCCTTATCGAAGACAGTGAAAAGAGCTATACTGACTTGATGATGAACAGTGGTGCAAATCTGGTGACCTGTAGGAACTTGGATCGGTCGCTCCTAGGCGGTTTGAACTGTACCGAAGAGAGTAAAGGATATAATCCGGCATAGAAGAATGGGAACTTAATGAATGATTATGAATGTAGAATTCAGAAGAGTTTAGACTCACTGATAAACATGATATCGTGCTGGAGTCCTGGCTATCTTCTGCCGTTCCACCTAGAAAGGGTGAGTAAATTGCTCGGCTATGCATCTTCCTCACTTCAGACATTTTCTGAAAGTCTATCAAACGGGAATTTCCCACTGCAAATACCAACCATCAACAGTGAAAACTTTCGAACAAATCTGGTTGACAGGCGAAGAGTGGTCAGCGACGTTACACAAGCAATGATCAGTAATCGGCCTGCATGGGGAGAAGGATTCGCTTAATAATTGAGCAATAGACCCCAAAGAAGTAAATACACATGAGCCTAAGTTTGACGAACATCCTTTATATTGCAACTCTGTATGTAAGACAGAAGGTCTCGTTTAAAAGCAGGTCAAATCCGACTTTGGATATTGAAGCTCAAAATGGATAAAGACCCTTCTTCATCAAAACCTGGACGCTCTCGTGGCCGTCCACGGAAAGCTTCAAAAGATGACTCACGAGAAGAAGTAAGTAACATCTCCTTGTCTTAGGTCTCAATTACATTCCGTCGCTTCAATATTACAAATTTTTAACTCTAACCTCTAACCTTAGAAGCGAGCCAAAGGACGCCTCGCCCAGCGTACCTACATGCAGCGCAAACAAGCCGAAAATGACAAACTGCGCAATCGAATCTCATCTCTCGAAGATGCTATTGAAGAGATGAGCGACGAGTTTCTAAAATTTGGGGAACATGTTGTCAAATCCGAGGAAGTCCCACCAGGTCTAAGGAGAAGCGACATGAGTGAGAGAAGCGAGACCTTGGATCATTTGAGAGACTCCACGAAGAGGTTTTTGAGTATTGCGAGGGTTGCTGAGAAGGTTGCTGGGGATGATGGGGAGGATGATGGAGAGTACGAGAGGGTGAGAACTGGATTGCTAGGTGTCTCCGCGGAAGCTGGACCGGGACCTGGGTTTCCAAAGGGAGTCGCGGGAGAAGCATCATCGTCGAAATCGCCATTTCCTATGTCGTCAAACGTGCGCAACCAAACGCCTGTACAAATGAGCACCATATTCCCACAATTCAACTCGGCATCCTTTCCTCACCTGAACATGTCTCAACAAATCCAACCCAACACTGGCCGATTTAGTCCACGATTAGGCTACGGACTCCTCAACACTTCACCCCTTCGAAACACTCTCCCCAGCCTCTGGACACACTACATTATCTCCGGCCCCTCATCCTTCGCCCTCCGTCTCTACACCGACACCATCCTCCTTATGTTCCGCGCCCTGCGCGGGGAAGTTTCCATCCCGGGCTTTATACCCAGCATCGCACGCTTCAGATTCAAATACGAGACCCCAGACACATTCATGTCCTTAGCAGAAGGCCAATTATCACGAATGAGCATCTCAGATTCCGATCCAAGTTTAGAGACGGGAGCGAAACCGACCCAGAAATATGCAGCTGCTTTTCAAAATGAGGCTAGTGCTGGTGTTGGTACGGATAGCAGCGTGGTGCTGTTCGGGCCATCACATCCTGTTATGTCGGCGCCGCTGAGAGCAAAGATACATAGTGCAGTCAACTATGAGATTGGATCCATGTCTGAGTGGCTCGATCCGTGGAATACGCAGCAGTATCTGCTAAGTAGGTGGGGACTGCGTTGTTCATATGTGACGGCGAGTATCCCTGCGGAACGGTGGACGGCTGTGCACTCTCCAACATCCAAGAATTTTGCGAACGACACGATGTCGCCGATGTTACCGGAGACTGGCCTGCAGGATGTGCATATTTGGGATGCTCAAAATCAGCAGCAGGGGGTTGATGTCGGTGGGTTCTTTGAAGACGTGAGCTTTCAAAGGCAAGCGCCGAGCCCGCCCGACTTTGTTTTCAATTCGCAGCCGCTAGCCGAGAAGTTGATCCAGGAAGCGGTTTGTTTTGGCGAGGGCCCGAGGTTCTTCAAACAGCATATCGATGATGCAGTTCAACAGTTCCTAGGCGTGCTTCCTAGCATCAACTGACCCTCCGAAGCAGAGTACAAAATAAAGGAGAGGAGACCTGCAGCAGTGGGAGCTAGACAATTTGCTCAATGGGACGGACGTCTGGAGAGCAGCTTAAGTTCTGTTTTGACCGCAGTGTCATGTATTATACACTTAGTACCGGGTAGTACTTTATCCTAGTCACTATCTAGGGATACCTATCATCAAAAGATGGGAGTGGTATCATGTCCCAATGTCTGTCCTGAGCGCCTGTCCGCCGTTTTCCCATATGAACCGACTCCTAATGCCTATAAAATCCTCCTATTAACACCAAAATCATCATGCAAACTCCTCCTGCCACTTGAGTAATTGCTTCGTCAACTCAACAATCATTTCTTTACAGGACAGATCTTTGAAGTCTCGAGTGGACGATGCCTCTCCAGTCCCATCATCTGTCGATGGGGTGTTACCATCTTCACCATTGACTTTGATCATTGGCAGGCCATCTGCAAGGCCTCGAATCATCTTTTCTGTCGCATCTCCGGTGGTAGGTGATATCGAATCTCCCAGCTCGTACTCGGTCTGAGAAATGAAAGCAAGAATCGCCGTCACTCGCTTTTTCATATCTGCCATGGAGACCTTGCTATTGAGCCCCTTGGATTTTCCAACTTTGCTTTCATGATTCGACGTCTTACTTGGTGCTGTATGTCCGTTTTCATCTGCTTTAGACACATCCCGGGATTGCGATCGATTTGGTGAAGGGTCATCCGTATCAGCGACATCTCTCTCTTTCGTGTACTGGTTCTTGCCCAGTTTTCCCTTTCGAGCATTAGGCGGCCTGCCACCCTTTTTATGAGAAGCTGGGGGAGGAATCGGTGGTGGTGTATCAGGGGCGGCAGGTTGAGACGACGGCGGTGGACCCAAGGGTTGTGCGGTTACCTCTGTACTCTTAGCCACAGCAGCCTTGCTCTGAGGTGGAAGTTCTTCTGAAGGCTCCGAGTCTACACCGACCGTCAGTATGTTGGGAATCCACAAAAGAAGAGAAACCCACCTTCGACTCTTCGACGCTCTGCGCGGCCTTTGCGCTTGTTTGCTGCTTCCAGCCTTGATCTCTCTCTCTCTTCCCTCAGTTCCTTCTCCTTGTGGTTGCGCGCTGCAGCGCCCCGAATCTTCTTTGCACCGGTTGGTTTTCCATTAGTGCCATCGTCCGAGTCGGCTTGCGATTCGACCGTTTGTAACTCGCGATTAGGCGATGGTGAAGGCGAGGCTGATGCTGTCCGTTGCCGTTTTGGTCCCTCAGGTTTCCTGGACATGTCAACACCCAACACTCGTTCCGAAACCAAAACTACTTACTCTAGACTGTCGCTCCGCCCACGTTTTCCACGTCTTGTCGTTCCGCCGTCGGTACTCTCACCACTTTTCTCTCCTTTGCTAGCCTCGATGGCCCGCTGCAACTCCGCTGCCTCGTCATAGGCAGCATCTCTACTGTTCATAGTGGATCTCCTCTTCGCATTACTTTGGAGACTGGAAGACGGTCGGCCACTTTTGCTACCCCTTGGAGATCGTGTGCCATCCTTGGAGAAGGATGCTGCTCTAGAAGTCGTCCGGGATATGGTTTGGTAAAGAGGAAGATAATGTGAATAGCGTTGCCTGCGTCCCATCATGTTAGCGACTTTTCGAGGTTTATGAATGCAGTAGAAATCATCGTGGGAGTTGGTGCAAATGAAGGAGCCAGCCAGCCTTGTGAGACTGATCTGCGCCACGTTGTCGCGTCGGCGGCTGATGGACAAGTTGGAAGGATGACGAAGGAATTGAGAGGTCGCAACAATTAGATCGTCACTTACCCATTAGAGGCAGTATATATTTTGTGTAGATCCTTTCGACACTCCTCACAGAAGTACTCGTCGGGACTGGTATCTTCGTTCATGATCCCCACGCAGCCACCATGTTGCCAGACTTTGCACATGTCGCATTGTAAAAAGAACCCCGCGAGATCTTCTGTAACGTCGGCCGGCGTGATGATAGATTCTTCTATGCCTTCTTTTATGCCATTTTTGTTGTCCTCGTCGCCAATTTGAGGTGGTCCTGGATATTCGTCGAAGCCGCAGATACAACGAACGGCTTCATCGTCCTCTCCGACCTCTTCTACACCGTTTATGACCTCGGGCTGCATAGGTTGCGCTTTCGTGGACTTGGTCTGCTCCTCGCCTCGACCGCGCTTTCGACGTGTTTGGATAGAATCCTCCATGGTAGCCCTGATGTTGTCGTCGAGAGGTTCCGACGACAATGAGCCTGATGGCGTAGATTTTCGCGGCGATTCCGCTTTATTGTGTGATCTAGTAGCTCGCTCTGCGCGACCAGATGAGTTCGAAGAAGCTGAAGAGTGTTGTGACGTCGATTGTAGAGGTTGACTGGCTCGAGCAGCTCTCGAGGATCGTCTGGCGGTGTCCATTGCTGCGATGGAATCGCTCGCAGACCTAGATGTGGCTCTTTGAATTGTATTTGGATGCCCAATTTCCACGTCGACTCGGCGTGGAAGCGTTGGCGGATTGGGTCGAGGATCGAAGCCAAGTGAGCGAGCTCAGTCGCGGGCGCCGAGGGCAGCACCAGGAAAGAGGGATTCGAGAGAGCTGCTTGATTAAAGAGTATTGTAGAGAGGCGCGATCAGAGAACGAGAGACTGCAGACGTTGGAATGATCATGACTGCCGTTACGAATGGGTTGTTGTGCGTGAAGTGGACGAGCTCTCTGGAGCAGAAGCAAGAGAAGAAGAGAGGGGAGGGGGTTTTGGGAGGGAGCTTGACTTTCATCAGACGGCCGACGGAAATTCTGCCAGTGCCAGTGCCAGCCCAACCCAGCCCAGCACAGAGGACCGGCCAGGACAACGCCATGGGTTCACGTGCCTCGCTGTATGCAAAGGCCGATTGACTGCTTACCTACTGGGTCTAGGTAGGTTGGCCGGTTCTCGAGTTTATTTGTGACTTACTGCGAGTCTCATAATAATCAGATGCTCATTTACCTAGACTTACCATTCTGTACGCGACATGTGCAAGTGGTGACTTGGTCCAGTGTAATAATGAATTGAGTGGTAAAATCCCTAGGCAATCTTTTCCTTTGGCGCAGGCACACCTCTCTCTGGTGCTGCCTTTGCTGTAACGGCGAGGCTGCTTTACTCCCGCCTTATTAATGCGCGGTGCCAAGCGCTCTTGTGATTGGGTGGATCTGGGCAGGGCATTGTTGAGTGGAGACTTGGGTTAAGCACACACCAGATCATCCACCTCATCTTCAGTGACCAAACGAGTGCAGAGTGCAGACCCGACCTTATTCAACCAAACCAAATCCAATCCACCTCCTGTTGCTCTCAACACTGGCCGGCTTGCTATTGCGGGCTTGCTCTCTTTCCATTGACAGCGTCCTTTCAAACATTCTTTGGCTACTCGTTTGTGATACCCGGTGCGTTTTTGGCTCATCTCCTTGGACCCGGTGTCTTCAGCACTAGGATTAGAGGTACGAATCCTCCACGGCACATCCTGTCCAACCCAACCCTTTGGACGTGTACGCAGTTTCTGGTCTCCTCTCCACGGGGCATCTTCATGGGAACATCTGCTACTTCTATCTAGAAAGAGGGACTGGCGAACAGGGGAATTTGGCTGATTTGCTTCAGCAGCAATAGGAGAGTCTCGAGAATTACCCCGTTGGATTTTCCTTTGGATCTGCTCATACCCGACCGATCGGACCTCCCAAGGCACTGGAAAGATTTGTGAGAGAGACGGGAAAACAGTCGCTGGCAGGGACACCTGCCAAGTCTGCGTCTGTGATGGGTATGCTGCATTTCGTCCTTGGGCTCCTCGTCCCCCTATCCGCCACCTACTTCTTTCAGCAACCACATATAATTCCAGATCCCCAGATAATGCCGCCTTCTAGCACTTGCACTGTCCATTTGGCTGATTAGTTGCTTCCACCCTATTCTAGGCTACTCCCCCGAATCACCACGACACATGTCTCCAGATGCAACTTCTCCGTACCCGGATCGTCCTATTCGACCTCTCCCCAAACGTCGTCTACGTGAAAGGCTTTCCCCAGATGTTGCCGAAACGATCAAGTACCCCCCAACACCGAAGACAACCACACCCCTGTTTTACCATCCGTACAATCCAAGAGACCTCGAAGAGACTAGTGCGGGTGGTGGATTAGTAGAATCGCAGCATCCGAGCGAGCGGGAGAGGGCTGATGAGATTGAGCGTAACTACATTTCGAGACGGCATGTGGAGGAGGTAGATAGTGAAGATGATGAGGCTGCGTATCCAAGTCGGATCTATTCGAGGCGTTCGGTGGACGACACTGGAAGATCTTTTCGCTACGTCCAGAAGCCAGACTCTAAGCACCCAAAGCCTCACCCTCCAGGTTCGGCAGCTTCTTCAGCAGACGGGTATGACTCCTTTGAAAATACAAACAACAAGAAGAAAAGAAAGATCCCCACACCAGGAGATTCCAATCTGAATGGGGTTCATCTTGCAAGTGATATTGTTGGTGCAGTTGGACCGGAAGATCTAGGGGAAGACATTGGTGCTGGAGTGTATCAGAGTTCGGGTAGTGGTCAAGGAATTTCTGGTCCTGGAAGAGGAAGGTACGGTCGAGTGAGAAACGGAAGGAGCCCTCTGAGAACGCTGTCTGATACCTCGAGCAATTGGGGCAACGGACGAACGGCCAAGCAGAGACAACCTCAGTGGTCACCTTCAAGTAAGTGCAATAACGGTGAATTGGAAGTTCACTTCGCTGACAAGTTTTTAAGCCGAATCTCCAGGAATTATTTCTAGATCAATTGCAAATGCGAACGCAGAAAAGAGTCCAATTACCCCCGCCAGAGGTCAAGAAAACGTCAGTCTCTTGGAGCAACAAGCTTCTAAGAAGGCCAGTCCAGCCTCTGCTCAGTTCACGTTCACCTGCGATTCTCAAGTCCCAGGCACTGTTGCATGGCCCGGCCCCAGCAGTTCTGCCACAATGCACCCAGCTCCAGCAGCCACTCGAATGAGCACGCATGGAACACAAACAAGCCCAAACTTGCCAGCGAGCCATAACCCCCATCCTGTTCCTCAGGCTAGAGGTCCAGCTCAGCACGCGCCCAACACTGGAAAACAAGCACCAGTGCAAGAACCGAAAAAGAAGAATCAACGTCGAACTGGCAAGGAGTATCTGATTGCAGCACGCCAACGTCGTCAGCAACAAGAATTCCGGAACTTCCACCATCCTCCTGCCCCACAAGACATCTGGATCTGCGAGTTCTGCGAATATGAGCGTATCTTCGGCACACCGCCCGAGGCTTTAATAAAGCAGTACGAAATGAAGGATAGACGTGTTAGGAAGCAGGAAGCGGAGAGAAGGAGGTTGTTGGAAAAGGCGAAGATGAAGGGAAGAAAGGGAAAGAAGGGAAACAAGGCCGCACCAAAGCCATATGCTGCCCCGCAGGATCGACAAGCACAACACCAGCAACCAGCTGCCATGCATCAAAGCCAGAGCCAGGGTACGCAGAGCGAGGAGTATTACGAGGATGAGTACGATGATGAGTATGCCCAGGATGACCCGCCTCCGCCATCTCCTGTTGCACCACCACCCGCTCGCCGAACTGAGGTTCAACATGATCCAGGCAAGCCACCACTATTGGGAGGAATCGACACCCGCATCGCAGCTTGAGCGCGATTTGTGTGATGGTTCCTCCCTCTAATTACTCTGGAAGCCAGGCTCGGAATCTATGTGCCGCCAATCGAATCGCATTATCACATTAGTGGAAGTGCACAGATTGGGCGGGCACTACGGCATCATCCTGCTCTGGACAGCATCCCCTTTTCCTTTTTCGATAACAACCCAGCAGAGCAAGCAAGCATTGAGCGTTGACGCATTGCGGCCTATTCCCCATCATCACCACCTACACTTCACTGTAACCCCCTTCCCCTTTCATTCACCTCTCACTCCCCTCATAAAGAACTTGCATAAAGGTCTGATCTGATCTGATCTGATCCGCTCTGGCGCTGGGAAAGGCCAATGGATAGATCGATCGATCAATCAGACCTCGGTGTTTACTGGTTGGTCCTACGTTTACTGGGCGGCAGGCGGCCTGCTTGGGAATGAGATTACCTGACCTGGATTTTGTACATTCAATACCTAGCTAGATTGATCAGGAACCACATCACCGCATCACAGTCTCCTGTCTTTGGTCGTTTTGGGGCCTACCCCTGCGCTGCACAGTGAGATCATGAAGTGAGGCTCTTTGTTACCGACCCGCAGCCCGAAGCCTTATCAGTCTGCATCGGAGAATTTTGACACGCCGCCTAGGCTGTTTTCTGACGGAGGCGGCGCTCGTCTAGGTAGGCCATTCGCGATCAACATCCGTGGCCAAGCGCCGGGTTGTTGATTTTGAGTTCTCTTTTGATCTCTATTCCTGGGTTAGTTAAGTACAGTACATGTAACGCACGGTTTTCGAATCTCGCATTTTAAGAAGTCCCTTTTCTCCTTTCGTTCCCATCTACTTATTTGTACACTGTAATCCTCGATCTTCGGGACTTGTGAGACATACACTTCATTGAATGAAAAACCGGAGCCCTTGTAGTCCAAGAAAGCTTCTCCAGCCCACGAGCCATCAGTTCATCTTTTAGTGTCTCGAAACACGTAAGATAGTGTGCTAATTTTGTGGGTATCTGGTTGCTGGTGCTATATTAACTTTCGGAGAAGAGAGACCTCCTCGCTTACGTGGCTGAGGAAGGAGATTAAGGACTCCAACAAACATAAGTATGCCAGCTGTTTAGAAGTGGAGTATCAATCGCAGAAGGATTGTATAGTGCGGCTGTGGGTTCAGTTCTTGAAGTTACTGTTGCGTTAATGTCCTGGACATAATGGAAAGGGTTTTGTGCAAAATACTGCGATTGTCTATGTTGTTTAGTGCTTAAATAGACACCTGCGCTGTTAATGATCTTGAAAAGGAAGGATAAATAGGTATTTCAATAAGTCTTGACAGAGGGAGGGTCGGGAAATAATTCAAAAGTAAGAATTGGGACAGAAGAAAGGTGGAAAGAGATTAGATAAGAGGTGTACATTGTTGATTAGGTGGCCTACCTTAGCACACGACCGGGGGGTAACTCAAAATGGAACCAGAAATGGAACCAGAAATGGAACCAGAAATACGCAGCTCTCTGGCGAAGGTTCATGCTAGCAAGCACGCGTGACGAAATTCAAATACAAAAGCCAAATGGACTCGCAATTCTGCGACACAACAAGCTGGAGAAGACAACTGGAATTCATTGATATGTATCATCTACTTGAACATCCATCCATCCATCCATCCCGTCCACCAAGTATCTACCTACCTTTCATTCATTCATTCATGCTTTCGTTCGTTCTTTCTTTCCTACTTTCTTTCTTTCTGGTCGCCCAAAACCCATCTGAAGAAAAAAAAATCTCAATCTCGCATTTTGGTCTCGCGCCTTTCTTTCTGCATTCATTCATTCATCCATCCATCCATTCTGACGTTGCATTCTCGCTAGCTCGATCAATCAATCAATCGCCCAAAACGATGCTTCTCTCTCCGGAAAATAAAAAAAGGAAGTGGGAGAAGTATATCCACAAAACACAAATACTCAAACGACCTGGACGCTGAGGAGTGCCCAACCAACACATATAAACGCCCGGCCATGCATCACACCGTTCTTGATTCTCGACCCATTTGGCAAAACCCCACACCGGCCTCCACGCCCTGGTTCGTTATCTATTGCTAGTCCTAGATCAAGGAGCTCCGTTCGTGGCGGGAACTTGGGCAGCTTGTAAGGCTTGTGTGGCTGAGGCGGCGGCGGCTGCTGCGTTGATCTCGGCTTGGTTCACAACACCTTGGACGATTGTTTGTTCGCCGGCGTTGAGAGACGTTGTGAGGGACTCGTAGAGTTGGGGTTGCTCGTGTTGGAGTTCTGATGGTGGTTAGCATAATTGGTTCTGTTGAATTTTGCAAAAGGTTTCTTACTCAAGAGGGCATCTCGGAAGAGTTGATATGGCTCGACCTTGTCTAGAGGTGTTTCCAGAAGACTCTCCTCTCCTAACTCATCATCCGAATCATTATCCTCGAGGTTCTGGAATTTTTGTGCCTGCAACGAGTCAGTAAGTGTGGAAGTAATTGCTGGATTGATGACTTGCCTCTTCGTTCAAGAACTCAAGATAAGCAGTGCTCTCATCCTTGCCATCGGTTTCATCTTCTGGCTCGTTCTCATCATTCCAGGCAGTGTCATCACCGGCCCACTCGTCATCCTCATCATCATCGTACGCATCACCATCGACTGGGTAATCATCCTTGAGAGCTTCTTCGCGGTCTTGGGCGGTTAGCCTGATATCAAAATGGAGAGAGAATGAGACTTACTCTTGGTGGCTGCTGGGAGGGTCTGGAATAATCGAACGATACCCTAAATACTGTTAGCTAGTGGAATGCCATTGGAAGGAGTCAGTACGCACCTGGAGCAATCTAGGCCATCCTTGTTGGACACTGGTTGGTACTTGATCAGCATTGAGTGTGAGCAATGCAACGATGGCAGCAATTGATAGCTTCTTATCGTGGACTCTGGTGAAGCTGTCGATGTTGGAAAACCACAAGCTGAAGAACTTGTTTGTCCAACCGTTCGTCTCCAGAATGTGAAGAGCCAAAACCTAGTAATATAAATCAGAATGCCGATCATGCACTTCTTGGAACACGAGTGCTCACTGGATTGTAGTAAATGGCATTGATGACCATCTCCATCAGGTGGATTTTGTACGATTTGACCTTAACCTCTGCATTCACTAAAGTGCGCATCGCAATTCCAATCTGGAACCTGTCAGAAACCTGAACATAGCTTGAAGCATTGGGGAAACTCACGAAAGACTGGACATATTGATCGGCATGACCACGGAGACTCAGCATGATACCTTCAGCAAGCTTGCAGGCGCATATCCTGTCAACTCCGCCAACCTTCTCATCCGCGAACATATCCTGTACCATGCCGAACATGGCGTCGAGGTATGCCGGAGTCTGGACGAGGTGGGCGGCACCGTACTGTACAAAGTTGTCAAGCGCTGGGAGCATGTCCTCGAGGTACAGCTCGGCACCAGCCTTGAATGTGGCATGGATAAGCTCAAATGCTTGCCACATTGTTGGAGAGATTGACTTGGCAGCAAATGTGCAGCTGTCGATAATTTCAAAGACCTCGTTATACAGATCTGCTCATCATTAGCATCTTGGCACCATAAATGCACTAGTATCTTACCATAAAGCTTATTTTCCAAAGTCACCTTGATCACTGGCATCAAAATTGACTCCATGTGAAGCAGTACGTCAGGTGTGCTTTCCAAAGTAAGGATAAGGGTGCCAATTGTTTGCAAGACGCCCAAAGCTGTGATACTCTTGTCATCCAAGTAATCGCCATAGCTCTCGTCGTCGTCTCGCTTATCGTTCTTCTCCAGCAGTTCTCTGACGATTCGCAGGTAGGTGTCTCGCAACTGCTCACTCAACGCAACTGCGAATGGGGTGAGCTCGGTTGCGAAAACCTCAACAAAGTCCTCCATAACGTTTGATAAAGCGTCGACATCAACCTCATTTGCAAGCTTGAGAAGCTGTTGCATAATTTGAGGGATGTTCTGCTGCATATTAGTGCGGATGATGTCGTGTCTGATCAGAGGTTGTAAAGCAAGAGCAGCTTCTACACGAACAGGAAGATCTGGGTCTGCCATGCATTCCAGGATGTTACGGTAAATGATGAGCAGATTATTGGTATCCTTGAAATCAAGCTGTTCGAACTTCTCCACGGTATCGCAGGCTCTTGCACGTAAGAATCCCTGAGTACTTCGGAAATCTGGGAAGACAAAACGAACAAGGAAATACTCCACTTGCTCGGCGATTGGACTCTTCTTTCCCAAGATGACGCTTGACAAGGTTCCAATCATTCTCAAAGCACCTTCCTTTGCCACATGATTCTTGCTTGCATCTGGAGCTTCCTCATATGCGCTGACGATCGTGTTTACGAAGGTCAGGATGGTGAACGTATGCTTTCGTCTGACTTTGGTAAGAGTAACCAAGAAGTTTGTGGCAGCAATATCTGGCGCGGAGACTTCTTCGTAGAAATTGAGCTTGTGGTGAAGGTACTCTTCTGGGTCCGTCTCAAACTTCTCAATATCGTCCTCGCTGAGGCACATAACCGGGAACAAGAAGTGGGTAACGAGGGTATCAAGGTGTGGCTTAAGATGAGTCCACATCTGCTTTGGTCGGATGCACTCATCAAGGAAAACGAGGGTGTATGACAAGCATGGTCTGCTGAGCCATGTTGTCTTAGCCACCCATTGCTCGATTTGTGAGAGGTAGCCCTTGAGAATTTCTGGAGCAAAGTTGGCAGTGAAGTTCTTGGCGAACTCGGTGTAGTCGTCTCCGTTGCCTTTTTGTAGTGAGGAGGGGTTGCCATAGCTGCAGCAGATTAGCATATTGAATCTTGATGGGGGCGTGTCCTATGTACCGAACAAAGAGACGGTTGAGATTAAAGTATGCCCATTTCTTAGACTTCCACCAGTGATTTGCTTCACGCTCAGTCAAGTCTTCTGGTAGGGCTGAGGCCGGAGCAGCTTTTGTGACGGTTCCTAGGAAAACCTCCAACCACCCAATAACCACAGACTGCTCTCTCAGAGAAGCAGCAAGCTCGAACTAAATTTTGTCAGCACTTCTGCTACTCGGGACAACTTGAGCTCCTAAACGTACGAAAGTCGCGTGCTTATATGCCTTCAAGACAACATGGAGCATCTCCCCAGCCTCCTCACTTGTCTCGTGTATCAAACCCTTTCCGATAACCAATAGTCTTGGGAAGGTCAACTCAATAACCTTGTCGAAGTCGGCTCGATTTTCACCAGATTTGAAGCGGTACACGCGACAGATTGCAAGGAGGCATTGCAGGCCGGCGAAAATTGAGGCAGCCTCGTTTGTGTTGAGCAGCTGGACTGTGATATCTATGAAGGAGGGCCATTTCTCGGGGAAATCGTAATGTAGGATCTTTTGTAGGACGGGCACAAGTTGTTGTCGAATCTGCGGTGGGGAGGAAGCCAGGACCGGCAAAAGGCGCTCTCGAAACCTCGCCTTCTCATCATCGGCAATAGCTTTGTTCTGTGGGGATTCCTCGCTCGGTGACCAGCCTCTGGTGACTCGGTTCTTCAGGTAAACAACCGCTACAGTCTCGAGTTAGCATGTGGGAGTAGCGGGGTAAGGGGGGGTTGTGTGTGGGTGTTTGGTGGAGGTTTGCATACTGGACATTCGCACAGAAGCTTCCTGCTCAGCCTGGAGGATTTCGAGGAGAGCATCCGTAAATCCAGCATGCTCCTCGGCCTATGAGTATAGAATCAGTCTCAATCTTCCCCTCCACTATGCCTGCCCTGAGATATGCTTACGGTCTTGAGGTCGAGTTCTGCGCGGCGTCGAAGGTCTGCATCAGGGCTGAGTGTCGCGACAATGCGACCTCTCAATACAGCTACATCCATCTTTGGGCTACAGATGCGCCGTGCAGTCTGGGAACGTGGAACGTATGCTGAGCTGAGCGCCGCGAGGTAGTGTTAATATTTTAAATGTGGACGAAGCGGCGACAGTTTTCTGCGGGTCGAGACTGACCGCCCGAGTTGATCAAGTAAATGCGGGCGGTGTCACGTTTCGAGGGCCGAGCGAAGGGATAGGTAAGGCAGAGAGAGGACGTGCAGGATCGAGGAAACAGAAATAAGTAAGGTGAGGTATCACAGAAGATGCAATAGAAGAAGAACAGAGACTGCTCACTTCTGAAAGGAAAATTGTCGCGTAGAGGGTGATTTGCAGTCACCTCAGCCGTTAGCCTCTTGTTGACAAGACAGGAAGGGATTGGTCCCTGCAGAGTGCTCTAAACTTTTTCGAGGGACCATTTCGGTTGATACACAAAAATGCTACAATATCTGGGCACACGAATAATGTTACCAAACATTAAATTGAAATTCTTAAAAAAGAGAATAGGTACGTGAGCTACTGTTGGGTTTTTTGTCTGTGTTGGTTTTTGTTCTTTCACTTTTCCAACCTGACATTGACATGTCCAACTGTTTTCATCTGCTGAGAGAGCCATGGTACACTGTGCTTATGGATATATCGAGGTACCACAGGCACAGGCCAGCGAACATGCAGATAAACGAGGACACTCATGGCAGAATTCGACGCATTCCTTCCTATCTTCGTGGCGGCACTGATAGCTCCACTTCCATTCCAGCCTTCATCCACTATTTGGAACCCCTCACACGTGATTATGTCTTGAATAGAGGGGCATTGTGTTTACTTTTGGCCTCCTAGATAAAGACGCAGAAATCGGAGGTAGATAGGCGGTGCTTCAATAAAGTGCTATTGGTGTTGTTTCCTACTTATTGAATGGAAAACATCGAGTTGGAATGCTCTGGAGCGAGCCACTATTTCGATCTTGACCACGGCTACAGTAGGTAGGTACAAGCACAGGACCTTGTCGACTTGGAACCAACACATGGGTACCCCGCCATTAGCACCGACTTCATTACTTATCAAGTTACCCCTGGAGTCTGACAACGAATGTCCTTTCTTTTACACCTTATGGTCGACTTGGGATCTAGCATAGACAGGTCAAATGATATTTGATAATGGACAATGTAGTAAGGAAAGCGGCAGAACCACGGCACTTGTGATCAATTGGACAGGGTGTGCCACTAATCCAGGCACATGCCTCCGAAGATTGGCATCACCCCTCACTGCTTGTCGAGAGAGCGATACTTATCTTGTCGACCCAGAGGAAGTCTTCTTCCTCCTTCGTGCTGCCCTGCTGCCGTCTTTTCGGCTCATTCTTGCCACGGCAGGTCTGGAGCTCCATCAAGCTTCCTCATGCATCTTCCCACTGGCTCTGTCCTCGCTTGGGTTGGACCTGCCACATTGGGTCTTAGAGCACATCGAGGAAGTGGGAGTGGGATTGCTACAAGCCGGGCAACTGGGCCAGTGCCGTACCCAGCTTGTGTTGACTAAGTTAATGATATAAGTATCATCTCCATTCTCTCCGTCATTATCCTCTTTTCGCTTCACTTTCCGCTTCACTTTCCGCTTTTTGAGCTTTATACATTTTCCATTTATCCATTGAGGTAGTTGCCACATCCTCGAACATTGAATATGCCTGCACAGCAATCAACGACGGGCCAACTACGCCCTGATGGATCCAGAGCAGCTCCTCATCCACTCGACCAGCTTTCAGTCCAAGAATCTGATCACGCTCGGGAAGTCATTCTCAAAGCGAGAGGCTCTCAAGTGGCTATCAATTTCAGATCCATATTCCTCGATGAGCCTCCAAAGCAAGAATTGTCCCGCTTCCTGGAGCTAGAAAATGCCGGAAGAGTAACGTCACACACGCCTAGGCCGGCTCGTGTAGCAAAGGTTCAATATGATGTTATTAGAGGGGATCAAAAGCACGAATACATGGAGTCGTGCGTGGATCTTATTTCTGGGAAGGAGGTACAGCAGCGGGTTGTTGAGAAGATGCACCAGGCTGCATTGACAACGTGAGTAATCAGGTCGTCAAAACCATCGTTCCAGATTTGTATAACTTGGTTGTGCAAATATGAGCGGTACCCCGTCTATTCGGAACTATCCGGTGGGAGAAGTCGATGCTGACCGATCCTAGTCACGAATTCAGAGAGTTTAGCGAGGCATGTGTGGAATCACCGATTTTCAAGAAAGCTGTAGCAGAATTCCACCTTCCAGAAGGCTTCGTAGTTGCTATTGATCCTGTACGCATCCATCGCGGTTCTTCTAGAATGCCATGGCTAACATTTCTCAGTGGCCATATGGAGGTCCCGACCCCTCCGAGGTTGCTCCTCGATATACACAAGGTTTGTGCTTTGCAAGAGACACCCGCAATGGGAATGAAGACTCCAACCACTATGGCTATCCACTGCCGATTATTCCTATCATGGATACGTACAGCAAGGAGATTGTACGAGTAGACCGCTTGGCAACTGGTGGCAAGGAAGACGGGTTGGCTTGCGGAACACACAAAAGAGACATTCTTTCTCATTGTTCGCCCTCCGAATATGTACCGGAACTGCTCTCACAACCCCTTCGGAACGATGTCAAACCATTGAATGTCACTCAACCGGAAGGCCCTTCTTTCAAGGTCGACGGGAATCTGATCGAATGGCAGAAATGGAGATTCAGAATAGGCTTCAACCCTCGAGAAGGTGCAACGCTTCACGATGTCAGATATGATGGTCGCAGCGTCCTCTACAGACTGAGTCTTTCGGAGATGACTGTCCCATATGGAGATCCTCGACCTCCTTTCCAACGAAAGCAGGCCTTTGATTTCGGAGATGCCGGTGCTGGACGTGCTGCAAACAACCTAGCTCTGGGCTGCGACTGTCTGGGAACTATCAAGTACTTTGATGCCGTCCTGACTGAACCAGACGGAAAAGCAAGCTTGAGCAAGAACGTGGTATGTCTGCACGAGCAGGATAATGGAATTGGATGGAAGCACACCAACTTCCGAACCAGTAGAGCTGTCGTCACCAGACTTCGAGAGCTCGTGGTACAATTCATTATTACTCTAGCCAATTATGAGTATATCTTTGCGTACAAGCTGGATCAAGCAGGTGGAATTACTGTTGAGACGCGGGCGACCGGTATTGTAAGTGTGGTCAATATCGATCCAGGGAAGACTAGTCCTTGGGGGAATGTGGTATCCGCGGGAGCTTTGGCTCAGAACCATCAACATCTGTTTTGTATACGGATCGACCCGGCGATTGATGGATCAAACAACACTGTCGTGGCGGAAGAGAGTCTGCCAATGCCAATGTCAAAAGAATTCAACCCATATGGCAGCGGATATGAGGTAAGTCAATCTCCCCTTTCCAAACTGACAGAACTATACTAAATGCATCCTAGGTTAGACAAACACCCATCAAGACATCACAGCACCTCGATGCCTCACCATGGACAAATTTGACTGTGAAAATGACAAACCCCTCCAAATTGAACCCGGTTTCCGGTAAGCCGGTAGCATACAAGTTCATTCCATCGGCATCACAATTGTTGCTTGCTCACCCAGACTCAATCATGGCAAAGAGAGCGCAATTCGCGACTCATCATGTCTGGGTTACCAAATACAAGGACGGAGAGCTTTGGGCAGGTGGAGAGTTCACCAACCAAAGTCAAAAGGAAGTCGACGGCGTTTCAGACGCAGTCGCAAGAAATGACAATATTGAGAATGATGATGTGGTGGTTTGGAACGTCTTCGGGTTGACGGTATGCCACACCACGAAATCCACAAATAAGTGCTAATGAGTCTTCAGCATAATCCGCGCGTTGAGGACTGGCCTGTCATGTAAGTCTCTACCTAGTGAAGTCATTATATATTGCTAACTTCTACTAGGCCTGTCGAAATACATCAACTCCACCTTCGTCCGGCGGACTTCTTCTCAGCGAACCCTGCTCTCGATGTACCGGGCTCAAAGAACACTGCTTCCGTTCTTGCTCCATCCGAATCCTGCTGCGAGAGTGGCTCTGTCCAACAAGCTCCCGCGTCCCATATGCAAGGGACTGGACCGGATCTGGATCCTAAGAGTAAATTGTGAGGAGTGGCCTCATAACAGAGATTATTGTTCTATCGGCTTGTGGGATAGCTTTGAAATCAACTCTTCAAGTGATTTTTCGGCAGAAGTCTCCCATAGCGTATATGATGGCGTTATCAAGGGAATTTGAATGGAGGTACTTAGGAAGCATATCAGTGACATGTAATTGTTCAAGCTCCACAATGATACACGCTCCCTACCATGTCCAAAAATTGGGACAGTGCAGGTAAAACAAGGAGTTAGAGACTCCGTTCCTCACTAACTACCTCGCCTGGGTTATTCGGAAGCAAGCCGGCCTTTATCCACCCCATACTCCGTACCGTACCCCTCATCTGATCTCACCATCTCGCATCCCGCACTACCCCGTCCTACCACGAAACGGATATATGCATGTCATTTATCTCCCCTGCATGCAGAGCAGATATGTTGCTCCGTCCTGACGGGCCCCGGTTGAAGCCCCTTCCTTCCCGTCGCCTAAGTTCAATACGAGGTAAGCAAGCCATCAAGCGAGTTACAGTACGCTACGAGTTTGTCCTACCGGACTCCTTCAGCACCCTCCGTTCAAAGAGTTATAGGTCTGGCGAATGGGGAACACACAAGACTCGTGTGAGCCAATTGGAATTCGAGGGAACAGTGATTGCTATACGATTGTGTAAGAGTGTACCGATTCGTGGGTTTTGACAGTCCGAATTGATGCAGGTGTGGTCTTTTTATAGCTTGTGCGAGGACGCGGCTTGGAGGGAATTGTTTCCCCTTGCAGCTGGTTGATTGACAGGTAGATAGTGTGAGGTGAGGAACGGGAGGCTGCTAGGCTAGAGTGAGAAGATATAAAGTGCTTGGTTGCTTCTTGAGAATTGAAATGGTGATCTGATCTGTTCTTGTTGTGCTGTTCATCTCCTTGTATTGACTAGATCGTGACCAAAGACTTCAACTACATTATGGCACCTCTTCAACTACTCACAGGCATTGGCCTCCTCCTTAGGTGAGTTTGCACCCTCCTCTCGATGTACTAAACACTCCCAAACCAAGCATCAACTCAACTAACCAACCCTCTAAAGCATTCTCTCCTTCCCCATCAATGCCCTTACCATCGACCTCCCTTCCACACACACAATAACCTCCGTAGTCTCCTGCCCAACGATAACAACCACCACGGACTTGGCCTCCTGCCCAGCACCTACACCCTGGCCCTGTCCATCACCAGATTGCATCTACCTCTCCTCACTCACCGTTCCCTGCGGTTGTCCTACAAAGGTAGCAGTCTCCTCAGTATATACACCATGTCCTAAGGGATGTAATGGTGCCTGTGCGACGCAGTATGTGACTGCAGTAGAAACTGGATGCTCGACTACTTCGGCTTCGTCTAAGACGAGCAAGTCCAAATCCAGTTCAAAGTCCAGCTCGAAGACCAGCTCGAAGATCAGCTCAAAAGCCAGCTCCAAATCCACATCCACACCAACAATCCTCCCTCCTCTCCCACCATACACCCCCCCAACAGGAACACCATCAACAACCACGACCTACCCACCCGTCAAACCTCCCACCACCACCACCAAAACCACCAAAACCACCCCATCCTCTTCCCCCACCACCACAACCAAAACCCAGCCAGACTACTGCGCCACCATCACAGCAACTGAAGGACCAGAGTGTTGGACCGCAGGGTGTCCAGTGACGTATAGCCGGTGCGCGAGGACGAGTGATGTGACGCTTAGTTGTGGGTGTGAGACGATTCGGACGGTGACGAGCTGTTTGAGGACGTGTGATGGTGGGTGTTGGACGAATTGGGCTGTGAGTTTTCCCCTACCCTAGCTTTTTTCTCTTGCGTTTTATGCCCTCGCATTTTTTTTCTTGGGGATTTCTATTTGGCTGGGAAATTGAGGAGGGTTGCTGACGATGGTGTGAATAGACGAAGTATTTACCGTGTCCGACGACGCCGTCGCTGAGCTGGATTACGAGGACGGGTGGGGTGTTGACGGTGCCTACTTGATTGAATATGTGTGTGGATGGGGAGAGGAAAGGATGATGATGGGAAGAGTGCTCAAGTGAGAAGGTGGAATTGTAACTGGCTATTTAAGCAGAGTCGAGAAATGGGCGAGAGATGGGCGAGAAAGATGAGAGAGGGAGAGAGATAAAAGTATTGTAGATATTGCTTCAAAGAACAAAGTATCGATTGTGATCTATGCGGTCGTTGACCCGATGATGGTGTTTCCTTGAGATTAAAGCGGAGGAGAGAGGCAAGAATCGAGTGAGGACTTGGTGACTTTAGACTGGTAAAGTATTTATACAATCCAAGGATATGATTTGTAGCTACTAAGCTAAAGCTCTGTTGACATGCTCGGAAGGGGAATTCTCGTCTAGGGGCAGCAGTTACGAAACATAACCAAATAAGCACCACAAGCAAAGATAGGCAGAGTAAATTGAAACCGATAGTAAACATAGTAAGCGAGGGTGGTGCCAAGCTCCTTTCCTCGTACAGATATGGTCTATATTTGACTAATCTAATCAAGAGCCTGGCTGTAGCATATATCTTTTCGCGAAGGGTCTGGAAATGATTGAAAAACCACACAGCCTCTGTAGATTTTGCTCTACTGGAGCATCTATCTGGCATCGTGGTTGAGTTCACCACGTGTCTGTCGTATTTTCTCTCTTCCGATTTGCTGATACGGGATTACGTGGACGGATGCTCTCTGATCAGCGTCTTGTTTCGCGTAATGGCTCTTTCTTGGACGGGCGTAGGACTATCTCATCGGCATGCGAAACAGCGAACGGAGGACTGAAGCGTCGGTCGCCAACCTGATGGTTTCCCGACAACATGCATTGACCGTCCATTGTGTGAAAAACCAGGGCTCCTCAATTCAACTGCCTACTCATCATCTTCATCCTCACTACTGACTTCCTCTCCGGCTTCAATGGCCTTCTCTCTCCTCCTCGCATTCCTCTCCCTCTTTTTATCCAGCAGCTTCTTCAAATTCTTCGCAACATTGAAGACTCCACCAGTTCCAGCTCCACAGATAGCACAACTAGGATCTTTCCTATATCGCTTCAACGCACAGCTCTCGCAAAAGTAATGCCCGCACTTCGTGATTACCGGATCCTTGTACTTGTCTTTGCAGATCACACATGCAAATGGTATCCCCTCCAGCATCGCATCCTCATCCCCAGAATCATCTTCCTCCGCATCTCGATTCGCACTCGCTATCTTCGTCCCTACAATGACTTTCTTGCCCTTCGTGACATTCTCCCACTCCTTGTCGAGCTGCCACCCTGCTTTGTAATCTTCTCTCGCGTGTAGATATTTGCAATTATCTCCAAAACCACAGAAACCTGTTTGTTTGTAGTCTTTGCAGACATCTGGCGCGAAGTCTGTCACGGTGATGGTTCGGATGTTCGTGGGTGCCTTTACAGGACCAACCACTCGGTTTGGCGCATCGGGATTCTTCTGAATGAAGGAAGTAGCGTTCGCAAGACCCTTATATGTGCCATCAGGTACCGCTCTTGTCGATCCTAGCAGATTTTTGCTGGATAGAGCATCGGTGGCATTCTCGTCGTACCAATTCGTCTGCTTGGTCGCATCATTGGAGCTTTTGATTGTGGTGCTGCGCTCTGCCGTGTATTTGGTTGTTGTGAGGTCGGCTTTGGAACCGGCATTGTTCTTGGAAGATACGGTTACGGCGCCGGTGTTCTTCTTCCTTCGTTTGATCTTGTGTCCGGACTCATCTTCTGAGGAGGAATAGTCTCCCGAGTCGCTGTCTGAGGCGGGAGGTGGAGTGGCGGCTCTCTTGCGAAAGTTGGATTTGCCGCCGCGTTTCTTGAAAAGGGCTACTGGAGCAGCGGGCGTGAACTCTGTTGGCTCCATTGCGATTGTTTCGTCTCAAGCTTCAATGCAGAGATATGGTGGCGGACGTCGTTGTGATTTGTAGCTGTTGCCTTTCAGCCTTGCCCAGCAGCCTTTTTAAAACTCCACCAATCTCCATCTCCACGCTGACTAATGCAGAGCGGGAGAACTCCACCACATAAGTGCCTGCCTCAGGCTGGAAGGTCAAAGAATCACCTATCCGCCTTTCTAGAAGAGCAGCTATTTTTACCAGGATGAACCTCGGACTGCTTGTGACAAAGTTTATTTACTCAAATTACGTCGTCAATGCAAGCCCCAGTCTGACTGATCGGGATCCATTCGTGTTGTTGTTTTGGGACGCGGACAGCCAATCATAACTGCCTCGGAGGGCAAGGAGAAAACACCAGTGAGCTCGTCTGTCCAGTCACATTGCCGCGTCGGCATCCTGGTCAAGAGGTAGCTCCTTGCGTGAACGTGAACTTGCCCAACAGCCCAGCCCAGCAGCCCGCACTTGCTGTTTTTATGGTGATCGACGCCAGATCGTTCTCCTCACTCAGCTCGTCACCTTTTCGAACCTCAATCTTTGTTTACTTCCGACATTCTTTTCCTCTCGCGAGACCCCAGCCTGGGTCGCAGTCGCGCATCCAAATCCATTGGTCACATTGGCGATAAAACAGTCTGCCATCTGTCTGTCTCAGTGGGGATACCGTCACAACTCAGGAACGCGCCCCTTAGCCCAATCAACAAAGCTCAGATCTGGAACCTCACCACCACACAACCAGCATTCCAGTCAATCAAGCACTCCTTGTGTCCCGCACGGAGTCGCACAAGCGCCGATTGCCAAATTCTACAATTCATTACGTCTCCACGACCTACACAGCTTGTCTCAAGTAAATCAATATTGGCCGGTGGTGTGAACGAGGAGAAGTGGAGAGCAGGACCAGCGCGTGTTCTGTACCCCTTCTACGCCTGGAGCAACATTGCCACGTTTGGGGCCACCTTCGTGGTAGCTCTCTGATTTCTAGCCACCAGCATGGCTACGTCCCTAGCAGCAGACCAGCCGTCCCTGGCATCTCAATCCGAGTTCATGTCTTCAGATCAACAGGATCCCTTCTCCGCGTCGACCAGCTCGGCACACCATCGATTCTCGCATTTCGACAACCAGCTGTTTGCTCTCGGTCCGACAGCATCTCCAGATCAAGCAAAGCGCGCTCTAGAAGCCCATCTCGCCGAGACAGAGCGACGTATACAAGAGGCTTCGAAGCTGGGTACCACGCTCGTGCAACAGAGGAAAGAGCTGGCAGAGCGTCTGAAGGATGTTGAGAAGCAGCAAAGCGAAGGAGACATCACGCCAGAATTACGCCAGAAGCTTGTCGAGGTGGAAAAAGAGTACAATGAGGTCGGGCGGGAGACGGCAAGGGCGTTTCTGCCGAAATCAAGAGTATCGAGTGCTGAGATGGCTGGTGGATCCCCATATGTAGGTGACGCAAAGGTAGCACGGTTATATCAACCAGGTAATGATCTCCACTAACGTATTACAGCGATCTGTCAGTCCCTCGAAGTTTGAAAGTCAGGCTACGAATTCTCCCTCTAAATTAAGCGTACCAAACAGGAAGCAAAGAAATCAACCGTCAAATCGAGTTCATGATATCGAGTTCGCCACGGAAATCAGCACATCACTTTTATCACAAGTCCGGCATTTGCAAGCTCTGTTAGCAGAGAAAGAGGAGTCGTTGAAGACGGTTACTTTGGAAAAGTCAAGGCTGGAGATCGAGGCGGAGGGCTTCAATCAGCGGCTTAGGAGCCTTGATGAGAGTGAACACCGATACAAGGATGAGAATTGGAATCTGGAAACCCAAATCCACGAGTTCCTAGCTGCGGCGAAGGAGTCAGCAGATCGAGAGAAGAGATTGAACCAGAATCTCAGTGTCTTGCAATCCGAGAAGAGTGCTGCGCAGAAGGAACTGGATGAGATCAAGTTGAGCCATGCAAAGCTTTCCGAGGACCATGTAGCTGCTCTCAAGCACCATGAAGTGGAACTGGGCAGTGTCAAGCGAAGCATGACTATGGCTGACAACGAACGAGGTGCGCTACAACGTAAAGTTGAGGACTTGACTGGTCAGAATCAAGAACTTGCAAGAGCTGTTGCGCATCAACGAGGTAGACTAGAGGATCAGCAACAATCCAGAGGACTCAGTGACGAAGACTTCGAGACAGCACCTGACAATGTCACTCCGGAACACTCACCGCCGCCATCTCCTATCAAAGGCACCCCAAGGCATAGTATGCTCGAATCCGAGACTCTCAAGAGCTCCCTGCACCATGCTCACCGGATGATCCAAAACTTGAAGGGCAACATTCATCGAGAGAAGACCGAAAAATTGGAGCTTAAGCGCATGCTTCAGGATGCCAGAGATGAATTGGATGCTCGCAGAACCGAATTTGGGTCAGGAAATGGAAAGAGAAGCCGCAAGGTTGATTCTAGAGAATTCAAGAAGCCCCTTAAGCCCGGTCAGCTAGGAGGATTGAGGAATAGCAGAAGCGAGGTCTTCATTGAAGATCCAAACTGGGAAGAAGACGATGGGCAAAGAAGCCCAAGCCAAGCAGCTGCCCGAGCTGCTACAGGCGCTGCCAGTGTTTCACAATCCGTAAACAATGCCAGTGATGCTTTCGAGACCGCCAACGAACAGGATACAACTGATGCATTCGAGACTGCAAATGAGCGGGGTACAGAGACCGAAGATTTTCAGACTGGTGTCGAAGAAATGAGCGGCAGTGATGAACTCACGGAGACCGAGGGCCAAGCTGGTACTACGAGGTCAAAGCCAACACCTCTGGCTTTGACCAAAGCAGGAAATCGTCAATCATTCCAGAGTACTGCCTCCACATCGGGCGACGAGTACAGCTATGAAGAGGTCAAGACACCAACTTCGCAGCAGCCTCAACGTCTGCGTCTTCGCGTGAGCCGTGGCCTCAACCGACGCTCAAGAGCTGTCAGTGAAGAGCCTAATTTCCAGAGCAGCCCAGCAAGCTTTGCAAACAGCAGCCAGAACGGGACACCTCAAGCCGCTGGGCAAAGCTTGTTTGCTGAGCTGGGAGACATGAGTGATGAGGAAGATTCGATCCAAGGCACTCCAAGCCGCATCAATTTCACGTCTCAATCAGCGACGCCAACATCAAGACCTGGAACAGCAAAGCCAGTTCTTGGCGAAACTCCGGTTCTCCTCCCTTCCACGGCTTCTCCTCCAAGACTTCCGATGGTCGATTCTGGCATGATGACTGAGCCATGGCAGCCAGAGCCGGCTACTCCTCATTCCACTGCCGCTCCCTTAATTGGAGCTGGATTAGCAGGGGCTGCTGTGAGAGAGGCAGCGCATTTGGCTGGTGGAAAGGACACTTCGGTAGCACCAGATGCTCGCCCATCGATGAGCGATAGTTACACTTTGACCGAGCCTGAACCAAGAAGATCGATGAGCGACAGCCATACTTCAACGGAACCAGAGCCGGTTCGCGTCATGAGTGACAGTCATACATCGACGGAACCAGAACCAGTTCGTGTTACCAGCGACAGCCACACATCAACAGAGCCTGAGCCGGTCCGCATCATGAGCGATAGCCACACCTCAACCGAGCCAGAACCAGTGCGCGTTATGAGCGACAAGAACACTGCAACTGATACCCCAGTCAAGCCCAAGATGTCAGATGCCGCAGTCCAATGGCATGAAGAGCAGTTGAACGATCAGATGAACAATTATCTTACTGTTAATGAAGATCGCGCAAGACCAGTCTCCGACTCCACCTACAGTGATATGAGCTCTCAGTATGATCCAGAGGTCATGGAGGAGAAGCTTGCCAAGTTCCCATCTCCACCAGCCTCTCGTGCTCATACTCCTATGGCTAGTCTTGCTAGCTTGGAGGCAATGTCCAGTCCTTTGACGATGTCCCATATTGTTTCGGAGCAAGTTGAGCCTACAGAGGCTGAACCACTTGTCGAAGCTGAGGCAGCGAAGGAAGTTCAAGTCGCCACACCCAAGGCTTCATCAGTACCTGCACCCTTAGCATTCTCGTCTCTACAATTCCTCGATACGGAGCCCATATCTCCTCGCAGCCCTAGACGAGATGGTGTCATCATTCCCAGAGACGATACGGATGACGAGGTGGCCGAAAGAGAGCAACCCCAAACACCAAAGAATAACTTCCTCGGCTCAGTATTCGGATGGAATAAGGGCAAGGCGCCTGCTACACCAATCATTGCCGAAGACGAGACTCGTCAGTCACCAAGTGACTCTCCTTTGGTGGAGACTCCAGAATCTCAGCGTCCGTTCAAGGAGGTATCCAGTAATCCTCATGAGCGTACTGTTAGGACAGCTCCTGTGGAGACCACCGATGAGAGCTCACAGACTGCGTTGACAGCAACTCAAATTGATGAGATGTTACGCGTCAAGAGACAAGATAACATTCTTGCTGAAGATGGTAACAAATCGCCTACTTCACCTCGTGTTCCTCTTATTCCATTGTCCATCAGAGCCAAGAGATCGCAAGAGAGTATTGGCAGTGTTGGTAGAGCCAGGTCCAAGATGGCTGATCCTGACTTTGTTCATGATGTCGTTAATTTGAAAGGACCTGGCAGCGCTGGAAGCGGGCGAAACAACTCTATCAGCAGTGTCCACCCACCTTTGCCAATGGATCACAAGCAAGTCATTGCTGCTGCTGCTCAGCGCTCTGGTTCTTCATCAGGTGGAGTTGGTACCATGGGTCCCCCATCATTACCAGCCTCTGCTCAACGCTCCAACTCTTCCTCCGGAGGAGTTGGAAGCATGGGACCTCCATCATTACCTGCGTCGGCTTACAAGAACCCATCGTTCAGACCCAGAACGCCAAGTTCGCAGCCACCAATGAGTCCTATCTCCATCAGAGCAGGTGCAACTCCACGACAAATTCATTCTTCTTCCGGAACTGCGGAGATTCAGTCCCCAACCCGAACTGGCAGATCGAGAGCGTCCTCAGTTTCGTCGTTTGTTTCTGAAATTGATACCCGCTTCAACATGAAGGCTGGCTTGCCTGGTGGTCTTGACCCTGGGACCGATCCTCGCATGATCAACGCCATTACACAGACCATGATTGGAGAGTACCTCTGGAAGTATACCAGGAAGGCTGGACGTGGCGCTATGTCAGAGAACAGACATAGACGATACTTCTGGGTCCATCCGTACACCAGAACACTCTATTGGAGTGACCGTGATCCATCTGGAACGGGCAGAACCGAGTTGAAGGCTAAGAGTGTTCCTATCGAAGCAGTGAGAGTGGTGACTGATGACAACCCGATGCCACCTGGCCTTCACCGCAAGAGTTTGATCATTATGACACCTGGCCGATCTGTCAAGTTTACCGCGACAACTGGACAACGCCACGAGACCTGGTTCAATGCTTTGTCTTATCTCCTTCTCCGGACCGGTGAGGATGCTGTTGGAGACACCGAATCTGTCGCCAATGGCGCCTTGACGCAAGAGGATGTCGATGAATTTAATCCCGGCAATGGTACCCGCAGCACCCGTCGTGGCCCAGCTTCTCTTTCCTCTTATAACAGTCGCACAACGCGTAATGAATCTCCTTCAAAGTCAACGCGCATCGATGAACAACCTCGTTTGGTCTCAACAGCTACTCGTCCGTCACTGGGTAGCTTCTCATCTCGATTAAGCAGCTATTGGAAGCCAGGAGAGCCTTCAAAGTCATACTCTAGCCGACGAAGCAGACATAGCATGAGCGAGAACGGTCAAATATACGAGGCGAGCGAAGTTCATGACAGTGCTGAAGATTTGAGAGAGCAGTATGAGAAGCAAGACCGCGAGTCTGATAGACTCGAGAATGTCAGAGCATGCTGTGATGGTAAGTTCCATCATACTTTATCCCAGGAAAATCGCTAATAACTACGCAGGCAAACACGACGTTGGTCATCTACACAACCACTCTGTCAAGAGCCGCCACGCATCAACAATCGGTGCAGCATCTGGTTCAAGACCCGACCCTGCGCAGCAACGTACCAAGAGTCGAAACAGTATCATGCGACGAACAGACTGAACGATTGCACCTATCACCACCATATTCCAATCACGGATTTCTCTTTACGACTGTCATGTCTTTCCTTTTTCTGGAAGTCTTTCGCAGCAGCAAAATCAAAATCGCATATCCACGGAGTGCGAGTAATTCATCACTCACGGCCTACGATCAATCACAATGATCAACTACTATCAAAGCAAACCAACAATCTCCTTTTTTCCAAATTTTTTGTGTAATGACCCTGTCTGTTTGCGTTGGAGTTTGTTAAAGACAATCACATGTGAACATGAAGGATGGATGCATACATCATTATTCCCCCTTTTCCTTGTATGATGTTTCTTCTATTGCGGAGTGAGGTGGGTTGTGGGAAGGTGGGATGTGGATGTTGGGGAGTGAATAGGGAAGTTAGGATGAGGGGTGTGCTGTGTTGATTTTTGTGCGATAGATTGGAATGATCCAGGGATGAGGGAGTGAGTTAGTTACGCTTATATGTGCGCAGATGGGGTAGTTGATGAATAATATCAAGACTGATTCTGACCTTTTCAACTATGTTCAATCCTTTCTAAATGGCATTTGAATGAACTGAAGTGTGGGGTCACCTCCTAGCTTTCCTCGCAGCCTCCATACACTGCTTGACGGCCCATGTCGCAACGGTACTCCTCTATACTCACAACAGTCATTTCGCACGCTTTGTCTTGGGCTGTACTTGCTAGCTTTGACCAGTCCAAATACCTTCCAATCTAGAACCCAGGAGGAGGTCTTTTCTTGTGTCAATTCTTCTCTTGCACAGTCTCGACATGGTATTCTTACATCAGCGACACATTCTTATACAGTCCGTCACGTTTCCCCAGCGATCCAGCGATCTCCTCATACAATTGTACAGCTGACCTATTCAATCAATAAGAATAGTCTTTATCGTTGAATTTGATGTCAGCCCCCAGGTGCGCACGTAGTACATCTACCCCACGTTAGTAGGTAACCCTAACCCCAAAGTCTGCATGCACACCCCTCTGGCGCGTTCAGAAATATCAGTCAAATGGAATGGAATCGTACTTCAAGTTCCAAGTCCTAGAGCCTGTTAAGAATTTGCTATTGTGTCGTATGGTTCAGCTTTCATAACTTATCTCCCGCTATTTTATTATCTATTATCTTGCTTTGTTGACAGTGGGGGAAGACTTGGCATTTAGCCGAGAATATACACATAAGAATTTCAGCACCTAACTGTATCTCCTGGTTTGAATCTCACTAAAGTCGCTCTTATGTAGAGATACAATGAAGTGGATCAGTACCCTCGATACTGAAACCTGTTTTCTTTCATGGACACGGTGGTGATGCAAGTGAACCAATCCGTTGCACCCTTTCCATCTCAAGCGCCAAGCACATTTAACAAAAGGTACATGTCCACATCTTGACATAAAACTTAACTTCCCATTATTGAGGTCCAGTATATCACAAAAACGTCGAACTCAATCTCAGAATTTAAATCTTAGCTGTATTACGCTTGAAAGGCTCTCGGTACCTATTTGTGTCGTATCGGGACAAGGAAAAGGACAAAGAGAACGGCGCGGCGCACGTGGTGGACTCAAAGAAAGAGATCATCCCACTCATAATTCTTTCATACAGTATAGATATTCTTTGAAGAATATCTCTTTTCTACGCCATTCATAGCACAACAAACCTCACTTAAAGTTAGGTGGCTGCGCTCTCATAAGTACTTCTACTCTGTCACTATCGACATCTTCGTTCCTGACTTTTCAAGACCATTCTCAACTGAAGCTCACAACGGAACCCAAAAATCGAACAATCCTACAATCCAACAACCCCACCACCGAACCTCAAAGATAACCTCGAAATCCATACCCCAAGTTCGCAAAGACCTGCCACTGCAATTCCAACTACTTCCAAACTAAACACCACATACCCACATAACCACACAACCACATAACCACACAACCACATAACCACACAACCACATAACCACACAACCACATAACCACAAACCCACACACACATACCCACAGAGCCATGGACACCACCATCGCCTTCACCCCAACCTCAAAACCAGGTATCCTAAAGAAACCCACTCCAATAAGCGATAAACCAAAAAATAAACCAATAGCACAACGGTTAGCAAGAATAATAGGAAAAAAGACGGTCGTCTCGTTCTGCGATATTCCCGAGATCAGGTTTATGGGAGGGGAGGAGGGGAGTGAGGGGAAGGAGGAGAAGGAGGACGAGAAGACAATAGAGGAAGGAAAAGGGGAAGGGAACGAGGAGAAGGTGGAGGAGATAATAGAGAAAGGAGAAGGGAAGAGGAGGAGGAGGGTAACAAAAAGGAAGCGTAATTTAGAGAAGAAAATGGTAGTGTTAGGGGAAAGGAAAGGAAGGGGAAGTAAAAGGGGAGCTAAGAAAAATGGAAGCTGATCGCAGTGATGAAGAAGTTAAGATTAAGAAAGGGAGAATAGAGAACAGTGCTTAGCGGATCGGAGGAGGGAGGGGTTAGAGTACATTTATTGGGGGAGGAGGGATGGAGGAAGGTACAGGAGCAGAGGGAAGACTTGCTACATGAGGTCTTAGTAGGTCTCGAGACGAAGTGAGGGGAGAGGAGAGGAGAGGAGAGGAGAGGAGAGGAGAGGAGAGGAGAGGAGAGGAGAGGAGAGGAGAGGAGAGGAGAGGAGAGGAGAGGAGAGGAGAGGAGAGGAGAGGAGAGGAGAGGAGAAGAGAGGACAAGGGAATATAGGAAGATGCTATTTTGTATTCTTAACTCGTGGTCTTATTAGGACTTTGTATTTATCCTCGATGTTACCGATGGCATGGAATGTTTTCTGGGCTGCTTGTTGGATTGTTGCTTCCTTCCTCGAAAGGCGAAAGGTCACTAAGTGGTTCTACTATGAAATGCTGAGTTCCTGACATGAAGTATCACCGGAGGAGGAGGAGGATGCTGCTTTGAAGGAAGAAAGTCGAGAATTCAGGTTCCAAGGAAATAAATAGTAATTTGCTGGTGAAGAAGACCGCCATTATCAGGGATTCCTTCCATTCGGTAGTTGACCTCATTACCCTCAGCTCGTCTCATCCAAAAGGACAAGCGAGGAGCATCACAACAGGTATTGATTGACCAACGCATGCCCAAGATAGAGACAATGAGATAGATATGCAGGCCCTGCTTGGTGCTGGAAAATATATAAATAAAACATACTGTAGAATCAACAAGCTCCAAGCTCCAAGCTCCAAAATCCAAGACAACAGAGTTTAGTTTTGACGAAAAAAAAAGTCGATCGAACAATTACAGTACTGTAAAAGTTCCACAGCAAACTTCCATTCATGTGAAATATGCTGAATATGCAGCAAAAAACACCACTACTCATTCGTATCATTCGAAGGCTGGACAGGACGTTGTTGTCCGTAAATTTAGGTAGGTAGGAAGGAAGGACTTGGTTTGGTTTGGTTTAGTTTACCTAGTCATGAATTATTAGACTTTTAACTTGACTTAACTTAACTTAACTCGAGCAAGGATTCCAATACAGTACACCGTTATGCAGGTATGCAGCTCCAAAAGCCACTTCTTCTTCTTCTCTTCACCTGCAAGCCTGCAAGCCTGCAAGGGGTTCAAGTAAATTTAGTACTGTAAGTAGTGACGAGGGGAGATGGGCCGCCGAAAAAGCCAGGTGAGCCTCACGGATAGACTTTTGACTAAGCTAGTCAGTACCTGGTCAGTTTGGCACACGACAATACAGTAGGTAGGTAATAATGCGAGGGCAGGCAGGCAGGCAGGCAGGCAGGCAGGCACCCAAAAGATTACTTAATTTACCTACATGCCGAAGGGTGTCCGAAAGAAGTCCAAAACTCGGACCGAGTCGAGTTGTTGACACACCACACCCAACGGCAAGCAATCCTCGTCAGAGTACTGTATGTACCCCGCTCGGATAACGTAGGTAGCGTCAACAAAAACCCCTGAAATACGGCAACACCACACCACCTTTTCTCGCTTCGCTTCGCCCATGGGCCATGGCTACCACCTGAGCTGCTAATCAATTGACTTCAGGTTCCTTTAATCCCAACCGAAGCATCCCGTTCGGAGACTTTTCATTTGAAGTGTGGCTGGGCTAAAACCGAAGCAGTAACTAGTAACTAATTGAAGTTGGGGTAGCCAGGACAAACACATGCCTCGTGCTTTTTCCCCTCCCCCTTCCTCCTCGCCAGGAACTCGTCAAACATGTCAACCCCAAAAAGAGGGGTACAAATCACATGACTGATCTCTCGCCCAAAAGAGCCTCACGGCTTCTGTACCGATTCGACGGCGACGCAAGCGCCTGAGACATCGAATAAGCGCTAGCAAGTTTCGTGCGTGTGTGTGTGTGTGTACTTATGTGTGCCTGCACGGAAAGAAGCCAAGGTTGTTTGTTGTTGCTGTTGAATAAAGCTAAGGTAGGCTGATAAGGGGATGGGGAGGGATGATACGGGCGGTACAGTTCCCTGGACATGCTTTTCGCGGCTATGCATGAGCCAGATCCGGGAGGGGGATACGCTGCAGGAGGAGACCGGTAGCTGAGTGGTCAGGCTAGGATTATTGTAAGCAGGATCCGTTGTGGACTTGTGAATAGAGAAAGTTGGGATTGCTTGGTAAAAAGCCTCATTGTGGGAATATCCACCCGCGCGATAAGGAAAGCAGATAGGAAACAAGATCCGTTGATGTGGATAATGATAATGCAGTGTTACTACTCTTTGAGCCCGTCCGCGCATCGGCTTCTTTGGATCTGATATGAGTGCCGGTGTTCAGATATAGGGTAGGATTGCAGGCTGGCAACCCACGCAACTGCGATGCGATGCGATATGATATGTCCGTTTTGTGGCACAAAAACTTGACAGACCAAGCTTCTTAGGACGATGTGGGGAGGCAAGCATCGTGCTCTTTCCTAGTTGATCGTCGATCGCTCGTACCTCTGACCTGGTTGACGGGGAGGAAGCACGGTAGGTGGTGGTGTGATCTCATGGTGTCTTTTTCTTTTGTTTGCTTGAGGCTCTTGAGGTAACAAATGGGGCGAGCTGATCGTTGGCCCCTCGGAGCTAAGAATTAGGAGATATCATCTGACTGCTTGCGAAGAGTTGGATCTCTGAGAAGCCGAGAAGGGTCTGCGGTTGATTCGAACAATTCATAAAAGGGGTGTGGCAGTGGAGGATCTTTCCCCGCGAACCGCAACGTTGGTCTGGCTATGCTGTACAGTAGTGAGAGTGCCAAAGTCTGGTAGGGTTCCAAGCTGCAGTACCATATGTAACCCACGGCTACGCTATTCTCTTTCGTCGTACCGTCTTTGCACCAGTGGTCGAGTCCCGACTCAAAGCGAGTTGAAAGTGTGGTGGCTGCCATGCTTTGTTTGGTCACCGCATCCCTCCTTTGGCTTCACACAGGATGGACAGGGCTGATGCACTTAATTATTGCTGCATCTAAACTGCAGCCTTTGGAATGCAGGGCATCGAGGCACTGCGAATGGCTGCGTCTACGAGACGGAAGCAGAAGCAAACATCGATTGATCTTTAGCTTGTAATCAACAAGGACATCTGTTGCTCGTTATCGATATCGATAAGATAGAGAGAAAATTGAGCTCGACCCCACATTTGATATGACCCTACACCCACTGAACAGTGATTCAGTGAACAACCGCATGCCTTCTCCCTCGAATGAGCCGCGCAAAGAGGACAATTCGATTTGGATCCTAAAGCCGAGCGAGTACCTGGCGTGGGTTCACGATGATGGCTGCGTCTCTGCATCTCATCTGCAGTGCTGCTCTGCACCTCTCCTCGCCGTCTCCTCGCCGCCGGAAAAACCTGTTATCCCGTCCCCGGCCAGCCAGCCAGCCAGCCATGCTCATTTTCCGGGCCCAGCAGCTTGTCCCTGCCTGCCTCTCGATGTCACTGCTGCCGATCCCCAGGATCCTTTGGCAGCTGTCGCATGGCAGGAGGTCAGGCTCTGGTCAGGTCAGGTTCAGGACTCCTCACCCGCACCCGCCAGCACGGAGAAAGATAAGCCCTCCCCTCCTCCCAGGAGTACAGTAGAGTACAGTAGTAGTCCTACCTTACCGCAGAGCAAACCCAACTCCACTCTCGAGTCTCAGACTGACCCAAAAGACAGCCCCTGGTCGAGCACGGTTGGCGGCCTATCAAGAGGCCACATCCGGTGCAGCATCCCTGATCCCTAACCCTGGCCTGACCCCTGCTTGATCCATGCGTTTTGATCCCGGCTTCTTTTGCCTTAGCTAGCGTAACGGAGCGCAGTAAGCTTGAGTGGAGCCCGTGGCGGCGTGGAGCCCTTTGCAGCAGGGCGTCAAAGATTCAAGCTGGCCAATGAAGGTCAGGCACGAGAAGCACAACATTCGAACGAGTGATGGACGATGGATATCTCTGTACCGTACCAGACAGTCGAGAGCACAGGAGCTTCGAAGAGTGGGAAGAACCTTGATTTCTTGACTGAAGAGAAGGTCTGTTGATACTGAACACTAAGAGCCCACCCAGACCGGTTAATACCGCAGGTAAGTACGCACGCACATGCAGGAAACGTATTTCTTAGGATTGTGTCCAGCTCGAGGGAGGAAGCGGTGTGATGAATGACTTCTATATCCTCTAGTATCCAGCCAGTCGCGGGTCACCCAGGAGGACCAAGAGTTCCAGAAACTGTGCTTTTGTCCTTAGGGGTTTTGAAGATATCGATGGCGCCGTAAAGTCGCATCGGGTTTCGATTAGAATCGTGAACATGCCCATCATTTTGCGAGCTGTCACCTTTCCTTATCCTCGACCCATACGAGACAGAGGGAATATCTGACGGCAGGTATTGGCAGATCAGCAATCCACAATGCCATGTGTTTTCAAGTACCGCAGCCAACATCCAGACCTGCATTGGTTCGGTGGATATCAAATGAGACAGCGATGCGCCAACGCTGGAGGTTGTATCTGAGACACTCGGGAGGATGCAACTACCAGTCTTTCCAGAAAAACGGTGTGTGTGAGTTGTTCCAGTTGGATTTTGGGATTAACATTACCCGTGTTTCCCCTGTTCTCGATCACCAATCGTGGAGGGTCAGTCGGCGACCTCTTCATGTGCAGCGTCGCTGTGGAGGTCTGTGTAACCCGAGGGAATATAATGGGGGCCAAGCTGGAAGAAAGAAATTCCAGACAATATGAGAGGGGAGAATAGAAAGAAAGAAAGATGGAATGAGCCTCGAGGGGATGGTCAACCTCAACGTCACACGCAACTGCTGCATAGCGCCTGCCTCAAGGAAGTCAACACCGCGACTTTTGCTTTTCCATTTCCATTTTTCTTATTTCCCCCTCATCTTGCCCCTCACCTCATTCAGTCAGCAGCTGAGTCCAAAGCTCAACACATATTTCAGGGTCCTGCGAGGGGGTCTGTTATTCGGCCAATAAATCGATTGTCATGAGATCTATCACATTCTGGCATTCCTCATCCAACAACACCATGATTCTATCATATCACATCATCATCGGCTGGTTCGGCTGGGTCGAAGACCCTGAAGTCTCACCCGATACCCATGACGAAAATACGAAAGGTTCAAACGAAGATGAGACAGGCGACCCTGGAAGATTGATGTATTTCTGGCTTCCTTCTGAAGGCCCAACAATAATGCATGCACCTCGACCCCTCAATGTTGTGAACGTTATTGTCCCTTCCTTCCCGTCAAGCGAGTCTAAATGTAGGTGGAGCTTGTATCACGTTTTTAGGCTTGATGTGCCAACGTTTCCCGGGATAAAGGATTATTGGGAGCTTGTAAATTTTACCTTCCCAGAGCTTCCCGATGTCGATGCTCGCTGCAGACTGGATGACTGTAAATAACAGCGCAAGTGAGGTGCGCGCGTGAGATTGGCCCAACAGACTGAGGAGATGGATCCTTCTGTCTGTACTTGACGAATCAGGTGCTGTTCTAGCTATCAACCAGCAAGGCCCATCCAGCCATTCACTCGTCGTCTTGCATCGTCACTAAGATCCGGCCCTAGCTAGCCCTCTACCTTCCGGCAGCCGAAAGTTTACATGCATCAGAGGGAGAGCGACTTCGTGGAAACCTTCGCAAGTTTGGTAGGTATGTATGCGACTCTCTCTTGCTTTGGTCTTTGTCTAGCTCGTTATTTCTCGAGTCCATAATCATATGCAAAAGAACGGAAAGGCACGATGATGGCCTGCGTCCCGTTCCTATCTTTGTCTTTGCTTCTATCTGCTGTGTTCCCTCACATCCCTTCCCTTCCCTTCCTCTCCCTTCTGCATGCAGCGTTCCCAAAAGTCTCCACTCTGAACGGCAGACGCTGGCACTGACTGAGCATCGCGCGCGGTATGTTGGATTTAGCTTTCGAATTAATATTATTGGCAACGAATGATCAACATGGAATCCGGGGAGAAATGATCAAGGCCAACGCAGCATACTAAGCTAGGGAAGCCCAAGAAGCCGGAGGCTCTAGTTGACATGCAGGCGGTTGAAAGATGTTCAGGTTCAGGTTCAGGTTCAGGTTCAGGATGTCTCTCAGCTGCTGCAACACCACACTAATAAAGTCTCGCGATGCTGCTACAGTATCCACCCTCGCCTCTTTTCTCGCATCTGTCAACTCTCATCCGCATGCATCCACACATCACCCACACCCACACCCACACCTCACTCAACTCGAGGTCCAAAGCAGGAAGGAGCACGCACCACCTCCGGTCCTCCACATCACATCCATGCCAGCCCAGCCAAGACAAAGGCACCCACAGGGATTGTGGGTGAGGCCAAGAATCCAGGATAGCCCTCGCTGTGCTAGCACTAGTACTGTACCTTTCGTACTGTACAGTAGTAGTAGCGGCACTAGGGCTGCAGACGGCTCTTAGCGCTGCGGTAGCGCAGCCTGTCTTATCGCTCGAGCCAATCCCCCTGCAGCTGGTCAGAGTTCCAGTTCGAGGCGTCTCCCCCCATTATTTCCCTGCCCGTCTGCCACTCACAAAACACTCCGACCCAGCAAGGCCGACTGCCCCAAGTTCCCCCCCCCAGTCCCAGTAGTCTCCTCAAGTCTTCTCAAGTCCTCCCAAGTCCACTACTCCTCTCCCTCTCAGAGGCCAGCGAGCCAGCCCAGTAGTGCCCACACCTCGACTGCCCTGTCCTAGCCTACCGTCCTCCCCCTACCCTACCCTACCCTACCCTACCCTACCCTCCCCTCCCCTACCCTCCCCTCCCCTACCTTTCTGCCCGCCGCACTGTCTCTTTGGGCCTCCGGTTCTCCTTGTCCCTCTTGAACTTCTGCGACACCCCCATTCACCTTCCAGACCTCTCCCTCCCTCCATCCACTTACAACTACACCTACTCCACGCATCCACACATCCACAACCTCGAACCACCCACGCATCCTCCCGACGCTCCTTCAGAATTTATATCCTCATTGACAATACGAGAACAGCATTGAGGCTCAAGCATCCGCGTTCTCCCCACCCACCCACTGACCTCCACGCCCTGTCGCGCCCCCCCCCAATATCAGACTGCGCATTTATCCCACGCCGTCCTCAACTCCCGCCGCCATTGTCTCTGCCACTGCCCGACGCGGGTCGCACGGCCACTCAGCACAGCGTTCCTGAATTCTGGATTCGCACATTTGACTCCTCACATCTCACAACCCATTGCGACAACATATCCGCACCGCATCATACCACACACCTCACTCTTCCACTCGGCCGTCCATCGTCCGCCCCCATTCACGCAGCATCGAGTCATCCCGTCTTCACCCGTCTCATACGTCTGATACTTGATACCTCCAATTTCCACGACCTCTGCAGCAGCATCGTCACGTCGCGCCGCCCAGTACTGTGAGCGCGTCCCTACGTTCGATCCCCCCAGCGCCACGATCGCATCTGTCCTCGAGCTTCACTTTTGTACAACAGAGGCATGAACGCGGTCCAACAACTTCCTGGCGCAAGCACCGCATTCTCACATCCTCACGCTCAACACTACTCGCTGTCAGATCGCGCAACGTCTTTTACACCGCAGCATGCCATGAGCCCTTCTACCTTTTCCCAACCTGGCCAGGCCTTTCGTCCTTCCAATAATGGATCGCAAACCCCTTATCAGTCACTATCAATGGCTACTATGAGTCCTTTCTCTGGAGACGGTGGAGCCAGCAGTGCGCAAGCATCTTCCGGTGCATTTACTTCCGGACCATGCTCCGTTCAGATCCGACGACTCCCGCTGAACACGACGGAGGACACTTTGAGATTGATGGTGGTTTGGTCCAAGGAATTTACGGAGGCTGAGGTGTTATCGCCCGAGAAGTCTGAAGACCCCGGCTTTCGTTCCGCGATATTGCGCTTCAAATCCCATGCAGGTGCCCTCGAGGCGAAGAATATGCTGGATGGGAAACCTAATGTTGCGAACGATGCACAGATGATCGTCGAGATCTTCTATGGTAGCCCTACCGCATCCCGACGATACACCGTGGACAACACGTCGAATCCTGGTCCCTCCAGTTCCACTTCTTCCACGGCTTCATCTGCTGGCCCACCTCCACGACAATCGTCACGATTCAACGGTTCTTTCCAAACCGCGCAGAGAGTATCACCAACTAACAACGGCGCATACTCAAGTAATGAACTTCCAAACCCCGAGAACAGTACCCACTATCAGAGTCTTTTTTCTCCTCAGTCCCCAATCGGAAACCATTTGAACGAACGGACCCGGATTACAGGAAAATCACTGATCAATAACGACTCTGTTGATGATGATGAGACTGGCGAACTCCTCAAGGATCCAGTTGCGTATGCCGAGAATGGACCCGCCCAAGGACGCCGTCAGACTCTTCCTCAGCTTCCCATCTCCCGGATGGCTGGATTGTCTCTCAACACAAATGCTGCGGGCCCGGCATCGATTTCCTCTACGTTCGCTACTCCGACTCCACATACGATGTCATCTCACACCAATCCGATGTCTCCAACGCTTACGAACGGCGGGCCACCGGTAAACTACCAGCTTGGAAGTCAGCACTATCAACGACACAACTTTCCTCCAGTCAACCCTGCTGATCAGAACCCTCCCTGCAACACTCTTTATGTCGGAAATCTTCCGATCGATACCTCTGAGGATGAACTAAAAGCAATGTTTTCGAAGCAACGTGGCTACAAACGCCTTTGCTTCCGGACCAAACAGAATGGTCCGATGTGTTTTGTCGAATTTGAAGATGTTTCTTTCGCAACGAAGGCTCTCCATGAGCTGTACGGTCACCCACTTCACAACAGCATCAAAGGAGGTATTAGATTGAGCTTCTCCAAGAATCCTCTTGGTGTTCGTTCTGGACAAGGAATGACTTCACCTGGACCTGCGAATGTTCCAATGCAGGGCATGAACGGATCGATGCTAGGCGGACCAGGAGCATCATTCAGCACAGCCAGTGGTCCTCCACCAGGTCTGGCCGCACCTCCAGGACTCGCTCCGAATAGAATGCCGTATACCGGTGCTATGAGCCCCATGAATGGAGCCGCGACGCAATACACAGCAAATTCATACCCAGGAAACAGCAACGGATGGAATGGACCGGTTTACAATGGTACAATGACCGCAGGAGGTCCAGCAGCAATGCTGAACGGCGCAAACAATGGGTTTCCTCCAGCATACATGATGGGAAGATAGATTTCTCACACTGGATTGGCGTTTTCGGGTCATCTTTGTTCTTGGTGGCTTCACATTCTACACGCACTCATTCGATTTGCCAAGCATTGCACACACGGGCATCTACGTTTTCTCTCTTTCTTTCTTCAAATTCTTTCTCTTCACTAGGGCTACATGGACAGGAGTTGGGTGTGGGTTGGGCTTGGGCTTCGGTTTCAGCATTGCGGCATCGGTCGGGATTTGCATTTCGCAGCATTTCACATAACTTTGTAGCGTGGTGTTTGTTTCATGATCATGAGATTCCCCCCCTACGCGCGTTCGGTTGATATGGGAGCTAAATCGGTGTGGTGTGTGTGGGTGGAGTTGAAATGATATGCATGCAGCCTGACGGCCAAACGGACGGACGGACAGACAGAAACAAACGGACATTCGCATCGGGGGATCTTGGAAAGGAATGCAAAGCGCAGCAAGGCGAAGCTAATGGAAATGCAAGGCACGGCAATTCGCGGATGGGCATGTTTAAACCGGTGTTTTTTTTTTCTTCTTCCTGTTATATTCCGTTGGAGCGACACCTGGGCTTTTCTACCTGGCTATCTATCTACCTGCCTGGCTGGCTTGAATGTCTGCATTTCTCACTCATCATGCATACACTTTCATCATTCATCATTCATCATCGATCATCGATCTGGCGCTTGTGCTTATCGGATTTTACGTATTTTTGCAGTCATTTCCACCTGGCGTTCAATTTTTTTTGTCAAACTGTCATTTTCGTGCACAAGGGGTTTTAATTTTTTTTTCTCTCTCTCTCGTCCGATCTTCTATTTTCTCCCTCTTCCTCCTTCCACCTTCGAGCACAGGCATAATCATTATATTTGCTTGCTTCATTCTGCTCCCATTTTTTTTTTTTTTTTTTGATTTGGTTTGGTCTGGTTTTGGTTTTGGTGCAAAAACTTCATCACAGCGAGAGAGGATTGATTGATTGATTGGTTTGATTGCGCGTCGCGTTCCATGTCACAGACAGAGAGAGAGAGAGAGAGAGAGAGAGAGAGAGAGAGAGAGAGAGAGAAATATGGATGTGGATGGATGTACGATGGAACTGGACTGAACTGAACGGGAATGGGTTGGCTTTCGTGTGCGTATGGCTGGCTGGTAGCAAGCAGTAGAGGGAAATTTTTCCTTTGAGATTTTAAGATTTGAGATTTGAGATTTGAGGAGTAGCTAGGAGCACAGCAGGAGCACAGCAGGAGCATGGATGGGATGGGATCTGGGATCTGGGCAAATGGAACAAATGGGCAAATGGCAAATGCCAAATGGCAAATACATTGGCAGGCAGGCATTTAACATCAACATCAACATCAACATCACATATTATGCGTTTTTAACCTTTTTCCCCCTTTCTACTTTCCTGAGTGTCTGGACATGCTTCTGATCTTAATTTTTGTGGGGGGGTGGGGGGGTGGGGGGGGATGATTTGTCGATATCTGTTTATGTGAAAGATAAGGCAGAAAGGACAGGGGGGAGGGGGGGAGGAAGAGCAGAGCGTCTCTTCGAAAATTTCGGTACATCGATGACGAGTATCTTCTTCACTGTTCTTCTGTCCTTGCGATGGACTGGGAAAGGGACCCCTAGCCATCCCATCCCATACCAGAAAGACAAGCAAGCAAATATCATCTCCCTACCTACCTACTATCTTGGGGCAACCGAGAAGGCGAACAAACACATCAATTTTCATACTCATCAAAGATCTTGCATGATTGATTCTTGTGCTTCTTGTACTCCTCCCTGTCTACTTCCTCCTACTTGAATTGAGAGTTTTCTGTCCCCTTCTCTTCTTTTCTCTTCTCTTCTCTGCTCTTCTCTCCTCTTTTTTATTTAATTGCTAGGATTGGTGATTGTAGATGAAGGAAGGCCATGTCAGGCGGGCAGGCGGGCGGACACGCCCACGTTTCGTTTCGTTTCGTATTGTGAATGTAAGGTAAGGAAGGAAGGACCTGCATTCCATGCATGGTGTTGGGATTGGGTCGGTTGGTTGGTTGGAGGTTTGTAGGTATGGATTGGGGTTTGATAGTTAGTTGGTTGGTTGTTGTGTGTTGTGGGGGAGGGGAGGGGGGGAGGGCTGGGGCTGCTATTTTGAGATGAAACTTGGTTGTTGTTGTTGTTGTTGGAGGAGGAGGAGGAGGAGATACCTAGGGACGGAGTGTTGCATTTTTGGCATTGGACGGATAGGATCTGGGGTTGAAGCTGGGGCTGGGGCTGGGGCTGGGGAGATGGAGATGGAGATGGAGAAGATTGGCTTGAGAGATTGATAGGAGGTGTAGGTAGCAGATATTATATCTAGGTAATGAAAGGAATCTGAGAGAGACATAGGATATGATAATGTAGTTTGCGTGGAGTAGTGTAGCTGTTGTAGGGGGATTTGAAAACACCAGATTTTCTGCTTTCACAATCCTAGCTAGGAAGTTGTGCATGCAATGCAATGTCTTTTTAGGTAGCATTGACAGAAACTAGCAGCTTTAAAACCTGTTTCTGCACTTATATCCTTTTGAGATGAATACTCACAGCTTTCTGTTCCTCGAAGGTTACTCATGTTGATGAGGCTGGAACAGGGCCCTGCAAGCGACAAGGCTGCGGCAGTGGGGCAGAATGCCGAAAATGCTCCAACCCGAAAGTGACTTAGCGTACTTTCTAGCGCCAAAAGTTTCTTGACTTGACCTCTTCGCACTTTTTTCCAAACAGCTTGATCGTCCTTCATCCTCCCGATATCGCGCAACAACACCACGTTGCTTCGGGCCAGGGACGATGTAATTCTTCGTTCTTCAGCTGGATGCTCCAATGCTCTAGGTTGTTAGCACTTTATTTGCATGCTACTTCAGCTGCAATGGTCGGGATCTGTTTGCGAACAGCAGTATATCTAAGGTACGTTAGATGGATTCCCTCCCAACACCCAACACCCCTTCTCCCTACTTCAATGATGAACTTTCGTGTCGCCCCTATCTTAAAGAGCCCCTCAACCAGGCTCCGTGGTGATTAACCTGTCCCTCCAAACGGACTATCTGATCTTTCTCCAACCAACATTCTCACTCTTTATCTATCTTCAGAGATGAATCAAAGCTAACATTGCTTTAAAGATAGATACGATTCGATTCAACTGTGAGTAGACCTACATATGCCTACACTGTTAGGTGGAATGGAGAGATGCAAGAGTCCACGACATCAACATGATGACTAAAACATATACTATCAAATGCCGACTATCAATGACGAGCAAACTGGTTCGATTACCTGATATTGTTGTCGTGGACTTGCAGTCTCTTGCGCCTCACACATGCACACATCAGTATTTATACTGACTCTGCCCTCGACATACAGAACTCACAGCTTGCTATATATTACTTTCAGCTGCAGACTAATAAATGGTATGTACACATTTCTTCTTGAATCTATGATGGGGAGCGGGAATGGAAGGGGACGACGGCCTATGATGTAACAAATCCATGCTAATGCTGACGGTACTTACGTACTGGATGCTGAAAAAACTTCAGACTTTTCATCTTTCAACTGAGGCTTTATCTTTTTACTCTTGCACTTGTTGTGTTTGATTCTTGGGCTTGGACGAGGCTAATACTGTTCTCGAAGACTAGGAATTGTGATCATGCAGAATATTTTTGAATTGGAATATCTAGGGCTGTGGTTGGGCCTGAGCTTGCTGCTTGGGCTTGGTTCTGCCAGCTCAGATACCATGTTCATACACTCTATATATCCAATAAAGAATATTTTCCATGATTATCAGTGTTTTCGTACCTTTTCCATCTCATCTTGACTACCCTCTTATCTAACCTTAGTCCTCACAGCCATCCATCTCATCATAGCTCGCTTCATCATTTCTGACGGTCTATTTATTATCACAAGATGTACCAGTGAAAAGGAAAGCCATCTCTATAGCTTCATAATCAAGACACCCACTCTTTCGCAGACGCAGTTAAGAAATTTCTTTCTAACTTAGCAGTCCTTACAAACCAAACTCCAAACAACACCAGTTATCCAACCGGCCTCTCCAAATAAAAAAACTGCATATCACTCATCTTCCCCCCCTCATTAACAGCCCTGACATGAAACTCCTCAACATACTCTCCTTTCCGGAAACCCGCTTTCTCCAAGACCCTCACACTCCCGATATTCTCTGGATCAGCACCTGCTTCTAGACGCGTGAAGTCTTTGTTTTCTATTCCATTTCAAAGTGGTCAGATATCAGCACTTTTAAGTCAAGCAATCTCATGCTTGAGATGAACGAATGTGTGGGAGATGAGAAACTGAGAATGGAAGGATAGTGGGGATAGTGGTACCTTCAGCAGCCCAGAACATGTTCAAAAATATTGTCAGTGTCTCGGACATGTATCCTTTTCCCCAGTAGTCTGGGTGGATCTTGTATGCTAACTCTCCTTTCCGGGGCGTGCCTACTATGCCTATCATCTTAGGCTTTTCAGCTCTGGGGTCTAAAGGGACGTCCGAATCGTCGCTATTTCCAATTTCTGGATTTAGGTTTGATATGGATTTGACATCGGTAGGGGAGCTAGGTTTAAGCAAGATCGCCCATCTCCTATTCCACGGTTTTTCTGGGGTAGGCAAGCTGTCGAGCATCAGGGCTCGGGTCTCTTCGATATTCTTGTGAGGTGCAGCTCGCCTGTTCACAGTTATCGAACCCGGCCAGTGAGGAGGGATCACCAGCGTTTAGAGAAGAAAGCAAAAGCACTTATAAGGATATATTGGCTGAAGCGAGGAGGATCATAGATTGAACTTACGACCAGAGCATTGAACCAGGTGATGACATGATCTCGAAGTAATCTTGGAGATGCTCGTCGACGTTGAGAGGCTGCAGCCAGAGCCGCGAGGATTCGGCTGTGTATTTTGACATCGATGATATCTGGTTATCGGAGATTGTAGAAGGAAAAATGACTTTACCCCATACAGCTGCAGGTTAGCTGAAGGGAACAACTGGTAGATGAGTCTGGTGACAAGTCAGCTGACCATTTCCCACTCTCAAGCTGCAGCCTACCTAACTAATCGTCAACAACATTTAGCCCTTCTGAGACAAGTTCTAAACTTCTTTCGACTCACAGATACATGGGTACCGCGGCACCTGGTCCCTACAATATCCGTAGGTACTACTGACCATCGCCATGGAGGCGCTGGCCGCAATCGGTCTAGTCAGCAATGTTCTCAATTTCATCGAAGTCACTGCCAAGCTATCATCCCTCATCAAGGAATACTCCTCCGTAGGCGAAGCTCCAGCAGAGATCCTCGCAGTCACGAAACGCCTAAACTTGACTGTCAAAGTCGTCAAAGAACTAGATGAGTCCGGCCGAGCACGACTCGATCATGAAGAGCATGCGTTGCAGATGTACTGTCGCGAGGCTGAGAGTCTACGTGTATTTCTGGAAAGTCTGAAACTTTGTCCGGAGCAGCCACGAGGAAGAAGTGAGAATGGGAGTAGATTGTCGTGGTTGAAGAATAGGAGGGTGGAGAAAGGGTGGAAGGTATTTAAGGCTTTGAGAGGGAAGGAGAAGATTGATAGGTTTGAGAGTTCGTTGGATAGAGTTTTGGATCTGATCAAGTTGCAACAGCAGACGAGAATTGAGTATGGATGATTACTGAATTTTCTGTTGGAATTGATGTTGACTCGTGAACAGGGCCACTGCATTGCGTGTGGATGACAAAACTTCAATCTTGGTGCAGAACTCTGAGTCGATTATCAGAGGATTGGGCGACTTACAGCTCATTCCAAATCAGGAACCCGCAGATACAGCTACTAGTGAGAAACCCCATCCTACGTTGGCGTGGCACTTGACTTCAATCCTAATAACAAGGACAGTGCAGACGAAGGTCATCTTCATGGTCCCTTTGGCAAGGAATTCTGGATTTCTCGGACGAGATGACATTATCCGCCAGCTTGATGAGAAGTTCGTCACCACAGAAGGGCACTCTCAACCACGAGAGGTCCAGACGACAGCATTGTGCGGATTAGGAGGTATTGGGTAAGCCTCCAAACTCCATCTCAAACGAGTAACCAGCTCAAAAGGCGTTATAGGAAGTCACAAATCGCACTGGAGTACGCCTATCTACGTAAAGAACGATCTCCTGATGCGATATTCTGGATTCTTGCTTCAACGACTACAAGATTCGAAGAGTCGTACAAACAAATAGCTGCGGAATTTCAACTTCCTGGCCGAAACGATCCGCATGTTGATGTCTTGCAGCTTGTAAGGAACTGGTTGGAACGTGAGTATAAGCAGCCTTGGATGATGGTGGTTGATAATGTGGATGATAATGAGGTTTTCGAGAAAATGACAAGTGGGAAGTCACCTTTTGAGTATCTGTAAGTGCTCGCAACCTGCTGCGAATCCGATTACCGATGAAATTTAGGCCAAAAATTGCCAATGCAATCATCCTTTTCACGTCGAGAAACAGAGATATCTGCCTAAATCTTGTCAACGATCCGATAATTGTCGAGCCATTGAGCCGTGACTTTGCACGAAAGCTTCTTGGAGACCGCACGAAAGGAGATAGCACAGATGAGGAGAAAGATATACTCCTTGCCGAATTGGATCATTTACCGCTGGCTATCACCCAAGCAGCTTCGTACATGGCCAAACGAAACAAAAGCGTCCCTCAATATCTGCTCCTCTTTCAAGACAGTGAAAGATCTCGGGTGAAACTCCTAGAGCACAAGTTCGTCGACACTGGAAGAGAAGCGAGATCTTTAGAGTCCATCGCGACAACGTGGTTGATGTCATTCGAGCAAATCAAGTCAGAAAATCCCCGTGCAGCCAATCTTTTGTTCACCATGAGCTTGATGAGTCGTCAGAGCATTCCGACGTCCCTGATCAAGGACGAAAACGAGAATCTAGTTGATTTTGAGGAAGCGGTGGGGACATTGGTTGCTTACTCCTTTGTTTCCGCGGACGACTCGGGAAGTAACTACACTATGCACAGACTTGTACAGACCGTTACTCGCGCATGGTTGAATGATCATGGAGATAGAATCTCTATCGAAAGTCAATTATTAAGTTCTCTGTCAAGAAGATTCCCGGAAGGCGATTTCGAGACGTGGAAGACATGTGCTCGGTATCGACCTCACGTTGAATCCATTCTTTCTTATATTCCGGAGAGCTCTGTCGAAGCCGAGAGACTTTCTCGAGCAGATCTTCTTTCAAAATTGGCTTGGTATTTCAGAGAGCAGGGGAAGTATGATCATGCACGGATAAACATAGAACAAGCATTGAATATGATGCACTCATTTGAGGGTTGTGGATCAGAGAAGATGTTCAGGGCGAAGAGAAAACTTGCTAGGATCATTGGAGACCAAGGATATCCCGAGGAAGCTATAAAGTTACTTGTAGCACTTCTTGGAGCCGAGGACGCCCTAAATGTGCCAAATCGTTTGGAAACTTTGGAGACAGTGGATATGTTGGCAATGGCTCTGGCAAATACTTTGTTTCCGACGAGATGGCCGGAATCCGAGAAGTTGGCGAGACGAAGTTTAGAGCACAGGCGGTCGGCTCTGAATGACGGACATCCCAGGTTGTGAGTCTTTCAATTACCACTTTCCATTTCCATTCGGGCATGCTAAAAGACGTAGATTGAAGAGTCTTCACACTCTTGGCTGGGTCTTGTACCGACAAGAAAGATTCGACGAGTCTGTATGTCTACTTGAGGAATGTTTACAAAAGCTGCGGGCGAGCCTTGGAGAGAAGAACCCAGAGGTAAAAGCCCTGAAAGTCTTTCGCTACCCAAAACCACTCCCCTTCGCGATTCACCTTAATCCAGGAAACTCTTTCGAACTGACAAGTACGCAGACCATTTCAACTGCTAACGATCTTGCACTGGGGCTCATTAACCTCAATCCCCCAAAATTCGAAACTGCAGAACAACTGTTGAGAGAATCGGTCAAACAGATTGTTCTTTCGTGTGGAACCGATCATCCAAATACCATAGTCGTACAGAGCAATCTGTGCAAAGTACTCAGACGTAGCGGAAAGCATACAGAAGCAGAAGCTCTTCAATTAGAGCAGCTAGCGTTGAGCGAGAAAATCCTCGGTCCAAATCACCCAACTACAATCTGGTGTCTTGGTTTGGTAGCCGTGTCTTTGTTTTACCAGGAGGAGTACGACTCAACCGAGTCTTTCATCTTGACGGCGCTCGAGAAGAGACCGGATTTGATCCGACGAGATATTATAAACGCCTTGAGTCTTATCAACATCCTTGCTTTGGTTCAGGAAAAACATCAAGACTTCATAGAAGCGGCTAAGAATTTCCAAACTGTTCTTCAGGGGCGAAAGGAGGAACTCGGGGTCGATCATCCAGCAACGTTACAAGCAGAACACTGTTTTGCAAGGACCATTCTAGCACAGGGGAAATTTTCCGAAGCTGCTGTAATGCTGCAAGTTTTGATGCCGAGAGAAGCTCAAGTTTTGGGGGAGGAACATGACCAGACTCTCTTGACAGTCCGTCTCTACGGCCTGGCCCTGTTCAGCCAGAGGAAGTTCACGGAAGCCGAACCGCTCTTCAGACAAGTACTGAGCACCAGAGAGAAGACGCTTGGAAAGGAACACGAACGTACTCTTATTACTAGGGACAATCTCGAAGCAGCTTTGGGCGAGCAGAGGAAGTGGACTGAGTGGGAAGAAACCTCTCGAGAGTCGCTAGCGATTCGCGAACGTGTAGCACCGGGCGAATACGGCACTCTGCGAGTCAAGTCCAACCTTTGGTTTACCTTGGAACAACAAGCCAAATTTGATGAGAGCGAGACGGTGTTCAATGGTCTACTGGCGGACATCAAAGCCCTACCGGCAGACTTCATGGAAAGTGAAAGCTTCAAGAAGAACACCACCTGTGAGGAAGAATGGTATTTCTGGCGTCTCCGAGACGGTTCTTTTGATATTGAGACTCTGAAGGCAAGGAAGCGAATGGCGGATTGGATAAGAATGGATCCAAGCGCAGCGCAACAATCCAGAGGGACAGGAATGACAGGAGGTGGAATCGCGAGCTCGATCAGCAATTTTCTCAAGAAAGAACCGCAAGAAAGCCCAGGTGACATATATCGTGAGGTGATGAGGAATATGGAACGAACCTGTGGGAGAGAATCCGAGGAATTCAAAGCTTTGAAGTTGGATTACGAAAGGCTCTTTGGCCAGCAGCACTTATAAGGAAGGTATGCGGAAATCTGAAGTAAAAAGGTCCGGAATGTATAAAGCAGAAATTGATAGTCCTCATTTATCTTTCAAATATCTGGTAAGCTTCACGATAACATGATATTCTTTCTGAAATACGGCTGAATCTTGCTTTCCTCCACAACCCCACCCAAACAAGCGAGTCGGCCACCCAAAATCCAGCTCCAAAAGAAACGAGATAAAAAGGACACCGTCCAAAAAAATTCAAAAAAGAGAGTGACAAGCACGATGGAATTGAACCACCTAGACTTTCAAACCAAGCTACTGTTCATATATACACATATGTCTAGTAGAATTCTTGGCGGTGCTGGGAATCGAACCCAGATTGAAACGGGTCAGCATGAGAATTCCTGAGAGGAAGACCACAACGTCACGTGCTACCATTACTGGAAGAAGGTGTTAGTTGTTTTGAGATTGTGTGAGGGATGGGAGGGACAGCTTACCACCACACCACCTGTCACGGGATTGGAGTGGAAGTTCTTATTTCGAGAGATGTTGGTGGGAAAAATTAGTGGGTTTTGGGAGGGTACTTGTGAATCAAGGGAGTGGGGTGGGATGAGTGGGGTGGAGTAGAAGAGATGGAAGCGAGAGGGTAGTGACTTGGATACAAAGCCTGTGGGTAAATGGAGGAAAGGCTGGGATCATCTACTTGATGCGTTGTATCATAGGCAGAATTGGGTGTGGTCGCTTCAGTCAGTCCCAGCGTGAAGCAGAGAAGAACATAGATGGGATTAAGAGAGGAGCTTCTTGGAAAGTCTACTGAGACTATGTCGTGAACATATTTAGCAGAGATGAAATCTATTTCTTTACATCTGGACCTTTGGTGTATTCTCCTTCAGCTACATGATTTGTTGACCATTGCGGCTTAGCTGAGGTGTCGCTTGAAGATGGCTTCTGTCTGATTAAAATATACCTCAATATTTACAAAAAATACATGAAAGGCCCAGGACTCACGTTCCCAGAGTCTTGTGTCTAGCAGAAACACTTGGTCACTCGTGCGTGGAATCATGAGTCAATCAACAAGGAACCTCGTTGCTGAGATACGGTTTGATATTTCCTCTATAACAATCAATAGACCAGTTCTTGGAGTTTTGAACCCATTTCTTATTTCTTTCAGTCAATAATAACATATAGTAATTGAGTCATGCATTTTGATGGACTCCTATAGGGGGGCTTCGGCTCGCGAAGAAGTAGAATACAATCGGTAAGCCCCTGACACTTGACGATATGTTGAAAATGAATGAATAAATAGGAAAAGCTGTAAGTGAGATGACCAAAAACATTCTCGGAGTTCAATATCCCGTTGTTGATTCAATCTCAGATCAATTGCTCGTTGGTAGAAAACCGCCTTTCTATTCCCGCTTCATATTTGTGCCCTGAACCAAAAAAGCCAGGGGTCCCCACAAGTGAACCCCACCTTTGAAGCCCTAAACTCAAACCTGTAAAGCACCAGCAAATCCCAAATGAGACTCGAGTATTCAAAAGAAGAAAACGCAAAAAATGATGGATTTTGCAACCTCCGTGAATCGAACACGAACCTCCACCTTACTTGACAGTTAAGTCTGGAAGGGTGGAACTGTGAATGGTTAGTGATTGTTTATGAGAATATGCTGAAAAGGCTGCTTACTCCTAACCATTGGACCAAGGAAGCTGTGATGAGATGTCGAAAATTTTCTTATACTGATAAATATCAGTAATAATATTTCCGCGGCTCTATCGGTGACCAACCCGAAGCGGTGGGGTGTTCTCGGCGTACCAGGTCACGCGTCTTTACCGCATTACTGCCGCGGTTGTCTACCTAGGTAGCATCTCTTTCTGCACTGATAACCTCACGTAACAGACCCCTTAAACGTTTGAAAGTTCATGATTTGATCACCACTCTGAAAATTGATTTCACCTGAATCTCGCATTCCCAGGATAGGAGGACAATCTCCTCATCCAGATGATCAGCTTAGAAAGTGCTGGGCTGGGTGACATCAGTACTTCCCATTCTCTGACGGTATCGATATAAGATCGCTGAACAAGTTTTGAGTATAGACACACCCTACACATATTTTTGAACTATAAGGACTGACTGGGGAATACGTTTAGGAGGGTGCATTACGCCTTGCAGAGGTTTGCTCTGCTTTTTGGACTTTGTTGTGCCCGTCTCCAATGTTGAGTCTCATTTGTTTCTACAAAGTACAGATTCTAAGAGATGACCATTGCGATTTGTTGAATTTTCCTTGTCCAGTATGATGGAGTGACATCCGGAACGAAGTATGATGGTGCTTCCTTCCAACGGAGTGGAGAGGGGCGAGAATCCCAGCATGTACTCAAGCAGCACAATGCAAATATGACAGTGGAAGGCACTGCCTAGTGGTACGTCAAGGTTTTCCGCAATGTAAAGCAACGAGCGACACATTAAAGATTTTCTGAGTTTGCCCAGTCACTATTTTTAGATCGCAAGGCTTCAAGGCAGAATTGAATTGTCCATGAGGCATATTTGTAAAGATGCAAAGTCATCATTGGCCAAGTTCCAAGCCAGCCTTGCGCTCCAAAGCTGGATTTCAGCTGGTCTGCAGCAACGAAGTGCTTTATAACGCATAATTTTCTAATAGCAATTTCCTTCTTGTCATCTGCTTGTCTATTTGGAGAATTTCAGTTCTTGAACTGTACTAAGTTGTGCGCGCAATATGTCCTGGTCTGGCCCACCCCCATCCTGGTACGGCCCTCCCCCAGTTTCTGGTTGGTGGGCATGTACCAAGTGTTGGGATTGGAATAGTCCTTACACCGCACCGAAGAACTGTGGTAGTTGCAATGCTCCACGGTTTGATTCCGAAGAGCCTGGGTCCAGAAAACAAGAGTTCTCTTATTCCAAAGAACGACTCGCCAAAGTCAGATTTGGGGAATTGTCAGCCCAGAGCGTAGAAGACAAGTCCCCTGCCGAAAAGATCTCCGAAAATACGACGAATGAAGTCCAGGGGAGCATCAACACATCGACGCAGTCTTCTACAAATTCATTTTTGCCGGATCAAAAACAACTTCGCGATCGTAACTCCCAACTCGGCTCGTCAGGCAACCAGCTAGAGAACAGCACTGATGAAGTTCTTCCTGCTGCCTCGTCGGAAGACACAACGTCAAGGCTCCATTTGGACGCTGGTGCGAATAATGAGAAAGGAAATCTTGGAGCTGGTGGACGACATATCAGCGATCGTACAATTGCATCTCAGGTAGCCGATGGACATGTAAATCATCGGACTGGCTTCCCTTGCGACCAAAATACAGCATTATCTGTTATTTCTGATGCAGAGTCCATTGGATTCTCAAGGACTTCATCCTTCATCTCACTTGCTGACAGCACGTTTTCCTCCATCGCCAGTGGCTCGTCACAATCCTCGGCAGCTGGTTCCACGGCACACACAGAACAATTTTCGAAGTTGGTATTTGAAGATGATATTTTACAGCCGACGTGCTTTGCGATTGTTGGTCTCATCTCTCTTGAGCGGTTCGAAAGGAAGCTAAGAAGGTCCCTGAGGTCCTTTTCAGCCGACCTTCTTGAAGAGGCGACATGCCCGCGAGAGCAAGAAGCCGCCAGATTTGTGAAGAAAAGGGCAAGGAACTGTGCCCACCTCATATGCAATGAGCTGAATGCTACCCGACAACTATTCAGAGACAAGCAGAACTTAGCTCCTCGACTGAGGGAGCAATCGTCAGAGTCGGAGTTTAGCGAAGATGAGGATGGAATGACTGACATCCGGGACCTGAGTGTGTTCATTCTCCAGTCTCATGCCTTCGAGCAGCTAAGAGAGAGCCTGAAATCATATCTTGCCCAGCAGATCTTCTCGTCCCTGCCATTCTCCGACTTGGATACTGGAAACACACCCTATGGAGCGACTTCTGTGATCAGCGACCCGAAACCCTGTGTAAATTTGCAGCAAACGTGCAGCGCCTGGCTAAGGTCCAAGTTCCGATGGCATACCTCTCCTAAGCTGAATGATGGCACAAATAAAGTGCAGTGGAAATGTGTGAGTACTCAGTTTCACTCCTGGACTACCTTCTTACTGTTCTAGCCATGTGGTGCAATTATCTGGGATATTTACGACGAGCTTGAACCAGGAGCGGCAAAACTTTTTGAGAGACAGCTTCGTAGAAGCTTGCGTATTCGTCATCGAAGCCGGAGTGGTTTCTCTATGAAAAGCTTCGCAATACTTCAAAGACTTTCGTCCTTGCCCTCAACTCTGTCGAAGCTAATAGGCACCATGATAGAGACATTCCGCAGCTCACCAAAACCCGACCTTCCCTCCTTTGAGACAAGGCAACCGCCGTCTAGAACGACATCCGTTCCATTGACAGCTGTTTCCACGCAGAGTCTATTCTTGTTACTCTGTGTTTGCAATAGCATTGGAGGTTCTCAAGTTGGTCTCGAACAACCCGCGGTCCACAGCATCGATTCGGATAGGCAACTGTTCGCTCTTCTCAGCAAGTCTTACCGCTCCCTTCGTCATCGCTGGTGGTCTTTCCTTTCTCTTTGGTCACTTCAAGATGTATTCTTCGTTCATTTCGAAATGTACAACGAAACACACGTGGACGTCCGAGAACGCGACTGCGTACCCACTTCGCCTGACTACTTGTACGAGAAATGCATGTTAAGGCCACCTATTGGTTCAAACACTCTAAAGCACTTTTTACAGTGCCCAGATTCTGCGGCGCTGGCCCGCCCGTGTCTAAAGAGGATACCACGGAAGATCGGAAATCGACTTACAACCTGCCCTGAAAAGGGTATATCGCCTGGCTGGGGACTACACTTCGTTGAAGGGTGGAACAAAAAGAAGATACTGATTTTATCATATGTGTCTTTCATTTGTAGCTGTGTGGTGGCTCTTATCCTATGTTTTTGGAAAGGTTTTAGTGTTCAGGATTCCGTTGGAATCGCCAGTTTCATTCTCGCCGTCTTCGCCGGCGGTGTCGTAACCTTTCAAGCGTCAACCAACATGATATAAATATGCTACTCTATAGAACAGCCTCTGTTAGCAACGCCATTCCAACTTTGACACCTTATATATCATCCTCAAACTTTTGAAGCATACTTAGAACGGCTGGACATGTCATGTTTCACGTGATTGGCCACTACTGGCAAGTACACCAAGATAATCACAGGGCAAGTGTCCTTGTGCCAAAAGTGATAAATACCTCGGTCTATTGAACTGTCAACTGATCTCATTGTGGTAAGCTTTAAATAGAAGACCATATGTAAACACACATCCACGACCTGGCGAGCCATTGGGTGTTTGTGAACTCTGGGACTTTCAAAGGAAGATGCAGACATCTCCACGCCGGTTATTACTCGTAACATGCGGTCGACAAAACAACTCTGGATGTTGGAAGTATGACCCAGCCCAAGACAATACACAAGGGGCAACAAAGTGTTCAAAGCGTGCCGATCGGCTGAAAAATGGAGGTAAGGCCCCACGAGTAACTACAGTAGCAATGTGGATGCCTGATTTTAGGCGGCTGCCGCAGGTCCAAGTAGAATAAGAGTCAACATGCCGCATTCATATCTCGATATTTCTGCAGCACTCCTGATTTTACTACATACTGTATCATAATAGCTTTTTCGCTTGACACTAGGGACAATTACATCACTCCTCAAGTCCCTGGCATGCCAACTTTTACTTCACTTAAATTTATCAAAACGATGATTGTTAACGATAGCTCCAAGAACAACATAAGGTCGCCAGACGACAATACGAAATATATGAAAGAAGCAGCACGGTGGATAAATCTCAGACCACAAACAGACCAATCGACGGCTCCAAAATCATCAACAATATCCAGCCTCACATCCAAGCTTAAATCCCTCATCCTCTCCAAAGACCAGCAAGACTCTACGGAGGACACAGGCCCAAAATTCCACCAATTCAGCCTCTTACCCAGCGAACTACAAGTCAACATCTGGACCTACGCAGCGCAAGCACCTCTAACCCACAGAAAAAATTACGGCATCCTATCCTCGCACCGCCTCCCCCCCTCATCCACAACCGAACGTCCAGACTCTGACCCAAACTCACCCTTACCAAGACCCATCCTCTACCCTCAATCAGACCCAACCCAAACATTCTCTTCCGCAACCCTCCCTCCCTTCTTCTCCCTCTCAGACCCAACCCCCCCTTCAGACCCCACCAACAAACTCTTCTTCCCCATCGCGCCACTGCTACACACATGTTCGCTCTCACGACATATCTTCCAGCGAGAATGGGAGCCGAGATTTCCTGAGCCGTTGAGGGAGATTATTAGGAGGACAGGGAGGTGGGTGGTGTTGATGACGACGTTGCTGGAGAAGCAGGGACTGGGGATTTTGGTGTTGGAGGAGGAGGTTGGGTGGGAGGGTGTGGGGATTTGGATGGGTGGGAGGCTGGATAGGAGGGAGGGGAGGGTGGTTACGTATTATTTGTTCAATTATATGTGGTAAGAGGGGAGTGGAAGGCAAGATGGGGGATGGGATGATAATGGGTCTTGAGAGGAGGGTTCGGAATGTGACACGTGGGGTGTAACTCTTTAAGAGGAGTGTTAACGAACTTGGGAGTCTTTCTGACGGGAATAGTATTTGTATGAAGAATGAAAGATGCGGGAAGGATCCGGAATTCAGTGCCAGGAAGTCTTCGAAGACAAGACAGTTAACTGGGGGTTCGTAAAGTCGACGTGTGGAAACGTGCGATATTTGTATTGTAGGCTCTATTCATTTGGTTTAGCCTGAGCTAAATTCTATCAATCTTGGTATGCCGCCAGCTCCTTGTCATTCCAACTATTCATGTCAGCCACTGCCACCAGACAAAAAGTATGTAAACTCACCTCAAGAACTTCCCACTCAGCTCCTTCTCTGCACCAACAGCCAACCTAGCCATAACGTTCCCCGGCTGTTCAGGCTTCAACAGCTTCCCCTCCTCATGCAAACTCTTGAATTTCTTCGCATCCTCACCATCCATCACAGCATGGTTTCCTCTCACCTCAACCTGCATCTCCGTATCAACAACACCAGGTCTTACCGAAACCACTGTGATATCTGGCTCTTCAGTAGCTAGCGTACCAGCGAGATGGTTCAGAGCTGCTTTCGAGGATCCATATGCGCCCCATGTTGAGTACGTGTTTGAGGATGCACCAGACGAGGTTAGTATGACTTTTCCTTTGCTAGAGCGGAGGGCTGGTAGAGCAGGTTGGATCTGTGGGATTTTAGATAATGACCAATAAAGGAGAGATTACGTGGACGTACGAATCCAACCAAGCTGAAGAAATTCACGTCGTATGCTTTGCGCCATTCTGCGGGGGTGCTATCTGCTATGCGCTTGACTGGAGAAAGTGTGCCGTGGTTGAGTATCAAGGCGTCGAGAGTCTTGAATGAGGAGAGAGCAAGTGAGATGGCCTTGAACCCGACCTGATTGCAAGTCAGATGCCGTAATAAAGCAATATTTTCAAGTAGATATAAATGCCGCTAGGAGAAAACGTAGCGGCCATGACTTCCGGAACCGTCCAAGTCCAAGCTCCATTCAAGAAGAGGAAGGTGTATAGGCAACAGATAACAAGAAACGCACGCCCAAGACTTGATACGAATACTCTTCAATCGAGAAGCTTCTCTCTTACGGAATCCAAGCACTTGCTTCCAGAACCCCCTCATCCGTCCAAGCGGAAACGTGACATCTCACCGTAGTATTCATGTACCTAGGCACACTAACAGCGCAACGAAAATCGAATCTTGACAGAAGGCCCAAGAAAATATCTACTTATACCTCAAAGTCCCCCAAATCCGCTGCTAGAAAGTCAACTTGCCCCGGGAATTCCTTCTTCAGCGCCTCCATCGGTGCAGCCGTCCGAGCTACCAGGAAAACTTTGTGGCTCCCCTTGAGCAAAAATCGCGCGATAGCGAGTCCAATACCTCGGCTTGCGCCAGTGACGAGAATGTTCTTTGTTGACATGGCGAGACCTGTATGGTGGGTGATGATTGGAGGGGAAAAGTAGCTGCTCGCAGTATGAAAGTGGGTGGTGATTGCCGTGGGGTGAAGAGGTCCTGAAGTGGGGCAGATCCTTGCTGCCTTTTTGAGACGTCACTTCATGGGAATCTCGCTCACAAAACCTTCTTCTTCCCAATGCAACAAAAGACACCACAACAACACCACTTCTCACTGTCCTCCAAAGGATTGAAATCATTTCAGAATATTCATGACCTACCAAGGGTCCAGCCCAAACAGTATCTTGTGCCTGACCTATCCCTCTGTGGGGTTTTCGGAGGTTCAATGCATGAGTGATATTCAGACAGGCCTCGAGACCTGTTTTGTCCGTGTTCATATTGTTTGTCCTTCTTCATATTGCACAAGTACGCGTTTTATTTTTATCATGGTAGTGCGTTTATCTGCGACTGTATTTCCATCCGGTCTGCTCATTGTCGAAACGCTCATAATGGGAGGACTTCTGCTCGGTATTGAGAAGCATCTCAATCTATGGCTTTCGAGCAAACTCTTTTATATTCAATCATGTCATCTATAGTCCTTGGATTTCATGTTTCAGTTCCTGACCAACATCATCCAGCCCCTACTTCAAACTTGATATCTTTGATCCCTTACTAAGGCCCCTTCTGATTCAGCTTCCGCTTCGCCGCACATATGAGCCTTTGATTTCAACTTCAAAGCACTATCTTGAATCTCTTTCTCAAAAACGGTATCTTCAATGTGCTGTATAAGTATACTGTCCCTCGAAGGAAAGTACTTGTAAGGAGTTGTGATATTCACATCTCGCCAAAATGCAGGACCTTGGACTATGCGAGATATGCCCCCAGATCGACTTCAAGCGTCATATTTACGGAGATAATGGCTTCCGTTACCGAGTACCACACTTGGAAACGGGTACCATTCACATGCTGCGTGAGAGGAGCACAGGCTGTGCTGTATGTTACGTCGCGTATCATAGTTTTGGCAAGGAGACAATGGACGACTTGCGATGCCATCTGTACGCGACAGACTTCTGTATGTGCCCTATCAAAATCTCAGATGAACACGAAGAGAGACTAGTCTGCGAGCATCCCAAGCACATCGTGTTCACGCTCAACTCAAAGCCCCCTCGGTATGCGGGATTCCAGATCTGCCTTGATCGCCGTGCAAAAAGAGTCGACCGCGATATTAATATTGCCGGCTTTGTCGAATCAACAGATGATTCTTGTTTCACAGGACGGGCAGTGGCAGATAAGGCAGATTTGAGAGTACTCCGGCAATGGCTTAAATTGTGCGAATTTCACCATGGGACTGAATGTCACGATCCAATCTGACCAGGATCTCCTGCACAGCCCAAGAACTTCCTTGTTATAGATGTGGAACAGAAGTGTATCATTTCAGCACCACCAGACTGCCGTTTCGTGGCATTATCGTACGTATGGGGTTCAGCGAAACAGAAGAAGCTGACACGAAAGAACTGGGATGTGTTGAGCCAGCCTGGGGCACTTGATGCAGACGATGTACCAGCCACTATTTGGGACACTATCTTGCTTACCAGATCTTTGGGAGAGATATATTGTTGGATAGATGCTCTTTGCATATTTCAAAACGACCCTGCAAGTCAACAGGATCAGATCTCGCAAATGGGTGCTATCTACTCGAGGGCACTTGTCACAATCGTCAATACTGCTGGAGATGGAAGTACGGGATTGCCCGGGATGCGTGTCGGAACAAGGAATCTCCAACATATCAAAATTAGGCTACGTGATTTCGACCTGGTCAAGGCACACGATGATGTGGACATCTACGGAGACTCACGACACAACATATCCATGTGGGAAAAGCGGGCTTGGACCTACCAGGAACGAATCTTCTCTAGACGGCTGATAATCTTTCGCAAGAAACAGATCTACTGGCACTGTAGAAGTGCAACTTTTGTCGAAGAAAAGATCCTAGAAACGCGAGGACCTCCAACAGTGCTCGCAAGCATGGAGCGAATGATCACCAGGCTACCAGAAATTCCAAGAAATTTGGCCGATTACACAAGCCGGTTGCTGAAAATGAAAACAATCGACGACAAAGAGTACCATTTATATAGGTCATTCGTCAAGGGTTACACAGTCCGCCAACTTTCTTACGGATCTGATGCTCTGAACGCATTTGCTGGCGTGTCTCGAGCTCTCTCGCTGCTAGGAAAAGCGGAGTATATCTGGGGCCTTCCGAAGTCAAGCTTTTCAGACGCTCTGACGTGGTCGGCGAAGGGTCTACAGAAGAATCCCTGTCTGCAGAACATCTTACGACGAGATGGGACGATCGTCCAGTTGCCATTTCCAAGCTGGTGTTGGGCATCTCGAACCTACAGTACATCGACCGAGTATGTAGGAGGAATCGACTGCTTTGAAAGGGGCATAGCCCTTGCGCCACATCTCATAATTTTCTACAGTTGTCTCACCGATGGAGGAGTGGTAAGAATCACCCAAGTCTCTGATGATAGCGAAGAAGGTTCCCAACCGAAGCCGGCGGGCAATAGCATGACTTCAAAATGGCTCGGGTATCCGCGTATCCACAACACTCTCAAGCCTACATCCGACTTATCCGACCAGGAAACTATCCACTCTGGAGAATTGAAATTTTGGTCAAGCGTCGCTACTGTTTACTTATTCACAGAAAAACAGCGACTTCGTGGAAAACCACGTACCACTTTCCTCTCCTCCCGCGGAAGCATTCTGATGGCATCAGCTCACCTCGACTCAAACCATTACAGATCGCCGGAAGACTCACGAGTCCCTAAACAAGTCCGCGAGGCTGACTTGAGAAATATACAAGGTAAAGCTTTGGAAGGCGACTGTCACATTACCATCCTCGATCTTGTGATAGTCCACGGCGAGATCACACAGACTGCGGGTGGGATTTCGGGACTTTCTAGTACAGGGAGAGTATTGCGTGCCTTGGCTGTTGGGTGGGAGGATGGAGTTGCCATTCGAGAGGGCTTTGTGCTTATTGCGGAGGAACATTGGGTGGGATTGGAGAATAGAGAGTGGAAGCTAGTGACGATGCGGTGACTTCAATGTAATGATTATGGTTCCATCTATCACGCTGAAGGTGCAGAGATGTCCGAGTGGTTCTGTCTAGACTCGAGCTGCAATGTTTATTCGAGTCACCAAATTCTTTCAGTGTTGAACACTAAGGAGACTGAGAGAGACTTGACTTTATCAACAGACCAATGAGGCACATATCTAATTCAGACTCACGTCTCAAAGCTAACCTCTCGCTACGAGACTCAACCCAAACCTACGTGGGAGTGAAAAGGTAACTTGGGCTGGTATACAAGGCAGAAGAAGTTGCGATCGGGAATTCGAGACATCTTCATCTCACACATGGAAAATTTTCAGGGTTCGAGATACAGAGCACGCTGAGAAGGACCGAATCAAATAGAAAATTAAAGCTGTCCTTACCCCAGAGCACACTCTGACAGCAAGCTTCTGCAGACCTGGGTACATTCCACACGTTAACGTTCCTGCGCACTCGATACTGTAAGCCCTGTAAGCGTATCAGGACATGAAACCTCTGTCCGTCGCTGGAACCTCAGACGCCAGCAAGACCTCCGGGATGTCAAGATTCCTAACTACCACAAAAGTACAGATCAGGTAAGCACAGCATGCAGTATAGATCGAGACCGAGACCGAGATCTTGATATACAGTGTGAACCTGTCATATGTATGTGACGTCGGATAGGTGAGACGAGGTTCTGGATCGAGGTCAGGTGAGTCAGTAGCCATGCTTGGTTGTCTCTCTCTCGTACCTTGTTTTTGGTTGTGATGCCGCGTTAGTGCGTGCTGGCGATTACACTGTAGAGATTGTGTAAATAGGAGTGTGGCGACGGAGGTGCCGGCTAGGATGTGTATGCCTTGCTCTACGCAGAAAACCACGATCTTGAGAAAGGAGAGGGTAGCCTAAACTTGCTGCCCGGCAAGTTTGCGCATCATTGACAAGGATAGCCGTCCTGTGTTTGAAATCCTGCGGTATTCCTCCCGTTCTAGTTCTTCCACGCATGTCCCATGTAAGAACTCTAATCCAGATCATACTCCTTCTTTCTCACTGCATGCTTCTTGTTGACCTGTTGACACATTATCCCGCTTCTTATTTTCCATTTCTTGTTTCCATCACACACGTGAGACCATCCCATCACGCGAACGTCCCTAGTCTTCATCACATACCTTAGGTACAGTAGGACAGAAGATTGGTACACCTCATCCCATAACCGGGTTCTGGTTTGCGCGCGCGTGTGTGTGTGTGTGTGTGGGTATATATGCAATGTTTGGTTTCACTCCTCTCGGCTCGGTTCGGGTCTTTGCAGGTGAGTACGAGAATAAGGGAGATATGCGATGGAATTAAATGCGATGCGATGTGAGGGCCCGATTCTTTGGAAAGGTGCATGGACCTAGAGATGTAGATGATGAGATTGAGATTGAGGTTGACGTTGAGATTGAGTGCTGATGACTGTCTGACGTCCTGCAGGCAGGCGATGTAAAGGTGAGGGAGCAGGAAGAGGGTGAGGTTTGCGAGCGGACGGGATGGTTGCCGTGAAGGGAGTGTGGGGGATCGTGGAGAGGAATGGAATGGATAAAGTGAGGAATCACCTACAAAGCTGGAGCTGAATAGGCAGTGGTGGAGGAACTTGAAGAGAGTTCATCTGTTGTTCCTGTGGTGTGGGGGGAACGAAGGAATGAAGCAGTTGTATGGAACAATGACGGGTAGCTAGGTATTGACCTTGGTTCTTTTAGTGAAGGTAGGTGAGTGACCGAGGAGATGCTATTATGGAAAATATGCACTGTTGTCTCTCAGAAGACGCATCGAGAAGAGAAGGAGTAAGTCGTTACCGCATCGCATCGCAAAACATATCGCGTTTAGCTGCAGTTCTCCGTACAGCCAACGGGCAAGTAAACCATCCAAGCAACCGCTCAATGAACCGACAACAGGAATCCTTCACTATCCAACTCCATCAATGTTTGGAAATGAGCAAAAACCAAGCCCGTGATTCGATCTAATTCCATCCACAAATAAAATTTTTCGTTGGTTTAGATTGAATAGAAACGAAACGAAACGAAACGAAACGAAACATAACGAAAACGAAAACAAACAAACCAGACGTCAAACAAACCCGGAAGCTGGGATTATTCATTGTTTTGTCTCCTGTTCGGTCTAGACCTCTTACCAGACCGACCTGGTCCTGCATCAGTCTCAGGAAGCGCCAGCCAGCCCAGCCTTGCTTCCTCTCTGAGACTCCCACCCAGTCAGTCATGTCATCAGCCCTGTCAGACAGCGAAGTCAACTTTAAATCTCCGTGATGCAGATGCAGATTGATGGGACGATGGTAAATTATTGTCGATCCCGAAGGTCTAGCTGCCACTTTCGCACTATTTTTTTTTTCTTACTTAATCTTGAATCCCGGGTTTTGAAAAGGGAAGTTGCGTATATGGAGACTGATATATGAGGTGGGTGTCGGGTAGGGTTTTGTGGAGTGGAGATGCGATGAAGATGAAACGGATCTAGGGGATTAAAGTTTTTTCGATGAGTGAGAGAGGAGGCACGGGTACGGGTAGGTAGATTTCGTTCGTGGCATGTTTAAGTTTAAAGGTAGAGTTTAAGATCCACTGGGATGGGGAGGGGAGGGGAGGGGAGGGGAGGGGATATTGCACAGGTACAGTAATAATTCGTCGGATCGGAAGGTTTAAATTCCAAACTCCACTGGGTTTGGGTGGGCAGGAGGCAGGGGATATAATTTACTTTTCGCAGGAACTTGGAATATTTGAAGGTTAAAAATTTAAGCTCCACTGGGAAACGTCACGGGTGGAGATCTAGATCTTGAGGGGTTCGGAAGTTTACTCTGCAGACGATTACAGGAGGCAAAAGTATTACTGGGTGCAGAAGGAGTTACCTGATAAAGAAGGGCAAGGGGAAGGGTAACATACATAACAGTCTATCAATCAAACTTGTCTTTCTTTCAAAATGACAAGATTGATATATATCCCAACCTCATCGTCCAGTACCATTGTAAATTACCAGTAAGATATGCCAAGGGTTGAATGACCGCGGCAGTTAGTCATCTCATCCCATCCCATCCCATCCCACGATCCACTACCTACTACTCCATCACGGCATTGACGTGCCCTGATTGCCAAGTCGTCCAAGGCTGTTGTTCAGTGGGGCGGGACCCAAGGATCAAAATCCCAGAGTGGAGAATCGTCAAAATTTTAGAGTAGGTACGCGAGTACAGTACAGTACAACCACAAACCACTCTTCTCGAAACATACCCTTGCTTTTGGCCAGATCTGAGAATCTTCCCGAGGGCGAGGGTCTTATTTTTCTGACGGGGGCAGGGGAGAGGGGGAGGGGGATTTATGGCGAATAGGAAGGGGATCTTATAGGTAGATTTGAGAGGGAGGATGTTATTGTGGGTAAGTAAGTGGGGAGGGTGGTGCAGATTGGCGGAAATCAGATGAGGGGCCGGATGTGATTATTGCGATTGTGAATCCCTTCATTTTTGTTTTGGAGATTGGAGATTAGAGATTAGAGATTAGATTTGAGATTAGAAATTTGAGATTTGAGTGACGAGGTAATTTACAAGGGCTGAGAAATGAGGTGATTAAGGTATGTGGGGTCGGGAAAATTCGTGTTTGGTTTGAGTGAGTGAGTGAGTGAGTGAGTGAGTGAGTGAGTGATTTGTTTGATGAACCGTCAGATCACAACTTCCTGGAGATTTGACAGCGTGGCTCCACAGCGGATGAGCCCGGACTGACTGACTGATGCGACAAGAAGTGAAATGACAGTTATCGAGAAGGATGATAGTGGGAGGTTTTCCGCGAGGGAGAATACCTAAGATAGGTAATGGCTGGACGCCGAGATATCTGTAAAATCACATTGTTATCACGAGACGTGGTGTTTGCGCGAGGCTTGGGGCTTGAGCAAATGGGTATTTTGCGTTGCGCCTACATCTCCTCCTTATTTATCATTCTCGCGAGCGCAAAGGTACTGGCTGAGACCAAAATTCAATAGTACCTAGAAATACGAAAGGTCTGTTCGTTCTCGTCTTGTCCTCCTCATAAAATTACCACACCAAACCTCACCTGATCCCTCCCGTATTTCTGTATTTGGCGCCGGCAAGTCCAACGATCGCTGACTGGGCTGGCTTTGCTTCAATCGGGTGGACTACTACTGGAGGAGACGGGACGGGTTCCTGGATTTTGAAATGCAGGAACGGGAAAAGGGTTGAGGGGAGGGGAGGGGAGCAGGCCAGGGCAGGCCAGGCCAATGAGAGAGGTGAAGTGGCCTGTAGCGAAGCTGGCTTCCCGCCCATTTTTCACACCACCCCGCGAAAATAAAATAAAGTGAGTGTGGCGCTGGCAGGCTGGGATGATCCCATTCCCCCTTGGTGCGCCCCTATCGTAAAGTTTACTGTACCGTACCGTATCCATCTCACTTGCGACGAAGGATCTGAGGGGTCTGGGCGCTGGGCACTGGGCACTGGGCAGGGCCGGATGGTGAGCCTGGAGGAGTGCAGGAGTGATGTTTGAAGCGACACATGGGTGAGGGGATGGATGGATGGATGTTGGAGAGGCAGGAGTTCGGATGAACTGATTTGGAGGGAGGTGCTGGCTGTGGAACGTGAGTGTGTTTGATGGGGGTTGTTTGGTGACGTAGAATAGAATGTTTGGATTGATACTTGGCCAGTCATACAGCTGTGTCCACGGGTTTGTGTGGGCCGGGCCTGAGAATGGGTTGGTTAAGGTTCCTCTGTTTGATCCAACCTATCTACCTCCGTAACTGATTGATGGCCGACCATGACCAAGGTACATAGCGGAGGTGCTGACCATGGCAACAGCGTGGCAATGGCAACGGCAAATCTACGGTAGGCATGACGAAAATTCAAATCAGATGAACCATTCCATCCATTATTGAAACCCCAAGTAAGCTTGGGACTTTTGACACGACTCGACACCTGGAACAACTTGGCATTTGGCGTTGCAGCAGCAGCAGCAGCAGCAAGCCCGGGTCTTTTTCTGTGCGTGGTGAGCTGTAGGTAAGCTCCATGCCATAGCAGAGGGCCGGCGCTCGCACGGTCTGAATCATGAGTTTGCATTTTTAGGGTTCTCAACAGGAATTTAGACCTGGTCAGGGTCTTCACACGGCAGATAACCGAGATGTGCTTGCTGGCTCTGGCTGCATACAGTACAGTACAGTACAGTACACTCTCAACTATTCTTGTCGTCGATCCAGTACTTCGTACAGCTTATGCGCTGCTGCAGTCAGCTCTTCTAGAACCAACCAGACATAGAACTGCTGCCGATGGAGGGTTGCATGCAGACGGACGATCACTTCGAGACCTCCCCTTTCGTGCAGTGGGTAAGTGCAAAAATACAACAATGCCATTATTACTGTTGTTTGTTGTCGTATATTATGTGATTTGGGGCTGCAGCGAGGCCGATGACAGCACCCATATTTATATTTACTCTACATACCGTGTATACAAAAATACAGAATCATGTATCAACCCCTATGTGCAGCAACAATTGCTCCCATACTGTGCCACCATGTCCCTCCATCACCAACTCTCTCCATGATTCCTGAATGTGTTGTGCTGGGTTGTATTGGATCGTGGTGTTGTGGATGTGCACAGATGGCCTTCTGATCCCAAATTGCTGCCCACTCGCACCCATCCAAAGGCAATCTCTCATCTCTCGTGATGGCTTCAATTCCCTCGCCTACCTCGTCATCGGAAATGAGAAGACTTGATCCCAAGGCAGCGCCATTCTGGTTTGTGGCACGAAGGATGATCGTTTCAAGTGACGGCGACGCGGATTGGCCTGCCCCTGAGCGTTCCCAGGCCTACCCGAGCCCGTCGACGCGGAGAGGTCGGGCTAATCGGGCTAATCGGGCGCCCAGGGGAAAATTGAAATTAGAGCACGCACTAGCGGCTGCGCTAGACCCTCGCTAGATTAGCGCGCTCTTCCCCCCGGCCGCTCCTTGCCTTCCCCCGCTCATTTCCCACCCTCATGCGCCGCCCTCTTTACAACACCATCGCCGACTTGAGGTCGCTCTTTGTTCTCTCCTGCCTTACCACCACTTCCTCCATCACCTTCAATTCTCGTCATTCGTGACACTTACACTCCTTCAGGAAAACCCCGCGGTCAACACCTCTGTCCATTCCTTCCAGTCTGTTGATACCCTCCTTCACATTCACGAATTCCATTCGTCGCACCAACCACCCACGCGCCGCGCCCGCTCGCCCACATTCCATTCTTCGACAGAATCATAAGTACAAGCAGTGCTGCCAGCCCGACACGGTCTCGAATACGAAACACAACTCTACGCGGTCGACCCCGTCCCAAGTACAAGTACTCCAGCTTTCTCGAAGAAAGTAAACAAGACGATCAACACCAGTGAACCATCTCCAAACACTCATTCACCTCGAATCCAAGATGCGTTCCTCAACTGTTCTCGCTATCCTCGGTGCCACGGTCGCCATTGCGTCTCCACTCAACCACCAGGGCTTGCACCACAAGAAGGCCTACGTGACTGATATCGTTACTGATATCGTCTACGTTACCGTGACTGCTGGTGAACCTCTTCCTACCACCGTTCCCGACATCACTCCCGACACCACCATCGTCGTCAAGCACACCGTCTTCGCTCACCACAAGCCAAAGTCGTCTGCTCCTCCAAAGCCAACTACTACCCCCCCTCCTCCTCCACCACCTGTCCCAACCCCCGCTGCCGTCCCAGAGCCACAGCCAACTCCCGTCGCTCCAGCTCCTGAACCAGTCGTCGAGGCTCCTGCTCCAGTCGTTCAGTCCGTCCCAGATGTCAAGGTTGCCGCTACTCCAGTTGCTTCCGACGCGAAGCCAACTGACTACCAATCCTCTGCTCTGTTCCATCACAACAAGCACCGTGCTAACCACACCGCTGATGCATTGGTCTGGGATACCACTCTTGCTGGCTATGCTGACAAGATTGCCAAGAGCTGCGTCTTCGCTCACGACATGTAAGCTACCTTTTCCTGATTCCGCAATCCTACGACTGACATCAATTAGGACTCAAGGTGGTGGTGGATACGGACAGAACCTTGCCGCTTACGGTACCACTGCTGATATGGGATCGATCGATCTCTCAACTGTCGTCGGTGATGCCATTACCAACCAGTGGTACTATGGTGAGGCTGCTAACATGCCATACGGACAAAACAGCCCTGCTGTTTCCGGCGTTCCTGAGTACCTCCACTTCTCTCAGGTCCTATGGAAGAGCACCACCAAGGTTGGATGCGCCACCGTTCAATGCGGAGCTGGTACCATCTTCTCCTACCACAGCTTGTACACTGGTAAGCATTCTCCATCTTCTTCAAAGTTCTTCACTCACATGGCTCCAGTCTGCAACTATGCAAAGACCGGCAACGTTCTTGGATCATTCGCATCTGAGGTCACTGAGCCAATCGGTCTTCCCGGTATCACTGCCAACATCTCGTAAACGTAGCGAGTATCTTGTGCAACATGACGCGTGCGTTTTGAGGCATATTATGGGCTCTGGAAGCGGCTATCTTTCATGTACGATTTTAGGAGGTAGTTGGCGTCGTGGCTGGTCCGCGCTTGACAACTCCTCGACACAACTCTTCATCCAAAACAAAATAAGGTTGCACATGTTGGTATAGAATCATCCCTCCAGAGGTGTGACGAATTTTCTTGCAATCATTCTACATTTCGGCCCTGCTCTTCATCATGCAATCAGTCTTCCCTTCCAACTCGTTTATTCGATCGAGATGAACGGAATTCGATCAATACCATGGTGGTTTCGATCGGCATTGACACTTTGTCTCTGCTGCGAACGTTCTGAGCGGGCATTTTCACTTCTTTGTACTTACACTTTTTACACATGAGTCTCTTCCCACGAACCAAAAAATGGAAGGCTCCTTGCCCTCAGGCATCTGCATGGAATTCGGTATTCTTCGTTCTTTTTCTTCTCTTTCCTGTGTGATGAAGTGACTGGTGATGGTGACGACATGACATCCGGAAGCAAGCACGGGTTGTGGATTTCCTTGTGACGTTGTGCATCGTGGGCTTGGAGGGATTGAGGGAATGGTAGGAAGAAAGGAGTCCTTCCGGCTGGCAAGAGACAATCAATGTCTATGCATAGGCGTAGCGCGAGATAGCAAGAAACGAAGATGGTATCGATGATGAATTAAAGACTCAAGATCCTGATCCTGTTGGGAAATTCCGTCTGCTTGTTTGTATTTGTGAAGAAGGGAAGTGAAGTGAGAATAAGCTCGTCTCGTTTGATAATCAACCTCGGGAAGGGGAAGGGGAAAGGGGGGGGGGGGGGGTGTAAGTGATGTAGGTAAGGTATTCGACTGACAATAAGCGTGAAACCGCAACAGGTCGCCTACCTTGGATTTGCGACAGTGCAAGTCAGGTAGGTAAGGTAGATAGGTGGCTGGGTGGTTGGTAGCTTATTCATGACTCGATCGATAGGTACCTACCTACCTCTTGTGATAGATAATGATTTTAGGATAATTATTAATATTCTTTAAGTCTGGAGAGGAAGATTTTTGTATTTTATTTGAGTCCGGCGGAGGTGTGCATTTTGACTGTTGAGTAAGTAGGTGAGGTGAGGTTAGGTAGGTTCAGGCGGCTCAGATTAACTCACGCGGAAGTACTCTATCTACAGTAGCGCATGAAAATCGCGATTTGATTGATTATTGATAAGGTTAGGTACGACATATGCGTGCAGTGCATGTGGATCCGATACGGTAAAGTAAAGTAACGTCCATTACCGTAAGGTACCTACAGATCCCGCTTCTCCCGCTCTCTCCCGCTCCCCTCCCCTCCCCTCCCCTCTTCAACTTCAACTTCAACTTCAACACCACCCCTCACCCCTCACCACCGCTCCTCCCTCTACGCTACCAGAGAGAGAGAAATCTCGAGCGCATATTTATCCACACACAGGCGCAGCTATACTATTTCCGAAGATACCTTCAGCCCAATTAAGGAGCAGAGTAGGAAATTCTCGTCGGTCGGGAGGGAGGGTTGACGATAAAGAGCGAGCAAGCAAGACAGCGCAGCCTTGTGCAGTGGAGTTGGTTGAGTGGGATTTTATTACCCCGCTACATAAGGATACTTACTTACTCACTTCCGACGACGCATATTTATTTCTGCACCTCAACGATTCGATTCCATTGTCGCGAATACAGCTAGGCGCGCAGCGGATAGAGAACGACTCTGCAGAAGAGAAGAGAAGAGTGAGCTTGAGCTGGATTTGATATAAGGAAGAAAGCAAGCAAGCAAGCAAGCAAGCAAGCAAATTGTGCGGCACTGCTGAGTTGAGTTGAGTTGAGTTTTGAAGTCGAAACGCGAGTCGAAACGCGAGTCAGCGCATATCGGGTAGGGTTCTTTGGTACGGTCGGGGCAGAGCAGAGCAGAGCAGAGCAGGGCAGGGCAGAGCTTAGCTAGCACGGGTGTAGGAAGGACTGCGACTGCGACGGGGAGGATATACCTCTGTGTTGCTTGGAGCGAGATAGGATAGGGAAGGATAGGATAGGATAGGAGCGCAAAGACCAGAGAAGTGCAGAACAAGACAAGACAAGACGAGGCAAGACCGAGACGAGGCAAGGCAAGACACCAAAAATTGGTCATGATGGCAGCACAACTCCGGGGGGAAGGGTCAGGCGCGAGCCCAGGACAAGGCCAAGCACAAGGACAAGGACAAGGCATAGCAACAGCTCTCAACAACGGACTTTCCACCACCACCACCTCCTCCTCACAAGCCACGAACGGAGATGGTACCACAGGAGCAGGAGGAGGAGACAAGCCCGAGCTTATCCTGACGAATCGCGCTGGTGAGAGTAGGAGTCCGTATGTGAGGGCGCACCGGGGGAATCCTGTGCGGTGGCAGGTTTGGGGGGAGGAGGCGGTGGAGATGGCGAGGAGGGAGAATAGGTTGTTGTTTTTGAGTATTGGGTATAGTGCTTGTCATTGTGAGTTTTGTGGTTTCTCCTTTTGAGTTTTGGGGCTGGGTTTGGGGGTGGCGTGTTCTTGGAGGAGGGGGGTTGGAATGGGATAGGAGAAGGAAGGGAAGAGACGGGAATGGAGATATACCTTTGGTTGATTGATACAAAGAGAACACAGCTAATTGAGTAACTATAGGGTGCCATGTCATGGAACGCGAATCCTTCGAAAACGAAGAGGTAGCCTCAATCCTCAACTCCGCCTTCATCCCCATCAAAATCGACCGCGAAGAACGTCCCGACATCGACCGTATCTACATGAACTTCGTTCAAGCAACTACCGGCTCCGGCGGCTGGCCTCTCAACGTCTTCGTCACGCCAGACCTCGAGCCCGTCTTCGGCGGCACGTACTGGCCTGGTCCAACATCGCAGACTACACCGTTTGAAGACCAGGTTGGTTTCTTGGGCATCTTGGATAAGCTGAGTACGGTGTGGAGAGAGCAGGAACAGAGGTGTAGGAGCGACTCGAAGCAGATACTGGAGCAGTTGAAGAGTTTTGCTGCTGAAGGGACGTTTGGTGGAAGACTTGGTGAGGGAGCTGATGGTCTTGATATCGAGCTTTTGGAGGAAGCGAATCAGCATTTTGCTTCGACGTTTGATAGTAAGAATGGCGGGTTTGGCTCTGCACCGAAATTCCCTACGCCTTCGAAATTGTCCTTCTTGTTGAGATTGGGCCAGTATCCGTCTGTTGTTATTGATGTGGTCGGTGCTGCCGACTGCAGAAATGCGCAGACTATGGCTGTAACGACTCTGAAGAAGATGGCGAGAGGTGGCATCCATGATCATATTGGGAATGGCTTCGCGAGATACTCCGTCACAGCAGATTGGTCGCTTCCCCATTTCGAGAAGATGCTGTACGATAATGCTCAGCTGCTCCACGTCTACCTAGACGCATTCCTACTTTCGAGAGACGCAGAACTCCTCGGCGTCGTATACGACATCTCAACATACCTAACCACCGATCTCGCACACTCAGCCGGAGGATTCTACTCTAGCGAAGACGCAGATAGTCTCTATAGGAAAGGCGACACCGAGAAACGCGAAGGAGCATTTTACGTGTGGACGAAACGCGAATTCGAAAACGTCCTCGGCTCGCAAGCTGAGCCTATCCTCTCAGCATTCTTCAACGTCAGCGGTCATGGAAACGTCGAGCCTGAAAACGACGCACACGATGAATTCCTCGATCAGAATGTCCTCGCTATTGTCAGCACGCCTAGCGCACTTGCCAGTCAGTTCGGTATGAAGGAAGAGGAGGTTGTGCGGATTATTAAGGAGGGTAAAGCTGCGCTGAGAGCCCATCGGGAGAAAGAGCGTGTTAGACCTGTGCTGGATGATAAAATTGTCGTGAGCTGGAATGGAATCGCTATTGGTGCTCTGGCTAGGACGGGAGCTGTGATCAAGGGTTTTGATCCGGTGAAGTCGGAGGAGTATCTTGGCTTTGCGATCAAAGCTGCTACTTTCATCAAGGAGAATTTGTATGATGCGTCTTCGAAGACTTTGTATCGGGTTTGGAGAGAAGGACGGGGTGATACGGAGGGATTTGCGGATGATTATGCGTTCTTGATTGAAGGCCTGATTGATCTGTATGAAGCGACTTTCGACGAGAAGTGGCTACAATGGGCCGATGAGCTGCAACGTAAGCCTTCCATCCAATACCCCTCACTCATTGGGATATATCTAACATCAATGCGCTCACAGAAACCCAAATCTCACTCTTCTTCGACACAGCCAGCACCGCCGGCTTCTTCTCCACGCCCGCCTCCGCCCCGCTCACCATCCTCCGCCTCAAAGACGGCATGGACACCTCCGAGCCCTCCACCAATGGCACATCCGCCTCCAACCTCTACCGTCTCTCCTCGCTCCTCAACGACGCCGCGTACGCGGACAAGGCGAAGAGTACCATCGCCGGCTTCGAGAGCGAGACCTTGCAGTACCCGTGGCTGTTTGCGAGTTTCATGCCTAGTGTTGTGGCGAGCCAGTTGGGTGTTAGGGGCGTGGTTGTTGCGGGTGGTGGGGATGATGGGGAGGGGGTTGGGGTGGGTATCGGCAAGGTCAAGGAGTTTGAGAAGAGTCCTAGAGGGGGACTGGGGACTTTTGCGTGGTTGAAAGATGGAGATGAGAAGGGGGGTTGGTTGAGGAGTAGGAATGAACTACTTAGGGATTTCAGAGGGAGGGATGGAGTGGCGAGGGTAATGGTTTGTGAGGGGGGTGTTTGTAAGGAGGAGGGTGTGCTGGGGGGTGTGAGGGAGGCTGTTGGTGCTGGTGCTGGTGCTGGTGTTGGCAGTGCTGAGGCAGGCCTGAGCGGGGCGGCTGAGAAGGAGAAGCAGAAGGAGATTAATGTCAGTGATTTCAAAACTGCATTGCCTTCTCTCTCTTCACAGCAGTCAACAGCACCTCCATCTGCTGTACCTGCCGTGGAAGCGCAGACACAGAAGAGCGAAGAGAAGAATGCTGATGCAAATACTTCGCCGTTTACGGTGCCTAGCTAGCTAGCTAGCCAGCCATATTAGCAGGCAGTTGATATAGGCATCAGAGGTACTAATCGAGTTTTTCTTCTTATTTGGTGGGTGGAGCTAGGTTTGTTTGCTTATTGGGCTGACTGAAGGTGGCGTTTGAGGGGTGGTCGTTATTTATTCTCTTAGTATTCCATGGGTTTGAGATGGCGTGATGAAGGCGAGGTGATGGGATGTTGGGTTGGGTGCGAGACAACGTTGATAAGTTGAATGGTTTTATGCATGCATACTTACTTAGATGGATAGGTAGAGGGACAGAGGGACAGAGGGACAAGCAGCGGATGTATGGTGGCGTAGCGTGGGGTGGGTTGCTATTGATTATATTATATCATCATAACATCAATTCATATGACAGCGCTGTTTAGCGAGATGCTGCCTTTTGTGTTGCCGCGTGAAGTTGAGATTGAGTTTGCTGCTAGATCGTAGAGATATTTGGGTTGATGATGAAGTTTTGCATATCGAAATGTTAGACTTACTCGTCTGTTATGGAATCATGTTATGCGGGGTAGCAGTCTGAGGCGTAAAATGTTGTTGATATATTGCCTCATTACCTAGGATATTCAGAACTTACCTGTACTTCGCTAAAGCTCATGGCCGACATCTGGTCAATTATGCATGTCTAGACACAGATCTCTTCGTTGCTGAAAAGTACCTTGCAAAACTTTGTTCCGAAGACATGGTACCTACCACTGCGCTCACTCAGAGCATATGTCCGCGGCCCGCCTCCACGACATTGACAAGAATGAGTCTTCTCAATTTAGGTATTCTGTAATCCCATCTGTTTTCCCGCAGAGTATCGTTAAACCACAGGTTGAGGTAGTAGGCACCTAGCGAACGAGTGAAGAGGAATGCGAAGTGAGCTGGGTACAATCATAAAAGTCAATACGGAGTGGAGTGTAAGATAATGTCCATTCTCATTTGACCCGCGAAACACCAGCCGCTATGCCAGAAACTCAAATAAAACATCTCCTATCCGTCCTACAACCACCTTAAGTCATGATAGTTTTACAGAATCCTTCTTCAGGCGACGTCTATCTCCACAGCATCCACCCCATCTAATTCCATCCTTTCCACCAACACCAGAGCCTGTTGTGCAATCCCAACCAAGCGACTTCTCGCCGCATCTGCTTCAGCTGCCTCCTTCTCCTCAATCCTCTTCTCAGCAGCCTCCTTCTCACACAACGCCGTAAACCATCTCTCATAACTCTCATCCGTCTCCACCAAATTATATCCCCCAACGCCTCCCTCACTCTTCGCTTCAAATTCAAACGTCCTATACTCCGCATTACCCATCTGCTTACTCCCATCACCAATAACCCTCTTCAAGAACGACCCATGCGACACCACAGCAATATGCACATCCCTCTCCTCCTCCACAAACGGAACATCATACTCCATCAACCACCTATTCTCATGACCAAACAGCGCCCCAGTCCCACCATCCAACTCCAACCTCGCCTCCTCCCTCTCAAACTCCTGCATCCTAGCCACGCGCGCCAAATCCTTAATCCTATACTTCACCAACTTCGCTCTCAGATCCACCCCAATCGAACAAGTAGGCACCTCCCAACCCCGCTCAATCTCCGTAGTCACTACCCGCTCTCCTCCCAGATTCGCCGATTTATCCAGCAAACTCGGTAGATAAGACCCACAACTGTTAGCCCCCATCCCCGTCTCTCGCAGGATGTCCAGAGCGATGGGCTGGATACCTCGTCGGATAGCTGGCTCGAGGCCTAGTAGTGTTGTTTGTAGTGTGCGGCGGAGCGGCGATGTGATGATGTGGGTTATTTTGTTCATGAATGGGAAGTTGGTGCGTAGGGCGAGGGCTTCTTGGATGCCGTGTGGGGTGAGGCGAGGGTCTTGGATGCTTCTGCAGAGGTCTATGTCGGCTTGGGTGAGCTCTGGAGCCGGGTGGCCTTGTTGTGCCTGTGTGGTGTTAGGTGGTGAACTTTGGGTGGGTGGGTGTGTGGGAAAAGAGTTGGGGTGAAGAGGGGGAAGAAGAGGTACTTACTGCTGTGCGACGGATGGCTTGGTAGTTACTTTGTGCCTTTTGATGATGTTAGTATGATCTGATGTAGAGGATATGGGCTGGGAACTTACTTGTGCGTGGCGGATTAGGTGAATGTACACCTTGGGCATGGTGTTTGTTGGTGCCATTATTGATGATGGATTTCAGGCGATTGTTGAGAACTTTGTCGTCTTGGAGTATTGAGGTTTGTACCGTGAGTGATATGTTATGATTGTTTGCCAGAGGTAGGATGTACGAAGAAGTGCTCAACTGTAAGGTTGAAGTGAATGTTTGATGGTAGTTTCTGTGGAACAGAAAGAACATGGGGAAGTGTGCTCTGGAGATTTTAAGTAGAATTACATTAGTGTGCGATTGTTATTTCAACTGGATTTATTCTATTGTCTTGTTAATTCTCTTGATATATTGAGGTAGGCTCGGACTAGCTACGATGAAGTTTGGTACCTAGTAATGAAGCGCTGTTTAGCTCACCGTCTAATTAAGCGAGACAATGAAAACAATGATGGATGACTAGACAGGTTCAGTGTGATGTCACTGAGTCAGCGAGTGGTGGCTCTACCAAGTGTCTAGTGTTTGATTTGTTTCTCACAATTCCATTCTAGCCCAAGAATTGCTGAGAAGAGCGTCATCTGTGCTATTTGTTTTCAACGCTTGTATTGACAAGGTGGGTCTACTAATATAAGCGAGCAATAATTCAGGGCTACCGAAAGGAAATCCAAGTCCACTTCGACGATGATGAATCCTTCGATCCATCGGTTTTACTTAATCGAACATATTTAACATCCTTATTTGCATCCAGTTCAGCAATAGTCCTTTCGGGTTTGCTGGTGTCGTGCTCAGTGTCTTCTTGACTCGATGACTCTCCAGCACCGGGTACCACAGGAACCGGACTTGCCAGCTCGATAGCCCCATCATCTGCTCTCAATTCTCTCGCGACCTCGTCCACTGCAGCCATCTCGTGCAAATACCGCTCTCGCGCATCCGACTCAACAACACCCTTCACGCCCTCCAATTCATAGATAGCTTGCTCCTTGACCTCCGTCTCAACCGGCTCTCGGTCCGCATTGATCTCATAGACACCGACCCCATCATGGTCAAGTTCAGGTTTGGAAAATGTTGTTTCTTCAACATCTTCAATTGGTGAAGGAGGAGCTTCAGATTTTCCTTCCACATCCTCAGTCTTCTGTCGTTTTGGCCGAACGTAGAAGAAATAAATCATAGTCAAGATCCCACCCAACGCAACACCACCAATCGTCCCTTCAACAGCAGGTCCAACACTGCTACTACTCGGAGAAGGTGTTAATGCGTCAACAAGCCCTGCACCAGTCGATGTACCGCCTGCGCTCGCATCTGTGGAACTTCCATTCAATGAGTCAATTGGCCATATATCCTCTGCATTGTTGGCAACTCCTTTACATTGATGGACGGAAAAGGTATGACGCTCGTAGTCGGCAGTCACATATGCCTCTTGGAAGAACGTCCTACCAAGTATATACTCAGTCGTACTGTTTGCGCGCTTCAACGGGAAGTCTCGTGATGGGTTCTGAACCAGCGGTCGTGAGGCAGTGAGATTAAACGCGGCGTATGGGAGGGTGATATTGACTGTAAACCCTTCAGTGCCATTGTTGATCGCGAATGTCACGCTGGGATCAGCTGCCAACAGACTGTCGTGTAGTGTGTCGTTAACGAGGTACAGTTCTGTTGCGACGTCCCAGATGAGCCCGAACTCTTTTTCGAAAAGTAGGCAAGCTTCAAGTGGGAGCCATATATATGGTAACGAGGAATCTAGAAACATAGATATCGGAGTCTGCAGCAGAGACTTCTGATCTCTGTTACCACCCCATCCAAACGACGTGACGGACTCGACCTTCACGGTCAGATCGCGAAATTCGTCTTTGTCGAATGGCCAGGTGATATCGTGGGCGATGAACCGTGCCTGGTCATAACCACCGAAGACCAGACTTCCATATTGTGTACCTTTTCCTTTGGTAATGTCAGCACCAGAACACGTTCCTGATCGAATAATGAAAATAACTTACGGTAAGGTCCTCCAGCTGTGTATGACCAAGTGAGACTCGGGATCGTTCCATTATCCCTCAGATTCTCCAGATAGCTTTTCGCGGGAACAGTCGAACCTGGTAACGTTGTTGAGCGTGGACAGATGCCAAAGATTCCAACATACGTATCTTGACCTGCAAATGTAGCAATGGATTGATTGAGTTGAGGAAGGAAGCTGAAACTGTCGGCAAAGTCATCAAAGCCAAAATTTCCGGTGACATCATATCCCAGCGACGATTGCAAAGATAGCGACGTGTTTACGGCGATGGTATTTGCTACCCATGTGGATGATTTGGTGGGATCAAAGGTTCCACCGCGCTGAGTTGCGCAGTCTGGTGGGTCAGACGACGTGCATCCAGACGAACTAACAAGTAGGACGCTTCGAGATGAGGTCGAGATGAGTAATTTTTGAGTCTGGGGTGGGTTGCCCGTTCTAAAACTGAATGATGACCATGGCCCGTCATTTCCATCCCTATAAACTTGAGTAAGCAATAGACTAATGGGATGTATCTCAGACGAATAATTGTCATAATGAAACAGTGTGGGGAGAGAGCGGAGAAGATGAGGGGTATATAATCAGAAAAAAAGTCTTTGCTTCATAGATTATTATACCATGGGCACGGATTATAAAACCCACGAGCTGCCAGATCTGGGAATACTGTTGTATCGTGAATGGAATCGAGTGCGAAGACCAAGTCACCTACCAGTCTGAGTTCGAAAATATTGTGATGGGAAACGCTTGCGCTGCCAACGCTGCGTCGGTAGGAATGTCCGATTGTGCTATGGGAACTTCTGATACAGCAGGAACATCCGCAGCTGTTGACTGTGTTGGGACAACGCGTTTTGCTTGAGACGGCAGGGTTGCGAGAAGCAGCCAAAAGGCAACCCAAAAGGAGACTTTAGAAAAGTTGACAGTTGCCATTCTAGCAAATGCAAATTCTGGAGACGATCAAACGGAATGCATAATATTCGAAAGGCAGAAATGGTTTAATCAATAATCTGTCGCTGTCTCCCGACCAGAATTGGGATGGGTGTCAACTCAATTTCACAACTGACGGAATGTCAAGGCAGACTACAGCTAACTCGCTCTCAACCCTTGGCCCAGAAAACCCGCTCCACCATGGATCATCATTGATAGATTTTCGACCATATCAGAGGGGATTCTGAATCACGGAATAATGTTGTGGCGGCCTAAGACATTGGAAGGCATTGGTAATCGCTGTGCAGGTGTTTATTCCTAGCCGCACGAGGCTGAACGTCAGAGTTCATCCCGTCTCAGCTTCGGAGAAGCGAGCGGAAGTGGTACCTGGTGTGAAGTCGAACAATTCTTTGCTTTTTTGGGGGCTGGTGACAGCGGGCTGGATGTGATTGAGTTGTTGAGGTGCAGCTGCCCCCAAACTCGCTTAGCGAAGGCGGGTAGATCGTCGAACACTTCGCGATCTTTGCCATCACAAAAGCAATAGTGTGGAGGAATGGGCTCTACAGATGGTCAGATGATGGGATTATGTGTGGAAGTGTTCCTAACGAGAAAATTTGGGCCTGAAATATGCTTGCGATGTGGCAAAGTCGCAGATCTAATATTTCGAGATCTTGGCATCAATGGACAGATTAGCATCAAGTGACAGAAGTAAAGCTCCAGAAACATGGTTTCTGGTATATTCGAATAAAATTACAAGAACAAATTGGGGATGTGTTGATATATCAGCCACAGGGGAGAATCATTGATTACCAGCTCATACAATGAAGTGAAGGATCGGGTGTCGTCAAGAATAGCTTCGTTGTGGATCAATGTGATGAGACATACATGGTTAATGGGGCGCAATTGAAAAGCAATATGTTCTTCACACCATCTTTAAAGAAGTTCATCGATGCGTCTTGATGAATAACGACGCCGTTGCCGACTTGGCTTTTGGTGTCCAGTTACATCTGTACCTTTGACACTTTTAACCCACATGGCAATTCGGAACTGACTCGAAGTTTGTCCGCAACAGTTTTGGGGTCCTTTGTAATCACTTGAGACTTGAGACAAGGAATTATACATTACTGAGAGACTGTAGAAGTAAGCAACCAGACAATGTTGAAGAGCTACTACGGAATGTGAGAAATGTGGCATAAGTATTCCTTGAATCCTCCTCACTTTCTCATCCTCCCTTCCTCAGAACAGATTTCCCTTTTCACATATTGAGTCTAATTGAAGCTCTTAATGGTATCCAAGGTTCTAATTTACGGGCTTTGCGCCTTGACTCCTTACCTTGGAATAGTTGCCGGTATGTGTGACCGGAGCCTGCTCATCTCCCCCATTCTGATCAGAAATAGCTGTCACTGGTCCACACTACCTCAACACAACCAGCACAACACGCACCGCTTCTCTCGCTCCCACAACCACATTTGAAATTCCGGCAGTCCCTACCGATGTAATCACAGCTCCTGATCAAGGCGAGGTCCCTTCACAGGTGGATTCTGGTCAAGAAGCCTCACCAACTCAAGATGCCCAACCGCCTCCAACATCTGAACCTCCAAGTCAAATCGACGACCCGGATTCAGAATTGCCTTTCGACCCAGACGATGACACCCAACAGTCAGATGGAGTTGCTCCCATCCCCGACACGGACTCCGACTCGCCAGCCCCAAAACTACAAGTTCCCCCAGGCTCATCGGGAGACCCATCTGAGATGCAAGATGAAGTTCCATCAAGCACAGAGCCCGATCCAATGTTTGCTGAGGGTGACTCTGAAGATCTGGACACCATGCTAGTATCAGATGGCACTGTTGAGTTAGTCGACAGTACTGGAAGCACAATTGAGCTTGTTATCGACGCCGTACCCTCGGAGCCTGTCATTGGTGTCGACCCAGAAGGAACCTTTGTTCTGCTCCCAGGGGATGATTCCGACCCTGCCACTGAAGAGTCGTTTACCATTATTCCGAGTCCAGGTCCAAATCCAACAATCAGTACTACCCGAACTCTTCCAGGTCGTGTGACGAGTTTATCGAGTGGGCTAGGCGTTGTTCTGCCTGGCTCGACCCTGGTTCCAGTCGATCCATTTTTGCCTGCTTTGACGGGGAGCACTACCGTCATCAGCGGTCAGACTTTCGTCGAAGTTGCAAATCCAACAACTGTACCTCTTGTCCGACCATCACAACCCTCTGCTACCAACACGATCACTGCTACTCTGCCAGGACGAATTACCTCAGTCTCTGGATCTTTGATCGCTGTCATCTCAACCCCAACTACAGTGCCCGTCAACACCTTCCTACCAGACCTCGAAGGCAGCACGACAGTCGTCAGCAGCCACACATTTGTAATAATATCTCAACCCACAACCCTAGCCATCTCTGTACCAAAACCAAGTTCACACAACCACATTACGACTCCTCTCCCAGGCCGCACCACAATGATATCTGGGACATTGAACGTCGTTCTCCCTGGCTCCACAAGAGTTCCCGTCAATGAGAACCTGTCAGGTTTAAACGGGAAGACGACTGTAATTGGCTCTCAAACTTTTGTGGATGTGGCAAATCCGATAACCGTACCGGTGAATTTCACTCATTCCAGTTCTGCAGAGCCCACAGGTGTACCCAGTGGAACTGACTCTGTTGAACCATTCGGCGATGAGCCGAAATCAAATGGAATGATGGTTTCGATTGGGAGGTGGGACTTGGTGGTAATATTCGGCGGTATAGTATTTATGGTTGGGATATGGTGAGCTTGCCACTGTGAAGGAGGGTGCGTCTCTTACTACTTTTCGAGGACCAGAAAGCGAGATTAAATAGAGAGTGTGCGGTCGTTAGAGTCCTCATCGTTAGTTTTCGTGGTTTAGAGTAAGTATAGAGTTCAAAAAACTCGTAATGATAAATCGTAGTGAAAGCTGAGCCTTCATGCATCTTGCGGGAAGTGTCTCCACATAATCATGGCTTGTTTGTTTGCATTCGCTTGATTCAGGGGCACCAAGCAAAGAGGTCCTTCTAAGCGACCAACCATCCACCAACACTCAGGGGTGGAGCTTCACTGACCCTTGACAGCAACTGTGCATTTATGATTATTGCTCAAACTCTATTCTCCTCCCTCTCATTGTCGTCTTGTATTTCAGCTGCTACAAATCTACTCTTTACCAGAATCTTTTCTGTAGAGTTCCAACTACTTCGAAACCATATGACATGATTGGCATGGCTTTGACGTGAAGCTGCTGGTCAGAAAGTATGATAAGAAAGAACGGAGTTGTTTTTATCCATCACTGCCACCGTCCTGCTGAAAATGCCGTGTCAGATTCACAGCAGCCGTGCCGAGCGTCCCGCGCAGGTCTACCCCGCACCCCGCACCCCGCACCCCGCACCCCGCACCCCCTACACCACCTTGTGTCTGCCTCTTCAACACTATACACACCTATGCCACTGTATAAGCCAAGTCCTGAAAAAGGTCTTTACTAAATTTTTGTTGGTCGAAGTCACCAAATTTTCATGTCCCAAAGTTGTGCGCCTTCTATTGACTATCTGCCGACGAAGAAATATTCACATTTCATGTCCCGTTCTGCCTGCGGGCATGTTGGTATCGGCGTAGAACTACGCCGACTGCGATTTACCACGCCTTGAACATATCTACTTTGAATTGACCTGAGGAAGGGATCCTAAGAGTCAAGAATCAAGACTTTCCCTCTGCACCGAATGCTTCATCCTACTTATCCAGCATCCTCGTGCGTCCTTGAATAGCTGGCCAGTTATCCACCATTTCAAATTTCGTTCGAACCCTCTCACATATCACCTCAACCCAGCCCACCATGTCCCAAAAGCACGATGTTATAATCTGCGGCTCAGGCTCAGCAGGTCTCTGCGCCGCAGTCTGGCTCGCCCGCCACGGCATAATCTGCAAGATCCTGGAGAAGCGTCCCGGGCCCATGATAATGGGCCAAGCAGACGGTGTCCAATGTCGCACTGTCGAGATCTTCGAAAGTCTCGGACTTTCTGAAAACCTTTTACGAGAAGCATACCATGTCCTTGAGGTTGCGTTCTGGTCTTCTGATGAAAGTGGTAACTTGGTAAGGACAAGTAGTACGGCGGATACGATGCCTGGCTTGTCGCATATGCCGCATGTGATTCTGAATCAGGCGATTATCAATAGGTTCTTTTTGGAGGATATGAAGAGGTCGAATGGTCAGGGGGTGGATTATGGGTATTCAGTTAAGAGTGTTGAGGTTGATTCGCAGAAAGCGGAGGATGCGAATGCGTATCCTGTGAAAGTTGTTGCTACGAAAGATGGTAAAGATGAGATTATGGAAGCGAAATATGTTCTGGTGAGCTTACGATGAGGGACATGCCATGATGAATGAGACTGACGCAATTAGGGATGTGATGGCGCTCATAGTGAAGTCCGTCATTCGCTTGGCTTCAAGATGGTTGGTGATAGCACAGATACCGTTTGGGGAGTCATGGATATCTACCCTCGAACAAATTACCCAGACATCAGGAAGAAAGCTAGCCTTCGATCTAAATATGGAAATTTGATGGTAAGTCAATGTTCATACGAGACCTCTCAAGAGTTCTCGTCATTGGAATTGTAATGAGCCATGTCTAATCCCACCACATCTCAGATCATCCCAAGAGAAGGTGGATCACTCGTCCGGTTCTACATCCAGCTACCACCAGGAACTATCGTCAAAGAAGTCAAAATCGATGATCTCCACAGCAAAGCTCGCCAGATCTTCCAACCATACAGCATGGACTTTGCGAAAACAGAATGGTGGTCAGCGTATGCCATCGGTCAACGTCTCGCCGACCACTTCTCCAAAGACAACCGCATATTCCTCACCGGCGACGCATGCCATACGCATTCCCCGAAAGCGGGACAGGGTATGAATGTCAGTTTACAGGATGGGTTTAACATCGGGTGGAAGTTGGCTGCTGTGCTACAAGCTCGAGTAAGTCCTTAACTTCACAACCTTATCCCATGATACTCAAGAATGAAGTAAGACTAAAACCCACCAGGCTCCACCCTCACTCCTGAAAACCTACAATATCGAACGCGAAAAAGTCGCCGCTGACCTCATCTCCTTTGATCGCTCCTGGTCCAAACTTTTCTCCTCGCAGAACGACGGCACGAACGGCCATTCGGCGCAACACTTCAGCGAGCAGTTCATCAGAGGCGGGAAATACACTGCTGGTCTGACAGCTCGCTACGATGACTCCATCATAACGTCTAGTGAGAAGAGTAAGAGTGAGTTGGCGAAAGGTTTGACGGTAGGGATGAGATTCCCGAGTGCGCAGGTCGTGAGGTTCTGTGATGCGAAGGCAATGCAACTTGTCAGGGCGTTGCCAGCGGATGGGAGGTGGAGGATTGTGATTTTTGCGGGGAGTGTGGGAGATGTCGAGGGGATGGAGAGGTTGAAGAAGGTGTGTTTCTCTTCTGTTGATGTTGTTAGATGATAGCTTACTGACTTTTCCAGCTTGCGAACTTCCTCTCTTCCGACAAGAGTCCTGTCCATCGCTTCACATGGCCAAACGCAGACATAGATAGCTTCATCGAACCTATCGTAGTCTTCCACGGCAAGAGATTAGAAATGGAGCAGGAGCAGATCCCAGAGTATTTCTGGCCTGTAACAGGCAAGTGGGGTATGAGAGGTAAGCAGCTATCCCGCCTTACATTCCTAGAGCTTGAAGTTGTTGGCTGGTTACTAATGATAATACACAGATCTTCATAAAACGTTTATAGATGACGACAGCTATAACTCTGGGTATGGGCACGCCTATGAGAAATATGGTGTCGATGTTAGGGAGGGTGCAGTGGTTGTTGTTCGGCCTGATCAATGTATGCTTTCGCTTCCGGTTCATTTATCACAAACATCCTGGACCTTCATACTAACCCTTTCATCCTAGATATCTCTCTCATAACCTCACTCGATGACCATGAAGATATCAGTAAGTTCTTCGAAGGTTTCGCTCTACAGCCGTAGATAAGTCATTCGTTCCACCGGATGGATCAAAGATCTCGAAAAGGATAAATTTGCACAGGGCAAAGGGAGAGAGAGTAGATAGAACGAGCAGCCAAGTAACGAATATATAAAATAAAGGAGGGAAAATTCGCCGAAATCTACAATATCCACCACCATCACGTAACCACGTCAACAAACACATGTAATACAAAAGCGCCGAACACTAGGCGCAATTTGCTTGTGCTTATGCAAGCTTATGTGAGATTCCGTAAGTACATATCTCCTTACGGCCGTTTTGCTTGGAGGGAACGGCGGACACGCTCGATTTGGTCCTATCTAGCAGGGTATCTTTCATGCTTAGGTGAGGATTCTAGGTCTTACTGTGAGGCACATTTGTTTAGAGTTGAGATTAGTGAGATAGAGTTTGAGGAATTGAAAGCTGGGTTTGAGGGTTCACGAGCTGGGCTGGATGTGAAATCTTGTTGTGACGTAAAGGGAGTAAGTGGATGTTGAGTGGGTGAGGGATGGAGGAGCCGGTAAATTTTTGTTAGTTGAGATTTGAAGTGAGTAAGTATAATTACATTTTGTTCGAGCTCTCTCACTTTTAACCTAAAGAATGACGTATTGGCATGTGATACCGACCTGATGTAATACCTGCTAGATTGACTCGGTAAGTACTAGGAACACCGTTTCTCTCATCAAGCTGTCAAGAGCAGGTTCAAGTTACCAGGATTTCGGACAATCGGTGATCACAGATTTGCGACAGAAAAGCGTGAAACAGATTCAGCCAAAGTGGAATGACATGACCATCTGACAAGTGAACCTCGAGGGTGAACCTCCACCAACCAGTCGTCAATGCCTGTCTCGCTTGAAGGTTAATGCCACACATGGACGGTGCAGCAGAATCGGTTGCGAGAAATACGACAAGCGAGATGCACACCAGAGCATAGGATCTCTGACGGCTGAAACCCGTAAATAATGCCTGCGTCGCTTCCTTAGCATCGTGAACATGATTTGAAGATAGAAATTCCAGGTCTTTGTGAAAGAGTAGCTTTGCTGATAGCTATCTGTGTCACGCATTGTCTCCGAAGACCCCAGCGTGTGAAAAATGATTGATGACTGATATCCTGTCCCGGCATTCGAAAGCCTATGGAGACGATATCTATATCCGAGGGGAAATCCAGAATGAACATGGATATATACCCTTCCCTGCTACTCCTCCCCCCCCGGCTTGAATGTTAAATGTGTAGAAAACTGGACCTCGTGTGGGTAGCTACTAGGGGTGTCTATCTAATAATTCAGTAGAGATCCAGCCTTGAGCAGGGCTTAAGTGTCTCTCATACCTTCTAAAGGCACCTATGCTATTACAACAGACCTAATTCTGGCTTGTGCTTCTGGCTCTATCCAGGGCCTCCGACCACTCAGCACTTGAAAGTCAGGCCTCCGACCTGTAAAAGTTCACATTTAACATTCAAGCCGGGGGGGGGGGGAGAGTACAAACACCGATCCGATCTTACCGTAGCATCCATTCACACGTGGAATCTGACATGGCAACGTGTTGTTGAGTGCAGTCTTGAGGTCAGATTATCCCTGATCTACTTCAGACAACGGGTCGTATACATAAACGATTGGCAGATAAATGATCTCGCTTGTTTTGTAGTCAGAGCCACTAAATGCTTACTTGCCCGTTCCGGATTACCGATGTCTCGAGAGGAGTTCCTCTAGGGTCTTCAGTGGAAAGCATTGCGAAATCAGACAAGGGAGTGGGATTAATGGCTACCACTTTCGTGAGGATGTAAGGTTTACATGAGGAGAGTTGAAAGATATTGATATCTCTGATGATGTTGGTCTGATGTTGAATCTATGAAAGTACCAGGAACTCATGTAACACCAGGTCACGTTCCGTTCGGTTGTCTCAAGTTTCAGCTCCTCGGTCCTCCGCCTTCGCCTAGACGGACACCCCGCCTTTTGACAGCACAAGCTCTAGTTTCCAGCTCCGATTCCATACATTACTGGACATCATATTTACAGTAGATGTGAGACCCTGATCTCCGTCGTTGAGCATAACGCTACTTAAGGTGGCTGCCCCGCAACGAACTATAACCTGAGTTGACTTCACATGCTCGTCCATTTAAGTTTATAAGAGCGTCCTTCGTCCGTTCTGACTGATCACTGTCATCCTTTATCCACTTTCAGAAAACGTATCATCCTCTCGTGTTCACTGCTGGTCAGCCCGGGACGTCGGACGGATATCCTTGCAGAAGCCAGTCTTTGTCTTACCTTGGCTGACGGAGCTACATATGCGTCTTTAACTTTGCCTCTCTTGTCTGACATTCAAGAGGACGATACTAACTCATATCTCTCATATTTCCCTCCTCTCTTTCTGTTCCCTTCTGCTCGGGATTTTTACCACACCGTCAAATCCAAACCCTCTATCCAAGATGTCCACATTCCTCGAAAACCGCTCTCCCGTGACCCTCGGTCTCCTCGCCCTCACCTCCCTCTACACCATCTACCACCTCACCCTCTACCTCATCACCGCCCACAGACGAAACCTCATATCCCGCAAACACAACTGCCAACCCATCCCGGCCTACCCACACAAAGACCCCATCTTCGGACTCGACCTCTTCCTCGAAAACTCCCGCGTCATCAAACTCGGGCAATTCCTCCCCGCCGTCCAAGCGCGCTACACCCTCCTCAACGCCCACACCTGGAGCCAGCTCTTCCTCGGCGAGCGCGTGATCAACACCGCCGAGCCCGAGAACATCAAGGCCATCCTCGCGACGCAGTTCAAGGAGTTCGAGCTGCCTCCCCGCCGCAAGGTCGCGTTCCACCCGACGTTCGGGCATGGCATCTTCACCACCGACGGGAAGGAGTGGGAGGCTAGTAGGGCGCTTTTGAGGCCGAATTTTACAAGGAGTCAGGTCGGGGATTTGGAGACTTTTGAGGGCCATATCGGGAAGTTGATTAGGCGGATTCCGAGGGGTGGGGAGACGGTGGATTTACAGGAGCTGTTTTTTATGTTGACGATGGATTCGGCGACGGAGTTCTTGTTTGGGACGAGTAGTGATGTGCTTGGGCTCGGGATGAGCGGGCAGAGGGAGAAGGGGTTGAAGTTCCAGGAGGCGTTTACGTATATTACTGAGCGCGTGGGGTTGCAGTCTAGGTTGGGGAAGTTGGCGACGCTGTTGCCGGATAAGAGGATGGATGAGAGTATCAAGTTTGTGCATGAGTATATTGGGCCTTATATACGGAAGGCGGTTGAGATGAGAAAGTCGGGGTTTGAGGAGAAGGAGAACACGGAGGAGGGGAGGGCGAGATATGTGTTTCTTGAACAACTCGCCAAGCAGGATCTTGGGGAGAGGAAGACTCAGGATGAGTTGTTGAATATTCTACTTGCGGGAAGAGATACGACGGCGAGTCTGTTGAGCTATCTTTTCTACACATTGGCGAGACGAAAGGACGTTTTTGAAAAGTTGAAGGCTGAGGTCGACGCGTTGGGAGGTGAGCGGCCAACTTTCGAGCAGTTGAAGGCTATGAAGTATTTGCAGTACGCGATGAACGAGAGTGAGTTGTTTCCCCTTACCTTCCCCGTCATTTTAACATCCAACGTAACTAACGTAACCCTTTCCATCCAGTACTTCGACTTCACCCCATCGTCCCAGCCAACAGCCGAATATGCGTCACCGACACCACCCTCCCAGTCGGCGGAGGCCCAGACCATAAATCCCCCGTCTTCGTCAAGAAAGGAACACAGATCAATTACCAAGTCTACGTGATGCACCGCCGGAAAGATCTTTACGGTGAAGATGCGGAAGAATTCAAACCAGAGAGATGGGAGACGTTGAGACCTAGGTAAGCTTCCTTCTTCATTTCCTCCAAAACTGAGTTCTCACAACCCCTCTCCCAAAACCGCCCAAAACAAACCTCCAGTTCCTCGACTCCGTAAAGTCACGAATCCAAGCTAACAACGCAACACAGCTGGCAATACCTTCCCTTTAACGGCGGTCCTCGTATCTGTATCGGCCAACAGTTCGCCCTTACGGAAGCAGCGTTCACAACTGTAAGGTTATTACAAGCTTTCAAGGGTGTGGAGCCGAGAGATGAGGCACCGTTTGCGGATTTCTTGACTTTGACGGCGGCGGTGAAGGGAGGTGTTAAGGTAGCTATGATTCCTGCTTGAGGGAGGGTGAGGTTGAGTATGGAGGAGTGAAGGAGAGAGGGGCGAAAAGACAAGTTATGGAATCAGAGATGGATGTGGGGGAGTTTGGCGTTTGATCGAATGGCTGAGCTAGGTGCCGGGATTTTGATGTCAAATGATATGTGTCCATAGCCCATAGCTATATAAAACCTCCACATCTGCTATCACCTGACTTACTTCTTGATGATGACATTCGAGCCTCTTATTGTTTTAAATTGCTTTTGATGTCGTGCCATCAATATGTGGTTGCACCACCTACTATTCTGCTCTCCAACATCCAGAGACTAAAAGCAATAGCAACAAGGGTTCAGGATCGCTTACTCGATCTTCAAAGCCAGCCAAACAGTCTCGTCATTACTCAGCGCAACCAACCAACTATGCCTCTATCCCCAACCTCGGCCGCGGCATACACATCCACAACCACATCCACCTCATACATGCACTTCCCCTCCTTCCCACAGCAGCCAGCCTCAACCTCATCCCAAAAATTCGGATTCGCATCTACCCGGCGCATCCAGGTCCGGCAGTCACCTCTAATCCTTCCCATCTTCGTCCTCCCAGCCAATCCCCAACTCCCAAAATCAAAGCTTCCACCTTATCTAAACTCCCTTCGGACAAACCTCTCTGCACCTCCCTGGTCACCCGCAGCGCTCGCGATGCAGGATCTACGTCTTGGCAGCCCAATTGCCGGGGCAGGTACACTTGTCGTCATCGACCACCTCCTGGTCGGACAAGGGTCCCTGGTGCGGCCGCTTCCCGTCCTTCTCGAGAGACAACAGAACAGGTGGATGTGATGGGATGGCCAGAGCTGAAGCTGAGCGCGAGCACATTTGAGGAGAGGAGAGCACCACTTTGAACCACCTCCACCTCTCTCTCTTGCGCTGCACGGAACTCCAACTGCAACTACATACGACATATGCGCCGGCTCGATCATCATTCGCACTCGCACTGCACTGCACTGGACACGCTGGCCTGATTGATTGATCGATCGATTTATTGATTGACTGTTGTCTGTCTGTCTATTTATACTTCTTAGAGAGCTGAGCTGAGCTGGCCTTCTCTTTTTGTTTACAATAAGGTATCCTCGGACCACTTTGAGTTCAAATCCCAGCTTCCGCGGCTCCGGTACTCGCCCTCCTCTTCTCGCACCACAACACCAACCGGGCTTTGTTGACGAAACTGTGGTGTTACTTCGACTGTGATTTCAGCACTGTAAAATACGCGATTCGGGATTGGATATTCGGATACGCGCAGATACGAAGGCGGAAGGAAAATGGCTGCTCCTGTGGACCCAGCGACGCGGAAGAAGGTGTTGAAAGTGGTGTTCTTCTCTCTGTTGCTCGATTTGGTATGCTCTTCTGCTCTTCTCTTGCTATCCAGCATTGCGCATCAAGTAACAACCAGCTAACAGTTGCGACTAGATCAGTTTTACCTTCATTCTTCCGCTATTTCCATCTCTGCTGGCATATTATCGAGAGTGAGGACTCCTGTCTAGGTATATTACATGCGACCAAATACTGATTGACTTCTTCCTCCCAGCCTCGAAGCCCCCGCGCAATTCAGCAGCTCGAATAAATCGCCCTCCCTCCTCACGCATATCCTCACATACCTCAATGCATACAAGGCTTCGTTCGCAAGACCAATCGACTCGAGATATGACATTGTACTTCTGGGAGGAGCTCTGGGGAGCTTGTTTTCGTGAGTGAAGGACTGAGATACGGACGCTGTGCGCGCATAGACTAACATTCTCAGTCTCCTCCAGGCATTCGCTTCTCCTATCATAGGAACGCTCTCCGATCGATATGGCCGCCGAATAGCCCTCCTGTGCAGCATGGCTGGTAATATACTCAGCGTACTCCTCTGGGTGTGCGCCACAGATTTCAGCACTTTCCTCCTCTCGCGCGTTGTAGGCGGTCTTTCGGAAGGGAACGTCCAGCTCGCAATTGCAATCGCAACAGATATCTCCGATGAGAAGCAGAGAGGGGCTACAATGGCATTGGTGGGGATATGTTTCAGTATCAGCTTTACATTTGGACCTGCATTGGGAGCTTGGTTAAGTACCATTAGCTCCGTCAAGGCGAATCCATTTGCGACAGCAGCGGGATTCTCACTCTTCTTGATCGTCACAGAGACTATCTACCTGTATCTCTGCCTGCCAGAGACATTACCAAGTAAAGTCGCCTCCGCAAAACTGAACGGCATCCCAGCAGCCACAAACGGGTCCACCAGACCCTCCACCCGCTCCTCAACAACAACACAAGCCAAAATGGTATCCTCCACCGCCCCCAAAGTAGGCGGCAAGCACATCCGAACCAACTCCCATTTCCTCCTCAACCTCACCCACCTAGGCTTCATCCTCTTCTTCTCCGGCATGGAATTCTCCCTCCCCTTCATGACCTACGACCTCTTCGGCTACACCTCCGCCCGCAACGGCCGCCTCCTCGGCTACATGGGCCTCGTCGCCTCCCTCCTCCAAGGCGGCGTCACGCGTCGTCTCCCACCACTCCTCTCCGTCCGCATAGGCGTCGTATCCTGCCTCCTTGCACTCCTCCTCCTCGCGCGCATTGACACCGTGGGCGGTCTCTACGCAGCTACTACACTGCTTGCTGTCACTACTGCGACTGTCGTTACGGGTCTGAACGCACTGAGTAGTTTCGAAGCCGGCGAGGACGAGAGGGGTGGGAAGTTGGGGAATTTGAGGAGTTGGGGACAGCTTGGACGGGGGGTGGGACCGTTGTTGTTTACTAGTGTGTATTGGTGGGCGGGGAGGGAGGTCGCGTATACGATTGGGGGGATGGGTGTTTTGGGTGTGAGTATGATTGTTTTCTTTGGGTTGGAGACGCCGAGGGGGACGGAGGGGAAGAGGATTGGTGATGTGAAGGGGGGTGGGGAGGTTGAGTTGTGAGGGGGTTGGTGGGGGGGGGGGGTGGGGGGGGAGTATGTTTTTTTTGGAGTGTATACCTTGGTTCTCGGGAAAGAGGAGGGAGCGCTGGAAAGGAATAAGAGGGATTTGTATTTCTGTACTGTGCAAAGGATGGGTTATGGTTATGGATTCATACTTAAGTACAGGATAGGATAGGATAAGTGTACTTTCACAGCACGAAGAGAAAAGGGGGTAGCGTAAATCACCGGTACCACCTTGCGTATTCCAATCACGCCGCGGTTAGTTTACAAAGTAGATAGACTAGGACGCAATACGAATTGCAAGAGAAGGGCAGGGACACAGAGCGCTTTAGGGTAGAAAAGAAAAGAAAAGAAAAGAAAAGAAAAGAAAAGAAAAGAAAAGAAAAGAAAAGAAAGATGATATTATACATGAAGACACCAGGAGAGACGGTTTGCGCCGTCGTCGTGAAGTGTATTTGTGTGTAAATTGATAGATATTGGACTACGTATGGACGGGAGGGAAAGGGGAAGGGGAGGGAGTGGGTGAGGTCCCGTGTGGGTGTGGGTGTGGGTGTGGGTGGTTGTTTATCTTGCTTTTTTCTTTCTCTCCGGAGTGAAGAAAGAGTGAAGAGGGAGGGGGGAGAGGGAATGGGGAGAGGGAAGGGGAAGAGGTGATGGGCATTGGGGATTGGGTTAAGCGAGGTTTGGTGAACATGATAATGTCAATGTTAATGTTAATATCAATGTCAATATCAATAGAGGGAGAGCGGGAAGGGTATATACGGGATGGATATTATAGCGTTGTTGAGTTGTTGAGTTGATGAGTTGATGAGTGGATGAGAAGGAATTTGTTTGATTTATAGGACGAGATGATGAGATGGTGAGGCTTTTAGGGGTTGTGGGATTTTGGGGTTTGATTTTGGGGTTTGATTTGGGGTTTTGGTTTTGGGTTTTGGATAAGCTAGGATGAGGGGAATTGGGGATGGTGGATGGGGATGGGAATGGGAATGGTTTAAAAGAAGGGTTGCTGTTGTTGTTGTTCTATTGGTGTGTGTGGAGTTAGGGCGGGGGGAGGAGGGGTGAAGTGGGTAGTTTGCTGATGTGAAGGATGTTGTGCTGGCCAGGGAGGAGGATTTGATTCGGGGAGAGAGGGGAGTGGAGGGGAAATTGGGAGTTAGGATGTATGAAGGTGTGTGAAGGTGTGTTGCTATATAAGAGCTGCAACAATTCCAAACTTCCAAATTAGTTACAATTATTTTCACTACTTCGCAAAAGTCTCACCGACAAGCTGTAAGTGTTATCTTACCATTCATAGATGGTTCTTACCTTATTATACTATCTAGCAAGCAACCATTTGTTTCGAGCAGGATTAGTACTCATGGGAGGTGTATCAAATGATGTCTCGCTATGTAGTTATGTAAAAATCTACGACAATCACAGGGTAGGGTAGATTTTATTAGGTTTCTTTACTTGTTTGCTGATGGCTTGGGTACTGATGAGCTGGAAGTGTTGGGAGAGGTGGTTGTTATGTGCTGAGACAAGTGGTTTTCGGCTGCTAGAAGTGTTGTTTTAATGGATTTATAGACGGAGCCCCTTCTGAGTATAAATTAGATTGCATTTGTTTAGGCTTTTGTTGAAGTCTCACTGACTAGCTAGAAGTGTTGCCATAGATAGTAGTGCTCAACCAGGCGAAACTCCCTTGGTGTTTGGAGGCACAAGATGATTTTGAGAGCGCGTCTCATAGAATGGAATAGATCAAAACATTTTCGTGTACCGTGACCTTTTAAGGAGAGACAATGCTTACTCTGGAGGCTGAGAGAATTGGAAGGACATTCGAGTCACATGACTTTCGATCATGATACTGTGCAGGTCCCTGCCGTGGGTTGGATCTACATTCGTACAATACCATAGAGTGTATCAAAGGATAGTACTCACTTAGTAAATTTAGGGACTGGGTTAGTACAAGTACTTGCCTAGATAAAGAGAGTGGGATTGCATCGCACGTGATGGCCCTCTCCCGAAATGGCTCCATCTCTGGTGGTTCTGTCAACAAGATAGGTATATGCGACACTGGTATCCCCCTAACAATATATTTCAACGAAAATCGAAGATATAAATGGCTGCCAGAAAACCCCAAGGTTATGCCAAGACCTCGCCATCTTCGCATGGGTGATGTCATCAAAGCGAGTTCTCGCAAGAATCACTGACAGCTTCGGATATCACCTGTCGTCTCAAGATTTCATCTCTTTATTACTCCTCGACACACCCCTCGACATGGGAACAAATACACAGGCGCGATGACAACAACTCATGTGTCGCCCACGCAGGCGCAAGCTCTCCTCGGTATTCTAAGCCATCATGAAGCCTACCAAGAGATCCGGGATCTCCGCCTGCCAGGAGCTCTCGCCCGGTCAGGCTCCCCTTTCAAGACCGATGGCGAGCCCAATGAGATGCCACTACTACATGGGCTCTTCTCATCCTTTTTCGTTCCTCTCCCAGGACTGCGGGATGTGAGCCCGGATTTCTACCAAGCCAAGTGTCAAGAGATCCTTGAAGAGTTCGCCAAGGCGGATCTCAGCGAGTCATACGAAGCGGGATATATTGGGATTCGGAAAACGCTGGCCACCGCAGCTGCGGCTCTGATAGAGGCCCCAGCGAGAGGATATTATGGTGGATTTCCAAAGAAGGATCTGAGCAGGACCGAGCCAGTGTACGATACGTCTAATCCAGAGGATGTGGTGGCGGCATTTCAGGACTTTCTTCAACAAGTCGTCTACGGAACACTCCTCGATGAGATGTTCGCAACAGCGGCGAAGAGCGACAACCTCGAGGATCATGATCTGTTGGTGCAGGCAGCTCACGAATATATTCTTGTCATTCTGGCTTCCTTCCTTCATTATATCTTCATTATCACTCCGGAAGGCCAGACGATACTTACGATGATGAAGCAAGCCAATGCGATCGTGCCATATGTCGCAATCAGACAAACACTGAAAATTGGCAATGTTGCAACAATGATAAATGCCATGATGAAGCTCATCCTTACGAAGATGACATTGAATAGTGTCACTACTTTCCTTAGGATAACCAACGCTAGTGATGCAGGGTGGAATCTTCTTCAAACCATCATCTGGACAGTCGTGAACTGGGATACGAACAGTCTCAAGAATCGCATATCTGAAATAGAGAAAAGCACCTCTGGACCAAGTCCTAGCCAACGAGAGATTTTGCTGAATTACCTAGAGATGGACCGCTTGGAGCATGAGAAGTGTCGGGTAATGAGCGAAGCTAAATCAGAGCCAATTGTGGTTACGATTATGGAAGAGTATGGCGGTGAGGCATTGAGCGAGACACAGATACCTCTTGCGCTGGATTATTTTTCGGCGATGGTATCACTCCATGACCGGAAGAAGATCGTCGCAATCTTGTGCTCGGGTCAGCCAGATCTGTTAACCCAAGCAGTTCGAGAATGTGTCACGGCCTACGATCCTGTCATTCGAGCCCTTCACAAAGCGGTGGATCTCAGCGGCACTGTGAGTGATTTCCAGGCGTTTCTGGATGATCTACTGGCTTTCGCGCCATCAGGCAAGAATTCTGCCAGTGCAAGTGTCGAGGATTTCGTCCACCTTCTTAGGAAACACCAGAAGTCGTGCCACAGATTCATGCATCAAGTATGTAAGAATGGCCCTGAACTGAGCACTTGGTACAAAGAGTATGCTCGGGCATCAGCGTCGCATTTCCGAGTCAACGATCAGAAAGAAAACAGCGCAAGCTCCAACTCCGGAGGCGCAGGAAAGTTGACATCTCAACTGGAACAGGCTCTTTCGCAGCTTCCAGAGAAGGAGAAATCCCAAGTTCTTGCAGAATGTGATGCATACGCTGCATATCACGCACACCTAGCCACAACATCCAAATCCGACATGATCTTCGAGGTCGAGCATGAACCTGCACCAAAGAAGTTGAAACGAGTGTTTACCTCCTCAAAACCAGCGACCAGAGAGCCATCGCCAACCCGGCCCACACCAGGACCCGGCATGTTTCTCCGGCGCTGGCAAGCATACCTCAACGCAACGCCCATCACACCATCTCAACTCGAGGGACCGGTCAGATATGGAGGCGACATTGATGTGGTGACTGCTGGACGGATCCCCAAGACCGGGGCAGCGAAAGACGCGCAGATCCAGGCTGCCGAGGATGCGGATGTGAGAGATGCCCCGAAATGCAACAGGACTGTTGAATTGCTTGCAGCTCGTTTCCGCGAGATACTGAGGGAAGCGAGTCATGCATCACCAATAGAAGCAGATATACATATACCAGAGTCTAAGTAGCGAGAGATACCAAGAGATACAGGTCAAGCCGCCACAGAGAGGATTGAATTTCCTGAGGGTATGCATTTCATTATGGCGCACAAGTAGATGTAATTATAGATCGATATCTTAACATTGCGGTTAGTGCAAGCCTATGTGCTCGTGGTGTGGCTTACCCAGCATTCAAACTCCGAGAACGTGTATGCGAAATTTGAGAGCCATCAATATGCCAAGCAAAACGATCGATCTAGTCCAGCCAGTTTCCTGAGCGTTAACAAAAAGTATTCAGAAAGCTAGCAATACCTTCCAACGAATCTTCGTCTGATCTTACTATTTTCGTAATGCAACAAGCAATATTTCCATGCAGTGTGTTTGTTGTTTGGGAAGAATTTACGACATGATGATAACTCCGTGGTGTTTTGTTGTTGCTTTGTTTTGCGTTCGCCTCACACTGTTAGTGGATGTAGCACCGAGAGAGGAGAGGGATACGGGTCAATATGGAGAATAGGCTGTATGCGTATTGTACGTTGAACCTCAGTGGTGTCCGATTGATGTAGAGTTCAATGGGCTGGGGCTGATATTGGGGACGCAAGCGAGTCCTGAGAGTCCGGATTGTTTGAATATTACGAAGTTGGTTGTGCCGGCTTGTAGTGGGTAGGCTTGGCGGGAAATCGTGAGAAGCGAATGTGCATATGGAACTTTTAAATTCGCTCAAGATATCCAAAGAATTCCCACTTTCAGGCGCTGGGATTAATACATCCTGGTTGTATTCGGAGTAGCTGCCGTCTGAGTCTTACACCGCACCTCGGCGTCCCAAAAAGGAAAACTCCACTCCAGCACCACCTACCTATATCTACCTAAACAAGCAAAAGCCTAACACAACAACTCACAACAAGACACCTGTATGTAACAAATACATTCCTCACACTCGATTAACTCGACTAACAACAATCAGTGGCAGAGCGGTCCAATGCGATTCCCCGCTAAGCTAAAGCAGGCATGTTAGGAATTCCCTACGGGGGCGCGAGTTCGAATCTCGCAGGTGTCTCTTCTCTCTTTTTTCCCTCTCTCTACTACACCTTTCCTTATACTTGGGTCTAGGTTGTCTTTTTTTTTGCTCCCTTTCTCATTCCTTTTTTCTGCTATTTCGGCACCTGGAGCAGAATACCGGAAAGTGTGGATTTGGTTGACCGGATGACTCGATGCCGGTTCTCGTTTCGCTGCGGACACAATATTAAAGGAACAATGCATCTTGTTATTCAATATCCTTTGAGCGGAGATCATATTATCTCTCATCACTGATTTATAACATCTGGGTGCTTTATATATATGACGGTTTCAGATGAGTAGGTAGCACTGGAACTTGGGAAGAGTTTCAGAAGCTGTCAAGCGAGATGGGAAAGTCAACAATACCTCACGGGGCTGGTACGAGAAACGCATCGCAACCGTTGATCTGCGATCATAGAATCAAGAGCGCTTGCGGTTTTGACCTAAGGTAATGATCGGAGTAAATCGAGACACAAAGCTTCATACTCAGTCTCCAGGATACTCCGATAATGCCATGGTCACGTGATCTCTCACATTGGATATTTCCACCCACCATTCGTCCCAGACCTGGTTTTTTTTTTTTTTTTTTTTTTTTTTTTTTCGAACTGGAACTCCTCATTCAACTTGAAACCTCGCCCTGCATCGTAAACCTTCATACAGCAACCCATGCGAGAATACTGACATGCAGGTGTTGACATAAAGGCAGTAGGTACCCCGCTTCGCCAGCGCTATCCCCAACTAGGGAGCCTACGAACAAACATCAACACCAACCACATTTCTTAAGATCTCAAATTTAAACACCGAAATACAAAATGTCTTCAGATACCAACACCAGCACTATCCTCCTCATCACCGGCGCCAACACCGGTCTTGGCCTCGAGACCGTAAAAGCACTCTACCAATCCAACAAAGCTACCTACACGATCCTGCTCGCGGGTCGAGATATCTCAAAGGCGAATGCAGCTGCCAAGGCTGTGGAGTCTGACTTGAAGTCCCCGAGTGGAAGTGTGATCCGGACGCTGCAGGTTGATATCGAGGATGATGAGTCGATTGAGAAGGCGGGCGAGTGGGTGAAGAGGGAGTACGGGAGGTTGGATGTGCTTATCAATAATGCTGGTATGTATGACCTCGAGATTCTCAGAATTTACAGTTTCCCCTGTCTGTATTTCTCAATCATATCACTTCCATGAGAATGTGTTATCTGGGATGTGAATTTGGAATCTTGGAATTTACAGAGAGAATTGGACATGAGAATAAAACCGACTAACACCTCCCCTCTCATAGGCGCACAATTCGACCAGATTCCCGACCTTCCCCCCCGCACCATTTGGTCCCAATCCTGGAGCGTCAACGTAGTCGGCACCCACCTCCTAACTCACACCCTCGCGCCTCTCCTCCTCTCGTCCCCCACCCCCCGCCTCCTCTTCCTTGCCTCAGGAACCTCCTCCCTTACCACAGCCGGCAACACCTCTCTCGCGGTCGACCAGTCTCCTTCAGCAGGCTGGCCCAAACAAGGATTCAACATCCCTGCTTACAGAGCGAGTAAGGCTGGCTTGAATATGGTGATGAGAGAGTGGGCGAGGTTGTTGAAGGGGGATGGAGTGAGGGTTTGGGCGGTAAGTCCGGGGTTTTTGGCGACGGGGTTGGGTGGGAAGGGGAAGGAGGATATGATGAGGGGGATGGGGGCTGGGGAGCCGGCGGTGGGGGCGGAGGTTGTGAGGGCGGTGGTGGAAGGGGAGAGGGATGGGGAGGTGGGGTGTGTGGTCAAACAGGGAGGGGTGCAGCCTTTTTGAAGGTGGTGGTGTAGTGGTTGTAGTTCAGCGTCCCGGGGGAATGAGAGAGTGTGAAATATGGAATGAGATCTGGGGCGGTTAGAAGAGGATCTGAACTTTCAATTACGATACTACTGGTCAAAAATCACATATCTTAGCACATAGCAACATATTACTGTCGTGTCTGTTGTAAGATGCTCTATCTCGTTTGCCTTTTGCACACACATAGTCTTTCTGACGGTTATTTAACGATGGCATAGTTTTGCTGGGACAAGATCACTGGGAAAATGAGAAAACAAGAATGTTAGCATATTCAATTTGACTCTTTATCTCACATATGGCCCCAGCGCTTGCTATCGTTCACAACATATCCTGATTGATGATGCTTAAGAGACGAATCAGGCGAGCGGCTCGTTGCCTAGACATTCTGTGCAATACCAGGTTGGATAGCTTCCAGATGCCGAACAAGCTGATACCAAACAGTCTCTTGCAGCGCCTTCCCATTAGAGCCAAGAACCATCGGACCAGGTCTAGATGTATTATTAGCACCACTGTATAATTTAGCAGGAGAAAGGACAAGGCGACCCACTCTGCAACTTTACAATCCGCCATATATGACCCATGAGACTCTTCGCCAGCGGCGATTCCAGCCAGTAGAGTCCTACTCCCGGCTTCGGTCGTTCGCGCAATAATCGCGTCCAGGATGGATTGAATGATACCGCCAATGTTAGGGTTTTCACGATGAAAATCCGACTTGCATGCGCCTGGTGTCATACAATTGACAATGACAGATGGAGAGACAGAATTAGAGTCTTTAGATATAATCGAGGCTAGCTCCCCAACTGCAAAGACTTCGATGAGCTTTGTAACCGCATACCTGGAAGAATTAGGTAATGTCAACATTTTCCAGCATGTGCAGAATCTGGAGAATTATCTCACCTCTCCATACCCATTTCAGATTCCTCATTATCCAAAGCCTCCAGGACATCTTCACTATGGCGTTCCGGAAATTTTGCGATGAAATGCAAGTCTGACGCGACGATAGTGAGTCTGGGTTGTATGCTGAAATCCGCTGCTGACTGCTTGGGCTTTGGCAGGAGTCCCAGCGTCAGTAGGAACGTGCCGATAACATTCGTAGTGACAGTGCTTTCGTACCCTTCTACAAGCTTACAGTACTTGGTCATGATACCAGCATTTGCGATCACAGCATTGAGGCGAGGAAGTGTACCAGCTTTGGCGCAAAAGGCTTTGATGGAATCATAAGATTGCATGTCCAAACTCCACACCTCGATGCTGGTTTCCGGTCGGTTTGTACTAGAAAGAACATTCTTCTTTGCGGCATCTCCTTTGGCCTGATTTCGGACGGCGAGGATGATAAGATTAGCATTGAGGCGGGAGAGATGACGAGCTGCTTCGAGGCCAAGACCTGTATTTGAGCCGGTGACAATCACTGTCTGGCCGGAGAAATCTTTCGTCGGCTCAGGTAAAGTAACAAATAGTTGGGAATAGAGAAATGAATTAAACCACCCCATTTTCAGGGAAACAAATGACACGGTTCGGTTTAGACGTCCTTTAAATGGTACAGCTCGATGGGGTGAAAACGGCAGGAATAAGTGAGGTGGCAGTGAGGACAGGAATGTTGAAACAAAAGCACCTCTGAATTTGAGCATTTATAGCAGGACATGAGAATCAAGAAACATGAATAGAAATATGGGAATCAAGTTTTTATCAGAATTCTAGCAGTCTGTAGCATAATGATGGTTGACGTTGCTGACCGGACGAAATCCAAATTCTTCGGACGAATTACCGGACGAACGCAGGCTGACATTCGGGCTTATGCAACGAGAGCCAAAGCGGCGCGCGACGAACAAGGGCACTTGGGAATACATATCTGAATCAAGGGCTTCCTCCGTTGAGCAGGAGCGCTAAAACCAAGAACTGTGATCTGAATACGAAAGCCTGGATGAATGACAAGAGGAGCCTCTTTCTGCAGCTGAACAGTAGAATTAGTCAGCAGCGCTAAGAAGCGAGCGATGACTTCCATCGACCATTATCTTCTTCTCAAATCAAAGCGCATCGAACTCCGTCCTCAAAAGCGGTCCATGAACCAACAGCTATTTCTGCATGACTTCCCATGACCCATGGCAATGAACGATGGCAGAGCTCTTAAAGTTCACGAGCAAATTCCGACTCAATGGACCAATTGAACCCCCACCAGGAAAAGTCACGAAACGACCCCGATTAGTGTGCAATCAATGTAAGAAAGCAAAAGTTCGATGCGATCGTGGACTACCATGTGGTTCTTGTATGAAGAGAGACGATGGAATCAGTTGCAGCTACCAGCAGCAAATAACGGCATCCGGTGGACGCAACGCCTTCGCCGAGGACAAACTACAACATCTTGAATCTCTGGTCACACAGCTGATTAAAAGCCAGACTTCAATGGCACCCAATAATCTTGAGGTACCAGTCACATCTGAGAGCTCGTCAGACAGCCATCATGTAGACCACGCTTCACGAGATTTGGTAGTTGAAACACCGGCAGCAACGGAGACCTACGTGGGGTCAACTCACTGGTCATCGATGCTGGAAGACATACATGAATTGAAAGCTGCTCTCGCCGGATCTTCAGAAATATCGGACGAACAGTTGTCTACATCGCCAGGTGCACTAGAATTGAACCAAGAGCTGATATTTGGCGTTCCTGGCGACTACTCGCTTGGTCGAATCATTTTCCAGTTTCTTCCTCCAAAGATCGAGGTCGATCGGTATCTGTCAAGGTATTTTCAAGGTGAAACATACATCGTTCCGTTTATTCATACGTACCAATTCCAGCATCAATATCGAGAATTTTGGGCAGACAAATCCAAAGTCAGTCCACTCTGGCTGTCCATGCTCTTTTCGATATGTCACATGGCATCACTTTTCGGAAGAAACACTGGTTCGCCTTACTCCCCACAAAGAATGTCCTCAAATGGAAATTATTCGTTACATACAGCCGCAGGACAGTGTCTCGTGCTGGGCCAGTATCATCGACCGCAAAAGTTCGGCGTTGAGGCGCTGGCATTGTACGGACAATGCAAAAATCTCCTAACACTAGACCCATCCCAAGAAGTGGGTACAATTCTCAGCATGATTGTTCGGATGTCTTACGGAATGGGTTACCATCGAGACCCAGACTCAGTTGGAAACTTCACCGTATTCGAAGGAGAGATGAGAAGAAGATTCTGGGCTTCAATCAAGCAAATGGACTTGATGACATGCTTTCAACTTGGCCTTCCAAGCAATGTGAATCTTGAGCATTGCGATACTAAATCGCCACGAAACTTACTCGATTCGGACTTCGACGAGGACACAATCACACTCCCAACCTCACGGTCCGAAAATGAATATTCAAAGCTGCTTTGGTTTATCGTCAAAGAGAGGCAAGCCGTCAGCTTCAGCAAAGTCTGCCAAGATGCGCTCTCATTCAAGGAGAAGTCCGAGAGCGAGATAATCGAGCTTGATGCCGACATTCGCGAGATGTATGCGTCTATTCCAAATATCCTACAAGCACGACCAATGGCAGAGTCCATCACAGATGAGCCATTTCTAATCATGACGAGGATATATCTCCACTTCATATACTTGAAGAGTCTCTGCGTTCTTCATCGCAAGTATATGGCCCGTGGAGTTGATTTCAGCACCCTGACATGCGTTGACGCTGGCATGAAATTGGTCAGGCAGTTCATAGAAATGAACGATGAGTTTGCACCAGGAGGACAGTTACATGATCAGCGGTGGATGCTAACGAATTTCACCGTGAATGATTTCCTGCTGGGAAATATGGTCCTTTCGCTTGCAGTCCACAGTTGCAAGAAGAGGGACACAGGTATGTCTCCAATCAACATGGAAACAAGAAAGGAGGTCGTGGAACTACTACAACGGTCATATTCTGTCTGTTTTGAAATCGCTCCAGTCAGCAAAGACGCTCTCCGGGTTTCACACATCATCCGTCTCACCCTGAACCGCGCCAGTGCAAAGGCTTCGGATCAAGTGGTGGATCTACCATCCCAGAAATTTCCAGGCATTTCGACAACCTCGATACTGGATAGCAGTACAGTTGATGGCGTCACCGAGCCTGCGGGTCAAACTATCTCAATACTACCTCCCTGGCAGAGCTGCATGCCCAGCGATGACGCGACCTTTGGAGCGTTTGATTACATGGACTTTAACAACAATGAGTCGGAGGGAATAGATTGGATGGCTTTGGACCAATGCTTCGGGACACAGGATATTTCGTCCTAAGGCACCTTGATTCAGCAGTCTTGAACGATTGTCACAAGTTAAGGACACGTGATTCACGGATCGCAAACCTTACCTACGTACCCCGAATCACTCTGGTACTTCGGTCTCTATCAAATCATGAGCCTCTCTCACTTTTTGGTTTATCACGAACATCTTCCAACCTGGGCGTTACTATCAATACCCAGCGTCTTACGCCCACGTGAATAGTCCAGCCAGAGGATTCGACTGAGTACCTAGCTCCACGCTACAGCAAGCTATCCCATTTAGGTTACGCTCGACTGTGCCGCCCTCAACAACCGGGAAGCTTGACATTTAACGTCACATCCCATCTTAAGCTTAAACATGTGCCGGTCAAATTAATAGCTTATAAAAGTAATTGATACCATGGCTTCAAAAACTCAAGGAAATTCACAGCCTGGAGAGTCATCAACGAGTCAACTAAACCAGCCGCCACCAGCATATGAGCTGTTTGATGAAACGACTGCTACTTTGAGCATCATTCAGGATGGCTTCAATACCCAGACTCATGTGAGAAGTAAGTAGTCAATAACGCGGCCTTATGTGGTGGCAAGCACGTCGATGAGCTATGGGCTAAATCGACCTTGTAGATGACGGAAGAGTTGACATAAGCATTGATGAGTCCGACTCACAGCTCACCAAACAAATCGAGGCACTGCATCTAGCTGCCCACCAACAGACTGACGCCCCATCAATACCATCAGAACCAGCACCAGAGTGCACCGAGAAGAGACCAGCAGAGCGTCCACCTCCACTCAATGTAGTGATCCATGTCGTCGGCTCTCGTGGCGATGTTCAGCCCTTCGTCGCCCTTGGGCGAGTACTGAAAAACAGCTACGGCCATCGAATCCGTCTAGCTACTCATGGAACCTTTAAAAAGTTCGTGGAAGAGAACGGCCTCGAATTCTTCGAAATCGGTGGTGACCCAGCGGAGCTAATGGCTTTCATGGTCAAAAATCCAGGACTCATTCCTGGCGTGAAGTCCCTCAAAGCTGGCGACGTAGGCAAGCGACGGAAAGGCATGGCCGAGATCTTGCAGGGCTGCTGGAGGTCGTGCGCCGATGCGAATGAGGTCAAGCAAGATGATGGGCAAGCGCAGAGTTCAAGTGCATTGAAAGTCAGACCGTTCATTGCAAACGCCATCATAGCGAACCCGCCAAGCTTTGCTCATATCCACTGTGCCCAAAAATTGGGAATACCTCTGCACTTGATGTTTACGTGAGTAGGATATCCAAATCTTGCCCATCTGATTCTAACACTTGTCCTGGAAGCATGCCCTGGTCTCCAACGCATGACTTCCCACATCCGATTGCGAACATCAAATCTTCTAATGCTAGTGGGAGTATGACAAACGAGATGTCATACACACTCGTCGACATGATGACTTGGCAAGGACTTGGAGACATCATAAACAAATTCAGAAAAGAGACACTCGATCTTGGAATTATCACTCAGGCGTCTGCTGTCAGCATGCTTCATCGTTTGAGAATACCGTACACTTATTGCTGGTATAAATGCCTCTCGCATAATCAAGCACAATAAAAAGTTAACATTGCTCGCAGGTCACCAGCGCTGATCCCCAAACCAAAAGATTGGGGCTCTCATATAGACATATCAGGCTTTTATTTTCTCTCGCTTGCATCAAATTATGGACCAGATCCAGATCTAGCCGCCTTCCTAGAAGCCGGCCCTCCACCAGTATACATCGGATTCGGATCCATTGTCGTCGATGATCCTAATGCTATGACTGAATTGATCTTCGAAGCTGTTCGGAAGACAGGACAACGTGCCCTGGTATCGAAAGGATGGGGTGGCTTCGGTGGAGATGAGCTGAACAAGCCCGACGGTGTATTCATGCTGGGTAACTGTCCCCACGACTGGCTTTTCCAACGAGTCTCTTGTGTGGTTCATCACGGTGGAGCTGGTACTACCGCAGCAGGAATTGCTCTCGGTCGCCCAACGGTCATAGTGCCTTTCTTCGGGGACCAGCCTTTTTGGGGCGCCATGGTAGAGCGTGCTGGCGCTGGTCCCGCGCCGATACCTTTCAAAGACCTGACAGCAGATACTCTCACAGCTGGTATTCTCGAGGCTCTCAAGCCAGAAACACTCGAGCGTGCAAAAGAGCTTGGGGATCGCATTCGAGAAGAAAAGGGGAGTGAAGCGGGAGCAGCGAGCTTTCACGCACAGATGGATGTTGCTAACTTGCGATGCACCATGACGCCAAGTCGAGTCGCCGTCTGGCAGGTCAAAACCAAAGGGAAAACGAGCAATATCAAGCTCAGCGCATTCGCAGCAACTGTACTGGGAGATGAAGGCTTGATAGACGTTAACCAGCTGAAACTGTACCGACCATGCGAATATGCAGTTGAAGAGCACACCGTCATCGCAAACCTAAGTGGAGCCAATCCCGTCATGGGAACCCTCGGCTCCATCGCCTCAGGCGTCCTCCACATCCCCGTCGACATCGCAAAAGCCTGGGGTGGACTCGTCTACGAGCCCTACAAAGGCGCGAAAGCCAACGGCTGGAAAGGCTTCGGAAAAGGAATCGGCAAAGGCCTAGGTGGTTGGTTCCTCCGCTCACGAGGCTTGACCATCGGTGGTAAGCATTATGGCCTTCGTGCTGTATTCGAAGCCATCAAAAAGCGCATGGGCTCTGATACCCTGAGCTTCATCCTCGCGGCGCATTTCACGCAAGGGTATGAAGAGGCGAGCGCTGCGACGGAGGAGGAGAGACAAGCTATTCTGATGAAGTGGAGGGAGATGAAGCCGGATTTGAAGAAGGAGGTCACGGCAACGAGTACGAATGCGAGTGTCTCGAGCTCGAGTTCTATATTGACGCCTACGAGCTCGGGAACTTCGAGAAGTCCATCGACTACCACGGCAGGTCAGAGTAGTGGTGTTACGGGCAATGGGGATGGTTCTCCTCTGCCTCCAAACAATAGTGCAAGATGAAGTGAGAAGTTCATCGATCTCTACAGTCCCATGCAAATTATCAGGATAATTTATGCATCAGCTCGCTCGCTGACTACCTCCTCCAAATCGTATCAATGTGAAAAATTAATCTTTCCGGTGCAGATGAGCTTGAGCCAAAACTTGACTTCGAACCCTAGCAGCTTAGCGACGGGGCCCCCTTATTGCGCTCGGCTAAATCAGTTGTGGACTATGGACTAGGCGTTGGAATAAACAATGAAATTTAGGTAGCTCATGGTCCAGAGAAGATTCCATTCGTTGTTTTGGAAGATCTCGAGTCCCCATACTCTCGATTCACGACCTTTGCTGACGAACGTCAATGATACGCGTACTGTATTCGACAATGAGCGATGACCATGACCTCAGTCAGCCGGTGTCGAATTATTGCTTCTCGGCTCAATAATCAAGAGCATCGTGAATTTTTTTGGTTCAAAACACAATTACCATACCAATTCCAAATCCAAGTAAGATGACGCAAACCGGCGCTCAATTGATGTCCTCTTTTGGGAAGAAACGGCATTGTCTGTATGCATCCTAAGCAATTGTGCAACACGCAGCCGTCGAAATTCGCTTGACGGAACGTGACATCCATGGCTGTGCAAACACAGCCCGTCAAAAAATTTGTCTCCGTGCTGTGCTGTTATCGGAGACATTATTTGGTACTGTAAGCTCGAACCATCGACTCCGCGAATAAGCGCTACCAAACAAATGCAAGGAAGGGAATGAAATGTCAAAGATTGGCCAATAACTTAATGCGTGTAGGTATGCAGGTCGGGTTCGGATTCGGATATTAACTTATGGAGAAGAATGCCGAGAGTTGGAATATGAGTCACAGACACAGGGCAGCCAAGCCTCTGTCCTCCTCTGTCCTGTCCCGTCGCTGCATTCCACCAGTCGAGTTCCAGTTCGAGTCTCACCCGCCGGGACCAGCGACCCGCATACCTTATGGATCAATTGCGCTAGGATCCACCCATGCCCGCTTACAAGCCTCAATGCCCCTCCAAACCTCACGCCGGCCAGACATAAAACATCGACTTTCCCGCACATCACATCACTCCTCTTCTCTTCTTCTTTTTTCTTTTCTCTCCAACAGTCGAACATTTCGACATCATCTCTGCAATCAAATTTGCAGACGACACCCTTTCCTCCTCGTAACGAGCGGATCCCCAACGGGTCTACCTAGGCCCGTCCTAACCCTATTTCATCATGGTGGGAGCAACAGCAACAACCGTCACCAACCCACGAGAAGCCCAGGGACCCTTCTTCCAACCACACCAACTCTTCATCGAATACAAACCTCCTTGGAACAGCACAACGGTCTAATTCACATTTCCTTCGTCATCAAAATCATTTGCAACAAAATCAATTCCAGCCGCAATTTCAATTCGACTCTTCTGCCTCCTCTCAGCCACAACATCAATTCGCCTGGCCAGAGCTAGAACCGAGCGAATTCTTCTCACCGGCATCATTACTCTCTCTCCCGAGCGATATTTCCTTCATCCAGGACTGTCTATTCATACCAGACCAGTCACAAAATCAGGACTTTGGTCTTAGCCCATCATCATTATTTGCCGGAACCGGAACAGAAACAGCAACAGCAATATCGGAGTTTTCAGGCGCCGGCGCAGGTGGTGCAGGTAGTAGTTCATCACTTTTGGATCCTGTTGGCAATTTCTGGGATCAGCTGTCCGCTGGAGAAAATAACAACGACATGACGACCACCACCACGCTTGCCCAGTTCAATCACCTTCCCGGCCGGGGGGAGACTCACTCACACTCGCTAATCGACGTGTCTTTATATATGGGCAGTGGTGGTACGCATGATTCGATTCCAGTCGGGACGGACCTGGGAATGCCGCATACTACAGCATTCAATCACACTCACGGCCATCACAACCAGGCAGGGCTGTCAACTTCGAACTCGCAATCGCAAACTCTTTCTTCTGCTTCCACATCTTCGACGGGTGGGCTTTCCCCAGAGATGTATTCGCTTTCAAGCACTTACCACCATCATCATCCTGATCTGATGAACACCTCAACCCTCTCAGACACTTCCTCAGACACCAGTTTCAACCCCGGTCTCTTCACTGATCACCAAAACCGTCCACAACATCTCACCCCAAACAACAACAACAACCCCTCCCCTATCTCCTCCCACACTACCCACTCCTCAAACTCACCTCCCAAATCCAAATCCCCAGCACCAACACCAACACCAGCAACTAAACGCCACCAGCACACCTCCCCCAAACCAACTTCAACATCACCATCTGAATCCTCCCTCCTCCACACCACCACCACCAGCAAAGATTCCAAGATCCAAAAACGCACACTCAACACCCTCGCCGCTAGGCGTTACCGCCAAAAGCGCGTCGATCAGGTGTCTTCGCTGGAGACGTCGCTGAAGGAGACGCAGGATGAGAGGGATGAGTTGAAATTGAAGGTTGCGAGGTTGGAGGCTGAGGTGGAGGTTTTGAGGGGTTTGGTTGGTAGGAAGTAGGAAGTAGGTTGGTGGGGAAAGTGGGTGAGAGCGAGGGTGTTAGTTAGTTTGTTTGTTTGTTTGTGGGAAGGGAGATTGAGAAACAAGGAGAAGAGGGAGGAGGTGAGGAATCAGACGATGTTAGGGGTCCGTAGATAGAGATAGTTGGATAACGAAAAAGAAAATGGATTACTATATACCTGAATTTATCCTTTTCTTTCTTTCTTTCTCCCTCCCGGAGAAGGAGAAAAATCTTGTTCCCTCAAATCTGCCAAAAAAAAAAAGGATCGTAATACTCATCGTCCTCGGCGATGGCTGTGATTTGTAGAGACTTGCGACCTTGCGCCTTTTCGTTCGCGGGGTTCTTGTTTACATTTTCTGGATCTGGGTCTGGATCTGGGGGTGAATGGATTGGACTGTGATAGAATTGTATGTTGATTGATATTTCTCGTCAAAAGTCTGACTTTTATTCTTTGACGGGTTTTCCGGGTTTATATATATACCTAGACGGACACGCCTTGAACTAAGTTTCTCGTGAATAAATAGATAGATATGAAAATGCTCTACTCATTTTTCATGTAGATCGAAGAAAGGATGATTGTTTCTGAATTCACCATGAGTCGATAGACTGCGATGCCTGTGATGAAGTACGGCACGAGACGGTATGATATGATATGATATGATATGATACCGTTCTATACACCAGCCTCGTCTGCATGTCTCTCTCTTCCCGATTCTCCACTCTTTCATCACCTTCAACCTAACGCCTGCCTCCGCTTTGTTTGGTTTCATCCATCTATCACATCGCTTCCATCGCATTCCATTTCTCCTCTAGTTGTTTACTCGTTTCCTGCTCTAATAACCTAATCACCCCATCTCACCTACCTAACATTTCATCCCCCCCCCCCCCCCCCCCCCCCCCCCCCCCCCCCCTTTCTCCAGCTGATTAAGGTTAATTCTTCCCAATCTCGATCTCAACCCCAATTCCAGACATTCCAATCCAATACCAATCCCAATCCTGATTCCTAGAACCATATCTTACCTTAGCTTACCTAGGTCCAGCTCCATACAGTACAGAAAATTTACCTACTCTGCATCACTACTGGCTGTCCGCCGTCCCTGTATCTCGAAAGGTAAGGTATGGATACCTAGGTATGGGAGGATAGATAAATGACGCTAATGCAATGCAATGCAAGTAATACGACCGGGGCACAGCAGGGCAGAGCGCGCCAATTGACCTTTCTTGACTTTTCTTGGAGTGAGTGAGTGAGTGAGTGAGTGAGGTGGAGGTGAGGTGAGTGAAAATGACTCATTCTCGCTCATCCTCGCTCATCCGCTGTCACCCGCTTGTTGCCGAGTCTTGGCTTGCTTGGCCGCCAGGCCGCTTAATGGGAGCTCGCTTAAGGTACCCGCACCGCAGCGCCTGCATTATTTGTCCCCTCAGAGGATTTGGGGAATGAAAGGCAGAAAGGGAAAATGTGGGGTGGGAGGAGATGGGAGAAGAGGGAGGGGAGGAGAGGAGTGGGAAGCGAGGTTGGTGTTGGTGTTGACGTTGATGTTGACGCAATGCATGGTTTGGGTAAGCGGCGGCATGGCATGGTGGAGGGATGTATGCTTGGTGACATTTTGAGAGGGGTTTGTTTGTGTTTAAATGAATTCTTTTTTCTCTGGGTAACAAGACAAGGCCATTGGGGTGTGACGCAATCAAGTGCACAGATTTGTAAATGGCTTATTGCTTGATCTATCTCATAGCTCGTATATATTCTTCTCAACTTATCTCATCTCTTTATTATACTATTGTACATCGTTTCGGACCGCTGCGACCTTTTACGAGTTCTTGCTTTTTTATTGAGATACAAGAAGAAAATACAACAACGCTCTCATCAACCTCGATCCGGTTTCCACATTTTTTGGAATAACATGACTTCCGAAAACCAAGATCCAAGATCCAAGATTCAACTTTTAATAATTTAGTTGATGAATGCAAAGAAGGGACTGCTAAATGTGTATCTATTTCAACATGGATAGAAATACTGTCTCTAGTCTCAAATTGTGCTCCGCTTGATTGGGGGAGACCAGGCAAGGCAGGGAGGGCGAGTCAATGTAGGTCGATGGAAAAGTTGATCATCCTCCTACTTTCCCCCTCTGCTTCCCCTCGCATACTTTCTACGAAAAGATAGAGACGCGCTTAGATTCTGTAAGAGGGTGTAAAAATAGTTGCTACTGTATGCCTACGAAGAGTTGGACGTATTGTTGTGTTCTTTTCTTTCCGATAAACTTAGATGGTAGCCAAGTCAGAATGATGCGTATCGACTCATGCACAGTCATAGTCTGCACATCTCATCCCCATCTTTACCTCCGTTTCTGTCTACTTCCGCCTGTTACTTTCACTATCTCATTCGCGTTTCTCAGATTTCACGTTGCTATCACAAATGTCAAGTGTTAGAAGTTGACACTCCAGTAACTCCACCCCTAAGGGGGGTTTCGGGCAATCACCGTCGATGAGTTGTCTGGAATTCTAGGACTAAATAAAATGTGGATAGTGGAGACAGTAACATGGCATTATTTTACAGAACACTTTAATATTGTATAGAACTTAAGGTAGGCAGGAGGTTGGAGCTTAAGTTCAAAGATCTCAAGCCTTAGCCAGCTGGTTTCACGCAAAATACGAAGCACAGGAGGGAGGGCTATGCATGTGAAATAATGTTAGAGTGGAAGATAGGAGAAAGGGAAGGGGGAAAGAGGGAGGGAGAAGAAAAGGGAGAGGGGAAAGGAAGAAGATGGTTTAGCACTAGTGCAATTTGATCAAACCAGAGAACGTGCCTTTGAAAATTGCAGACAGTTATCTAAACCACAGATAGAAAGCATGTAAAAGAAAGACCCGATTCCATACAGTCTCTGCAGAAGTTGCAGTTTGTGTCCGTAGGAAAACCCCCGTAGGGAAATCAGTTGTTAATTCTGACTTCCCATCCTGGTTCCGATTTATCGGTTAGAGTGAGCCTAACCTCACCCTTCCGTTACAGATTCGGCTTTCTAACATAGAATCAGAATGAGGCGGATCGACTCATAGACTGTGAGCTTTTCCAAAGCTGACCCCGATCCATGCCCTCTTGTCTTTTTCACTTGCCCGTTTCTAGTCATGTAGTATCATCATGATCCTCGACCGTCGAGATTCGAAACATTATTCCCACGTAACGTCCCCCTGTTCCTCAAAGTAACTGCTGTCTCCGCATTCCAGATCCAACTTGTTTCACTCGCTAGTATCTCTGAATAATCTGCCCAGAGTTTTGACGCGGTTGGTCTGGTCTGGTCAGAGGCAGGGCGTTGATCTAGAATTTTGATCCTTAGGATTCTGGAATGCACGTGTGAGAATATTAGCCAGTTTTCTTCTACGAAGCAGGAAGGTAATCGAAAAGAGGAAGAGGAGGAGGGTAACGCTTCAGACGATGTCGGTTATGTAGATAAAATTTGAATCACAGTACATTTCCTTGTTCAAGAGAAATATAGGGTTCAGATCGGCAAAATATTTTGTGTAATCATTGCGCTCGCTTGGTTGATTGATCACAACTTGCTGTGATGGCTGTTGCTGTTGAAAGGGAAAAGATTTGTGAACTTACCTGAGCAGACATGTTTTCACCTGCTTCTCTCGAGCTTCGACTTGAATGGGGATTTGTGATTGTTCTGATTTCGATATTCTTTTCTATGCTGCAATCCTCTGGTATATACAGTATCCCAACCCAGAGAAGACTCATCTAGACTCATTCTCCGTACAAATCAGCCAAGAATGAAGTCACCATGGATCGATATGATACGATATGCCAACTGCGTCCAGCACCAAATTCTACTTTCCCCTCTCCGTACTCCGTCTCTCTTAGCCCTTCGTACAAGCTTGGCCCATCAGATCAAGGCAAATATCGATATCCATCACACTGATTCACAGGAATACGACGTATGTCCGTACTAGCTAGAGCCTCACCCGCCTCCTCATACTCTTGTGATCCTCCTTCCTCAAATTTCGCATGCAAACAAGCAGGCACCTCCCGCATCTAGAATCGCTATCAACAAAAGTACCTCGGTGTCCTAGAATTCGAACCACATCCACATCTTCAAATTCAAGTTTAAATTCACTTTTGAGATCTAGAGATCCACTTTCATCCTTAAGCCCGTGGCTTTAAGGAATTTTTCCAGAGACCAGAGCACTGCACTTTCTCTATTGAGTCGACTAACGATGGAACAGTGGTGCTTTTCCACTTTAAAGGTTTCAGTTCTCCTGTTATCTTTGCCCTTCCCTGGTTGTGAATAGCTTCCACTGCAAGCATCTCCCCATCACAACGGACCAACTCTCAGTAACAACAATCGGAGCGAACCCTACTTTACCGCGCAGACCCTGCATATGGACCAAGAATCGTAATCTAGACAAGTGGAGTGAAGTAACGCGACGCGAAGGCGCTAAGGACGGAGTTCCGCCATTTGTTTGGAATTCATGTTGACGTAGGCATTTCAAGTGAAAGAAGGTGGAGAGGCATAGATGGTCTGGAAGACTCGAAAGGTACTGCTGTGCCATCTTCTTTTCGAGTCTTGTCTAGACTGATCTGGTGGCCGGCAGGAAGAAGTCATGGCTGAATAAATGAATAAATGAATAAATGCAACATCGGCCTGGTCATGCGAAACATCAACACCCAGCTCTTCTTTCTACCACTGATTTTTACATTTTGTGTGTGTCCTTTCAGTCGTATGGCGAAGAGCGGGTAGCGTGAATGGAAATGTAAGAGCTGATCAATCAAGTACACTACTTCCTCATTCTCCTATTGTCTCTTCCGCTCCTCTCATGGTTTTAATACATACCTTCTATAATGGAAAACACTTCCTCGTATAATTTGAGGTATGATAGTCCTCAATCAACATCTCTTGATTTTTGCACTCTACCCTTTCTAAGTATTAGAATCTTATCGTAATCTTCAACCATCGAGACACGCAATATCACTCCCTCAAATATACCGCCCTCCGTTTCTCAAAGTAATTGTTCTCTGCGCAATCTCAATCCTCACGCTACTCTCTCCAACTTCCTTTCCTCTCCCCTCTTTCTCGACCAAAGCACCAAATCTCAGCTTCGACTTCCTCACTTTCTCACCTCTTGAGGTCCCACGGGGAGGCACCCAGCCCATATCATGTCTCAACCGATCCAATCACATACTCCCCGTTGTTACTACAATCGCCGAGAAAGTCACAGAGTGTATCATACCGATGCGGGAGGAAGAATATACAGTTACCGAAATATACACGAGCATGAATAGGAGGGTAATACCATAATAGGAGAGAAGAAGATAGCCAGTAAGCTCTGCTTGCTCTTGCTGTCATTTGCAAGAGAATATATCTGGTTCTGATTCCAAGTCCTCCTCCTAGCATCGCAAGTCCATACCATGAGCTACGTATGCTCATGGACTCGTTTTCGAACTAGATGAGAAGAAGAGGTAGAGGATGTCTCAGGAATGTACTGGGCGAACGAAGCTGTCATTGATCCGTTTTTGAAAAACCAACTATGGAAGCGTTTTGAATCTGAATTTGGAAATAGCATGTAAGCAGTTTCAAATGTTTGTGTAACGCTGATTAAACCCGTGACAAAGCGCTGCAGGCTCCAATCCTCAGCGAAAGGCTGCACTCGCATACAGAGCTTCAACCTGGGACGATAATTCACACCAGTCGCCACACATTCAGGATATTTGGAAGAAAGTAGTTATTGGCATTATGAATACCAGGAGCTGAAAACAGCTTTGATATGCTATTCAATCGTTGATAAACACTCGCCCTCCGGCCTCGGAATCGGGTCAGGCTACGTACCATTCACCAGCCAGCACAGCCGGCCACTCTACCTCTGCACAGAGAGGCCATGTTACAGTCTTAGGATACTTTTGATACACTGGATCAGACCCTGAAAACCCGAAAAAATGTCTTACAATCTCACTCAAGTGCGGGATCGAAGTGCTGCAGGCAGCGGACCAAAGTCTATCAGTCTCTCCTCAGCCACAATCGAAACTCGACTGTCAGGAAGTACTATCCGCATCAGCGTAGACCCCAGTATTGGAAGTTCCGGAAGTCGTGTGTTTTCTGTGATATCATCTTCTCTTGAAGGAGTCTTCGGGGACAGAATACCCAGGTCCACTACCTTCTCGCAAGACGGGAAAGTGGTTATAACTCATCACGAAAGACGAAGGCATGACCTCAGTCGGAACTTCTCTGAATCGTCCTGGGCTGCTGCAGGGTTTCAACAGGTATGTAATATAATTTATGGATCCAGGAGGGACATGTTTAACACACATAGAATCAGCCCAAAGAAAGGATTGAAAGAATAGATAGAGCGCGTGGCTCATCCTCTATTCACAGTATAATTAAATACCGTCGCTATAATTCGGTTACAGGAGAGAGGTATGCTGGACTTACCGAGATTACGACGCATACTGGGTTGAAAGCTGGCAGTGCAATCCAACGACCAACAAAAGTTGATACCCAGGTTGTAGCAGCAACCCAAATAACCCAACCACACGAGCATGAGGATTCCGGTAAACTGTCTATAGAAACACGAGGTGAAGGGCTGGAAAACGAGACTAGAGGATCCCGAATAGTTCGGTTAGATGCTATTCCAGAAGAAGACCACGGGCTACCTGTTTTGTTACGATCTGGTCCATCTTCCGCAGCTCATTCTATGCCTTGGTCTGATTCGGGAAGTGAAACAAGAGCAAGAGCAAGAGCAAAGAACTCCAAACTCGCTACTACAGATACCATTTCCACGTCTCTCGGTAGCAACATAGCCTCCAGATCAGAACCGCGTCCACGGAGACATTCCCTGTAACTTTGTTGTAGCCTGGAAAGACGACGAACTCGTCATGACGGAGATATCTCTGGAATGACAGAGTATGATTCCACAGAAAAATCTTGCCACCAACCAGGGTGGTTTGCTGTCTCGACTTACTCAACGAATATGAGGATAGAACCTGGGAATATGGTCTGGAAATGTGTATGTCTTTCGTCGATCAGTTAATTTTCACTGCCGATCATCTAATGTATACCACAGCGACTACTCTCCTGCTTTCCATCGATACCCATGCGCTGGGTGATCAACAGGGAGGCCACTTTGTCCTTGTCTTGCATAGACATTCTCTCGATACGTACCATTCGGAACTTCGTAGTCATCCCAGAACAAACCTCTTTTTCTCAATTCTGGTAATAACAGCTCTATCACATCATTGAAAGAGCCAGGCGTGATTGCATATGCCTTTTCGGAGGATCAGCAGAAAATCAGACAACCTTGGTAGAAGGACTTACGATATTGAAGCCATCGACATCGCCTTCTTCAACCCAGTTCTCAAACACATCCGCAACCTGCTCGGGAGTTCCAACAACAGTCGCTCCCAAGCCACCTACCATCAAGTGTCTCGCAACAGTATGCTTTGTCCATTTCGCAACACCTGGGCTAGCTTTGGACCATCCTTCGACTGCAGACCTGGATAAATATCAATACAAGATATCTGAGGGAAAAAACGTCAATACCTCACCTAATCGCATTACTCTCAACATGTCTCAACTCCTCATCATCCCCATACTTGGCAAGATCAATGCCCGTCCACCCACCAAAAAGTGCAAACGCCCCATCTTCACTCCCATAACTGAGATACTCCTCATACTTCGCCTTCGCCTCCTCTTCCGTCTTCCCCAGCACTGGACACATCATAGCCAAGAACTTGACACTAGCCTCATCCCTTCCAAACTCCTTCGCCTGGGCTCGAATATCCTTGATACTCTTCGCTACGACAGAGGGACTGTGACCGGCAACGAAAATAGCCTCCGCATTCTTGGCTGCGAAACGTTTCCCTGATGAGGAGGTACCAGCTTGCATGAGGAGTGGAGTACGTTGAGGACTTGGTTGACAGATGTGCGGGCCGGGAACGTTGTAGTATTTTCCGACGTGGTTGATTTGGCGTACGCGGCTGGGGTCGGTGTACACTCCTTTTTTGATATCTCGGACTACTGCATCGTCACGCCAAGATGATTCGAAGAGCTTGTACATGACTTCGAGATACTCGTCTGCTATTTTGTAGCGCTCGTCATGCTAAGTTTGAGAGTAAATTTTCTGAATCGTCGGGGTGACGGTCATGGGGCACTTACGTCTGGCTGTGTGGTGTGGCCCAAATTTCTCGCTGCCGAGTCAAGGTATCCAGTCACGATCTGGACTTGTCAGTACACATCGCATAACAATCAGCTATTGGAACCTCACGTTCCAACCAAGCCTCCCTTTAGTTAAGTGATCAATAGTCGAAAGTCTCCTCGCTAAATGGTAAGGCTGCTCATAAGTCGTCGCAACGGTAACCCCAAACCCCAGACTCTTCGTCACAGCAGCCATCGCAGGAACAACTGCTAGTGGTTCATTTACCGGCCACTGAGCAGCGGAAGTGATTGCCGGGTCCAAGTTTTGTGGACCTTTGTAGACATCATAGCCTCCTAAACACTGTTACGAAGAGGTTCATGATATCAGAGGAGGCGCGCAGCATACCAAGGACATCTGCAATGAACATGCCGTGGAACTTTGCTTTCTCCAACGTTTGTGCTAGATCAGTCCAGTATTCAAGGTCATTGAACCTGTGAGACTGATCGTCTGGATGTCGCCAGAGACCTGGAGATTGGTGTCCACTGCCTGCGTTCTGTTAAAATTGATCGGTCTTTCGGATACAGAGTGGTGACTTACACATCTCTACAAATGCATTGAGAATTAATTGTCTCTTCTTCTTCTCTCCATTCCCAGTCTTCACTCTTTTGCTCCTTATGTTACCATTTTCCAGATCAGGTGGATCGTGGACACCATTGGGAGGCATCGTGATTGATGGGGGCCGGCGTTTTTGGGTGTCCGAATTCGGGGTTTGTCACTGATAATATACTCTCGGTGTATGATAAGTACAGTAGTAAATAAAATGTGGGACAATTATATCCCAGCCTCTTTGTCGATGACGCAAATCAAACTCCTACAAGGTTTGTTGCGTGAAGAACTACTTGGATGGCGTGCGATGACGCTAAAGTGATTAACCCCTGGTTGTTGTGATTGGTGGATGCCGCTAAGCGAGATCCTGAAGTCAACTTCGCTGCACTTTATCATAGATACCAGCTGCGGATAGGAGACTAGTTTCCTTTAAATTGAATGTAATAATGTACCAAATTTTTAATGGACAAAGACGTCAGCATGTTTGATCCTCGAGCTGACTCGCAGTTTTCACTCAAGTAATCAAATCGAAGCTTGTTTTGGTGGAAGCGAGCCCCAGAGGTGGTGTGGAGAAACATCGCAAGACCCACCATTCATTGATCCGAGCTAGGGAGATATACATCCATACACATGTAAAGGCTTATCTAAGTTCATATACCCTTGTAAGATACCTCATTCTCTAACTTTGACATTTCCACGTGGTCAGGATCAAGCACAGGTCTCGAACTCGGCAGCTGCTTGAGGCTTTTCATAGCGTGGAAATCTGTGTCGCACGTCACATCTGGCGGAAGCACGAAATATCTGGAAGAAAGAACTGGAATTATACCCCCACTCTCCCCCATATATTGGGGAAGTACCGAGACATTGGGATCTGGGTATTTTCCATGAAGGATATCACTTCTCATCTGGCCAGAATCTCTCGTTCGAATTCTCACAACTCGAAAAGACAAGAGTTTTCAGTCATGGAACTATATAGTAAACGCGATACGTCTACGGGAATTACGCCGCCGTTACCACAAGCCGGAGGTTATGTCGTGGTAGTGGTCATTGGACTGATCTTTGCTTTTGGTGAGTTTTGGATCTCGTCAAACATCTGAGTTTGGTCGGCACTGACGCTTCCAAACAGCAATGGTTTTCGTGACTAAGATTCTTAAGAAGACTACTGGAGAGGATAACACAAAGACAGAAATGTAACAATTTACGGATCTTCTTACAGTTTAATTCTAATCTCTCCAGGTTTATCACGGCGAATCGAAGTGTCGGGAGAGGACTCACGGCATCTGCTGTTATCTCGGTAAGTCGATCTCACCTATTCAAGAGGCGTGATTTCTGACCAAGTTTAGTCGTGGTTATGGAGTACAGCCATGCTCGGATCGACACTTGTAGGTTACTCATACGGTGTTTCCGGACCTTTTTGGTTCGCTGCCGGGTGCAGTCCCATGATCGTGTTCTTTGCGCTGCTGGGGATCTCGTGCAAGTTGAAAATTCCGGAAGCACACACACTGCTTGAGATCGTGAGAATCAGATATGGTGAGATACTTTCCAAAATTATTGTGCTTTTAGCTCATTAAGTACCAGGCACTGTTGCGCATTTGGTGTTCATGTTCTTGTGTCTCGTGAACAACCTATTCGCTGTCGCGAACATGCTGCTCGGAGCCTCAGCTGCCATCACTGCTTTGACAGGAATGCACGTTATTGCAGCAACGTTTCTGCTACCAATTGGAGTTGTCGTGTACACATTTGTAGGAGGAATTAAAGCAACGTAAGCAACATTTCTAATTAAAGGCCCTGCTCGATATTCGACTAACACCTGACAGCTTCCTTACCGACTACATCCACACCTTCACAATCCTAATCATCCTCTGCTTCTTCACAGCCAAAGCCTTCACCGTCCCAGAAATCAGCTCAATCGGCAACCTCTACGACCTCGTCACAGCCGCCTCGTCCCGCACCCCCATCCCCGGAAACCATCACGGCACCTACATGACCATGACCTCCCCCAGCGGAATCTTCTTCGGCATCATCCACGTAACCACCAACTTCGGCCTCGTAATAATGGACACCGGCTTCTTCGTCAAAGCTTTCGCAGCCTCTCCGCGCGCCGTCGTACCCGGCTACGTGATCGGTGGGATCGCGTACTTCGCTATCCCCTGGGCGTTGGGAACGCTCATGTCGAGTGTAGCATGGGGACTTCAAGACCAGCCGGTTTGGCCGACGTATCCGAGAGCTATGTCTGCTCAGGAGGTCAGTTCGGGTCTTGTGTTGCCATATGCGGCTATTGCGATTGCTGGGAAGGGTGGCGCGATTGCCGTGTTGCTTATTACGTTCATGGCTGTGACTTCGACGTTGTCGGCGCAGATTATTGCGGTGTCGTCGATTATCAGTTTTGATATTTATAGGCGCTATGTGAACAGGGCTGCCACGGATAGGGATGTGATTCGATGGAGTCATTATGGAGTCATTATTTTTGGCATGATTGCTGCAGCTTTCAGCACGCTGCTTTATTATGTCGGTGTTGACCTGGGATGGACTTTGTACATGCTAGGTACGTATACTTTCCTCCTTTTAGTTTTGGGAAATGGTGAGCTGATACGGTACTACAGGTGTCGTGACTTGTCCTGGTATCTTCCCCACGGTCTTCACAATCCTCTGGAGACAGCAAAGCAAACTCGCAGCAATCATCGCCCCTCTCCTGGGTATGGCCACAGGTATCTCCGTCTGGCTCGGAAGTGCAAGCGCTCTCTACGGAACTGTTTCCATCTCATCCACTGGACAACTCCTTCCCTGCATGTACGGCTGCCTAGCATCAACATTCTCGCCTCTACCATACTCCATCATCATCACAATATTCAAACCACAAAATTTCGACTGGAACGACTTCCTGACCGAAAAACTTGCTTTTGGCGAGTCTTCGCCAGGCACTTCCATTGTGGAAGAGGAAATCGTGGATACGGAACAGGAACCAACATCTCGCAGTGATCCTCGCTGGTTTCCATATATGCGCCGATGGACCATCATCGCTGCTGTCTGGAGCGTGGCGACTTTCCTGGGGCATTTTGTATTGTGGCCCTTGCCAATGTATGCTGCCAAGTATACATTCTCTAAGAACGTAAGTACTTATGTACCCTGCTGCCAGTTCGCCGCTAATATCTCTCAAGTTCTATTCCGCGTGGCTGGTTATTTCTATCATCTGGCTTTGGGGTACATTATTCGTTGCTGGGTTCTACCCAATAATCGACGGCCGAAAACAAATATTCCTGATTGTCAATTCGTTGCGAGGAGGTAGTAAATCTTCAGAACATCGAAATGAATCCACGCCAAAAGGAGAGGTATCTGGATCTAGTTCAACTCAAGACAGTGCTGTTGCATCGGTCTCGATACCCTTTCCAGAGAAATGAGAGGCCTTTTTCTGAGCTTATTTTGGAGAAAGAATAGAACGACGATACGGTAGACCCGAACAGTCACACATGAAGGTCAATTGTGGATGTGCTGCTGCCTATCAGAGAGCCTGATTTGGTCGAGAAGGGCGAGTCAATATCTAGAAAATAGAATAGTCCTGGTTTGTTCCATTCAGAGAAACTCAAATCCCTTTTTCTTGTCTTGAATTGAAACACGAGGCAGTGCATTCTAAGGTCGAAAACCTCACCTAGGTGTTTCTTTGTTTACACATGAGCCTACGGTCGAAAAGGGGGCTGGGTAAGCTTAGCGAGTGAGCCTTGCCGCCACTTTTATTTGAGTCATGTCTTCTAGGACCGATTTTTTCTTTGTTCTTTCTATACTTACCCCAAGTATACAGATCAATTAATTCTGTATTTGTCGCAACTTGTTGCACAAGATTATTCTGGGCAGGGATGGAAGCATATGAATATAGCGCTTCCAGTGCTTACCATGTCCCCGAGGCCTCAGCGCCAAAGAGCTCCTAGAATTAGCGCACATCCACTAATTTTAGGCAAACGTCCCTCTGAAACAAGGTTCTCCTTCCACCGACCCTGAGCCTCCAACTCTCCGGAAGTTTGTCCCATCAACAACATAAAGGGCCTTGAAGAACGAGATACAGCGAGGAATAAAATAGGAGTCTACTCGTACATAGGAGGCCCCTCGCCAAGAATATGAGCCATAACCCCGCATGAAGGATTGAATGAGGCTGACCATGACAGGGCGTTTCAAACGAGACGGGCGATTCCAGGCAACCACAGCCTCTCTCCTTCGAGTCACCGATGAAAGAAAGTCCTAGATAAATCTGTCCTTTATCATCATTCCACTTCCAATTAATTTCAATTTTATATTCAGGCACCCTTTTAAGATCAATATAAGACCTTCAATCGGTACCTGCATCCGCTCTGCCTTAAATCTCCTCTCAAGATCTCATCTCAAGCCAACATCCCACCTCATCACGCTACCTACCCAAACCACAACAACACCACACCACCACCCCCCTCCAACAACAATAGTAATGCCCCCCAACTCCCCCCTCACAATCCTCCAACAAGCCCGCGCCCTCCACGCCGAGCGCGCCAGGCGAGGCATCGAAGAACAAGGCATCAGCAAAGTCCTCCGCACAAACTACAAGTCCCTCCCCATTCCCTACCCCAGCACATTCCTCTCCCCAATCTCAGACCCCTCAACCATCAAAGTGCAACGCATCGATTTCGCAAATTCGCCTTTAAGGGAGTATAAGAAATGTTTCGCTGTTGTGCTGGATGATGTTTTGAGTAAAGAGGAATGCGAGGATTTAATTAGGTTTGCTGAGATGAGTGTTGGTGCGCATGGGAATGGGAATGGGTCGCTGGTGGCGGGAGATGGGGAAAGAGAGGGGGAGAGAGGAGATGAGGGTGAGATGAGGGTAGGAGAGGCGGTGGAGGAGCCAAAAGATAACGGGTGGAAGCCAGCATTGGTGAGCGCAGGTCGAAACCACGAAGTTCTAGCAGTGCATTACAGAAATTCTGACCGGATCATCTGGGATGAGAAGGAGATTGCTACGAGGATCTGGAAGCGAGTCTTACAGGCTGAAGGCATGGCCGAATATTTCAAGTGTCTGAGTGGTGAAGAGTATGTTCCTGTCGTGGGGGGAAGTGCTCTTTATAAGAGTGAGGTGAGAGTTATTACGGAAGAGGGCTTGAATGAGAGGTTGCGGTTTCTGAGGTATGGGCCGGGACAGTTTTTCAAAGGTGTGTTTTGATCTCGCTTGATTCCCCCTCCCCCCGATTGCTTGTAAAGCTGTTCCGAGGAAGAACATGAAGTAATCAGCTAACATATACAGAACACTGTGACGGCCAATACGAGACTGAAGACGGCCTGGCCGAATCATTCTACACGTGCCATCTCTACCTCAATGACTCTGCTCAAGTCCTCGGCATCCCACCAGGCTCAGAACAAGACTCAGCAGACCTCCTCCGCGGTGGAGCAACCACTTTCCATTCTGTCAAGCGCGACCACAGGATGGATATTGATCCTAAAATTGGTCGTGTGCTTATCTTCCAGCAGAGGAAATTGCTGCACAGTGGGGATGAAGTGCTGAGTGGATTGAAGTATACGATGAGAAGTGATTTGATGTATCGGTATGAACTAACGGGTGTGCGGGAGGAGGATGATGATGGGGCGATCGATTTTGGAGTTGTGGATACGTAAGTTGACAAGAGGATGGGTAAAAGTTGGGTTGGCGTTTGGCTGGCTGTTATTTGGATTTCTACAAAATGGGGTAAAGTAACAAGCTGAATTCAGGTCAAAATTTCAGTCTAATCAACAGAATCCTCTGATTTAGCTATCTTTCAGTGTATTGCAAGTCTTAGCAGACCCGCGTTCAAAGGCAAGTGAAGAAGAAGCAGTAGAGGCGATACTTGCGACATGCGTGGTAGAGTCAGAACGCATTTCCTCTAAATCGGGACAGCTTTATTTTTACACGACTCTCTCCGAAACCAAAAACATTTTCGAAGAAAAAGAAATGCAGATCTTCTTGATACAGGTCAGACAGTTCCGGGTATTACTCAGAGTACATATCTCTCACCCTGGCTCCTCTAACACTGCCAACACCAACCCACCAACTTCATCACCATAATCACCTCCCCCTCTTCTTCTTCCCCGCCGGACCCCCCTCATCAGAACTCATCGTCAAGCCACCTCCCACACTCCCCAAACTCTCCCCCTTACTAACAGCACTAATCGCCTTCCCAACCCCCAAACTAATCCCCCTAATACCCGACCCCTTCGCATTGTCCGCAAAACTGATATTGCTGCCTATACTACTACTCCTCATGCCCCTTGCTTTGCCCACTGTAGGACTGCCTCTAGTACTAGCACCATCTTTTCGTCGTTCTATTTCTTTGTCGGAGACATTGCCGTTGACAGCGATGTCATCGTCTACACTGATGGTTTTGATGTGTCGGTTATTGATAGGCGAATTTCCGCCTTCGGAAGAATCATCGTAGGAGCTTTGGATGCGCGCGCGTTTGCGCATATTTGGTGAGGGAAGAGAAGGTTCTGCCCCGTTCGCATTGCCATTTCGAGCAATTACTAGGGCGTCCGAATCGCTGCTGGGAAATGCACCTGCTACGCTTGCGTATGTGGAAGGACTGTCCTCTCCACTGTGGTTATGCCCAGTCAGGTAGTTACTCGGAAGAGTTAACCTCCTGGTTGCGGCAATTGAAGCATGTCTCGCACTTCTATACCGCTCGTACTCCTCTTTCGAGTGTTCTGCGTCACAGAAGCTTTCTAGAGCGTCGAATACGTGCGGGAACACTAGGGTATCGACTTCCCGAGCCCACAGGAAATCGAGATGTTCGTAATGTGGAACCTCGATGGCCACTGTGTGGGAGGGAAGTTCGCGCTTCATGACATTGATGTCGACTAAGGAGTCGCTGCCACCATAGAGGAGTACAATGGGCGTCTTGATGTTGCGAGTAGGAAAGCGGGCGACTTTAGTGTATTTACTGACGGTGCTGAGGGACACAACTGGCTGGACGTCGTCGTCGTACATCTGGAAACTCTTGGTTCGGATGATTTGGAACCAATGTACTACACTCTTGGTGCTTGTGAATGAGTAGAGATGGGGATATGCGGCGAGCTTTTGACTGGTGGAGATGTTGCGAGCGTGCCAGCCAAAGAGGAATGATAGACCCATGTCAATGACTCGGACGAAGATTGGCGGATAGAGGATCGATTGCCACATTGTTGCTGAGCTTAAAATAGAGCGACGACCGAATAGAAGGAATAGGACTTGCGGTGATGCTTTGACAAGCGCATCAACGATCCCATTCGAGAGACCAGCCGGTGCCATGGCAGGAGCTAGAGCGACGAAAACATTGACTTGATCGTTCAACCGAGGATGGACTGCCAGTGTAGCAAAAGCTTGAGCTGTCCCTTGAGAGAATCCAACATAAGAAAGTGATGGAGCCGAGGTGGTTTCGAGAATATACGCGATGCTGTCTGGGATATCATGGAATGCAAATTCGTCCATTGAGAAGTCCCAGAACGGGACATCTGTTGGCGAATGGTTGACCGATTTCTTGGAATACTTGTTTCCTCGATTGTTGCCCAACTAAACAGGTCAGCATTACTCCAGGCACGGAATTTGTCCCACTAACCCAGACATCGTATCCTTTCTCCACCAACTGGAACGGTAAACACCTCTCCTCATCCGTCAAGCATACCCAGACCTCGCTGTTCATGAGCAAGCCATGATGCATATACACCACACTCTTCCGGACGCTGTTCTTCCCATGATTGACCTTCTCGTCTTCCTCTCCCTTTCGATATGCCAGTCGATGTAGACCTAGTAAATACCCATCCCCAGTCTGGACAATGTGTTCTTCGGCAGTATATCCGAAGGCAGCGCAGAGGTCGACAAAGTCAGAGGCATTCCGTAGTTTTGTTGAGATATCTACCGCTATTAGCGTATGCCATTTCTTCCAGTACATGTAGCCTACCACTCTTCTTCGACTCGGACTTCTTTGCCGCCGGGGAGGTAAATCGATTGAACAGTCGTCGAGAGGCACGATAAAAGAGGTGAATGATTGTGGAGGCTACAGAGTGTCAGAAAGGACCGCAGAATAGGGTAAGTAAGGTACATACGCAGAGCAAGTGTCAAGATCCGTATTATAGCTTCTAGTCCAACCAAGAAGAAAGATCCCACCAGGGCAATGTATTCGGCTCTATTCATGGTTGTCAGTTGCTTGCTTTGAACCACTGTGCAACGATTTGCAGATTGAAACTCAGCAGATATACGGTTCCTTGTACTCACATTCCCAAACGGCCAAGGAAAGGAATCGGCGCCATATTAGATATATAATCCAGTCGAATTTACAGAAAGAAAGGTGTGGTTATGTACAAGCAGGGGCGGCCGCCGGTTGATCGTGGGCAATCGCAATGTCGGCAGCCAGGGTCCAGCGGCGGAGTTGATATTGAGATCAACTGAGATGGCTTGTTTGTATGGATGCTATGAAGGGGTTGCTTTGTCAATCAGTACGAGAGCCATTGTGGTTGTTGAGATTATCACGGCGCAATAATTTACATACCTGCTTGATCGCCACTGATGTCACATGCGAATTCCTAGCCGTTGGCATGGATCTCAAGAGCTTGCTGCAGCTCGCCCAACGGAGGGAGATCTCGCGAGGCTGTTCGGGAGATATGATTCGTGGAAGGAAACAAACAAAACAAAAAGCCTCCCCAGGAAGATACGCAAGAAGGAAGTAATTCAAAGGCCCCTTATCTCTTTCAGCATAACACTCGTCACAAGCCGTGTTGTAAACAGGAATTCGACATGGATCTGAAGCTACCCCACTGCTCGAGACCCGGAGCGGAGAATCAAAAGACCGAAGCTTGACCCAAGGAAGCATCGAGCTTTGATGTTCCTGCAGCCGAAATTCAGCCGCTCTTCAAGCTTCAAGAAGCGACTACTGGAGCCCTGAACAAAACACCATCAATATATCAACTAGGAGAACTCCAGCTCCATCGCAGTATCAGTCAAGGAGCGAATCAATTGGACGGTAACTTGCAGAAGGGAATTGCCACAAATATCAATATCCTATCGAGAAGTTTTCACGGCTGGAAAGACCGGTTACGAAAATAGCCATCTCAACGCCACTACGCCTCTTCAACTGGAAAGTGCAATTGGGGGGAGACGAAGCTATTGAGGACCTTGAAACCCCAGAGAATCATATTCTGCGAAGATGCCGAGTTCATGCAAAGACATCCGTAGGTCTCCCCACCATTCTCCCTTCAGTCTCCTCCACTTCCAATCCCAGAAAATTAACACTCCCTCACCGACAGGCGCGGCCCTCGCACAATGCCTCCAAGAATCCGACTGCGTTATGATTCAACGCAACAAGCCCGGAGACTGTCTCCGTCCACCGCTTATCGACACCATGCCTACCAAATGCCAACAGCTTAAGAAGGGACTCGGCGAATGCAAACGCGGAATGGTAGACATGCGCAAGCGGTTCAGAGGAAATCAGCCGATTGCTGTAAGTAGGGAGCTAGAGGGTACTGGACCAGCTGGAGGAAGTGCTGGCGGACAGTTGTATGCAGGGAAGCCGGCGTTTGGGAATACAGTCAAGGAGACTGCGGGAGATGAGCCGGAGGTCAGAGATTGGAGGGAGGTGGAGAATGAGAAGTTTAGGAAGGGCTTATGATGAGGCCGGATGGAGAAGATCATCGGGAAAGCAGATCGCTATGAAGGAGGTGATTCATATGGAGAGGCATTGTTGGGCGTTTGTGGGCTGGCGTTGGTATGCATAAGGCTGGACTATTCAAATTATTTCACCCACGCTACTCTGGACCGATCTGGTAATTATGCCACTGGTCAAAAGGTTTGCCATCGGTCACCTTACGAGATCACTAATGGTTGAGAACACTGTTGTAAGGTGCCAAGAGAGAGCGAAGGCAGGTAAGTGTCTTTCCTAAGACTTTGTCTACAGTCAAAACATCCTCCAGCCTTCCAAATACTTCACCGACGGACACCGAGGTTTCACAAGGCAATCCAATAATTTCTCTCCTTTAATTATCATTACAAAACTTTTGTCTCTCTCGGATTACCCCCTTTCACCCATCCCTCTTACTTCAACTTCTTCATTCGGGATCTGTCAAACAATCGAGCAGCGGCCTCAAGCTTAGTTGACGCGGTTGTAGCCGTTAGAGCCTAGGTATGAAACATCAGCATCCATCATCCATACCATGACCAAAACCAAAACCACATTCTGAACAAGGGGGGGAAGTAATCAAACATACCAGCAACAACAACCTGGAACGAAGCTCTGAACTGCCCATAGTTTGTAGCCGTGGTATTGCTGACCGTCTCACCCCACAGAATACACTTGATATTCGTGACGCCGGCAGGGTTGGGGCATCCAACAGCATTCGGATCGAGGGAGGGGTCTCTTTCAAAGTAGATGTTGAAACCGGCGCAGCGCATGGTCTGCGTGCAGAACGAAGCGCACTGAGCGGGTGCGTAGGTCGTCAGCAGGGTGCTACCGACGAAGGTTGTACCGGCCGTGGCGGCGTTGCCGTTGCTGAAGGCGAGGGTGTAGTTTGTTGGGGTGGTGGCTGCGGTGGCCAGGTTGGTGAAATTGGGATCGATTTGGAAGTTGGAGGGTGTGTCGGGGCTGGAGGACGAGGCAGAAGAGTATCAGTTTCTTATTGTTCTGCCCTCTTGACCGTAATAGGGAGAAATTGTGTCGTTGCACTGCACGAAGGGTTGGTTGAGAAGTATGGCGGATTTGGACTTACTTGGATGGTGGGCCGGATCCAGCGGGTTGCTGGGCACAAGTACCATCGCGCTTCTCGACAGCCATGCAGGAAGCAAAGGCAGCGAGGCCAGAAAGGATGAAAGCGACCTTCATTTTGACTTTGGGGTTTTTGGATTGGTTTTGAAGTGTGGATATGTGGAGGCGAGAATGCTGAACGAATTTAATCGAGGTTGAAGAGAAAACTGTTAAGTTGCGAAGGAAATCGCACATATATGTGATTCGAACTCGTCAGACTGAAGTAGTGCGAGACTATCGGCAAGCAAAAACGCGATGACGATTCTTGTTAATGTGGATGGCTAGGAAAAATCCTCATGGCGGACTGGAGTTGGTCGTCGATGGTGTTCTTGACCCAGTGGGGAAGTGGAGATGTTGATGGTCTGGATTGTGGATGGGTATTAATAAAGTGCATTTGATATCTCTCTACTTCAAGGTCAAAAGATAATACAAGACGGCTTGCAGCGGCAAAATAATTCTTTGGTTGTGTATGGAGCGGTGGGAATTTGGCTTGGGTGGCTTTAGAAAACGTGAAACCCGCTGTGAGAGCCGTTATGGACCGCTTTCGTCACAGAATCTCAATACTCCACTCTCAACAGAGATAAATGGCCAGTAAATTGACCATTGAAGTCCAGAACGTGTTTCGTGGCTCAATGGTACCGCTCGTTTTGCTCCATGATCATCATGCCATCTGATTCATTTTGCTCGTTAACAGACGATTCTGTGGCTTTCTCTCGAAACACTTGTTTATATATCGAATGATGAACCACCAAAAATAACATATTGTACTTTTTCAGTATATCTCTTATCGTTGCCTTGGATATACTCACACCACAAGGGGGTAGGCACATTGGTGGCTCTAGCTCGTCCTTAGCACCCTCGCTAATACTCCACCATACAGCCCTACCCGCTCCTAAGCAGCCACTTCGCAGAAGGCGAACTCACAGAAAGCTTAGCTTAGCCATATCCTCACGGTGAAGTTCATTTTCCATGGATGCACCGTTTGTGGACCATGGGACTTCGAAACTGAAGTGGGGTGGCGTCCCCAGTTAATTCCTGTCCGGCTTGTTTATCGCTCCGCTTAGGCGATTGAATTCTTGTTGTTCTACGTCATAAGCGTTGAAAGAGAATCCGAGAATAAGCGAGTATTCCGAGGAGCACCGGACTTTGAAATTTTGTGTTGGACGACAGAAAGTATCAAATGCTTACATCGATTAGATTCCATGTCACAGATATCAGTCCAGATTTCTTACTTTCTTTTCATGTTCAAATCAGGTCGGTTCTGCTTGCGAACATGTCATTTAATACACATCTAGATGCTTTACAATCAGACGTCACACTTCCTTTTCTGAGCCGGCGCGGAACTGGCCATGCACTTTGAAGCTCAACTACACTAATTCTAAGTGGGCTGCATAAAGTCATAAAGTCACCGTGGAGCGCAGATTGCCCTGCGACTAGTTCCATGGTAGACACGTGCCACAGACATAGGAGTCGAAAATTCACTGTCAGACTGCCGAGAGAATTTACTGTACTCATCTCAAGATTTGTTAAAAGCTTTGGGCTTGTCAGATTCATTTTGAAGTCTTGCATTAAAACTTATGAAGAAGCGAGAATCTGCATCAAAAAGCAACCCGAGGATATTCCTCAAGCTAAGCGTACGTACAGGTACTCTTCACAACAGATTGCTATCGACCGAAACCGGAATCCGAAGCAAATCGTACCCAATTTTTGAATCGAATTGAAATTTAATATCAAGTGAATACTTTCCGTCCCAAAAATCAAACAATTATCAAACCATAGAGAACCAAAGCAACAACAGCGGCAAGGTTAATACTTCCCTCGGAACTCGCCGCAGCACTCGTAAATAGTGTAACATCGGTATACTTGGGCGGATTCCCTACGGGTACTGTGGCTTGTGGCTGATCCGAAACAATAACGGTTGATGAGCCTCCAGGGCAAGTCGAACACGGTGCCTCGTAGTAAGGAGGAATGGTAGACGACCCTCCTGGACAGGCGATGCAAGGAATGGTCTTTGCTGGTTGAACAGTGGCTGATCCTCCGGCGCAGACATTGCATGTCACCAAAGTGACGTAGTCGACCACAGTGACTGTGCCGTTGCATCTCCCGGTTGGGCAGTTCACAGTAGAATTTGATGAAGGCACATAAGGGTCAGGGCCACAGAACGGCTCGAAATCAGCCACAGCTTGGCCTGTTTTGAAGTAACAGTAAGTACATGTGTTTCTTCAGGGGTGACATAGGGAATCCGCTTACGGAGTACACAAAGAGTCTGGAGGTCTTGTTGCGATTTGAGAATTCTTGGACAAGCATCAATCAATGGTTGAGCCTCCTCTGGAGAGATTCCTCCTTCAACCTAACAATGCTCAGCACAGATCGTTCATGATATAGCTGAAGAACTTACATAGTCAGCGAGTGTAAGCGAACAATCTTCAAGTGGCGGTAAGCTGGCACATATCGAAGCTGGTGGCAACATAGGGAGACTAACAGGTCAGTAAGAAACCAATTAGGAAATGCCTTCGGCTCTCTTCATTGACTTACAAGTTAGTGCATGGGTTGTCGACACGTGGGGCGCTATTGATGTCAGTTTCTGAATTCCCGACAATGCAGACCAACTTACAGCGCACGAGGTTGGAATGCTGGAGCCAGCTCAAATGGAACCGACCGCGTCATTCGCGGATTCGGGCAAGCAAATTTGTTTTTGACTGCGCTGTCAGTACTTCAAACGATCCGCGGGATTTGTGGTACGTACCGATATTGCAAGCCGATGATATCAATGAGACATAACCAACAATATCGCAGTACACAGTGAACGCCTCCACGGCAGCGACACCAATAGCAAGCACAGGTGCTTCAGCGATCGCAGCTGCAACTCCAAGAGATGCAGCTATCGTGGTGAAAAAGGCATACTTGAAGTTATTTAGTGCCTGAACTTTAGCAGGATTGGCCCTGTTATTGGTTTCGGCGGCGTTGATGACACCTTGCAATCCGTTGATGAAGCTATCCTTGATATTGCGAAATCCTGGACAAATGGAACCTCCAACATCAGAGATATCGCCATAAACCTCACACAACCTGCCAACCTTTGCCTTGTTACTGAAACAGCGTGCAGGGGTAGTGGTTGACAGAGCCGAAGAAGTCCTTGTAGGGGTACTAGTTGGTGTGCGTGTGGACGAAGAAACCGCAACGGGGCAGAGTTCTGGACATCCGTAATTGTTTCTAGGAAAAATTAGAATCTTGTGACATGCTTCATCTATGGACAGACTTACGGTTGAAATAGGGCACCAGTAAGTTCATAGTTGCAGATCAACCCGCCAAAAGGCGCTGTCTCAACATTACGATAGCTAAAAGGCCAGTCAGTCTAAATGTACCTGAGTATTACGACGATGGTAGTATGGGGATGAGCATACTTGCAAGTGAGCGTTTTCCGGAGGGGACCATCCGGAGTATCACTCACGGCATTATCCTTCGGGCCGTCCTGGGGATCCCCGCCAGTATCGTAGTCGGCTGGAGCACCAGCAACATTACCTGTCCCAAACCCGCCTTCTGCATATCCTCCGAAACTGACAGGACAAGCAAACTGTGGTAGCACTGGGTTCAGATTCTTAGGATCCGTTGGGCAATTGAAGTATCGCGGTCCTATTCCATAGGCTTTGATCGCCAAGAGATCGAGCACGAGAGCTGCTACGAGCGCTGTAGGAGGCACCATATTTGATCACTGAATTGAATAGAGTCAGAACAACACAACAAAGCAGCAGGCAAGGCGCAAAGCGCCTTTAATACTTACGTGAGATTTAAGTTTCAATTGGATTGTTGTTGGTGGGAATGGACTTCACACGTGGTGCGACAATGTTTTTCCTTGGAATGGAGGGGTGTTGTGAATTGATTCGGGTGCAAATCTGAGGTACTCACCCTCATATATTCTATTCGCACTGTAATCGTCACCGGAAAACGATTGCATCACTGGTTATAGGCCTCGAGCTCCATGTAATTGTGGTTGTTCAGTTTCAGTACCCCATAATATAGCGGTTCCACATAACTATACTAGAAGGGCTAGGGGCAACTTTTGCTTGACATGTTCACCATGCTGCACAAATATGGCTGATGGAAATTGCTCACATACTTGCCAAGCTCTGTTAACCGGATTTAAAGAACAATACTTTACAAGCAGTGCGATCCAATTCCTAAAGTCATCGAGAAGCATGTGAAAAATAAACGCCATGTTCCTTTATGCAAAATCGAGGGAGACGAATCACGTCCATACAAAAGTGTGTTTGATTTACGTTTGAGTTGCTCCTATGTAAGGACATTGTGAGCAAAATCTCTGTTGCAAAAACGAGTCTGTGTTTCTCATGCTCGCACCAACATGAGCACGAGGTGCGAAGGGCTAACCATTATTCTGACGCAGGAAACTTTTGCCAAGGAGCTCGTCAGCTCATGAGTTGGATATTTTAAGTGATGAGAGTATTTGCCTGTACAATCCCCAACGCAATTACCGATTAGTGGCTGAAAATCCTCAAGCGAACGAGGTGAGTTTGTGGAGCAGAGCCACAGAAAATCCTTGGAAGAAACTCAACATATTCAGAACATTAGAAAAAGCGGTTGTCTCTGGGTCCATAGAAAAGGGCCCCATCATACCAGATCTAGCACGCATTGGTAGCGTTCTTCCTCTGTGATCAGGATTGTGGACTTTCTTACCTACCAAAGTCTAATCCTGGAACATAACAAAGACCGCATCTTGACAGGTGCAGCGACCAAACAGCCTGAACTATTAGCGCCTCGTATCAGGAACTCAACCAAGGATGAGTGTGTAGGTCAAGACATTGGCGTAACAGCATTATTCAGGCACTTCGGTTACGATGAACCGGTTAAATACAGACAGTGTGAGATTGGGGTCTAGGGGCGGTGGGGTCGTACGAGCCGCATGTAAAATCAAACCCAACGTCAGTGACGATTGGGCCTCAACACAAGCACTGGGTTACTCTCAGTCTGCTGCGAGAGGATATTTTTTCATAAATGAATACAACATTGAACTTCCATTACAATCCGTTTTTCATAATTTCAAGCTCCAAAGAACAAGAAGTTTGACTTACAGGTCCACGATCAAGTGATGTTGAGAATTTCCTCGATGACGAAGGCTCCTCAGCAACGTAGATCTGGAGTACTACGTCAAGGGTTTTTCCTAGATTTCATGTACGTAAAATACTGTATCCTCAAGGTTGTCCTTCCTGTGAGTAATATATACCTGCCTTCAAGTCAAGAACACAGTCAGATCCTGCTCGCATTCGTTTATTCGACTTCGCCTCTTGCAAGGAAGTTCGACTGGCGCCTGTCTCGCATTGCTAGGATCTGTCAAGCATCATCTGCTGCCCGTAGAGTGACAATGAAGTTGCTTCCAATCATGACAGCTGTTCCGTAATCAAGTTAAGAATAGAGCAATGGTGGTAACTTGCCACCTAAGGATCGCAGCGGACGAGCTGGAAAGAATCCCGCAGCAAAGCACTCGGCCAAGGCGATTAAGGGATTTCGAGGAACATACGTAGGATCGCCGGTGCTAAGATGCGGAGGATATGGATGATATAGACTGCTTTTTTTTTTTTTTTTTTCTTGAGAAGAAATGTATATAAGTATGAGCGTTTCCCTCCATGCTTTTCTTATTATCTCATCTCATAAGCTTCCCCAACAAGATCCAAAAGCATACATTGAGAACTCTTCTTACCAAATCCAATACTTTGTCAATAAAAGTGGCATCTTTCAATATTATCTTCGATAAGCAACTTTCCATCAAAATGCAACTCTCTAGCATCCTCCTACTCGTAATTCATGCTGCTGGCGTGCTTTCAGCACCATCGACCACAGATGAAAGCTTTGCTCCTGACTTTGCCAACTCCTCCATTCCCCCTCCAGGACCAGAGTGGGAAAATTATATTGACAGCGCCGTAAGTGCCGAATAATCTCTCCCTTAGCCATTGATCTTCATTTATCCTAAGAATTCCCGGGCTCACCACATAGCCCACCCCTCCTGCGAGCTAGCCTCTGCATCTGATCACTTACTGATATCTGAATGCTCAGAACCCTCTCAAAGCACGAGGCTGTGTCTCCAACGCCCCCTACGGTTGTGATCTCGGCAGAGGGCGCTGCTGGAAAGTCTGCGGTGACCATGGAGAGTGGTGCTGGACTGCTGAGGGAGATGGAGGTGGCAATTGGCACACTTGCAGTGACTGGGGAGCGTGTAACACGGGGCAGAATTGCGGAAAGAACTGCCACAATGCTGCTGAGTGCGGTTGCAGCTGTTAAAGTATATCATTCCGAGAGATCCGAATAGAAGATCTTCAGGGAGAGGGGGTTTGTATTTGATGAGTGGGGATGGAATTTCCGCTGGTTCAGTTTGATGTTGTCATTCATTTAAACACCCAGAACTGCATAGCAGAATGTCAGGGTGTATATTCAAAGCATATTTTGGGCTCACCAAGGTGTTCGATGACGAGCCGTTCAGTTTGCGCCGTATCTAATATCGTTTGACTTCGTAGCGCTCAAGTGATTGTATTCCAGTAGCGAGTGTGAACTGTCCAATTACTGACCAGCCACGTCATCTTTCATTTTTTCCTCTCTCTGATGACCCGACGAGCAAAATAATTAGCTTTTCTTCCGCCCAATTCCTATCAGACATCGATTCCGAGTCCTTTCACAAGACCTCATCATACTCGTAATTTTCGGAATGCAAACGTCCAGTGTGAATTTGCTTCGACAGGTGTTGATGTAAAACTTACACAGCCTACTCACATTCAGGCTCTCCAATCTCTCGAACCCAATATTTTCGCCGTTCTGAAATAACCTTTTGCTCGGGATTCATCCGCAACAGCTCTTCGGGAACCCATAAAAATTTCAATGAGAAGATGCAATGCACAACCCTATCTATTGTTCCGAGCGGGGGACAGGCCTCGCTTAATATCCCAATCCTCATAGCCCCTTCACAGGCCTCCCGAATGTTCCGAGGCTGAGACTAGCCTGACAGCAGAGGGCTCGCAAAATGCAGCCAGATGCTGAGCCACCGCCACCAAATCTCAGGCGACCAGCATCAATTTTGGAAGAACTTATTTATGGAAGCGGGTACAGGAAAGTGCGATGACAACTCGTAGTCAACTATGCCATGGCGATCATGTGTTTGTAAGTAAGTAAGTAGAGAGTTGTGGCCAGCTTTAAGTGCGACCAAATTGTTCTTGCTGCAATGTGGGAAATAGTGCGAAATCAGTAAATAGAAAACAAAGTTTTCCTCTGAGAATTCTGTGGATCATCAGAGCTGTGAGGCACCTCAGCCCTCCTAAAGACGCCCGACGCCAGCCTGTTTGTGGCAGCCACGCCCAGAATTACGCTCAAACGCAGCTATAAAGGCAGAGTGTTGTGTCAATCACAATCGCTTCTTGCGCTTCGCCCCAACGGAACTAAATATTGCTCATCATCTCAAGTCCAGATACGCCTCCCAACAGATGTGAGTTTTCTAGTCACATCTCATGGCAAACAAAGCGATGGAGATTCTGCGGGCCAGTTCCTTGAGGCATTTTCACGAAAGGATAACTTTCACCGAAAAGGAACAGAACTCCCACGTCCTAGCCTCAGGGCCAAAGGATGCCTCGCCAGCAAAATGGATACCCTATGCGATGTATGAATTACTTGAGCAAACAAAGCTCCAGTTGACAGCAGGCAAGTCTGTGCTGGTCTGTATTCCCAGAATCAAAAAAGATCTTTCGATTGATTTCAGACGACAATTATTCATGGAGCTGTTCACCACTCTACAGCTTGACGTCGAAGCTTTGCGACCACTTTCGTCAATTGAGACTACGTTCTGCAGAGTTTTTGGTGCTGGATCTGGCAGTTTCTATGTCAGAATTGGAAACGACATGCTAATATGGACTTTTGACGCTGCTTCGGGTACAACCAGGGGGCTACTGATTCCTTGTGCACCGAGTTCCGTGCTTAATTCTCGACTGGAAGACAATTTCAAGCTGCTTAAGCAGCCCCTTGGGCTTCTGTGGCAGTGTTTCGTCATAGGCATCGAGTCCATGAAAGACAACAACGACCGCTGTTGGCGTGTACTACAAACCGTTGAGGAGGGAACGGGGTATGGTAAAATCCATCGGCCTCAACATTCCAACGATCCAGATATTTTTACAGAGTGGTCGAGGGAAGTAGCACGTGTTGCTGTTGAGTTGGCTGTCGTGAGGCGAGATTACGAAGACATGTGTGCAATTTATCAAGAGCTTGCATGTTTGGACGATTCCGGTCAACCGCTTTTCAGAGACCAGGATGCGTTGCGAGTCGCCAGAGGACACCTTGATCACGAAATGGTGAAAGCAAAGTACCTGTATGATCGAATGCAAAATCAGATGTCTGTGGTCAGTTGATCCCGACCTTCACTTTGTATTGTTGCTTACAGCTAAAAGCTATTCAACCTCATTGCTCGTGCAGACACCTTTGTTACAATTGAGTTGACAAAGACAAGCAAACAACTTACGGAGCATAATCTTGCAGTTGCAAGAGCGGCAAAAGATGACAGCGGGGCGATGAAAACTATTTCTGTCATGACCATGCTTTTCTTGCCTGCGACCTTCTTCGCGGCTCTTTTCTCAATGCCGACATTACAATGGGACCAATCTGAGGTGATGGGGAACAAATTTTGGATCTACTGGGCATTCACGATACCTGTCACGTTGTTGATCTTCTTTATTTGGACGGTGACGAATTATCAAGCCTCCAAGAACTTTTTGATACCACCTGAGCATTCTGTCAGTCGCATCTACAATACCGAGAGGTACGGCTTACGTCAACACAGAAGACGATTTCAGTCGAATGCCAATGTTGAGTGCGGCTAGTGTAACGGCGTAACACCTCTTGAGCATTGTATCGAGTATGGGAGTAAGATGTGGAGGCCAAAGAGGATTTTATAGATGTACCAGGAAGGAAATAAGGAAAAAGGAGAGCTCCCTCTAGACGAAGGGAGGGAGGAAGTGAGGGCGGCTGTACCTTTAGACCTAGGGAATAGGGTCCGAAACGCCTCCAGAACCCAGGGATTCGGCTACGAACCCCTAAGCAAGGCCTACTAGATGGCTCTACCTCAACCTGCTATACCGTTGTCAGTCTAGCCTTGAATTTGTCGTTCACATGTGTCCCGACCCGAGGCACACCAGCCAGATTATTCTATTTTCGCTGACGGACATTTAATGTGACATGTTCCCCCTATGGATGATTGTCACGACTTTTACTCAATCGAGTTGAAGCAAGTAGATAGGAAATCACAACAAATTCATCTTCTAGATTGACTTAGCTGGCGACCTCATCTAATTGATATGGTGCTATAGCGCGTATTGTAGAAACAAAAATCCATCCAAATCTATTGTGGGATATCAAGAATCACACCATCTACACGCACTCTAACTTGTCCATTCAAACACTCGCCTTCAATCCACCATCAACATCACTATTACTCGTACTCCCTTCATTCGCTTTCTCTCTCTGCTTTCGCATCTTCTTTTTACTTCCCAATCCTCCCATTCCCGTCACACCCTCGGGGAACGCAAAAGCCGGATTGAAAACATTAAGAGCCAAACAAGCCACAATAACCATCACTCCCTCAAACCCAACAAACAACCATTGCCTTTTAATCAAACTCCCCGTCCACCCCTCAGCCAGCTCTGCAACTCTGTACACACTTCTCCAGAATATACAGATCGTAGCCAATGTCAAAGCGCCGAGGAAGCCCTTGAATACCTTAGAGTGTCGCAAAGTAACGAAGTGAGGGTTCTGGTCGAATGCTGCCTCGCCGAGAGATTTATACCGGCGGCGTGTGCGGATCGCAAAGTCACCGCAGAGGATCATGAATATGAGGAGGGTGAGGACTTGGAATGCGAGGCCGGCGACCATGATATGGTCGCCGACTTTTGTGGATTTGTGTTGGTGGGAAGCGGATGAGGCGATGCCGCCACCGGCTGCTTGAAGAAGAAGAGAGAGGAGGTCGCAGGGGATGAACTGCGTATGCCATTAGCAAGTACAAATAAGGGTATTGAATGATGCATACGAAGCGGGTGTATGTCTCCGGCGCAATTCTGGAGTTCTCTGGCCCAAACGCATACACGATTCGTCTCAGGCAGAGATATATACCACCGGCAATAAACGCAGGCGCAATTGTAAGACACACAATCTGCATCAAGAACCCATTTTCTCCCCACTGATTCTGCCAGCTCATGATCCGTCCTGCATAGCCAATGACCTCGAGGATCACGCCTGCCGAGACCGCAAAAGTAAATGCTGTTGCTCGCCGTGTAACCGCATAAGTGACCAAGAATCCAAGAAGAGAAATGGCGAAGAGTGCGATGAATGTTGCATTTGCTGCGAGAGAGACTCGGTAGAAATAATATGATGAGTCGATGGGGCAAGTGTCGACAGTACACTCGGCGAGCAGTTCCAGACGAGTTTTACGGGCCACCAGGCTCACCGTGGAGGAGAATAATGATTCCATCTTGCCGTTGAAGATGGATATTTGAGAAAAGAATTGTTTTCTTGACGAGGTTGAGAACTCGAGTGTTGATTGAGTAGTGGCGAGGCTGCGTGCCGTACAGCCTTGACTCAAAAGCAAACGGAAGTATTCGTCCGTGAATCGTAACTCCGGTAAACAAAGACCATGAATCGAACAAAGAGGACTTCGATACCCTGTCTGTCGAAATCAAATCTATGATACTGAAAAGGAAATAAGAAACAAAAGAGCAGTAAGAGAAACTTGTATCAAAATGTGGGCATCATCCAAAATATATAATCCCACTCGCCTCGTAAAGGTCCTGCCGTGTTTCAACGACATGGTATTGTGAGTGGTTAGACTCATCAAACTCGGCACCACTTCTCTCCGACAATTCATTCCGAAACTCCACCTGGGTCCTCGCTTCGACAAGTGGCAGATGAGCGTGTATAAAAGCTTAATCCGACATTCCGTTTGACATGAGGTCGGGCGAATCAGAGCATGGTATATACGGGAGCCCGGGCAAGGGTCGTGCATGAGGCTGATTGACTCGTCATTGGTTTTGCGATTTCGCTTGCCGGATGGAAACAAGCGTTGCTGAGTTTTGTTAGAACCAAAAAATTCATTACTTCGTCCGTAAATAATGAATCTGTTGGGAATTGATAAACCCAATCAGCTAGTCAGGTGGAATGGCTTCTGCAAACTTGTCTTTACAAGCACTATTTATGCAATCGAAAAGGAAATACTCACAAGGGCTTTGATGAAGTCTCCACTTAAGCGAGGTATCGGATTACAAACACTACAGCCGTAGCGTAAGCAAAACTACGTCCAGGTTCCCTCTTTAGCAAGTATACGAGCGCACGCTAGACGACAGATCTAGCTATTTTTAAAGCCTAAGCTATCGGACGACCTTGGTTGAGTATGAATCTTCATTTCATCATGTTTCTCGAAATTGAGGAATTCCATTCCTTCCGAACTGAAACATGCCCCAGCGCCCGTGCTCCCCCTGCCGCCTCGAACTCTATGAGTTTATTTGAACGACCGACGATGTGCAGGGAAAGAGGTTGATTATTCTCTCGCTTCTGTACTGAACGAGTAGGGATTTCGCCTTTGAGCGAAGATAGAACTGTATGTCAGCTTGGGCAAATCTCATCATGCCAGCTCGGGGCTCCCTCTCAGCCAGACTCCCAGCCTGCTCGGAAGCCAGCCTTGCTCAGAGTAAAGCACGAATGGGCGATTTACGAGGTCATGAGATACAACACACCAAGTCACCATGCGAGTATTCGGAATTATTCCCTCTTTTAGTGGTTGCTCAGGGTGCTGCTTACTCTCAGTCACGTGTGAGAGGTACGGCCTCTTCATGATCAAAATAATCAAGGGTAATAGTTCTGATAATGCTCCATCTCAGTCGACTCAAGTCTTCTCTAATGCTGTTAGAATCTAATACTAAAACTCCACCTTGTACATCGTAATTCCATCTGCTGCCCCACTCGAAATATAAAGCACTCTATGATCACCGCCAGGACTAAATTCCGGATGTACATTAATCCCGTATCCACACTGAATTGTAAGAATATACCTCCCAGACCACGGACCATACGGAGTATCGCTCGTGTAGAAATTCATGTAATACCCATACGCGCCCGTGAATAAAATGTACTTCTTAAGATAATTCGAGTACTTGATTGAGCCCTGCCAAGTCAGATACTCGGCCTTAACATGTTCGGAAAGAAGATAACTCACCTGCCCATTACTCATCACATGTCCCTGAACACCATAACTCGTATCATTCGCTTTCGGGATACCAGTCACCCAATTTCCAGTCTTCTTCAGAAACTCATACTTCGTAGCATCGAACGCATCTCTGAGCTTCACGCGGCCGACGACAAAGTTTGAAGACGCGCCGTTGCTATACACGTAGACATAGCCTTCTGCTTTGAGGACAGTCATGAGTCCGACTTGGAGACCACCAGGTCCGGTGATGAGAGGGCCGGTGCGGTTCGCGATGGGGACTTTTAAGCCGAGCGTGACTTTGATCATGCCGGATCCGCGGTCGACGTACTTGCCTGTGGTTGATCTCCAGATTTCCCACTATGCGATAATTAATTAAGAATTGACCAAATGGAAGTGACAAACATACCACAAGCCCCACCCCCACACCAGGCTCCACCTCCACCACATTCGACGTATCCATCCCCCAAAACGGCGTATCATTCCGTGGCGGCGGATCTCCCACCCAGGCCTTCGCAAAGTCCCAACCATTCACGTTCTTGATATCCTTCATATCAACCTCTAGCATATTCTTCTTCGAAGCGTAGAAAGCGGCGCCCATGGAGAAGCCATCTTTGAGACCGTGCTTGGATAATACGTCACCAAAGTTCCAGAAGGTAGTTCCGGAGATGACGGAGGTGCGACCTTTGTCCCAATTTAGGTCAGGGATGCTGCTCGAGTAGATGTAGCCTATGCGTGAGATGAACCATTTGGTGTTGTTTTGGGTGGCGAATGTTGAGGGGGAGGGAAGGGTGGGGACGGAGATGGGTGAGAATGAAGCTTTGAAAGAGGTTGTTGCTCCAAGGGAGGCTGACATCCGCAACGACGATGCAAATCTGGATGAAGTGGTTACTCCAGCCAAGCTTGAAAGTTTCGAAGAATTTGGTACTTTGGTAGAGCTGGTTGATAGAGAGACCATAGAAACAGTTTCCGAGGAACTCGGACTTGTTGTCTGTATCGAGGTAGCGGTGCCTTTGAAAGTCGTCCATTTATTGTCTGAATCGAGGCAGTGTGTAACTCTAGCGTCGTCGTCGTAACAGGAGTCCGGAACACCATTGCCGTTATGGTCATAACGCTTCTGAATGACTGACCCTGCAACTACAGATGAAATAAGAAGTATAAATGAGAGCTTCATCCTCACGATTTGATTTGAGGGAGATGATCTGGGATCTTCTGATGGTCAAATGAGGGTGGCATAAGAGTTCGATCGAGGAACGGTGAGAAATATATATTCGGTAGACTACCTAACAATTTGCTCAAAAACGTCACCAATATCAATGCAAACTTCAGTGCGACATGGTGGCTATCATCAACCCTTAGGCAATGTCCATTACTCTGTAGGAGTAGTAGGATGTTTGTCACGGCCCCATGAGAAATCCTTGCAAGGTGACTTTAGCTAATCATTGTTCAACAACTAGAACGAAGTACAGATGCGTCAATTAAATCTTGGTGGTGCTCTTCACAAAATCACTCCAGCTTGCCTCGGTGCTTTGACAATAGGATCTTAAAGTTGCAGTGATGTTCGCTAGTTTTGGTTTGGTATTTTGTTACACCAACGAATTGGAAGACCGATGTCACGAAGTGTACCAGCACTAAACCGTAAACTATAATGAGGCTATCCAAGTACCGAATCAAAACCATCCAATTCCAGAATGCTGTGCAACTTGAACTCCGAACTGCTCAGTGCTCAGTGATATGAACTTCTGGGAGCCTTGCCTATACTTGCCAGAAACCAGACTTGAGCGAAGAATGTAGGACCGAGACTTGGAAAATGTCGTTGCTACACACTGTTTAATAGCTTGTAAGCTGCAAGATGTACGTTGCACGAAAATCCATGAGTGCAAGACGAGTAACAACGGGCCGGCTGGAGCATGCGCTGCATCACATGTCGATGGCTCCACATGGAGACCTCGAGTCTCGCAAGGCGTTTCCTGCGCACCAAACGCTGGTTCTCGGCTCATCTACGTGATGCGAACGCTGGCACAAATTATCCCAAGTGGTAATAAACTCTGCCATGAGTAAAGGTGAAGGACTCCTTCACGGAAATCCATGAGATCGATTATGCCACTTGGCAAAGCAAACTTGGTAGTGATGACTAGGGATAGCTAGGAGATATAGTGTCCTAAAGATTCGAGGAGGTCAATGCAACCGCGGTTTTTTAAGATGGCAGGAAAACATCGAACCAGAAGCAGCCCCAAGGACAAAATGCAGATCACAAAGGAAGCCCTGTGCTTCCAGCTCTAAGAGGAAACGCTTCCTCCGATTTTCATTTCGTCGTTGACACTTGTAACAAAGAAGATGCCCCTGAAATATTGTGGTAGCAAGATCGATGGCTCTCCGATTGACGGTGATTTGCGCTTGGCTTCTCCGGCGAGCTACTTGATACCACATCTCGACAGACTAGCTCCTGTTGCTACAGTCGGCAGGGTTCAGCAAGGCACAATTCCGCGGAACTGCAACTCATCCCTGGAGTCAGACTTGTTTGCCGTCGAAGGGGGGGCAGTGTTGTGTGCCAATCGTGACTGATGCATCCATTGTAAACGCCGACCTATGTACATCCCTCCAGCTTCCGATTCCACCCATCCTGTAGATTTATGCCACCGCTTTACTCATCATCGTAGCCTTCCAGTGTTTTCCTTGGTCCCGTTGGAACTGCATTGGATTAGCTTTTCCGATTCCCGTCTTACCCTTTTCCTTGGAACCTACTTGGATATGTGAGGGGTATCTCCGGTCTCTTGCCATCTCCCAACATTCTGCGGATCGGCGGAACGACCAAAACAGTGACTGGTCCCATGCTTCCAATGACAATCGAGTAGAAAATCGCGGGCTTCTCAATCGCTGCCCATCGTAGGTACCGCAGTGGTTGCGAAAAGAATCGTGGAAGGGTCGACATCGTGTCTATGGACATTAGGATCATTCCAAAGCTCGAAAAGCACTACACTCACTCAATTGATGGTATGCGACCTCCCTTCAATCTCTGTGTAGTGTTGCTGAAGTATTGGAAGAGGGCGAATTCAATGGTTGAAGCCTCGATGTTAAGTCCAAAGCTCGGGCCGTAAATATCACGTGCAGCTCTGCGGATCAACGGTTCTTCCGCTTCAGCTTGGCATTGCATACGTTTCCTAAAGCTCCAGGACGCGCAGCATCCAGATCCCAGCCAGATTCAGAGTTGGAATCCCATATTCAAAGAACGACAATGAGGTGGACACTACCTGCGCTTTTCCTAGGGATAGGCTCCCTGGTGGAGGCACTGAATGCGAAAGGTGATTACAGAACGTTGGTTGTGCTGGAGGAATTGGCAGAGAAGTCCAAATACTCGAAATATATTGCCGATTTAGAAGGTAAGAGCTTCCAATGTCTGCAATTGAAATCGGGAACAACGCTAACCTTGTTTCCGTTTTAGATAGAGGATTTTCACTCACATTTGAATCACCAAAGAACGAGAAGCTTGCCCTATTCCACTTGGGAGAGAGGGCATTTGACCATGTCCTTATTCTCCCCTCCAAGTCGAAGGGTATGCAGTCAAACCGCGCAGTAACTGGAAATGTTTTAACAGGTAGCAGGACTCGGACCAAATCTTACTCCGAAACTTCTCCTCGATTTCATCAATGGCGGCGGGAATATTATGTTGACTTTGTCCTCCTCGGTACCGACACCAAGTTCCCTCGTATCTCTCCTCCTCGAGCTCGACATCCACCTCCCTACAGACCGCAATGCTCTCGTAGTAGACCACTTCAACTACGATACCCTTAGTGCTTCCGAGCAGCACGATGTAATCTTACTTCCCCGACCAGACGCCATCCGACCAGATGTCCAGAACTTCTTCAAGGGCGATGGAAAGGGTGGAGATGTCATTGCGTTCCCAAGAGGTGTTGGACAAACTCTTGGAAACACTAGTCCACTTTTGACACCAATCCTTCGAGCTCCCCGATCTGCATACTCATACAACCCCAAGGATGATGTTGAGGGTGTGGAGGATCCATTTGCCGTTGGCCCACAATTGTCCTTGATCACAACTATGCAGGCACGCAACTCTGCGCGCTTCACCGTGATTGGATCAGCAGAGATGCTCGAGGACAAGTGGTTTGATGCTAAGGTCAAGCGAAGTGTTGGATTGGGCGGTGTTGGAACTGATGCCAAGACCGTATCAACAGTCAACCAGGAATTCATCAAGGAAGTTACTGGCTGGACTTTTGGAGAGATTGGAGTTCTACAAGTCTTCAACGTCGAACACTACCTCAATGAAAGTGGTGTCAGGAGCAATGTTACCAACCCAAAGATATACAGAGTCAAGAATGATGTGGTACGTCTACCCTCCCCGTCGGTGGACTTTATGATGCTAAAGTTTCCATAGACATATAACATTGAGATCCGAGAATATCTTTGGGACAGATACCGACCGTTTGTTCCCCCGGCGGGCGATTCTATTCAGCTCGAATTCTCCATGCTCTCGCCATTCCACCGACTTCCACTTCAAAATGTCAAATCTTCATCTGGCTGGGGACAATACACAGCAAGCTTTAAGCTTCCCGACCAACACGGAATCTTCAATTTCAAAGTCAACTACAAGCGACCATTTTACACCAATATCGAAGAAAAGAACACGGTCACCGTACGCCACTTCGCTCACGATGAATGGCCAAGGAGTTGGGTTATTAGTGGCGCATGGCCTTGGATTGCGGGTATTGGAGTCACTGTCACTGGATGGGTTGCATTTGTTGCTCTATGGTTATGGAGCAAGCCCGTTCCTTTGAAGTTGACGACTAGTGGAAAGAAAGTCCAATAGTTGGGGGGTCAGGATGGTTTGGGGTCCTGTATCTGTATGATTACAAAATTAAAAGTGTATAGGGCATAGATACAATGTCATCGATTTTGAGTTTCTGCATACCATCGGGCATCGTGCGATTCTTCATCGCTCTTGTCAAAGACCGTCAGTGCGAGGCCACATTCTCAAGTTTACCGCTTTCAGCTCATTATTTTCATGACCCAGAGTCAAGATCGGCAAGTGGTCCAGGTACACTTCCAGTTTCCATTGACTTAGCGGTGCTTTCCACTAACGACCAAATACTTATATATCTCAATGCTGGAGGAGCTTTCCGTCTGAACAAAACACAAGGAAAAGTGGGCGACCACATGCGGCACAAACACTGGTTCCAAGATGGCAACACAAGTGATGATTTTCAAACAAACCTCGCCAGCAATTCTTTCAACTCCCCCTCAGTCATAATTGCAATCCCCAACTCCGCATTATCCGCCTCCCCAAAATCCGAACTATGCTCCTTCCCAAACACGCCCACCACCTTCTCCAACTGAATCCCCATCCTACTATCCGGATCCAACTTAAACGCCTCCTCAGCCTGCTTCGCGCAAGCCCCCGTATTCATCTTCGTAACGCTCCACTCCGTACCGGGCACAATCTCCTTCGCCAGGCTCCAAAGCTGGTTCTGACTCATCACAACATCGTGAACTCTCACATTTCGATTCGCGAATTTCTCACCATTCTTCAAGACAGTAACTACGGCTTTACTCGCTGTGCCCATGGTCGTGGTACTGAATCTCTTCTCTCCATCGTCAAATAGCGTGATACTGCGACCTTTCAGGTTGACAAGCACGCCGATATTGAGGAGGTAGTCTAGCAATGGACCAGTATGAATACTAGTGTACGAAATTTGAGATTGACGAGCGCGCAAGTAGTCTAAAGTGAGGACTTTATCTCTGTGTACTCGCAGGTTGCGCTTTGCTGGTGTGTCGAGCTCGCTGGCGAAGTCGGCGGGGAGGAAATGGCTTACGTGCGAAGCGATGGAGGCGTCTATTAGATTTGTTTGCTCGGGGAGCCTGGAAGTTTGTCAGTCATTGCGATGCCTCAATTAATCGCCTGATCTTATGGTATAAGAAGAACATGATATGGAGAGCACGCGGGAGGCGAGGACATACATTCCCACTCCACAAACCACCACCGCATCGATTCCCTGGAGTGCGGACACGAGAGATTCATGAGAGAGGTAATTCACTTCTGTGATCTTGATATCTAGACCACCGAGAGCTTCTGTTTTGGTGGTTGAACGTGTAAGAGCTGTTACTCTGAAGCCAGCATCGACGAGTGCTTTGGTGACTGTCGGGCCAGTGTTGCCTGTTACGCCTGCTACAGCGACGGCCTGGATTGGGTATGGCATTTCACTGTTCTGAATACTGCTATGCAAAGTCGATGAAAGACACAGATGGATCATGCACGAGTATGATACAATCAAGATGGTGAAGGCTTGATCATGACCAGTCGCTTAGTGGCACAGTCTCGCTTCCGGGACAGTCAGCTGCAGATGCTTGAGCTGACGACCTGATTTTCCTCAAAGCGGTATTCTTCGCGAGCTTATTTCATCAGCGTATTATCCTAAAGCTTACTTCCTCCATTGACTGGACTCATCAGTAGTGTTGTACATAGGAAGCTTTATTTTGTTCATTAGGCACAAGTTGAAGTCCAGCAAAAAAATCGAGATAATTAGGTGCATTGTGGATAGCTACAGCTTGATGATTCTCTAGCGAGTTCGTTCATTCCTTATCTATAGCAACCACTACTCAAGCTACTCAAGATCGTGTTAAGATTTTTACAGGGCAGCACCAAAAGCCGCCAACACCAGAGTCAACATTGCTATATAGGCAATGGACATGTCATTCCACACAATCAAAACATTGCCAGCAGCATTGCTCGATCTCTGAGAAGAAGACCCAGAAGTCGGAGAAGAACCCTGCGCGGCTCCTGTCGTAGAAGCTGTTGCTAAGTCGGTATCGGCCTTCCCTTTCGTGAGAGCTTCAGTATCTGGCTTGCCAAATCTTCCACCCCCTTCAGAAGAGGTGCTCCACTCCAAGCACTGACTTGGTAATGCAAATTCTACCTCTCCGTCGAGCTCTGCATCCTTGAAGTCAAATCCCTTTCCCGGGATATCATATCCAATTGTACCGCCGATATCGGCAAAAGCCGTAGAGTTGACGAACAACAAGTTCGGAAAGGGGACTCGCAAAGCAGCATCCGTTTCATCTGATGTTATTTCCTCGCAGTTTGCATTCCTGTTACTCACTAGTGAAGAGGAGATAATGACGTCGGGAAGGTTTATGTATATGCCGGCATAGACTGAAGGTAGCAGGCTGGATAATGGGCTCACAGCCAGAAGGAGGTTGAAACGTAGCCCCAAAAACATTGATATTTCGGGATTGGAGATGTTGGCGCTGAAGGGGAGCTGAGTTATTTTTGTGCCATTGCTGACATGTGTCAGTACTCAGAAACTGCTTGTCCGGTAAGTGAAAAACCTACAAGCCCTGAATACTCGCATCTAAGTCTGTTCCATTAATGGTAATGCTGATAGACGCCTCGTCGGGTACCTAGAGAATGGTTTGTTAGTATAATAAATTGGTACATCGGAGATTTGTTTCGCTTACCGTGAAGTCAAACCCTCCCGAAAAGTCTACATCCGCAGACACGTTAGCAATCCCGACGACCTCCACAACAATTTTTGGTGCCACCACAACGAGCCCACCAACTTCAATTGCATCCAGCTCAATCTCGTTCACTGATACCTCGAATGACAACAAATCTGCGGCAGGTCTAAGCTTCGCTCCGAGTTCAACATGTGCCGAGATACCAGTGGTTGAAGCTAGGAGAGACCATTTGGAAGAGTCTTTATCACTGCTACTATCACTGGCCTCTTGAATAGAGATGTCGCCTTGAGCAGAACAAGTTTTACACTCGACATCTTGCGCCAGTGTTTGCCCTGAGACGGTGAATTCGATGCTGCTTTTCGTGGATGTGGAGTCCGGGCTTGTATCTTTTGATGGGAAGGAAGGGTATTTGGATGCGTCTTCGAAAAGAGCGGGGGTCCCGCTAGAACTCGATTGATCTTGACGACGAACAAGCTGAACGTGGTCTTGAGGAATGCTCGCGGAGTGCATGTTGCCATTAGTCGCAGAGATAGGGACGGCGATGAGGAGATTGATGATGCCCCAAGGCCAGAAGGAGAGGACTCTGAAGTCCTTCATAGCTCCCGATCTTGTTCAGCCTTAGGTCTGGTGAAGAGAAAAGATTTATCGAGGGAGATGCTAATCGAATTTGAATTCGTTCAGAAGATGCAATGGAAAACGATGTGAGAACTGTCTTGTGCCTGTTGAGACGTTCGGGTCCATACTTATACAAATTCAGTCGACAACCATTTTCAGCCTCTAGTCCAAGGCTCGACAGAGACTCATCCGAATTTCATGACAAATGTCCCCCAAAAATGTCCCATCTCTATCCAATACTCCCCTTTCCAGCCTCCGCACGCATCTTCCCGAGACAATGTCGTCTCCTGAAGATCTTCTTCCCCAACCAGACAGCCGTACATCTTGAGCGAGGCTGCATAGCAGCCTGAATTGGATTGTGACACCGCCGTCGTGTGTTACAGGGCACATGATGAGGAAATTGGTAACACCGAAGGTGCCCAAGGTGGACTGTTGTGATATTGATTGAGGCTGAGAAAAAGATCGGAATCGATACTCAAGTCTGCCTCGTTTGGTGGATTGAGAGTTTGATTGGTGTGGTTGAGTGCAAAATAGGCGAGTCGTGATGGGGTAAAAGTGCAATTGTCGGATCTCAAGGCAGAGAAAGCCTAAAGCCTTTGACGAGCTTGGGCTACTCATAATCTAGATTTCTGACTCCAGGATCTTGGTGTTCCTAATGTTTCAAAGTGTTCTCGTAGAAATCGAGGCTGTAGGGTTCTTGGAAAGGTAGAGGGTACGCGCCACCGCTGAATCAGATCTCCTTGGGGCGATACAGAAGATCGCATAGTTCTAGAGCGCATTTTGCTGTCTGAATCCGGTCTCACAGTTTCAATCTGATGTTTTCCCGATAACACCCTCATGTATTTGGATCATGGGCTCGGGTACCGCACAAGTCGGGAGCCTTCGACAGGATGTCGATTTCCTAATAAATCATTTTACTCGCAGGCATATTGCACAAATGAAGTCTTGGCAACAAATATCTCTTATATGCAACAAAAGGATGGAAATCTATGGACTACTGTCATGCTGTCTGTTTATCCTTGGTGTTGGTGGTGAGACAGGCTCGCTTCTTGACTTAGTACTGTTAGTTATTATTAGACGACAGACATGAAAGTGGTACCAACGCCCAGCGATATCAGACATCACTCCAGATCATCAAACATCGAAGATCATCGGCATCGCCCTCATCCGCTTGTACCACATTCAACTCGAATGTGATCACCATGAACAAACTTACGGTACAAAGCCTTGACCCTACTCGGCTCGCGGACTTCGTTCACAAGAGCCCCGCCATCACAATACCACTCGTCGGAGCTTCCACAGCAGTGGTGATCTGGTGCATAAAAGACTACGGAGCTTTCCTTGCTCTAGGCCGCGGTGGCGTTCCATACAACATCTTCGGATGGGCAGTGATAACTATCCTCGTCCGCCCGTTCGCTCTGGGCGTGAAGGAGGTGACCTGGACTGGCGACTATCCGTCTGAAGGCGCTCACCAACAGATCTTGGACCTGCCACCGAGGAGCGGCGGGAGAGCAAAGGTAGCTGGTATCGCTCCTCATCGACAGATGACCCAGAATGCCCCTGAGTCAATGAAGGCGGTAGGTCAACACATCGCTCACCGTGGGAACTTCTTGATCACATGACTTGGCTGACATACCCTCAGCCATTAAAAGAGGCGTTCGATAATATCGTCAAGAAGCACCCCAAACTCCTCGAAACTAAACGATCCTTATATGAAAAACATCACGATGCCATATTCGTGCAGTCCGGTTTTCTCCAAGACCCCGACTCCCCCATTCCACAGACTGCTCGTGTGTCACGTGGTGAGATCGGCCACATCCATCACGATGCATCTGTTCATTTATACTTCTCTCCTGCGGATGCAAAGTTATTGATCGAAAAGAACTGGGCAGAAAGACATAGACTGGCACGTATGAAGCCGTTTCTGGGAAGGGTTAACATGTTTTCGGTTGCTGGGACATACTTAATGATTTACGGACCCAGAGACGAAGGGGAGCTGGAGACTATGAGGATTATCTTGGAGAATAGTGTGAAGTTCATGACGGGAGTTGAGGATCTATGAACTTTTCTCGGATTGGTGCAATGTCCGAAATCAGGCTTGAACGGTTGATTCAGTAGAGTTCGCCAGGAGCATCGGATACCACTCAGCCTGAAGACAAAGAGCACATTTCTGCTCTGTGATAGGTTTCTGGTATATATTTTGCATCAATATCACTAACGATCTGCTCAAAAGAGTTTTATGTTCCTGGATTTTTCTCATTTTTCGCTTACCTTGAGGTGCAGACAGTTCTGACTTACTTAAGGCACTACCGTCTCATCTGCGCTTGTAGCTATTCATGCGCAAGCAAGCACGAATTGTGTTCACCCAAGATTTCGTCTCTCTTTCATTCGTTCGAGCTCTCAATTGGGCTCAAAAATCTTGTTTTGGGAACTTTCGAGGCTTTGGGATTTTCTGGCTGTCCCGTCGATGTCGTGCTTTACGGCGCATTTGCGACATATGCGAGGGTGAGGCTGCGGGATATATCCATATCCAACCACAGTTTGACAACCTGCCGATCCTGGAACTCTCCCGGCATTCAAAAGATCCGGTCTGAGATCGTCCAATCTGGTTCTCTGAATATTAAGCTTAATGCTCGAAGGCGGGAAGGCGCAAATCATTCTCAAGATATCTTGGCAACTGTGGATCATCCGTGGTACACGACTCGAGTCACTAGAGACGTTAGAGTCCACGAAGCTTACGAATGAGCATTCTTGCAATTCCAAAAGTTGGCAGAAAAGAAATATAGCCCATGCTTATGTGTTCATACTCCAAGCCACAGATTTGGATGTAGCTTGATGTAGATGGGATCGTCACTTCAGATTTGTCCGTTGCCACTACCATGCTTAGCAGAATGCAACAAGCAGTGAGTGGGATACATGTCGTGATCAAGCCAGTATATGAGGATACTGGAAATAGGATTCAAGAGTTGCAATGGATGCGATTGAGATGAAGCACGCAATGTTGCGAAATGGATATAAAAGACAGCTGGGTTTTTGAGGGGGCCCTTCCATCTTCAGACAGATTCTCCCATTGAGATTTATCTGAGAAAAAGTCGGTTTCTCCATTCATACGATCGGTTCAAAATGCGCCTTTTAAGCCTTACATTCATTAATACCGTTCTGGCATTCCCCGGAATGCTAGACACTCGGCAGTCACTACCTAGTAATCTTCCTCTTAGCTCTGAGGAAGGGAACTCTGGTCCCATTCCAAGCTTGACTTTCAATGCCGCAGACCAATTCGTCGATGTCCGTCCTGGAACGACTCATCAGTTCATTGCTCCTGGTCCGAATGACAAGCGTGGTCCATGCCCTGGCTTGAACGCCGCAGCCAACCATGGATTTCTCCCAAGAAATGGCATTGCTACCATTGCTCAAAGTCAGCACTATCTCTCCTTCAGTGGACTTCAACTGACATCTTGTAGCTGTCACTGGACTCCGACAAGCATACAGCTTCGGGGACGAGTTTGCGGCTGCTCTGTCCGTCATTGCAATTGCTCTTACTGGTGACCCCACCCGGGGTACTTGGTCCATTGGCGGTTCATACTCTCCAGGACTACTTGGAGGTCTGCTTTCCAATCCTTCGGGTATATCCTTTTCACACAATGTATATGAGAGTGATGCATCTCCGGCACGGGTAGGTCATTCAACCAATCTTCAGGCAGCACATACTGATATGAAGCAGAGCGATGCCTATCTCAACAACGGCGATGCCACATCCCTCAACCTCGCTCGCTTCGATTCTTTATACAATCGAGCCACGACCTACACGCTTGACGACCTCCGCGACCACAACAAATATGTCCATAGCTTCTCGATTGAGAATAATCCATATTACTTCTCAGCTGTAAGTGACCCGTCCATACAAAACAAAGTGATAATGACTGAATGAATTAGCCCTTCGCAGGACTCGTTCCTCCCATCGCCCATCACTTCATCATCAACCTGATGAGCAATGTAAGTTTCACTCCTGATGCTAATCACTTTCAATCTGACGATATTGCAGCATTCTGCAGACAATATCCAAGGAACACTCACTCGCGAAACACTGAAGAGTTTCTTCTCGATTACAGGTCCAGATAACGCTCACGTCTGGACCCCTGGACACGAGAAAATACCTCAAAATTGGTATAAGCGTCCATCTTCGAACCCATACGGAGCAATTCCAGCAGTTGTAAGTAACACACCCCAAGAAACACCCTGTAAACCACCCCATCAATCAACTGATCCTTCCTCCAGGCCGACGTCGTAATCCTCGCCACCAAATATCCCGAAATCGTGCAATTCGGTGGTAACACCGGCACAACCAACTCGTTCGTTGGCGTCGATCCAGGCGACATCACGGGCGGTGTCTTCAACAGCGTCACTCTTCTTCAAGGCAACAACCTCGGTTGCTTCTTCTTCCAGGCAGCTCAACAGGCTATTCCTTCCGTCCTCCAAGGCATTGTCTCGAATCTTGCGCCGGTGCTGGCGCTTGTCAATCAGTATGTGTCACCTGTGACACAGCTGTTGAATTGTCCGGCTTTGAACACGTTCAATCAGAGTGCTTTTAATCAATTCCCTGGAGCGTCGTATCGTCCTACTCAGTAGATGAGTTGCCGAAGCTCTAAAAGAAGGTGAAATTATGCCGGGATGAGGATGGGCTTTTATGATGGAATGAATGAATTCATGAGTTTTTCTTTTATATGTGAGCCCATCTCACTTTAGCTTTCAACAAGCTTTACGTCGTCTATCGACTATAAATTTACTTCCGATCTAGGTGTTTCATATGTCGTGAATTTTTGAACATAATCAACTGAGCTGCTACCACCGCCTCTGACGTGTGCAATGGCTTCGAGGCCCTTACAAGCTTCTAGTGACATGTCTCTTTCTTAGATTAAGGTTAGGGCGATTCTTTATGCGGTGGAACTTGATCCCAATGGATGTGACGAGGAAACTAGAGGTGGGTCTGCTCGCTTAATTCCATTTGTTCGTGAAGCGGTTCGACCCCGGTTCGAGCCTAGGTACAACCCGAAGATGATTTCTCTTTGCCTAGGTTTTATTTCCGCTCTTGTTCATCAATAGAAATGAGATATGATTTAGAGTTTTTTACCACCAATTTTCAAATGGCTATTAACCTGGAAATTTCTTTGCTTGGGTCATTGTTGCCTTGGTCTTTCAGCACCAAGATATTGAGGAGGCAAGCCTGGCATGATAATGACAACGATGTAGGAAAGCAAAACAAGTCTATTCACAGGCTAACATAAACTCCCGCTACCAAAAAGACAATCCTGGTAAAATTACAGAAAAAATCCAGCATCCAGGTCCCCCTTAGTGTATGACAGGCTCTGCTCGACTTTCCACTTTCTCCTTCTCCCCTGAAATTCGAGCTCCATCATCGCTCGCATAATCCACATCCTTCGGCGTCTCCTTCCCCTCAACCGGTATATAATCCTCCACCTTCGCCGGCTTCGCAATCATCCCAAACAAGCTAAAGAAATTATTCATCCTCCACATCATGCAAGAAAACAGCGTAATCCCCATAATCACAATCTCCTCTCTCGCCGCCTCACTCATCGCAGTCTTCTACCCCAAGAACTCAATATTCCCCAACTTCTTAACAGCCCACACATTCGCAGCGAACTTCGCCACAGGCTGCTGGTTCTGATCCAGACACACGAAATCCCACGTCTTGAAACTACAGGCGCTGGCCCATGTCATGGGCACGGGCTCGTCTGTGTCGGAGAAGTTGTGAGAGAGGTGCATGTACTGCGTCTTCAGGCGGCTGGTGGCTTGGAGCTCGACGGGCTTGCCGCGGATCTCGCAGTCGCAGTTGATGGATATGGGGTGGAGGACGCCGAGGCCGAAGGTGGAGAGGTTGTCGGTGGCGGATTTGAAGATGAGTTTGGGTTTGAGTTTGAGGGTGTGGTAGTCTACTATATAGAGGGGCTTGGGTGATTGATCTCCTGGGCGTTTCTCAGAGACGAGGGATTCGAATTTTCGCCAGGAGAAGTTGACTTGGAGGATCGGAGCTTGCGTTGATGGTGTCGTGGTGTTGGAATTTGGTTGCAGTCGTGGCTGGGGTTGCTCGCTAGAGAGACTCATGGTGTCTTTGCTCATGATTGAAAAGCTTGATATTGGTAGCTTTGTCGGTTGTTGCTTGATACTTTTCTGTGAAGGTTGTGATGGGTGGAGTGACGCTGGTGTTGTTGTTGACTTGTTTGGCGAGAAAGTGTTTGACAGTCAGACAAAGCTTGATTTGCTAGATGATTTTTCAGAATTCTATGTTGCTCTTCAGATGGGACATATATATCTCTCACTCGGCGAAGGCTTAGATTCCCCAGCCTTGCGAAAGCACATTGATTCCAAGCATCACATGTGTAACTATTGGTCCAACAAACGGCGTGCTCCCACCATCTTGGGATAGCCCCACACTAAACCCCTTTTGGTTGTATGGACCGCTCGCTTAATTCCGCTCGCTGGGCGGTGCAGAATGACCACATCTCTCCTTCCACCAGCCAGATCCACGAATTCTGTCTTCACTAACCGCCGTTACTCCATCCAGCCCTATGGCCCGCGGCCAGAAAAAGAAACAAGCATTTGCATCGTAAGTGCTGGCTATTCATTCGTTGCAGTATTTCCCTCCGTCGGACAAACATCTCTATCTGACGTGAAATCACGGGCTCTTGGCGAGCGTTTGTCAGAAGGCAACGACTTGGCTGTTGATCTCCCCTGTCGGCGTCGCCGTAAGGCTGATCAGGGGAGAGGCATCAAAGGGTATATACTCCATCAACCCATTCCAATACTTCCCCGCATCCAATTCGAGTTGATCGTAGCGCCAATATGCCCGGAGTTCCGTCTGGTCGCGGATGCGAAGCGTGCCGAAAGCAGAAGAAGAAGGTTGGCAACACCGATCCGAGCCGATCAAGCCACGGGCTCCTGCTAACCATAAAAGAAAGTGTGACCAAGCGAAGCCGTCATGCTCTAGATGTACCCGGCTCGAGATACCCTGCATTGGGTCCGGTCAAAGGCGATTCAAGTTTGTGGATGAATCTCAATCCCAAGTAGTTGTATGCAAGCCCAAATCAGACCCAAGTTCACCTCGTCCACAGTTACCTGCGTACGAGAGGATATCTTGGTCGCCCAGCAATGACTCTACAATGATCATGGGGGCTTTCTGTTCTGCACTTCGGATCACAGATGTGCGGTACGATCTCGGGGTCTATGGGACATTTATAAAGGACATTCCGAGACGACTTGGAACCAATGCCGCTCTTGATGCGTCGGTTCGAGCTGTAACCAGCACTTATTCCGCTGTACACACGAGAAGTAAAACGGTAGAATCACTCGAGCATTACGTGGATGCGCTAGAGGTGCTGAGGAATACGCTGAATGACCCCGTCGAAGCGGGATCTGCAAATACTCTATGCGCCATGTATCTCATGATGGTTTGCCAAGTTAGTACCTTAAGATCTTTGAGACATATGCAGGTACAGAACACTGATGAGACGTTACAGGGATGGGTTGGAGAAAAGGATGATTGCACTAGCCATGGAGAGGCATTTGCGTATCTTCTCAGCAATGTCAAGCCTCAGGACTTTCAAGCCACATTCGAAGACGAGCTTCTCATGACGTTATGTGTACCAGTTGTACGTTGACTTTTTCCAAGGATCCCCGCATATTGACATCTAAACTAATGACATGACTTTCAGATCGTGGAAAGTATTGCGAAACCAAACATCCAGCTGCACCCATGGCTCGAGAAGCTAACCCAAGCTCGGGACGCCGCCTGCCCCATGCAAAGTCTGAAGTTGGGAAATATGGCCAAAATATCAGAGTTCATCTCTAATCCGCAAGGAAATCTGGTAGAAATGCAATTCATCTACGGGTCAATGGCACCGGAACTAGCCAAAATTCGAGCATTCCTCGCCAATATTGTAGAAGCTGGAGATATCGACAGGACGATTCACTCTCGCTATCAGACTGTTTACGGCATTCAACTTTCCTTCGCTATGATACTGAACGTTCTCCTCCGTTCTTTTAGCGTCGACAATTTCATGGGAATGCTTGACGAATGCACATTACTCGTTAGTGAAACCATCACATTGGCTGAGGATGCAAGGCAGTATCGACCTTTAGGCTCGAGTGGAGCGCCTACCACTCTCGTCTGTGCGTGGGCTGCTACCAGCGACATGGCGCAGAGAAAGAGGGCGGAAGAATTGATGGATGAATATCAGGCTGATTTTGCAATTGCAAACTGGAAGGAAATAGCTCGATGGATTGAGAGGAAGCTGAATGACGGATGTCTCAGCCAGTGTCTTCCTGAGCTCACTACGCTGGGCACTCAGATGGCAGCTCAAGACCCAATTGCTACACCCCAAGAGTGTATTGTCATGTAGGAGTGTCACCGATACCGCGTTTGAGCGAATAGATCTCTCCTCCTTGTTTTGGATAGACACATAGCAGGCACGCACATCAGTCACAAAATATATATTTTACAACATTTCACAAACACATGCATGTTAACAGGTTTGTTGTAAAATGGACAGACTAAGCATAGGCTCAGGTTTGCGTCACTCTAAAGTGTCCATCAGTACTTTGCATCGTCTCCCAGTATGATGTTGTTCTGATATGCCCCCAAAACATGCCAAGTCCCGAGCGCTACATACTACCTTTCTGGTCTAGCTCCAGCAGGGGCAACATCGCCTTCCTCTTGCGGCCTGGTGCTTACACTTCCAGATCCTCCCGCAACCTTAAGCACCTTCTTTCGTTGCTTAGCCGCAATCTTAACTTTATTCCAGCGGCGCATATATCGTGGTTGGTCTCCATCGGACGCTTGTCCCCGATCTCATGTACCACGAGGCTGCAAAGCCAAGGCACAGATGTTGAGAAGACCTGCAGGCAACAGTTTTGAGGTCATTCTCACAACTTTGTCTCGTTGCTTCGCCTCATTTCATTTCCGATCTCCGTGTAGTGCCTGGAAATTAGACGTCATGGAACAAGTTCACGATTGTATGCGCCGCTGGCTTCAGCGGATAAATATGGTGGAATAACCTCATTATTTTAGTACTCCAAGTTCACCTGTCACAATAATCACTTCTTCTTGATTAGCTTGCAACATGAGGTTCTCCGTTCAAGATCTTTTCATCCTTTCATCACTCGCAGGAATCTGTTACGGTGACTACCTTGGTCCACGATATCCGTTCCCTGTAGATCTTTCTAGCAACTCAAGCATCGTGCCTGCTGGATGGAAGAACATCTCAACAACTCTTGACTCATATCTGAAAAGAGACAATTCCAACGGAACAGCAAGCGATGGAACCTCATCCCTGTTCACTGGACTGAAGGAGATTACATTTTCAATCGGCATGTTCTCAATTCATGACCCAGCTGCCCAAGCTCTGCAATACCATCATATTTCCGACGAAGCGAAGACTGGACCAGGAACGCATGATGTGGATGGCGATAGCATCTACCGACTTGCCAGCGTGTCGAAACTCTTCACTGTCTATGCCAGCCTATTATCTTTCGACGACGAGCAGTGGGAACAGCCAATCACCAACTTCATTCCTGGGATCTCAAGTTCCTCGCTGAACAGTACCGATGATGACTCTGTCCTACACACTCATTGGGAAAAAGTGTCACTCCGTGCTCTCGCATCTCAGATATCAGGTATACCTCGCGACGCTGCACCCTGGTTCTCTGATCTTGCTATCATTCCGGACCCTCTGACCGGGAGTCCAATTCCCAATCCGGACGCGTACGGACTGCCACCTCTGACTCTCGAGGAGGTCGAACCATACCTTCCGTGCTTGTTAAATCCAGATATCACAGCCTGCTCTCCTCGGCAAGTCTTCGTAGCGAACCAGGGTCGACCTCCTGCTTTCGAACCCTGGACAACATCAGCATACGCCAATTCAAATTTTGTTCTACTCGGAATTGCGCTCGCTAATATCACTGGCAAACCACTGGCTGATGTCTATCCCGAACTCATTTTTGGACCTCTAGGAATGTCAAGATCCAAATCGGTATCGCCGCCCAGGTCGGAATGGTCACAATACGTCGTGGCAGCAAATGATAGCACACTATGGGCTGCACAGGGTGGCGTTTCGATTGGGTCTGGCGGTCTATATTCTACCCTAAACGACCTTGCCAAATTCGGAACAGCCATACTGAACTCCGCGCTTCTGTCTCCCATCAAAACAAGGGAATGGATGAAGCCTGTGTCACACACTGCAGCCCTAGACTTCTCCGTCGGAGCTCCCTGGGAGATCTACAGATACGAACACCCAGGTACTGGAGCGGTGTCTGATATTTACACAAAGCTAGGTGATTCCGGGAACTACACAGCATTCACATGTCTTATTCCAGACTATGAAGCTGGTTTCAACGTCCTCGGCTCAGGATATATCCTAGAGAGATCAGCACTCGCTACCACGATAGCAGACCTTATCACCACAACCATCATGCCCGCTCTCGAAGCTCAAGCCGCAGCTGAAGCAGCCCAGAACTTTGCTGGCACCTTTGCATCGAGCGACCCAAATCTAAACTCCTCAATAACCATCACATACAACGACTCATCCATCGACCCAGGATTATACATCACATCATACATCAGCAACGGGACCAATCTCATGCCCCTTCTCCTTTACGTCTCAGGCGGCAAAACAGCTAAGCTCCTCCCCTCGATCCAGAAATCTGGACAAATAGCCTTCCGAGCTGTTCCTGGAAAGGTGGTATACCCACCTAGGTCGTTCTTGGGACCGTTCCTGAAGATGGTTGAAACGAGTGGGGATTGGCTGCAAGTGGATGGGCTTACGTATGGAGGTGTTGGAATGTCGCTGTTTGTGTTTGATGTGGGGAGTGATGGGAGGGCGGTTTCTGTTGAGCCTGGAGCTAATAGGGTGACGTTGAAGAGGGTTGGGTAGGCTGTGGTTGTTTGGATGCGGCTCCAGGTAACCGTATCAGGGGACCTGTTACGCCAACTTTGTGTGTTTATGTACCTATGAATTCTCTGGACCACGATGTCTTGTTGAATCTCACCTACCTGCGCTCGTCAACCATACTTATATATACGTCGAATTTGCATTGTTTCATCTTGTTTGGGATCAACAAAATGTGAACAAAAACAAAAACAAAAATACCGACCACGCCTATTCTTAATCATTTCAATAATTCATCTACTCATTCAACCATCCTTCTCTCTGCCTTGTCCCTAAGGGCCAATGCCATAAAAACCAGTCTTGACCATTCTAGGAAATTTACTCAAGGACTAGCGCGACTGCTGCTTTCCACAAAGTGTCCCGGTTGTCCTTCTCTAAACAATTTGGAGGACATTCTTGCAATGATGCAGCAATTGGAGTTCGGGCAAGAAGTTAGTGCGTTGCAGAGGGGTGATATATTGATTTGGAAGTCGCTACGGTGGTTCCTCCCTATGGCGCAGAGAGAGATTTGGGATGAATGAGTGTCAGCTAATGTTTTGATAGTGGAACGATGATTCATTGGTCTGGAGAAGGAGTCACAGAACAAGAATGTCTGCAACTTGAGTATAGCTAGTACATGGTGCATGTCTCTCGACCAGTTTCAAGTGTACATATAAATTGTGCCAGCCTACACTTCCAGCATCAATCTCTGATCTATTTGAAGCAACAGCAATCAATTACACTTCACCATCGCCGAACATATCACAACAAAGGCTCTGCCCCAGTATGTAGTACTCAATGTCTTGATACTGGCCTCTCATGATGAAGATCTCGATCTGCGAGCCATGCGAGACGTTGTCTCAGGAAAGTGAGCGTGCGAGCCACTGTTCAATCACATTGGAGAGGAAAAAGCTCTCCACTTGATGGTAAGATACTCATTCACTCGGATCGTCTCCTCAATAGCACCGATAATCGGCTCTGACCTGATACCAAAGCGGCCTATTTCCAAATCCAAATGAAGTTAGCGCCGTTACTATTCTATCGACCATGAGACTGCAAGGTGAAACTAAATCGGGTAAGTAATTTCAGCACGCCTTGAAGTACAGCTCCAAGTTAATTGGTTTCTGAAATCTTGCACTTAGAGATCTCTTCACCTTTGGCAGGCAGGACGGAGGTAAGAATCTGCACCGAAAGAACAGTCTCCAAAGACGTCACATGGCATTTTGCAACTACAAAATATTCCACCGACAAAGTCGATCTGAACTAATCAGTGTTTCCAAGAACACAGCTTGATTTGCTATAAGCTTTCATGGCACAAATCACGAAGATTACTCCAGATATCTCTCGAGTCAAGAGCCTCCTGGCTCAGATTCCACCACTCGCCATCCCTAAACATGGGCCAGGTAGGTCTCTATTCTCCCTCAACCTTCTCTAATATTCGAAGAGACATTATATTCTAGAGGATGCGCTCTTCTTTTGCCTTTTAAGCTCTAAAGTGAACTATCAGCATGACTGATTCCTCTTCGTCGATAGTCGATCTCCAGCAGTTCACCCTCTTCGGCAACCTACCCAATGAAATCCGAGAGCAGATCTGGACACTCGCAGCTTTTGAACCCCGCTTCATCAAACTCATCGAACTCGACCGCAGCTCTCCATCCTTCAACCAAACCTGGGACTCACGCGTACCAGGACAACCCAAGCACCCGGGCATCATCGGCGCCTGCCGCGAATCCAACGCCATAGCATCCAAATAGTACAAGCGCTGCTACGAGAAAGCCCAGCTCTATCCTGACCGGGAGTCCATCGACTGGTCCCTTACACCCAGGGAGGAGCTCATGCAAGCAAAGAAAATTGCGATGAAATGCCACGGTACCCACCTCTACGTCAACTACAGCTGCGACATATTCCTAGTGGAGAAGCTCCCTGGAACCGAACACCTCTGCAGATCAGAGCATATCTACGATTACAACTTCAAGCACTACCAGCTACAATATGTTCAACGCGTTCAGCAGGTCTATAAGGAGGAGGTGGGTATGAGCTTTCCGCTTTTGCTGTTCTGGTTTGCGGAGATTAGAGATTATAGATTGGAGCTAGATGAGAAGTCGAAGGAGTTGATTGCTGGATTGAGTGAATTGGATAAGGGGATTCATTTGAGACAGCTTAGGATTGTTGTCATGAGGGCTTTGTCACATTTTCTAAATACGATGCCGTTGAGGGTGCCGCTGACGAAGTGGGAGGTGGAGGTGGTATGACTGGGGTTCTAGGTGATTGGAAAAGATCGAGATTGTTGCAAGCTGGGTTCCAAAAACTTGGGCTTAATGCATTTACAAGGAGCATTTGGCATAGCCAGCATGACCAGAGCGGTTCGTGCCAATGGTTTTAGAATGTATCTATCAAAGGCAACATACGTTGAAACTTTCACTGGCCCTGAAAATTTGAATAAAAGTGCCTAAATTGACCGTTCTCAAAGTCTTAGTCTCGAAAAACCAGTTGTAAAATCTTAATCCACGACATCTTCTGTCCTTCTGTAGTAGAGAAAAGAAATGCATAAGCTAGACTTTTAATTACGCGTAGAAAGTCAACGAGAAAGCCCAAAAATTAGAACCAAGGGAAATTCGGTTGGCAATCTAAAAAATGGCGGTTTAGTGGATCGATTTCAAACATTGCCGCCGCAATCCTTAATATCACCAGTGACATTCACTCATAACGATGAATGTTGATTAGTAGCCTCGCTTAATTTTAGATCCACACTTGTCCACTACGCAGGCCTTAACTTCCAGCTCTTGACCGTATTCCACCTCCAACCACTCGTCTCTTCGACACAAAGTTGACGTCGAACCTCGAAACCTCTGAATATGACGGCGTGATCTCCATCAAAATCTCGAGCTACTAGCGAGCGAACTCTGCGAGCTATGACACGGGGCTAGACACCCCTCTCGACACTCCCAACGATCATACTTCCGAATGACGCTCCTATCAAAGATTTCGCTCTCTTTCTCGAACACCAAAAGATCTTAATTGAAACTTTCGGGGAAAGGAAAGATATCATATCATAGTCATGTGTGTATCCCGGTGAGAAGAAAGAAGAGTTCTGGTCAGGTAAAATTCGGCTGTGGTATATATGTTGACCTGATTGCATCTCGTCTCCTTCTCGTATTTCAACTCACATTCGTATAAGACATTATATCTCAGATATCTCTACAGTTCAAACTTCAGATGTTACTATTATCAATTGTTTCCCGCCCCTGATATTTGCCAACAAATCTTTGCTTAGCTTCACCAATCGAGGAGGCCCTTAGCATTCGCGTTGCAAGTTGACCCAGGATTCTCGAGCTCTCGACAAACTATCTCAGTTAGTTTCTGATCGGAGTGAGATGAAAGTGCGTATTCTGCAAGACTTTCTTACAATCATCATCCACTTTTCCTTCTCGAGAAAAGCTCTGCTCCCTTACCGCGGGGTAGATCTCCCCTCCAGCGTTCTTCTCCGCAGCAATATGGACACCCAAGAGTCTGTTGAGCTCTCCTTGCTTTGCAACCAAAGAAGCAAGAGCCATGATAGGCTCTTCATTGCGCATTATGCGTTGTTGTCTGGCTGTTAATTGCTTGATCTCCCAATTTAATTCACTCCTCAGTGAATCCATATCTATCGTGGTCAGATGATCGTTGGCATAGATACTGCATTCTAACGTTGTGCTCTTGGCAGACTTTGGCACTGCTTTCAGTATCAAGATGATGTTGGGCCCAATTCTTCGCATAATTGTTGTATGCCCGAGTTCGAGGTCGACCCGGCTTCCAGCTCCCAAACCAGGAAGAATTACGTACCAGCGCTTCTGCTTCTTTTCCTCTTGCGGCGATAGTGTACCTAAAAGGAGAGATCAGATCCGAGCACTTATGTCCTGCGATGCACATACCGAGAAGTTTCCAATTGAAAGCTCCCTCTGTTTTCCATTCCTCGAGGCACTTCATTTTGGACACACTCCACTTCCTCAGCAACACTTCGCTTCCGTGGAGATCGAAAGAATCCACATGGGTTGATGCATCAAAGTTCACGTAGACCATGGACAGGACAATCGAAGTTTTTATCTCCCACAACCCATTCGTTTCCTTGTCAAATCCTGGCACTTTGTCGAACTCAGGGGCTTTGACAAGCTTTCCTCTCGTGTCATAGCTCCAGCCGTGGTACCTGCATCCGAGCACGGTCGAGCTGCCAGATTCCTTCTTGGTTACAGCATATGCTCTGTGCCGGCACACGTTGTGGAATGCGCGGATCTCTTTATCCTTTCCGAGGATGACAATGAATGAGAATCCAGCGATATCGAAAGTTCGATAGTCACCAGGCTTCTGGAACCTAGATGCATGGGTGACGAAGAGCCATGTCTTGCGTCATTAGTGTTTTCCTTAATTCTTTGGTACAAGCCGCACCTACCTTGCTGAATATTGCACGTTTCTCAACTTCGAATAACTTCTCGTCCGACCACCAACTTGGAGACTGCCTCAAGTCCTCATATATTTCTAGCGCTTTGGCATGCTGGACTGTGTCACCTGTTCCGGATTTGGGTTTTATGGTCTCCTTCTTGTAGTTGCTCTGGGCATTCCGAGAATTCAAAGCATAAGCGATGACCAATAAAATGCTAATACCAAGTGTGTATAGCAATGCGTCCAGAGAAACGAAAATATTATCCATGCTTACTACTTGCTTGTTTCAGTCACGTGGTCTTTACGAGCACTTTGACTTTCGTCCCAACACTTGCGAGATGCTGTGGTTATAAATATAGCTTGGGTACTGCTAACGTATGCAGATGATTTTGGAGCAAGATTCCACGCCAATGATACCTTTGTCCATGTCCTCGTTCCCACGATCATTCCATCCTTTGATGCCTAACGATGCAAGTTTGCTATCAAACCCCTCCCGCATCCGGTCCATACATCCAGGCTATGCACTGAGGCGGCACCTCGTGGTGGGATATCATGGGATGACCCAAGAATTCTTCCTGTCTCAGATAATGCATAGGATTCGTGGCAACGTGAGAGGTCAGTTATGAGTAATACAAACATACGCGGAAGGGATGTGTCAAATCCAATTGGACACTTGGGCGGCTTAGACAGTACCATTCGTGCGCGTTCCTGAGCACCGCATATGCTTTAGTGAGAACCAACTTCTCTGGATCGCATATCCGCTTTCGGAACGACTCCCCGGATGGCTGGCCAATGACAGTGTCGGCTATGCAGCATCACGTTGAACAGCATCAGACGACGACATCAGTGCGTTATCTGACAAATATGTTCGATATGAGTGTTGGAAACCAACTGGTGAGAAGCAAAATATTACTCTGGGTCCGGGATTCAATGTTCATCCATCATTCTTATTGTCAATCATGGATTCATTGAGCAGAACACTCCCAGCTTCTTGGTTTTGTAGCCCAGCACTCTACCAGCTGGAAAGACGAGCTGTATTTCTGAAGGTAGGTTCATCCATCGCTACCATGGATCTGGAACTAATCACAGAGATCCAGTCGTGGCATTTCTTGGGACCTGTGACTCGTTTCCAAAAACGAAACGAGCCGGTTGTTTATGACATCGCTCAAGTCAAGATCATGGTCGAGAATCGAAGTCCATACTCTGAGGAAATCAATACAGATGGTATCGTCGTATTCGCAGACGAGAAGGTAACATTCATCCAGAGTCCAAGATTCGTCGCTGACACCTTCTCAGAACCGCCGCATCAAAAGCCACCTCACCGCAAGCGGCCTCGTTTTCGCCACCCTATCAATGGACACCCCTACCTTCGATGAATACTTTCCCGGTCTCGAGCAGCTGACCAATACTGTGGATTTTACCAAACTTCCTCATCGGCGAAGCATCTCGTATGAAGGTCGCTTCAACTGGAAAACAATGTTAGTCTCACTAATTAACCCCACTCTTGCCCCTTCTAAGCTTATGCGCGACAGGATCGATGGCTTTCAAGAATGTCTCCACTGCCAGTACACACATCCCACTTTCTCCAAGTACTACCCACTGACGTTCTATTCTGTTACGAACCATACGACGTGGTCTCAACATGTGGCAGACCCTTCCAAGCCTGCTGACGGGTTGTTCCTTTACTTCTTTCCTATCTCCACCCTGAATGTATACGGAGGTGGCATGTCCTCCTTTCGCACTCTTCCATCAACCAACCCGGTAAGCACACCTCCTTATTTCTCTCCTCGTTGATCTGTATTCTTCTTCTAAAGACTTGTATTGGAAATGGTGCCTCAAGACGCGACATCTGTAACACGTCGGCAATGTATTTGATGGTGCTTACTTTACTTAGGGTGTGGCGAGAATGGTCTTTGATTACTACCACAGTGGTACAGAGGAGGAGTTCGAAGCGTATTTTAAGTTTGTCCGACAGGTCGCCATGGAAGACTTCGAGTTATGCGAGAAAGCACAAGAAAATCTCGAGCGGGGCATTTATGGTGAAGGTATTTTGAATCCAGTCAAGGAGAATGGTGTTTTGTTCTATCAAGGTAGGGTTAGAGAATGTGTTTATAGGCAGTTTGAGACTGAGAAAGCAAAGAAAGAGGCCAGGGAGCAGAAGAACTGGGAGATGGGAGAAGCGACGATAAGTGGAGTTGTAGTTAACGAGGCGACTGTTGCTGTCAAGTGACACGCTTTGATCCTTTGGTTCTGTCACTTATTCAAAACAACGAGATCTTTCGTTGTATTTATCTCCTATATCATTCTGACCCATTTGAATATTGTGTAGAGTATATGGCGTATATCAAGTGAGGAAGTAGGAACACGTGATAAAAGACGATTCTTGAATTGCTTAAGTTACGACTATCGAGAGCTCGAGGCTCCTTATATAGACGATATTACGCTTCTAGAGTATTCTACGTGGCGTATTAGACTACGTAATAACACGTAATAGCTACGTAATAAGACGTAATAGTTACGTAGTATTTACGTCACGTGGTAGCTTAGCGAAGCTAAGCGAAAGCTCTAGAAACTCCTAAAGTAGCGAGGATTACAAATCCAACATATTGCTTTCTGAAATTTCCGTTATTGCCAGCCCTCGATGATGAACTCTTTAGAATGCGTAGACACGTCCGAGGCTGCAGAGCATTCATTACCAGCAGAGCATATGATTTTTTGCAGCCGGAATGCATCAATCTCCTCGAATCAAATATTCCTGAGCACAGCCTGCGAGAATTTCTCTGTCCCTTTCAACACATCTTTGGTGAATTTCCGAGGGAATTATCTCTGGCGCCTGACATCGAACCGGGCAAGGGAATCGATCAACATCTTCTCTGCTCGGCGATGTCCATCTGTAGATAAAGTTGATCTCAAACCGCAACGGACCAATAACCTTCATCGCCTTCTGCTTTCTTTGGGTTGACCAGCCACCAGGTATTAAAGATGATGGTGCAGCGCTTTGGAGCAAGTCCCTGGCAGTACTTTCGTGATATCGTCGATTTGCTGACCACCAAAGGCCATCTTGTCGAGTTAAGGTAGACTGCTTCTCCTGTACTAGAGTAACCTGCTGTAGGCCTTTCCACATGATGTGTCTGAACATAACGACGGTGCTAATAGTCGCATGACGAATTGCCATGAAACCCTCCAAAGCGCGTCTGTAGCATGGCCGCTGTCTTATGTGTTGAACCTGCTCCAAAACGTCGACACAGAAATTGAAGTCTTCAGGTCCGTGGCCCGTGACCAGACCTGACGATAGGTACCCCAGCTTCGATTCTCCATGATCAAAGTAGTCCAGCTTGAAATTGATAAAGTATGTATTGCGTGAACCTTCATCCTGCAGCATCATCCTCTCCACCAATCGTGGCTCCTCTGCCCTCCATGTCTCATCTGGCTCTAGCATCGTAATTTCCATGTATAGTCGACGACGATCGTGACAGATGGTATAATATCATAAACCTTCTTCTCGAGCTTCGCGACTAACGTGAACAATGGCAGGATGCCGAGCTTGGCCGTCGACATTCGAATTCCATGGATGGATGTGCTGCTCACCCGGTGTATGTCCTTCGAAAAGCTTGACACATCTAAACTGCTGTTAATCAATTTGGACGTGAGAGTTGGACAGTAGATGAATACCTGGGTTCTGCCACCATCCGTGCGTATATCATAATTCGGATCTCTTTTGGTAGCTGCTCAAATAGCTCGAACTTCTCTAATGGCGAGCAAGTTGGAACTGGCATCTTCTCGATGAAGAGCGGAGGCAATGCTGAAAGGAGAGTTTGAAGTCTGTTTCTGTCGGAAATATTGATTCGATGTGGGGGCATTATTTGCCTTTGCAAGGTGTGATCTTTGGCGAGAGCTTCATGCAGTGACAAGTTGCCATTTAGGGGTTGTCTTAAGCCTGCAACATGGCAGCAATCTTTGGCAGGATGTGGCTCGCTGAATGTTGATATGTTGGCAGCGGGAGGAATCATGTCTGCGAGAGCTGCGAGAGTTTGACGGGGCGTGACTTTGGGCATGCCGGGTTGCTGAGGTTCCTCATTGTTCTGTTTAGCGGGCATACCAGGGTGCTCGGTGGACATTTCGATATTGGCAGTCGGCATCTGACACTTGATGCTGTCGTTGAGATTGAGTCTGAGATGGCGTCAAGAATCTTCCGGGGAGTCGTTCACACTAGGAAAAACAGATATACCTGCTCGAGGTGAGAGACTGCGCTAGTGGGTAGCAAATGAGGCAACTTCATGATTCATTGCTGAAAGCCCCCTTCCCTCAATTCCAGGGTGGCCAAAAAGTCAGCCGGCTTTTAAGTCAATCAGTCAGCTGTTAAAAAACTATCAGCTAATCAGCTCAAAGATATTTATAAGCCAGTCAGCTCAAATATAGTCAGCTTATAAGCTAGCTTAAAAGCTAGCCCTTTTTTTTTGGACGATTTTGGAGTAAGGTTTTAGTATGTAAGGGGTCGATTTTGATGCTTCGCTTACGAGGAATAGAGGTCCCGGAGCGGAAAAACTACCTCTGATTAGCTAGAATTAGGCGGTCTGGCGTAGCAGGATAATTAAAGCTCGTCCTGAAGCCACCTTTATTGTATACTAACTCTCTAATTCTATTATGTGAGCGTGTTTTCTCGTCTTCTTCTATATAAACTATACTATACAGTTTAAGATTATCAGGTCAATTGTTATAGTATTAAGAGTGCCTGAAAAACTAGCAGAGAAGGGGGATAATAGAGCTTATAGCGGTATTTAATGCAGTTGGTCTTAGGAGGGATTTTTAGTATACGTCTATTTTTAGAATCAGCTTTTAAGCAGCTTTTAAGCTGCTCAGTTCAAGCTATTCAGCTATAGGTTTACACTTAAGCCGGTCAGCTGCAGAAGTAGCTCAGCTGATGGCTGACTGATTGGCTTTTTGGCCACCCTGCTCAATTCTGCCTCGGTATCACGTTATTGAAACTGACTAGCTAAAAGATCACTTGAGTTTTGAACCAAAATTCACCACTCTCCGTCGTAGTCCACAAAAGGCATTGTCTTGAATCAGAGTTGCAGGGAGCATGTTGACAGAGCACACATATTTCCCAGAATTTTTGCTAAGCCAAAATAGAAAGCGATTGAACTCAGGGCTGTACGGCCTCGCACCACCTGTATCTTGCAATGAAATTTTACCACCTCAGCACTGCTTCGATGGTCCTGTCATGCCATTTCAATGACTTTAATATACGTCTCACTCATAGGGCAAGTCTTACACCAACACGGCTCCAATTCACACCACCAGAACTATGCTCTTCCCAACCTTTCCAATCTCTCCTTGTACTAGAGGCATTGAAGGCGGAATTTCCTGGGCAACGACTAATGATCTTTCAGCAGCTTCCGAATTGGAGTTGAGCTAGCAGTTTTCCCACAGCCGCCTGATCTTCAGCCCGAGTGCGTGCTACAGTAGTAGCAAAACTTTCTTGAATTGCAACTCGAGCAGCAGCCCTGTAACAGGATCTGCTGGAAACATGCAGTGAAATTGTGATTTACAGGGGACCTCTTTGAATCCCATCCACTTATTACGGTTCCACTTGAACCTTAGGGCGAATTTCACCGGAGGAAGCGGCTGGCGAAGCGGGGTCGTGAAGATCGATAGCCCACCTCCCAAGAAATTTGGTACAGACGAGCGTGCTGGAAAAGAAGGACTTGCCTGGACTCTGACGCAATCATCTCCCCGATTATTATCCGGATCTCTGCTGGAAGCTGCATGAACAGCTCGGGTTTCTTCAACGTTAGACCCGTTGTGGATGGACTACGCTCAATAGTTAAAGATGGCAGCCGCGACAAGAGCCAACTGAGTCATGTTTTTGACTTTGTAATATTCATGGTTGCATCATTAATATACAGCCTCGAGAACTTATTGCAGAACCCATCCATCTCGGTAGCTATGCTGGTACAACATTCCGTGTGAGCGACTCTTTCGTCGATCTGATTCATGGCAGCAATGAGAGATGTGTATGACCATAATCCCTTGTTTAGGATACTTGGACAATTTGATTTCGAGTTTCGATGCATGCCGGACATTGGAGAGGACCTCGTAGCAGCAGTCCGGGATCTTGCGCCTGCTCTAAGTGGACGGCGATCCGATGTTGACATTGTGAGAATATTCTGCTGTCGATCTGCTACAACCATGTGCTCTACCACGCCGTCAAAACACGTCAAGGCTGGGCTTAGATTAATTGTCAGTGATGCGATAAGCGTGATAGCGTCCGTGACCAAAATTGTCTGATATCGTAGAAATTAGGCTGCCAGATTATCGAAAGTTTTCAGGATGCAGAGTAATATGATGGAATTTGGAAAAGAAATTCACTTTTGAAGATCTTGGATTGCTTAGAGATCATTTCATTAGGCAATGGATGTACACGTGATGGTTCTGAAACCTATTAAAGGTATTCTGCCTGGCTACCAATTTATGCTGCCTGGGACAAGATTTCTTTTTCGTAGAAATTTATCATCGAAGTCTCAATCGTGATACTAACAAAATCTCCCGGCGCCAACCTAATAGCACCAAAGAACGCCATTGCTGGTTCTGGCGTAGGTAGAGTTTCTCGCTTAATTTTAGCTTTGTTGTTTGTTTGTACGTCCACTCTCCACATAAACACCACCTGCTGCAATTCAGCCCTGCACGCGAAACCACGATTTTCAATAGCAGATATCCGAAATGAAAAACTCACATCACAGAGAAATCTCCGCTACGGCAAAATTAGGCCCTACTGGCGATATGCCACCCGCAGACCACGACGTCCTTCGACATACAGAGAGTCTGACGGTTTCTCCTCTTTCCCTTGAACCCGATCTACTAGAGTCAGCTTGTCGAGCTGTGAATAACGACTTGAAAGCAACTCTTGAAGAAGATGGAGAGGTGGCTACTGGAGCTGTCAACGAGTACGAACATCCCCATCTCGACCAAGATATCAGGGTGGCACAATCGGGCTGACCAGCCGGCAGAGAATTCACACCAGACGCCATAAAGATCCTCGTTGGGCCTCTTCATCAAGTTTTCATCATCCATCGAGTCCAAATATGCGCCATATCTACGTACTTTGCAAGGATCTTTGTATCGGCTTCAACTTTGCAAGTGGTTCTCCCCGACATCGAGCCCAAGGTCTTCGAACTCGCAATCGATTGGCTGTACAACAGATCATTCTTGTCGCATTCAATTCAGAGTATTGGACTCGATATGCTGATCGACATCTACCTCCTCGGAGATCTGATCGACTGCCCCACCCTAAAGAACTATACAATGGACCTCATACAAGACAACATGTACGGCGCAGTACGGAGAGGGAAATTAGGTATGAGTCTGTCGCTGAACCAAATCAGAAAGGTCTTTGTAGGCACAAAGAATGCTGAAGATGCTCCTATTCGTACGTTCGTCGCAGCTCTGGTATCCTACAGGCTGATATTTGGAGACAAACCTGAGAGGCTGGAGCCCATCTTCGAGGTGCCTGGATTTCTCAGGGATTTTGCTGCTTTCCAAAGATCGTCATTGAAGGAGTCAGATGGGGCTTGGTACACGCCCGTCAGTTTACGAGAAGATCCAAGAGTTCGAGGATTCCACGACGTTGGGGTTACGAGGAAAGGTTTTCATATTTGCAGCTTTCATGTCCATGAGGAGGGAGATAAATGCTCATCCGTCGAAAATCATGGGGAAAATGGTAACGATATGGCCCAGAGAGACGGCGACCAGCATTACTGTCTCGAACGTGAGCGGGTGGAAGAAGAGGAAGGAGCGGTAATCATAAATGGTCAGATATTGCGTTGATTGTCATGGATGGACGACGCATGGAAGGAGAGGAAACAATTTATACAATCACCGAACAGGCTGCTGGACAGCTGCAGTGTCCGTCGAATATCATATGCTCAGAGTTGTATGATATCCTTTCTCTGAAGTTTAGTTCTCATGAAGCTGTGGAACTCATTGGAGGTTGACAGAACTTCTAGATTGCTAGCAACGCAAGATCTGTCTTGTAAAAATTTCCGAACAATTACTTCTCATTCGACTACGGCTGTCTTACGTCACGCTCGATCCATGTCCCTGACGCTCTCTAGAAAGCCCTGCAAGACCCTGAGACCTGCACCCGAGGCGGTCCAACATCCACTGTCTGTGCACCCACAAGAATAGTGTAACTCCCATCGACACCATCAAAAGCACAAGTAGCTCCTCCCAAAGAACCGATCTTGGAGACACTGAGATTGTTGGCTGTGTAAGTCAGCCTGATGCTCCCCATTTCTATGCACTTCCGGTTTGGGTGTGATGGAGGTATCTACTAATTGGAAAAACGCTTCCATCAGTAGGGACAGAGAGCGTGTATGAAGCTCCAGCGGCTCCAGTGAAAGTAATCTGAGCCTCAAATTGTCTTGCCTGGACTGCAGGTGCTGCATGGGCGAGGCTAGCTGCGAAAGCGAGGATGGCGGTAGCGGTGAAGGTCTTCATTGTGGATTAAAGTATCTGCAGTCGCAAGAGAATTGGAATTTCGGAATCTGTGTCTGGCGCTACGACTATCAGATATGAATTTGATGATGTTATTGTTGATGATATTGAAGGACGAGAAACGGAATTCGAAGCTTTTTATATACAACCATCATGGCAAGGCAGGCGAGGTTTGCTAGAGAACTGCTGACCTCAATCCTCAGCTCGGCGACTTCAAATTTTCAGCACGGAATGATGCATGCATTCCCAAATTGGATACAATACGAGGTCTTTTCAAGATTAGAAATCACAAATGTCGTACAAACGCAAACATCATGCGTAGCAAACACGAATTACTGCATGGCAGTTTGCCGCTCCTCTAGAGATGAGGCTGACCAAGGCGGCCGCCACCGAGCCCAGAAGGATGATCATAGGATGAGTGGGCTCGTATTTGCCGATCTGAATGTTTGTATGCAAAGCTAAGCGCTACTGGTGCGATTATTAATATATCGTCAGCCTTGCCTCGGGTTTGATGTCACACAACCTCATGATGGAGGCTCCTGCCACTGCTGACAATTGCCGAAGCTTACTTGCAGCACCATACCTTGACGTAAACATCCAATCTACATGGCCATATCGCTGAAATGGTTCGATTCTATCTGCAATCTCAAAGTTGGAAATACAAGCAAGAAGTATACCTCGGTAGGTACAGTTTCTTTAATCACGTGGCTCATAGGCCACGTGATACAAGCAATAATCTACACTCTCAACCGCCTGAAATCTTTCGAATGATAGTGTAAATTTTCCTTATCACTTCGTTACTATATCTCGGCTGTAATAAAGTCCGATTAAACTACTAGATCTTGAGTTATAATGAAAAAAGGCTTTGGCTCCGTTTCGACAAGGCGGATTTTATGTTCACATTTCTGGATTTTTTCTCACTTGGATAAAACTTGCTTCGTGGAAGTCCTCTTCTGAAAAGGAAACGAACAGCATATTCGTACATGGCGTCGGCCAATATTCCGCTTTGGAGTTTGTCATTCCTTATCAACATGCCATGCAGCAGGGTTGCTGACGCAAGACCATTTTGGGTTAGTTTGATTCCGGCAAAATAAGAATCCTCGTCCGCGAGCAGGTATGTTTTGAGATATCGCGACTTCCATTGCCTCAATTAGCGTCTCACTTACAATGAGACAGTTTACATCTCAGAAGTAATAAGCATGTCGTCAACCGCAACTGAAATCGGCGCGATCCTTTCCAGCGCGATCAGAGTCTTGCGTGGTCTCAAATCAGCCGAAGAATTGATCTCAGCTTGGCCCTTACTCTATCAAAAAGCTCTTCAAAGTCTTCAAACTCTGTCTGAACTCGAGTACCGACTCTTCTTTGACCTGCCTGATGAAGAGGAGGAGGCCGCCAATCTTCGTGCGGCGACCACTCTCTCGCGGGAACAGCTTGTTGAGAAATGCATTTCCACCCCAAGAGATCTCACTGACAAGGAACTTGCTATCACAAAAGATCGATTCTAGACACCTCGCACCTCGAAAGAGATTTCAGCTTCGTTCAATGCACTGGGAAATACGAGCCATGATGGGATCAACACTTTTCTTGCTGCTCGTAATTTAAGCAAAGAGCAAGCTGCTTTTGACGTAAGCAAGAAAGAGGATAGAAGACGCAGATTGGCAGTGGAAAACAACGCATTGAAGGTAGCAGCCCAAGCAGCTCTCCCTTTTGCAAAACCTTGGATCCAGCAATTGCATCATTCGGGAAAGCCTCATTGGGGGTTCGTATGTCTTTACGATATTTCTGTTCAACAGCTTGGAAAGGAAAGAATTGAGGAACTCGAAAGCGCAATGTACCAGTTTTTTCGAGGAAATAGATTGGATCCAAATTATACCTGATGATTGATTCCTCTACGCCAATAATAGTAAGACAACATTTGTCAACGAGATCTTTGCCAAAACGACACGAAATCAGGTGCGACGTCCATTTAGTCTTCACCGAAACTATGCTCGAATCATTCGATCCTCCTAAATGCTCGCTGGACGAGTAATACATGGTTTACGCCAATCACGTGCTATCAATATCTGGACCAAAAGTACAGCAACTCTTTTACTTTAGACGGGGTTATCTCTCTCGGAGACAATATGATAATCCATCTTGGAATAAGGATATCAAAGATGCCTCGTTCTCCTACATCCAATCATTGCTGCACGGATCCTTGGGACTTCAACAATAGTAAGTGTGGAAGGACTACTCGTTTGTCATCCTACACCACTAAATGACCCACCTCACTTGGCCATGGTTCCATATTGATTGGTCCGCCATTCGTTACCAGCCGAATGAACATCATTTTAGGTCTAGCTTTGAAATGGGCGCTTAAAGGGATGGATTCCTCTAGGTTATATTTATGCCATCTTTACGCCAAATAAAACCCTACAGCAGAGTGCCAAAGCTGTCAATAATCATCGTCTCTTCGCCTCTACTCCGAAGTAGATTCAGCACAGTTTTACCAATCTTGCTCAAATCATCCGAGTTTTCTCCAACATGGCATCCTCAACCGCCGGCTTTGAGCCAATGCTGGCCAATTCGATGAGGGTGATGAGAAACCTCACGGCCCTTGAAGATCTCATTACAGCATGGCCAATCCTCGAGCAGAAGAGTTCATGCTCGCCTCCCACCTTGACCGACGCCGAACGTCGAATATTTCTCGATCTTCCAGACCACGACCTTGAAACCAAAAACATTCGTGCACTGACTGGCCTATCCCGTTAGAAACTGCTGGAACAAGCCCTGTTAAGCCCTGCCAACCTAACATTCGAAGAAACGATGCTGCTCAACGATCGCTTTTGGACACCCATTACGGCGGAGGAAAACGCTGCTGTTTTCCAAGCAATGGCAGCGAGTAGTGAAGATGGTCTTGACAGGTATCTCGCGGCTCGTGAATTGAATGGAGACGAGGAGGCGATTGAAATAGGTGCTAGTGAAAACTGGAAGCGAAAGCAAGCTCCAGAGCTAGAGAGGCAGCGTACAGCAGCTGAGGCGGCGTTACTATATGCCAAGGAATGGATTCAGCAGCTGTACAAGGAGAATCACACAAAATGGGGATACGTATGCCTCTACGATGCAGCAGCTCAGGAGTTTGATCCTGGTAAGTCTGCGAACCTTTACAAAACATGTGCACCAGCATTACGCGACCAATCGGAGAGAATCCAAAGCCAAATGCTCATTCATTTCCAGACCGTCTTGATCAATTCAATGATCGAATGGAAGAATTCTTCCGGACAGCTCTCAGACACAATGGATCCGCAGATATCATCAGCAAAAAGTGGATGATGTTTCCATTCAGTGCACCCAGGTGGGGATACGCCAGTGAAGGAGATGGCTCCATCTGCCGTCGTGCCTTCATGGCAAGCGTACCAAGATGGCGAAGATGTTACCTCGCTCGGCCCTCGGACGGATTATTTCCCAAATGGAATCTCTCAACTGGGGCTCTTTACTAACACATTCCTCGTCATTGATCCATAATGCATCAGCTCAGTTCTCCAAGAAAATCATTCTCCGATATTCGACTTGATGAGGATACAAGCTTGTGAAGCCGATTTCCCTGTTGCTGGGCGTAAATATGCGGAGGGGTAAGAAGGGTTCACGTGGGTTCGGTTGGATCAGCTGGTATACCACTTTTACGAATTGAGGATGAAAGTTGAAGCGACTGCGATGGATGAGATCTGGAAAGCGGCCCAAAGGAGTCGAGATCAGGCTTTTGTCAGTATGAATCATGATGAGGCTGTGATGGATATCACCAGCTCCAATGATGCCAGAGGTTTCACACCGGACAGTGTGTTGGGTAAAAGGTGGTATGCGATGAAGGATGCTCGAAATGCATGAAGTCCAAGCAACTCAAACGGAAATTCTCTGCACGGTATACGACGTATCTGTTTGTTTACATTGGCTCCTATCAGAAGCGAACTTTAGTCTCACATAGCTAGAACACAAAGATTATCCTGGTCGGGATTTCTGGTACGCTGTTGAGACAGCTAAAAGGTGTGACCGAGGGAGATTTATGATTTCAGCAACTTTGTCAGAATAACTTCCACAATCGGTATTATGTTATAAAACCCCACAGTCCACTAGATTATTGAAGCGAGGAAGGGACCCATCCTTCTTGAAGCTAGGGGGAGGGAGAAGCGGGGCACTAGTCTCGCCCTAGCCAGCAAACAAGCTTTCTTGCCGAACAAGGGGGACCACCATCGTCATCGCCTGCTGCTGACTTTCTTCCTTTCTTCACACTAAGCAACTTGCGAAAAGTAAAAGCGTGGTTGGATCTCATAAAAGACACTCAAATTCTTCTTTGTTGTCTCCAAAAGTATTCTGGCTTTCATCATCTTCTGCTTTGTTTTCATCTCTAATCCAAAACCCCCTCATCACGTTGATCTCCTGAACGGCTCCATCCACTTGGACAAGCCGTGGACACCTGCTTTGGTTCAACTGAGAAACATAATTGTCAAAGACCTCACATTAAGACTCTTGCTATCATGTGTCGGTGGTTTGCATACATCTCTGCCACCGAGCCATGTCTCCTCGAAGATGTCCTCGTCAGTACGTAATTCCCCTTCTCATCTTCTGATCGAGCTCAACCAACAATTTCTCAGCCCCAGCACACTCTCTCAGCAAACAAGTCCATCAACACTACCTACCTAAACTCCTCTCCCATGACCCCACCGTCAACGCCGAACCAACCACCCAAGCCGAAATCACAGCCCGCAACCGCCTCTTCAACGTCGACGGCTTCGGAATGGCATGGTACACACCCAGCATCTCAACCTTCTCTCCAAACAAAAAGCCACTCCACCCAGCTCTCTACCGCATCATCCAACCTCCTCTGCACGATGCGAATTTCCGCAGTATCTGCGCCAACACCGAGAGTAAAGTCCTTTTCGCCCATATCCGGGCCGCAACCTCAACGGCAATCACTCAGACGAACAACCACCCTTTCGTCTTCGGTATCCACACCATCATGCATAACGGTTATATTTCCGATTTCGCCAAAATCAAGCGCAAGATGTGCGAGCACATGACGCAAGAAGCATTCGAGCATATCCAAGGCGGCACAGACACCGAGCATTTCGCCGCCCTGCTCATCTCATTCCTATGCGCTCCTGGCGACCCCGCAAAGCCACACAGTGAGAACGACACCGCTGTCCCACCTTCTTGGGAGGAGTACCACAGTCCTGCGGAGATCCATTCAGCGCTGCAAAAGACCATCTCAACTATCATCGCCATCCAAACAGAACTCCTTGGCCCAGCTGCCGCCCAGCCAAATGATCTCAACATCGCAATCACAGACGGCCGATCTCTCGTCGCTTGTCGATTCCGGAACCACGCTACGGAACAGCCTCCTTCGCTGTACTATTCCACCACGGCGGGAGTGACGCTCAATAGGCAGTATCCCGATCATCCGGATGGGAAAAAAGGCCCCGATGGCTCAAGGAAGGGGAGTGGCGGGAAGGAGGGTGTGGACGGTGCAGAAGGGCGGAATCCGCTTGCGAAGAAGAGTGTGGGGGAGCATGGGAAGCATGTTATTGTTGCGAGTGAGCCGTCGACGTATAAGGATAAGGAGTGGACTTTGATTGGGAAGAATAGGGTTGTGCTTGTTGATGAGGGTGGGGAGGTGAAGGTTGAGGCATTGGACTTTTGAAGTGTGTGGTAGTTGGACTGAAATGCTAGAGGGCCGTCTCGTTACAGGCGATGCAATTTTTTTCTTGTTATTCCACGAAAAAGGCGTTCGTTCGTCTACTCTGTGGAGTGTGATGGCATTGCGGCTAGAAGCTAGTAAATATTAAAAGCGCTTGAGATAATCTTGAAACCTACAATATGCCGACATCTCGGCTAAGGAAATAACATTCCATAGAAATATCCAAGTATTTCTCCCAGTCCCGCCCATGTACTTACGGAAAAATTCGTCGAATTATTGAACGTCAAACATCCCTCAACACTCCTAAGGGTGTAAGTTAACCTTGAAGGAGAAGACATGTCAGCTAATCAGGGCGGGGGTAAGTTACCTTTTTGAAATGTTAGCCTCCTAACGGTCAACAAATCCCAATAAGTACGAGCTGACTCTTGGTCAACTGTCTGAAACCCGTTCAGTACTCAAGGTATACTTCTGGGGTAAGTATTAGGTAAGGTTGCGATTCCCCGAAGCCCAGCTGAAGGTTAGCTCACGTGCGGCTCACGTGCCGTATCTCACCTGTTACCCCACTTAAGGTTCTTGTCTCCTCTATCTACCTTACGCTGCGTACAGGAGAACGCAGGTTCCGCCTCACCGCGGGAGGTGCACCCACTTGCGTAGAAAAATAATTATATTGCTGTTAAAGAAAAATTGTAACTGTCAATTGACAATCAATTGATAGTGATAAGAATTACTTAGCAGTTGAGAGGTCGTTATTTCAGGAAAGTGCACCTCCCACGGTGGGGTGGAACCTGCTTTTTCATTTAAATTAGGTAAGGTTACGGAGGTAATACTGGCAAAAGCCAATCCTAAAAACTCAATCGCCATCATCCCTGGCCCAAACGCGATGAGCCCAAATCCGACATCCACCTCGGCACCCTAATAACGAGACATTTACCCAAAGTCCCAACGAACGCGACTAGCATCTATCCGGAAGGTGGTGGATGATAGGCGGGCAACTGCATATCTTGGCAGGCACCGTTGAGGCAAGAGAGCGGTCGCACCCTGCACCCGCTCGCCGCGCCGTTCGTCGTGTTTATCGACCTGCTCGATCCGTCCCAGTCTATCCGCCAAGAGGATATAAACCTTGGAATACGGACGCTTGATGCTTGTCGATATGTCAAGCTCCAACAAGCTTAACCAAGCATCGAACCATGTCTTTAAGCTTATCCACGGCGAGCACGGGCGGGATTGGAAGGTGCCCAGCGGTTGCATTCTTGCTCGATGGGGGAATTGAGCTGCGATCTTCCTGTTTTGTGCTCGGTGGCTCGGGAAGGTGCAGATGAGGTGCTGCGATGTTGGTCGTGGTCATGATTATAAGATGTCGTGGTGTTCCCCGCTCTCGAAGTTCCTTTCCCTCTCCCTATCCCGTCCTTTCGAGTTCTGGGGCATTCCTCACTTCATCGACGCCCATCATGAAGTTCACAGTCGTCACTCTGCTCATTGGCGCTGCTGCAGCTAGCCAAGGACCATATCGTGTCTTCGAAGAGCTCTCTTCTGCTCCGGAGCCATGGGTCCTGAAGGATGACGCTGCCAAGGTCGATCAGGACTTGAGCTTCAAGCTGCGCATCCATCTCAAGAACCGCAACGTTGCTGCTTTCCAGCAACAGGTCCTCGATGTCAGCACTCCTGGTCACGCCTCATACGGTCGTCATTTCAGCAGCAAGGAGATCAATTCCATGATCGCCCCTTCTGAGGAAGCCTTTGCCAACGTCCTCGGTTGGCTCGAGTCGTACAATCTCACTTCGAAGGCGACTGTCGAGAGTGGTTGGATCGTGATTGACTCCACTGTTGGCGAAGTCGAGACCCTCCTCGAAACCAAATACCAGATCTTCGAGAACACCGAGACTGGAAAGAAGGCTGCCCGCACTCTTGCATACAGTCTTCCCGCTGAGTTGCACGCCTACGTCGACATTGTCGCACCAACCATCAAGTTCAGTGCTCCAAAGCCTCAACTCTCAACAATCGTCAAGGGCTTCGAAGCGCCAAAGAACCTGAAAGTCGTTGGAACAGCTGCCGACATCCATGATGGCCTTGACGTCGTCGCTTGCAACACCACGATCACAGTGGACTGCATCCAAGCACTCTACAAGTTCAAGCACTTCCGAGGATCTCGCCGAAATGGAAACCAAATTGGTCTTGCTGGTTTCCTCGAGGAGTATGCTCAACACGATGACTTCCAGCAGTTTCTCACCACCTACGTGCCTGATGCTTACGGTGTTGACTTTGAAGAAGTGCTGATCAACGGCGGACTCAATACTCAAGACGCAACTGGGGGCCCTCAGAACATCGTCGAGGCAAACCTCGATATCCAGTACGGTGCTGGACTCGCCTACCCAACTCCCTCCATCTACTTCTCGACTGGCGGACGTCCTCCTGAGACTGTTGACTACGAATTGGACAACGAGCCCTACCTGGAATTCCTCACCTATCTCTTGGCCATGAAGAAGATTCCTCAAACGATCTCGATCTCGTATGGAGACAACGAGTGGGGTGTTCCAGCTTCATATGCCCATACTGTCTGTGATTTGTTCGCTCAAGTTGCAGCTCGAGGTGTGACAGTCCTGGCATCCAGTGGTGACTCCGGATCAGGAGACAATTGCACCAGCACCAACCCAAACAAGCTTCTTTATACACCAGCATTCCCCGCTTCATGCCCATGGGTAACTGCTGTCGGTGCCACCCGATACGTCGCACCTGAATTGGCCGTCTCTTTCTCTGGTGGTGGATTCTCCGATTTCTTCCCTCGCCCAGCTTGGCAAAACGCCGACGTCTCCTCCTGGTTGTCCACCAAAGCCGACCCAGCATATACCAAATACTTCAACGTTTCTGGTCGTGCGTACCCCGATATTTCCGCTCAGGGTGTCTACTTCCACACCATTCTGGAAGGCGAAGATGGTTTGGTCTCGGGAACCAGTGCATCTGCACCAGCTTTCGCGGCCGTCGTTGCATTGCTCAACAGTGACCGTATCTCCAATGGTCTCGCTCCATTTGGATTCTTGAATCCGTGGTTGTACACTGTCGGCAAGAGTGGACTGACGGATATCGTGGCCGGAAAGGGACGAGGATGTAGTCAGATTCCTGGATCAGGATTCCCAGCTGTTGTGGGATGGGATCCAGTCACTGGATTGGGTACGCCTGATTTCAAGAAGTTGAGACTTGCTAGTACTGGTATTGCCAGCTAGATATCTTGATGAGTTGGAGTCTGGGAGAAAGAGATTTGCTGAGGTCAAAAGTCATCTGGGAGGAAGTTTGAGACGTGTCTGTACTAGTCAGATACAATACAGATAATTCATATTGCTGCATTTCCTCTTTATTCCCATTTTCTTTTCTTCCAATCACTTCTCTACGGAATTATGAAAATTTATCCCAAGAGCAAATCTGAACCTAAAGGGAAATGAACACTGTAATAGCGAACGACAACTATGCGCAACATCGACCACCATCTCACCACGACTGACAGATCCCCCCCCCTCTCCCCATCCGGGCCAAATCGACAGACCTGTACCAACGACGTCAGAATATATAGCAGCGATCGTGAACCGTGGTTAAATGCTTTACGGCTCTCTCGGTCGGCGACGCTCGCAGCCTTGCTACTGTATGCCCGTACCATAAATTATCCGCGAGCTGTGCAGCTGACGACTTCAGCGAGTCAAAATGAGACAAGTTTTCTTCAATCTGACCGCCAAAACTCAGCCAAATACCTGCATTTTTCTATCCAGAGTCTATCCATTTCTTGCTCTCTTCGATCTGTGCTCGGAATCGGGAGGATTTTCCTGCTCAGAACTGTTCCTTTCAACTTGGCCCTCACTAATATCTGCTTCAAATGTCTTGATGGCCTTCAGACCCATGGCGATGTGCTTGGTAGTCATTTCGCTCCCGGTGCTGATTGCAATAGCATAGGCTGTCCGCACGATGTTCTTGATCTGCCGGCCATTTAATTCTTCTGTCGCAAGCCGGTCTAGGAACTGCTCCGTCATCCATGATGGGGGAGGGTGTTCAGGTGCGCCTCTTATGATGAACATCTTCCAAAGATTGCGCCGTAGTTGGCTTGATAGCGATGGGTATTTGATTGCGAGGTGGATGCGAGACTTGAATGCTGGATCAAATGAGTTGACGCGGTTCGTCGTCAGGAACATGATGCCCTCATAGTACTCCAGGACTCGAAGAAAGACTTCACTCAAAGTTAGCCAAACAGAGATGAAATTTCTGGTGGTGCAACGGATTTCTCACCGGAAACGAGACCATTCCGCTTCAAATCGTAAGCGCTCCGCTCCTCTAAGAAGATGTCTGCTTCGTCGATGAGCACTATGGCGTTCCATTTCGTTGCCAGGTCAAGAGCTGATGAGAGTTTTTCCTCGACCACGTTCGCACTGATACCGAGATCTCCAGAACTTACGGTATACAATGGCCTTTGAGTATGGTCTGCTACACTTTCTAGGCAATTACAATGAGATGGGTACCTAAACGGGGTGAGAGGAATTACCTGCAGTGAGAGTCTTGCCTACACCGGGGGTTCCATGCAGGAGGAAAATCATGCCTTTACCCTTCCCTCTGATCACGTCGTCAAAGTGCATTTTCTTATCTGTGTGTACCTTTACAAGCGAATGTACCATTTCTTTTTGGTATTCCGGAAGCAGAAGAGCCCCAAATGCTTTTGTGTTGAATGCGATATCTTTGATCTTGTCTACATCAAAGTAACACCACCGCTTGTTTATCAACGAAAACCCTGGAATCCGATGAGAGCAGATAAGGAAATCCTTATCTGTAAGTGCAAGATGCTCTCCTGACTCTGTACTGATGACGTGTGTGCCGTACGAGAATTCGGGCTCGTGGCTTGGGAACTTGAGGCCAAAGCCTTCACAGTCAATGATGATTCGACCTCTGATCTAGTGAAGGTTAGTCAATTATTTTGGGGACTTCCAGTTTGGGTCAGAGCGTACAGTTATGGATTGCAAGGGAAACTCATCTTCCTCTCCTTCAATGGTGCTTTTTCTATGTAGTGATAAAGCAGCTGCAGTCCCTTCATACCAACGATGGTGGATTCCTAACATGCTGATGAATTTTCTGCCTCTATTAGTCAATTCCTTGGTTATGCGGTCTTTCTGCGGATGGTATTCAAGGGGTAGGACGTTGAGTAATTGAAGTGGCTTGTAACCATCATATGGTCGGACAAAAATAATCGCTCCGGCATAACCAAAGTCTGTGCCATTGTAGTCTATTCGGTCGGCGGTGAGCGTCCATTGTCCATCGCAGCATTTTGGTTTGGGACATGGGCACCTCGTCATTGTCCTCAAGAGCAGCACTTTCTCGACATTATTTTTCTTTGTGTATATCAGACAGCCAGGTCGAAACGCCATCCAAAGTGTCAGAAATTCCAATCCGGGAAGAATAGATGGCTGGCAATTCATTAGGTTGTAGTAGCTCTTCACCTCTCTTTGTAAGGTCTTGTACATATACCTCAAGCCGAAGGCAATGTGTTCCTTCGCGATGGGGTCTTGGAGTTGGGATGCGTAGCGTTGGATCTCCTCGCGATAGTGAAAAATAGGTCTGGGAAGATCCCGAATGACGATCCTGCCTGAGTGTATGTTCATACCGGGGTAATCTTCGATGACTGCTCGGAGAGCCGCCTTGAGATACGGTGAGCGCACTTCCAACTCTGTAAAATCGAGCTCCTTGTTTCTTCTATAGAACCTTGTGAGCACAAGCGCCGAGTCGTGATCCCTATCCTTCAGCCTATCAAGGTCTCGTCTTGCACCAACTTGCAGAGTTATTTGTTCCCCCTGAGAATTGAAGCGAGCCTCGTACGTCTTGATTTCACAAGTGAGGCCTTCAGTGTCATCCGGATCCACTGCTCCTGAAAGGAATGTATGAGGATTGTGCCAACCAATGCCGTTAGATGCCATTGCAAGAGATTCCTGTGGAGCTTCGAGGATTGATCAGTCAGTGTTCAGTACTTGGAATAGTTGCTGGTCCGACCTTGATTTATCGTCGGCAAAGGTCCATCAATGGCTTTAAGTCTCCAGAGATGCCTACCACTGTGGCGTTTACGCTATCTCTCCCGTGTGCTACCAAAGAATCAATTTGGGAAGTTGGTGGCGAAACACGACAGCCAAGGGCCACATGTCACACCGCTCAGTCGATATGAAGCATCATCAGCATAAGCCCCAGAAAGTTCCAAGACGCATGGTTCATTCAAAAAAGAAAAAACTACATAGCCACCCTCAAGTAGTCTAGGCCACCACATCTGTTTTGAAGCATGCCTCGCGGGAGCCCGACAGGTCACTAAGCTGATAATCCCGGGTCAGCCTCGCCAGGGCTTCACGCCACCAATCGCGTTGTAAGGCTGTTCACGGATGGATTCCTCCTCCCAGCGCTGCAACATGACCTTAACAGCAGGGCCCCCTTGCAAGTGGAGGCAAGTTCTATCCCAAGTCCATTCTCGACGGTCCACCTGACAGAAGGTTGCTGATATCTGCTGCTTTCCGTCTGAACAAGGCTGTTCCTAAAAACCATCCAATGCTGTCGTCAGCGCTGGACATGGATATGTAGAATGAAAATTGAATTGGGGCTCTTCGGCTGACCTTGTCGGACGGCATCTTCGCCTCCATTTGACCAACCGTCTTTGAATTCGACTTCACTAAACGGGACATATTCCTTGTCATAGACTGGTGGGTGTCGTCTTGTAACTTGTTAGCATTAGACATATCTTTTACTAGTCGGATTCGGCGTACTTGCCTGGGAATTTGAGAGGTTTTGGGTTTGCTAGTAGTGGATTTGATTATCGAGATACTCTTCGAGAATGTACTCTCACAATTCAGGGACGATGATGCTTTTTATAATTCTCTAAGTGCAAAGTCTTCTGCATGATGTTGGACAGGAACTTTGGCGAATTTTGAACCTTCATTGTATACTACCAATTTGCTTAGCCAGAGGAAACTCCGGGATTCATGATCTATTGTGTCAAGAACGACAGTTCTTTCGCGGACTTTGGACATCTTTGTTTAAACGAGGAGCTAATCCGGCCAAGAAGGTCGTGCATTTGGAGATGTAGGTGGGACAGTACATTGATGTAGAAGATTCCAAGCCGTGGTTTGCCTTCCAGACGTCGGCAGCTCATCAGGGCTCATCATAACCTTATTATAGAACCAGGGATCAGCATACATGTGGATGCTACAGTACCAGCCCGGAACCTTTTTTTTTTTTTTTTTTAATTCCATAGTCCATTTAGCTGCACTAAGCGCTATACGGACGTACTATTTAGGTCTAGTTTATATCTGTGTCCTCGTGCTAATTAGCACTATATCTAAAGCTAAAAAGTATTATAAATAAATAAAAAGAAGGAAAGATATTATAGTGAAAGTTACAAATAAGGACTCTAGGTTTCTTCGCGCCTGCCGGTTTAATAACTCTATTAGCTTCTATAAATTACAAGAATCGTATAACTTCCTAGTTAGTTCTATTAGTATAATCCTTATTTACCTCTCCGGCTATCCCCTAAATAATACTTAGTAAGTCTTAGTTACTAAGTAGTAAAAAGATACTATTCTATTCCACTATTTAAGCTAATAGCTTAGTTAAAATTATAAATTTAACTATATTTTTAATAAGTTCGACTAACTAATTCACTATTTATAGAGCTGAACTTATAAGTATCTAGTTAGTACTTTAAATAGCGATTAAAGACCTAAGGACTTAGAAGCTTATTATCTTTATAGATAACTAAGTAGTGATCCTTTTTATAATATAGCTACGGAAATAGTTAGGGCAGATAGTCCTAAGATATATCCTTTAGGCGATTAAAACGCTTTAATATAGTAAGGTAAAGATATACTTATAATAGATTCTAGCTTACGTAAGAGTACTAAGTAATAAAGCAGTGGACGCGCTAGTTAAGAGGGCTATAAGATAGCGCCTAAAAGGGGACTTAAGTCTCCCTAATACTTTAATATACTTATTATAGTTCCTATACTTACTATCCTTAGTAAAGAGATAATATAATTAATATATAAGAGTCTTATAAAGTAAGAGTCTAAGATAACCCCTAAGTACCTTATATAACTCTTTAAATAAATTACCCTTTCTTATTATAAATCTACTAGCTTCTCCTGGTGTTTAATCTCCTTTAAGTCGCTTTTATATACTAAATAGAGTAACTTATATTTTTATAGCGTAAATACTATAGCGTATCTCTTAGCTTATTCATCTGCCTTTAAGTATAATTATTAGAGCTTCTAGTATATACTCTCTGTAGACTTTCCCTTTACTATTAGAGTTATATTATTTATAAATACTATTACTAGGTCTAAGCTCTTAGTAATTTCCAGGAGGTTTATACTATAAAATAAGTATAAAATCAGGGAGAGTAAGGAACCTTAAGGTATTCCCGTAAGTATATTATACTCTTTACTTTTACTCTTAAAGAGTTAAATAGTTATTATTCTCTGCGAGAGATAGCTAACGATTTAGGTAACTACCTCTAATAAGAGCTTTCTTTTCCTTATATTATATAAGAGGTATTCATAAGATATATTATTAAATACTCCGGAGATATTAAGTATTAGTAAGTTAGCTACTTTCTTTTTTCTCTATATAATATATACTTTTTCTAGTATTAAGTAGACCGTGTGTTTACTTAATAATTACTTTCTTCTACTTATATAGTTTATTAGTAAGAGGTGCTACTTCTTTATATAATACTAGATTCTTTAGGTAATAATTATGCCTAGTATTTTCCTTATAATATTTAGTAATACTACTAGTCTATACAATTTCACTTAGCTATAGTTATCTTTCTTTAGTTTCCTTAAGGCTACTATAATTAATTTCTTAAAGCTCTTCAAGTAGTAGCGTAATTCGATTAACTTATTAAATATCTCTATATATACTAGGGCTAGGAGAGTAGTTACTACCTTTAGTACTTTATTTAGTATTCTATTCTCCCCTAGTATCTTATCTACTAGTATATCTTTAAGTGCTTTTATTACTTCCTAAGAACTAATTAGTATCTACTTCTTAGCCTCTATTAAGTAATAAGTAAAGTATATATCTAATAGGTTAACCTCTAGAGGTTTTAGGAAAAAGACTATATATAAGGCCTTAGCTTTCTCTACTATACTTTCTGTAATTATATTATCTTATTTCTATAGGTTCAGAGTAAACACCGAGGTTCCTAAGCCTTTTTATCTAGCTTATCTAGCTAGTAATCAGAGACCCCTTTTATTCTTTATTTCCCTTACTTTCTCTTTATAGATAATAGTTATATCTCTTATAATTACCTTCTTATAATACCTTTTAGCTCTCTAATATACCCTAAGATCTTTCTTTATATTACTATCTTATATCTACCTCCTCTAAGTTCTCTTAACTTCTATAATCGCCTTCTAATACTCTTATATAAATCCTAGTACTAATCTCTTAATAACTATTAGTATAATTATAGAGTTTACTACTACTTATTTAATAGCTTCTATTATTTAGTCGATTACTTCATCTAACTCTTCCTTAATACTAGCTACTTTTACTTCCTTTAGTATTAAGAATAATAAGCTAAGTATTTCTCTAAACTTCTTCTTATCTATTCGCTTAAAGTCTTAACGATTCTAAAGTAAGGTTCTATAGTAGAGTATTATTAGTACTATCTTAATTAGTATATAATCTAACTAGGCGTCTAGTGTAATTACTACTCTATACTTTACTAGTCTCTTTACTAAGTCTTTACTATATTAACTTAAGTCTAGTATTATCTATTTTAGATCTAATCTAATATTAACTCTTAGTTGAGTTACTATTCTTAGTAGTAGAACTAGCTTTAATCTTTTATCTAGTATTATACTCCTAAGAGCCTCTATATATGTTTTTCAGTATAATTATTATCTTAGTAATAGTAAATCTCTAAACTAGTTCTTATAGTAGATATTAAAGTCCCTAACTACTACTTAACTATTCTATTAATATTTACTAATTTAAATAAAGGCCTTTAGAAAAGCGCTCTCTTAAGGTATCCTCTCCTACTATCTGTCTATATATACCTCTATATACTTATATAGATTATAGATATTATAGATAGAGATAGTTTACTCTATCTCCCTTATAGTAATATTAATATATACTAAGTATATATTTAGTCCGCTACTTATTATTTCAATCGCTATTAAGTTGATTTTACTATTAATAAAAAAGTAGACTAAGGGCTAGCCTTATTCTTTAATATATATTTAAAACCTTCTTACTATTAAGTTATATATTCTCCTCTTATCTTTCTAATTTAGCTATAGTTCTTAAATCACTAGAACGTTATACTCCTAGGCCTTTTTATACCTAAGGAATTAGTTTATTACTATATATAACTTCTGTATATTATACTATAGAATAGAGATTATTAAGTGTTAGTTTATACTTATTTATAACTTATTATAAAGGTTATACTATAATAATAGTACTCTTACTTTTAGTAAGGTAGTTTCAGTTAATACTAATATTTAAGATTTAAGTAAGCTTAAGGTATTACTTAATACTACCTCTAAAGTACTCTTATTAGATTCAACTATAGATCTTATACTAATTTAGTCCCTTAGAGTTACTACTACTATCTCTTTAGCTATTACCTCTATAAATATATAGTCCTCTTCTCTTTAATTAAAAGTAATCTTACTGTAAAGGTAGTGGTAACCATTTCTTTATTATACCTGATTAGGAAGAGTCTAGAGCTCGGCAAAGCTCAGTAAGACTCGGTGGAGCTCGGTTAACTCTGAAGGGGTTTACCGACAGTTACCCACTTAGTTATACGCAAAGGGAAATAGCTCTACGCTACTATAGGAGTTTACGTTAAGTTTTATATTAAATGTAACTAGTCCTAATCGGGAATAGCCCGGGGAATTTATCTATATAAGCTTAAGCGCCTTCT